GCTACTGGGTTTTCTGCTGGTGTTATTGATGGTATTGCTGACGGTCTTGCTGCTGCTAGTCTGGTCTTTTTTGGTGTACTATCTGTGGTGTATGCTCGTTCTTTGGCGAATCTCTGGTAATTGCCTACTCTCAGGTATATTTATGGCTGTGGTAAGTGGTAAGTATCTTTTTTTCTTCTGGTCGCAATGATATAAAACTTCTCTGGACGTTTGTATTATTGCTTTTTTTCTCGTGATAATGCATTCATAATGTTTGCTTTGTTACGATTTCTTTTTCTTTCGTTGGCTGTGATATGATCAGCTCAACGCAGGCTTGCGATGTTGTTGCTTCGTATGTACGAACAAGAAGCATGATGCACTGCTACATATCTGTATTGCCGCTGTAATACTACTTTGGTATATGGCTGTGGATTGTTGTTTGTGTTGCCTCTGTCGCTTCACATGAAATAGCATTAGTCATTATGTTGTATTGCACACTTATAATACTGCTGTTGCTTCTGCAATTGTGCGTGTCCGTGTTGCTTTACATCCGACTATTACCATGCACATTGCTCATGTATGCAATTTTGTTGTTGCAACAACAGCGAGCTGTTCTAAACATCTTTGATGTTGTATTTGTTGTTATCGTTTTCTTTTGATTCACTTTTTTGTGTGAGTGTTCCTTTTTTGCCTACATACTACTACTACTACTACTATACTCCTATAGTGCTATAGCATGTTCTTTTCTTCTTTTTTCTTTTATTATGTTTCTTTGAAGCAAACTTTTTTACGTTGTGTGGATGTGCCTATCGCTGAAGCTCAACAAGAACTTATCCGAGACTAGGAGATGGATAGGCTGCCTCCACTTGGTTATCACTACTTACTTTAGTGATGATTGAGAGTCTCAACGCCAGAATCTAAAGCTAGGTGGTGTAAGTAAGGCATGCTCTAGCACCTGAGGGAGATTTGATGACAGTAACAGCTCTATTGCTATATATAGCGGCGCTTAAAATTTTGCCTCACATCAAAACAGGGGGAAACCCTTGCGAATTTTTTTTAGGTTAGCGGAGTTTTCAAGCAATTTGATTGGTGGAGGTGTTGAAAGAGAAAAGGTTTACAACTAGTTGATTTTCTGTTAACCTTATTTTGTCTTTTGTGATAATAAAAGTGTAATCAAATGCCAATAACTTAACTTCTTCTTGTTCAAAAATAACATAAGAAGGTGCAATTATTGAATATATCATCCAGTAATAATTTTATATGCGCGATGTTTTTTCAAATTGTTAAGCACAAAGAATAAAACGATTATAATCTGTAGCTTATAAAAAATGTTTAATATTATAGAAACAAGAAAAGATTTATTTGAATAAGATCAGACACAAAAACTAAAGAGTTATTTTATCTATACTAAGTTCTGGATGCCATGTTTAGGATATAGATCCTCTCTGAGAGGCAAATGTATTAGGCGTTGTATATTACATAAGAGGATCTGAGAATGAGCTGAGATGCATAGTAGAAGTGAGAGGTCTTTATTCAAGCAGCACGAAGGAACATGAGTGGTGCCATCAAATGGCTAATATATATCCTGGTTCCTGGAGAGTGGTAGCCTATGGCCTTTCGTCCGTGGAAGTGGGTTTCAATTCCGACAAATGTTCTTCCGTCAAAGCTATTAGGAAGAACATTCTATCCTGGATCATCTTTGTTGTTTATCCTGGACTGGTGGTTCATGAGTTCTGATGCAGCACATCCTCGTTACTGGTTCAAGGCTTATACAACTATCCCGCATTCAAGATCAAGGTCCTATTGCTGCGGCACTGTCAAATAACTATAAATACCTTTGATATCTACACTAGTTTTGATCCCTATTCAATCTTAGAATAACATAATAAATATATTCAGTTCTAATTGTATTTACTCTGTCTATATTTCGTTATTCTAAACAGTTTGTTATTGAAGTATGGAACCCTTTATCTGGGATATTGTGCAACTATGGCAGCAGGGCATAGTTGTCATATTTGAATATGCTTGTTATTGATTTGATTTTATTTGGATAAAGATAACATCTCTTATTACGACCATCATGGGTGTGATTGAATACATTATTGTGATCAGGAGTGATTCATTCACACGATGTACGATATAAGCGTGTATCTTTACTTTAGTATGTTTAAATGGTTGTTGATGTATATTTGAGCGCTTTTATGAATAGATCCAAATAGCATGAATTTAAATGAATGCTATTTGATGAACTTTTGTTTTCAATCAAGTTGCGTTTGGGTGGCTATTTCATTACACTATCAAGCCTCAAATTCCACAGACAACTTAAAACCAGCAAGTTAATATGGCCCTTTTCGTACGCTCCGATTTTTAAAATGCTCAGTCAAATTCATACATGTGCCGTGTACACATGCGAAGGCTAAACGGAGCTTCAATTTATATTGTTCTGAATGATGATCCACAGGATTCCAAAATCTATCGACCTTAAAAGTACGCGTTTCTTGATAGTAAACACCCCTTCGAACTTATATAAAACTTGTAGAGAATTCAAAGGAGAATACAATGGTATCCATATCAAGTGTTTGCTGCACATTGTTCAGCTGATATTTGATAAGCTAAATTCTGCGAGTTTTTCACTGTTTTCTAAAGATTAATCAGTATCTGTTATCAAAACATTTTATTAAGCATTACTAAACATTGTAGACCAAAAAATTTCCTATAGAATGAGATATTGCTTGAAGCTCTGGCATAACTCTATCATGAAATATTGAAAGTCTTGTCCTGACCAAAAAATCGTCATCAGATTTTTTGCTTGCTATTACAGGCAGATTTTGAAGGAAAGTCCATGATTTTGCTCGATACCTTTTTTTGGCCGTATCTCGACAAATACTCATCAGATCCGCACAAAATAAAAACCATTCAATAGCTCTACATTATATACATCATAATATGAGGTTTTTAAGTATCAGATGTGCGTTCCCTTTATGAATTCACTCAGAATGTTATATTTCAAGAGCTACAAGCAGGCGATAATCAAAGCTTTTTTATTTATCTATAGTAACCATACCACCATTGTATAGAAAATTGAAAAAGAAACAGAAGCTGCTAAGCTTGAAGCTCTCGTTCACTTAGGATAATTCAGCGGTATGGCCCTTTGAAAATTGACCATTTGACACATTTTCCATCATTACTCATCGACATCTCCCTCAATAACTCCACATCAAACATGTCCTAGTCAATAAAACTACCCTGTACAGCTTTCACTACACATACATCCCACATTCATATAGTAACTTAAAAAGTTTTACTAGCAGCATCTATTCAAAGTTAACTATTTTCTAAAATCTTCTTTTTCTCAACAACCGTGCTACCTACGCAAATTCCAATTGCACCAACGTTATCAACGCAAAAAACTGATATAGGAACATGCTACTCTCAAGGCTCTAGCATCACTTTTTCAAAAATCGATGTTCAATCGTCCAAAATTTGAAAACCTCAAAATCAAAAAACATTCAGTACATCTAGGCCCTCATAAGCAAAAAAAAAAAATTTAGAATCATATAAAACTAAAATATGTTGTAGAATAATGATATAGGTTGCCAAATAATTAAGCGGGAGAAATGTAAAGGAACCAATATATAGAAAAAACGAATGTTTAGACTAGCATTATTATATGTACTACTGCCAATTCATCCAAGCTTCTTTATAAACTATATTCTGATCCCCTATATTTGCTCTACCGAATAAGATCTTGTTTGGGCACGTACTACGATACTTCCTTTCAAAAATCGAGTTCTAACACTTAAATTGGAGTTCACAGTCGCAAAGCAACGTTTTCCTTTAATAACAATAGCATAATAACAGAAACATCCATACGGTGCTCAAGTCTATAAAATAAATACAGGGCGTGGTATGGCTAGTAAGAATGCACAAAAATAATTTTATATGCGCCACTGAAGCAAAAGTTAGTCTTGAGCGATCGTCTTTAGACAATAACTTAGCAGGGGCTGACCTATTGAGTACTGTAGAGTCATGAAAACTGATGCTACCGCTTTGAGTAAGGCCTCAAACGACAAGTTGTTTTTGGGTCTACGATTTGAAGATTGCTACAAGTAAATTAGTGAAGACTTAGTACATGGTTTCCCTAGAGTCTCTTAAAATATCTGAAAAGCAGGTTTATTTGTGCATAAGCTGTGGCATCATTTTTTAGAGTGGTACCTCTTGATGCGCGTTTCAGTTCTCTACCAACATACTATTATGGGCTGGAAACAATGGTTGCCATTGAAAATGATATATTTGAGCGACAGAAAGGTGCAATCATGCCTCATAGTTGTCTCAAGTCAATAGGAGCTCGTATGTTTTAACAAATCTGAAGCTGAGCTAATGACAGAGCTCGCTGTGTGCCATAGCTTTCTTAATAAGTTTTTCAGATCTGGGTAGTTCGTTTTAAGATACACCGAGATTTCATTTCAACAACTATTAAACATCCGTCAAAGTAGCAATTTACTTTTCACCATACCAATGCATCATGAAAACCTCGAAATTCAATATCATTCTGGAGCTATGATCGCCCAAAATAAATCTCAAACATTGGCAAACAATATGAATCGCGCCGTGACAGTAGGTTTGCTCGTTTGCACGAGAATAGGCGCTTTTATAAAGGCAAATGTTAGAATGGCATCATCAAAATGTGGGAAATTTTCCTCCCGCCAAGTCTGGCACCGTGTTAAGGTGACCTAAAACACCAATTTACTCTTGAATGCCCGATTAGTTTTCTATAGAATGACATGTTCGTAGTAGCAGAAAATTACTTGCGAATAGTAATTCAATAGAGAAATGTATTATTCAGTATGTATAGGGAAGAGAGAGGAGAGTGTAATTTATATAAGTCGAATGTTCACAAGGTGAAATTGTGAGATTTTGGATTGTTCCATGTCTACGAACAGTACGTGTGTGATGAAAGATTGAAAAAGGTGGGGTAATTGATTTCAGAAATATAAAACTCTTTGGAAAAGAACACAAAACTAAACTCTTCGGCATTCCATGTATGTTTCTGTAGGATCCATAGGTAACGCACAAAAGAAACCGAGTTTTTGCATTTGTGAAAACATTTGGGTATCTAGAGAAATTACCCAAACATCAGCCCAATGCTACCTTATTTTCCCATTAACCCATAATACTTACATTCCAAATTGAGCTTGACACAATCCCTTTGGCCATTAGCAGCTTGACGGCAAAGTGTTTGCTCCTTTTGATCGATGGTGTACTCGTTACCAGGTGCAGCTTTCACAAAGTTATCGAGACGAGTGAGCTCATCAGGAGAATTGTTGATTTCGTTATTTTCGTTGGAAGACATCTACATGTGCCAGTATGAGACATTCGTTCGGTACCATGGACACGTCTATAAGCAACTACTTACATTCTATTGTATACTTGATTTAAAAAGTAAGAAGAAAAAAAAAAAGAAAAGAAATCAGAAAGCCATCATACCATCTATGATTTGAAATTGTAACCCCCGGACTTTATTACGTCAGTTTGGTATAGACATGTACAGTGATTGATTCACCGCGTTTTGAAGAGATTTTAGACCATACGCACAAGATCTCCATTGGTTCTCTATTACGTCGTTTAATAATGTTACAAAACTATCAGGAGGTTTATTCATGTCAAGGTGGAGTGACGTGAAATATGGTGGAATTATGTACACTCTTGCTTCTCGAATCGAAGGAAATCAACTGCAATTTCGACATTTTTCTTTTTATGGAATTTATACATCATTGGCACATCAAACTAGACGACCAAAGAAGATTAGTGACATGCCAGATCGACAATTTAGGTAGATTACCTTTAGCTCTGCTACTACTTCAAATGTCACACCCCACTCCTTTGCCTTCTTCTCAATGTGCTATATATATATATACGATTTTAATGTCTGATCTGCGGCCTATGCAATTAGTGACTTACGTCTCGAGTTGATGTCTTATGTAATGAGTAGACAGACGTGCCTGCAATCTAGATGGTCATCACAGCCATTAGAACATGCCGTTGCATCAAATCCAGCATCCCATCTTACCTCTATCGCCTTCTTTAATAGCACCATATCCACACCCTTGTTGCTCTTTGTTCCAAAGGGAGGGTTCATGATGATGGTATCCAACTTTCCTCTGAATCGATCCAACGTAGCTAAGTTCAGATCCGTATTTACAAAATCGATATCCACTTCGAACGTCTCACTATTTTCTTGAGCAATCTTGATGGCATCAGGGTCAATATCGAATCCAACGCTGTATCTGCATCACGAGGATGTTATTGTTGTTTCTCCATGTGCACAATCCCAACTGACATTTACCCTGCGCCTAAGATATTTGCAGCTATGCTCAATATGCCACATCCACTGCCGAAATCTCCAATCGCTTTATCTTCAATGTCATCGTATACTGTATCGGCAGTATAAAGCATTCTTGCAGCCAAATGAGGTGTAGTAGGGTATTGTTCAAATTGAATCTTTGGCTCATCTGTAACAGGCAATGAATATACATGATCCAATCTCATTTATGGTGTATGTGAATCATACCAAACACTTCACAATCCTGCAGTATACTTTCCAATTCCTTCAGCTTCATTTCTGTTAGGTGTATTTGTTAAGAGTTGCAGAAAGAAATAAGAGTTGCGACCCTACTTTTTGTGACAAGGTAATTAGGGATAAGCCATACAAGCCGTCCGGATCCCCATCCGCCAGCTTCCAATCATCCATTTTGGTGCCTGGATTTGCTAAATGGTAATAAATTTTGTGTAATGCAAGCATCAAATCGTAATGATAGTTGTTCTACATAGAGTTTGAAAGTGTGCCTCGCACACGACTTGATTTGTTTTGTTTTGACAAGGTCAATATATATAAAGAATGCTAAATTCGAATTGATGCTTGCCATGTGCGTTACACAATGGCGTAAAAGAACTAAAGGATCAAATGGTGTAAGGGGTAATAACATGAAAACATAGGGATCAATTGTTAAGCACACATATTGCCGTGTAATGGCTCAATTAATTGAATATTGGGTGTTTCGATTGCGCTCTGCTAGAAGGATGCAAGCCGCATCTAATTTAATGAACATTTTTCGAGGACCTCAGCATGTTAACAACTGTTTGAAACTCCATTAAACTGAATAGATTCTCGATTTCGAATTGTTTTGGAATCTCAATATAAAAACCATCAAAGCTTATAATAGACTCTACAAGCACAGTGTACCACCATCATGTTTACATCAAAATTCATCATCAAACTCTGATTTGAAGCTGAATCACCAATTGAAAAATGATGGGTAAAGGATGTGTAATGTTCAATATAAAGTTGACACTGTGCCACCACATGTAGATTTGAAGTTTCTCGGATGCTACCAGAGTTCCACTCCGTGATTGTAATTTATATGGAGCCCCATATAAATATTCACTATTGTAATTCATAGAATCTTGAATACAAAATGTCAATTGAGACACTCATCTAGGGTTGGATTATAAGGGGGGGGTTTCTCCACACACACACATCCTCCATCTAAAAATGGCATTTGTTTGACAGTTAAGTTAGAGGTGATAAAGTGAAGAGAATTGATAGGTAACACTATCATCGATCCACGCACTAAATAATAACAACAACATGCTATCGTTGCATGGTAGCACACATGATTTGATTGAGAAATGTAATATTTATTCGATTTATATGTATTCATTTTGCAAGCTATGAATATAAAAAGGAAAGGTGAAGAAAAAATGTTGCTTTTTGTTGGTTTATAAAATGTAATGTAAAGAAGTAGAAAATGATGTATATAGATTTGATTTTGGTCATAGTAGAAATATAGAGGGTATGTGTTTTTGTGCCAGAAATGTAAGAAACAATTGCAGTATGTATAGATATATATAAGATGATTTGATGAGAAAAAAAAACCCCAAGTATTCAGAAGGAAAGCAGAGTAGTTGTTGTCAGAAAGAGAATATAGCAGAGGAGCATGAGATGAGTGTATGTATAATGAGCCCAATTAGCGTTTCACAGGAGCAGGATAAGGTCTTGGAAGTGCAGGCTTGGTTGGTCTATCTGGTGGCATTTTGGTATGTAAGATGTGGTATATAGAGAAGTTTGATTTGATTGCTAGTAAAGAAGAAGGGAGTTGAAGCATCCGAAACTGTCTCTTTATATATCAATTCTGGCAGATAAATTTGTAACACAAAACTTCAAAGTTGTGCTACATCTGTAACTTGTTTCCTGGTTGCTTTTAGGTTGATTAAATCATGATGAGCGGGCGGCGTCCTTGTTGTTGTTGTCGTGATTTTGTCGAAAGGATCGACTCTTTCAAATGGAACATCTACAGCCGAGTTAAACTGCTCAACTCCTTGACAAAAAGAGCCTCTGTATTGTATGGGCTTCACTTTACTTGCTTGTGTAGCAAACTTTCAATATTATCGTTTTAAATTTGTGTCTAGTTAATTTGTCCTTTTTCGATATTGTTTGTATATAATATACATGAATCTTGTTACGAGCTGGTTTCTTTCTTGGTTTGAAGCACAATATTGGAGGTAGATTTATAACAAAAGATCATATGGTATCCATCATCAAACAATGATGCCGTGCTTGCTTTGAAACGCTCCTTTGAATACGTTTCAATCTGCCATTTAGTAAAGATGAGTGGAATTGAAGGAAAAAGGAAAAAACTGTTATTATTGTACAACCACAACAATTGAAAACGTTTTTTTTACCATGATATGCAAGCGTGTTTGATTTGCTTGTCAAAGGTGCGCCATGTTTTCTAAACTGCCTGCCAGTCGTACTTCTAATGGGCGAGAGGAATACAGGATGTTGGAGCAAATGATGTAACTGCGAGGAGTGGGGTTAGAGACAGGCTTTGCTTGAATGCTGATTGTTGTTATCAAGAGCAACAAAGAGCATAGGGTTCGCATGACACTTTTGTTTGAGTCAATCAAACCGTGAGATGGCGCACACACTGACAACATGTCCCTGATGAATACAGGTATTGAATGCAGACGGCTCATTGACTCCAATGCTGTAACCTAATGAATCCTATTACTATCCTCTGCATTCTTGTATAATACAATACCCCGCCTCTCCACGAAACTAGTGCCTAAAGCAGTTATTTGCTTATACATTACACACATGTTTATTTGCCATCTTATTTTTAACGATTCCAGAAAGTTGTTATTGATTTACATGTGTACAACGTGTAATGTATATTAAGGTTGGATTCCGAACGTATCATTCTCTGCATTATATAGACGCTAGGCTGCTCCATTTGATATAGAACTATGCGCTCATTCTCGATAGCACAGTAAGCCTGCATTTCAGGTGCTTGATATAAAATACATCTGCTAAATAGCAGAACAAAGGGCGCCAGCATTCGAATCGAATTGAGAATCACAATAATAATAATAATAATAACAAAAATAAACACAGTGAGTTACACGGATTCTCAATCAACACTCTTCCATCGCTCTCCTCCTCATCCTATTTGAAATTTTAGTGAATAGCCCGATAAGTAATGGTTTTGGTATTGGGTCGAGAGTACTGCAATATGCACCTCCAGACATCATATAGCATAGTAAAAAACGACAAGGACGAGGAAGAGAGATCAGCTAGCCACGACAACATATCACTGCACTATTTGCACATATAGAACTCTTTCCATGTGTAATAAATACTCCTCTAGCCAAAACAGAGGCTTTTCTTTACTTTACCAACAATCCATTTTGTTTACTATCATGACCAAAAGTTTGAAAAACGTTTGTTGAAAGTATTTGTTATTTATACATAGTAGATGTGTACTCCTCTCTTTTCTCGGATCTAACATTTCCTGAGCCAATTTGTGTATCCCATCTTGAGATTCATGATGTTCCTGTTTTGCCTATTGATATTTGAGCGAGTTTCATCGCACGAGATACAAGGTTCCTTCTTTTGATTTGTAGCATTTTCCCATGGAAAATTAGAAAGACACTAAATGTACATTTGATACACTCTTATGCTTGCAGTTTATATATATACATATACAGTAAAACCCTTACTTCAAACGTCAAAAGAGTAGCTATCCTGTAGAATAAGGGTAATCATAAACAACCAAGAAAATCACACGCACCAATTCAAAACAATCCGTATTACAAAGGATTCTTACTCGTTGAAGGCGGCCCTCAAACGATACGATGCACACTCAATACTAAACAAAGTGCTCAAAAGCCTCTGCCATTTTCTATTCTCTAAAAAAAAAAAAAAACGATTGACTTTGCAGTAAAAGGGGTTCTGTTAGACTCAAGCAAAGATGGCTGATGATGAGTATACTAACAAGGCGTTAAATGTGGATTTGTGCAACAAACCTTCGAGTTTTATACGGCTAATTGAATTTGCCTGACTACAGACACCGTTTTCTTGTGAAGACGCATCCATATATACTAATCAACTCAACTGGATGGATTATGGATAAATAATTTAGAGGTTTCAGTGCCGCGGTATAGCAAATCATGAATAAAGGATCAATAGGCACTATTTGCAATATGCATAACAGAATGAACTCAAAGCATGTCAAGTTTTAATACAGGTGCAATTATTTTTTCATGTAAAATCTCTTTACTGCCTTGCAGAGATGTCATAGAGATGAATTCTCCCAGGATCACCATGCGTTATGAGCATGATTGAATGCAAATTTACACATTGTGGAGACCCTTACATTAGTGCAACACTCGGTTATTCAACAAGCAAGTCTTCTTCTGTTTGAAGCCTGTATGTCTTTTTCTCGACAGTCGAGATAGAAAGCATAGAAACAAGATCACGTATTTATAAACATCTCTGTAGGTGCCCAACTGTCCAAATAGTCAAAAACTGTTGAATAGATTACTTGATTTTTTTACACATTTTTAGAATTACACTTTACAACAATAAGTACAATTTACCAGTGTTCATGCGCTTTCAGCTATTATTAAATGAGCTCCGTTCCGTCCATGAATGTGAAATTCATCTAGAGTGATTCCGCCTTGATATTTCCAATCATATCATGCTTGTCTCGGTGTATTTTCGCCTTGGCATGATATTCATGTAATCGTTTTAATCTTTTCACAGTAATCTATGGAGAGAATAGTCTAAAGGCCTTTGTAACGGCCCTGCTGTAATAGATTTAGAGGAAACACACGGCTGTGAAGAGAAAAAATGGTATAAAATATTCCGCTCTTCTCGGGTGGTTATGAAATATTTTATAGAAATTCAGGACATATAGAAACATGATCTGATTATACCTGCATAACAAATGAAATGCAGTTTGATTGAATGCAGTTGCATGCATCTTTTAATACCAGAAGAGCTGTATAACATCAAATGAATCGTTAATTGGCCAAGTGTCAATCCTATTATTCATCCACTGTATCTAAAAGTATAATCTCGCATCGAGATACATGCTGCCATTCAAATCAACATGAGGTTCGCTAGTATATAAAGAGAGATCTTCTGGTTCTGGACCTCTTTTTCTAGCTTCTTTCTTGTAAACACACATCATGACAATTGCTTGCTCAAATAATGAACCGGCTACTTTGTCAAATCACATCAAACAACCCACCAACAATACAGCCGTGTGGACCATCACGAACCAAAACAACCAGTACAATGAGGAATCAGAAGATGAGGCTTCATCGTTAGATGACAGTGACAGCAATGAGCATGCCTACTTGCATTGTCCTCAATACGACGATTATGACGATAGCTATAGTGATGTGGAAGAACCAGTAGTCTGTGCATGCGGAAAAGCGCTGTTGGCGGGTTGGGATTGTAGCCAATGTAGAAGCAATTGCTCTACTTGTCATCGTGCTCTTGGGCCAGACGAAACATGTAATCGTTGCGTTTCTGTGAAACGTAATACCACCATTGCCAATGAGATTGCTCTCCACTCTTGTAAACATTACCATCACAACTTGTAATTAATGCTAAATAGATGATGCTGGATGCGTTGTCTTTGATAGGCAATGTTATATTATATCTGTACTATACACTTAATAAATAACCTACACTGTATCTGACATGTTTATGATTGTCGTGCCAACATGCTATCCATATTCGCTCTGAAGAGTAGATTATGTGATTGCTAAGACAAGTATCTAAATGATTATGATAGTTGATATCCTCATCCATGCTGCAGATCAAGTTGAACATTGCTTAATAGACAATAAAAGTTAAATCACATAGTAGTTTGACCTCTTTTCTACTAGATGTCATTCAAGATCTGTAAATAGAAAGTGCTTGATTCAAGCCACAAAGCATCACTGCATTTGGTTTGACATGTAAAGATCAAAAGTCAATCATGTATGGTATATCCAGGTTGAGATACTCTCAAATATAAAAATTGAAAAGACATTTGATAGACAGAAGCAATTGAGATATGAAGATTAAAAATTTATTATTGACAAATAAGAAATTCGACTACATAAAAGATAGTATTTGAAAAAACCGAAAGGGGGAGTATATTACAAAATGCTAGAAGATTTCAGTTTTTTTAAATGATAAAGTTTTGATGCCTAATTCTTGTTTTTTTTATGATAATATATATGCAAAGATGATTCAAGATTGAATTTAATCAACCTCTTCAACAGTAGGTCCAGAGTCGCCACCAGGAGCTGCGCCACCAGGAGCACCACCAGGGAATCCGCCAGGAGCACCGCCAGGAGCACCACCACCGTTAGCTTGGTAGAACTTCATCATGATGGGGTTGACGATTTCCTCGAGTTCCTTTTGACGAGACTCGTATTCTTCCTTGGAAGCTTCTTGTGAGTCATCCAACCACTTGATACATTCATCAGAAGCGTTCTTGATCTTCTCCTTGTCTTCCTCAGGTAACTTGCCACCAACATTTTCATCTTGAAGAGTGTTACGGAGGTTGTAAGCATAGGATTCGAGACCATTCTTGGCTTGGATACGAGCAGCAGCAGCTTCATCTTCAGCCTTGTACTTTTCAGCATCGTTGACCATACGCTCGATATCTTCCTTGGAGAGACGACCCTTATCGTTGGTAATAGTGATCTTGTTGGATTTACCAGTGGTCTTGTCAAGAGCAGAGACATTCAAAATACCGTTGGCATCAACATCAAAGGTAACTTCGATTTGAGGAACACCACGAGGAGCAGGAGGAATACCAGAGAGCTCAAACTTACCGAGAATGTTGTTATCCTTGGTACGAGCACGTTCACCTTCAAAAACTTGAATGAGGACACCAGGTTGGTTATCGGCATAGGTAGAGAAGATTTCAGACTTCTTGGTAGGAACAGTAGTGTTACGCTTGATAAGAGGAGTCATGACACCACCAGCAGTTTCGATACCGAGGGAGAGAGGAGCAACATCCAAAAGCAAGAGAGAATCAGTCTTTTCAGATGTATTACCAGTCAAGATGGCAGCTTGGACAGCGGCACCATAGGCAACAGCTTCATCAGGGTTGATAGACTTGCTAGGTTCCTTGCCATTGAAGAAGTCAGAGACCATCTTTTGAACCTTGGGAATACGAGTGGAACCACCAACGAGGACGATATCGTGAACAGAGCCCTTATCAATCTTGGCATCACGGAGGACCTTCTCCACAGGCTCCATGGTCTTACGGAAGAGATCTTGGTTCAATTCTTCGAAACGAGCACGAGTCAAAGAGGTGTAGAAATCAACACCCTCAAAGAGAGAATCAATTTCAATGGTGGTTTGAGCGGCAGAAGACAAGGTACGCTTGGCACGTTCACAAGCAGTACGGAGACGACGGACAGCACGAGCATTACCAGAGATATCCTTCTTGAACTTACGCTTGAATTCTTGCATAAAGTGATCGACAAGACGGTTATCGAAATCCTCACCACCCAAGTGAGTATCACCAGCAGTAGCCTTGACTTCAAAGATACCATCTTCAATGGTCAAGAGAGACACATCAAAAGTACCACCACCCAAATCAAAGATCAAGACATTGGTTTCGCCCTTGGCTTGCTTATCCAAACCATAAGCAATGGCAGCAGCAGTAGGTTCGTTGATGATACGCAGGACATTCAAGCCAGAAATGGCACCAGCATCCTTGGTAGCTTGACGTTGAGAGTCGTTAAAGTAAGCAGGGACGGTGATGACAGCAGAATCAACGGTGCCACCCAAATAGGCTTCAGAGGTTTCCTTCATCTTGACCAGGATCATGGAGGAAATCTCTTCGGGTGTGAAGACCTTGGTCTCACCCTTAAATTCAACTTGGATTTGAGGCTTGTCATCCTTGTTGATGACCTTGAAAGGCCAGTGTTTCATATCAGACTGAATCTCGTCTTCGTGGAAACGACGACCGATCATACGTTTGGCGTCAAAGACAGTGTTATGAGGGTTCATCTATAAGAAAAACGCGATTAATATCATAATAGACACACATGCGCTACTCAATTCAAATACTTACAGCTACTTGATTCTTTGCAGCATCACCGATAAGACGTTCGGTATCGGTAAAAGCGACAAAGGAGGGAGTAGTACGGTTACCTTGATCGTTTGCAATGATTTCAACACGATCGTTTTGCCAGACACCAACACAGGAGTAAGTAGTACCCAAATCAATACCAACAGCGTTCTTAGACATGTTTGATTATAAAATATTAATGAATATTTAATGAAGAAACAAAAGGCAAGTGATGAAAAATTTACGCCTTTTTATATCTAAAATCATAGACTAAAATTGCATGAAATTTCTAGAGAATTCCCTGTGATCAGATTGGCTGTGATTATTCCGAATTACCCAAGAAGTTGAGTTTCATGGGTTTATGACATCCATTTGTGTTGCGATTTGCAGTGGAAGAGATTGCTAGAAGGTTATGATGGAAATTTGTGGCATCATATCCAATGTGATTACGTGTCAAGTCTATTTATCTTGACCATCTGGTTCCTTCTACAACATTCTCCTCGCCTGTGATTGCGCCCCACTTCTCTCTACGCTTTTATCGTCTAGAGAAGCCATATCACCACATTGTGTGTGTGTGTGTGTGTGTGTGTGTGTGTACACTGAATCGACTCTCATAGCATCATTGTCAGCATCATACCCATCATCCCAGAGTGACGTCTCCATAATCCAATATAGCATGATTTGGATATTTTTTTATTTTTTGTTTCTTCTGCATTGAAACCAACATCAATCGACCTAAAGCCCTGCTATCAAATCCTATATATACAGCAATAGATGGACAGTGCAGAAGAAGGAAACGTATATGGTATGTAAAAGCGCCATGATGAAATAATACTGTTTCCTCCACCTCCTCCTCACACAATGCACAACAACTAAACCTTGTGTATTAGATACCAACCTGGATGATTCGCTCTCGTCGTCTGGAAGCTCCTTGCAAAGTTGGATTAGTTGGTTTTGTTCTCTCTCTGGTCACGAATACTACGTCGAAGTGCCTGAGGACTTTATAGATGATGACTTTAATCTGACTGGATTGTCTAGTGTGGTACCTTATTATACGCAAGCATTAGAGACGATTTTAGACATGGAATGCGATGAGTTTTTTGACGAGGAAGAAGAAGAAGAAGAAGAAGAAGAAGAAGAAGAGGAGGAGGAGGACGAGGACGAGAAAGACAATCAGCGAGGAGACGAGTACGATCTCATACAAATAGAAAACTACTACAACAACAGCAATACCAGAAACGACGATGATTTTTGGAAGGAAGATGACAAGACACACAAGCGGCTGAAAGCGCAGGACCCGCGTATTGTTGAACCTTATGCCTTCATGCTGTATGGATTGATACACCAACGCTATCTGTTAACCAGGAATGGTTTGAGTTTGATGGCGGAACGTTACTCAAATAGTCAGTTTGGGACATGTCCTCGATATTATTGCAATAATTCTCCTGTATTGCCCATGGGCAAATATGATGAAACAGGACGGGAGAGCGTCCATTTGTACTGTCCAAGGTGTCTTGACATATATATGCCACCTGGATCCATTCATCGTTGTGTAGATGGTAACTATGGTAGTATAGGGTTTGGGGTCTAGATAGCTGACAGTGTGTGTAGGGGCTCATTTTGGATCTTCATATTGCCAACTCTTGTTTCTCACCTATCCAGAGCTTGTTCCAAGCCCAAATTCACACATTTATCAACCGCGTATATTTGGTTTCAGAGTCAATCTTGCATCTATAGCAGGGCCACGAAACCAATGGCTAAGAATGAGACCCTTGGAATACATTGACGACAATGAAGACGAAGAGGATGATGAAGAAGATGATGCAGGAGAGGAAGACGCTGTGCAAGTAGATGATGAAGTATGTACATGATATGCATGTTGTGTATATTAGAGATATTAAATGGAGATTGTTCTTATAGAATCAGGTAGAAACATTGGTCTTTGGAACACAACGTTTGCAAATCCACAATTTTTGATATTTTAGATAGATACCTTTCAATAGCAAAGCATGCCATGCTTTCAATAGAAATAAAGATAATTTTGTACATAGACTCAGCCAGCATGTCAATTTGGATCTTTGTGTGATTTTGCTTGCCGCATGCTATTCGTTTGAGAGTTTGACCGATCATAATGATGATGAATGCTTGTTTCATTGCTCAATGTGCGGTCTTTGTTAAACTTTAATCTTATCAGTTTCAGTTGCCATGCTCTCAACTGCATGTTGTAATCAGAGTTCTATGCTCAGTGCCACTATGTAGTGCACGAGAGAACTAGAGTCAATGAGGCTCATGAAAGCACTGAATCACAGAGGACAAAGTTTATTGGCACTAATGATTCAAGAAAGTAGCCGAGACATCTAGCGAGATGAAGCCATCCTCAGTCGCAAAAAACATTCGTATACATACAATGCTAAATTGTCGCTAATGTTACCAGCACATACTTGTATTTTACGTTTATAGCTATAGTAATATCTCGTATACGGGCGGACGGCTTACCTGCATTCCCTCTTATTACTCAAATACGAGCGTTTACGCTTCGGAGGGCTCTCTATCTTTGCTTCGCTTCGGTGAGAATCAACTTGCGCAGGGGCAGACGCTACCGATTGCCCTGTCGTTATCGAAATACTGCTACTTTCATTTTGACCCTCCACTTACACATAAAAACCCTTCATATTATCTGTGGATCTGATTCTTATGTGATACTCTACATCCATATACACGTAGCTACTTCATATATGGGCAAGTATCATAGAGATATTATCCCTTTTTAGTCAATAGTGCGTCTAATACAGCAAAATCTGGGCGCATTTGAGCTGCGTTTTCTTGCGTTCAAGGCCGTTTTAGATGATCAGAATAGCACCAAACAGTTGCTCTCATCTGGCAGTTACTTGTTGACCCCTTTGCTCAACTTTTTTAGGACCTGAAAAACATGGCTAAAAATCGACTCAAAAGCATGAGGGATACCTCATGAAAAACATCAAAAATCAAACGATCGCATTTTTGACACCAAAAATGAAGACTTTTGCTATAGCATATATTAATTCAAAATGTCTCTACGGATCCAATGCAACCCCTGAAACTTTGTTTGTGGAACCTTTACATGTAAAATCTCTATATTTTGGCGAAAAACCTCATTTCATATTTTCTGAAATTGCTCTATAAGTTTATTTAGAACACATCTTTTAACTAGCACTATTCGATGCGCCTTAAAAAGTACTCCAAAAATGCATTAGGAAGTACGGGATGATCATCACAATTCATATAGTCAAATCTAGCAAAATAGGTCGAGTCGAGTCCAAAAAGTGTAAGAATGAACAAATCAAAACATAATGTACAGCGGAGTGTTAATATATTTTTGTCTGCTGGCAAAATCAGTGCCAGGCTTATAATGAAGGCAAATTTGGTGTCAGATTGCCTCGTAAAATCCACTCAATGACTGTCGCCGACGTCTTTGCCGTGCATACAACTGAGCAATTTCTCCATTGGAAACGTTCCTTCGACCCCACACTTGCCGTATGGCAGCGTGCACCTCGACAACTGATTCAGGGCATTGCAAAAGGCACATTCAAGTTGCAACCCTTCTTTCTCCCTCTGTGTGTTCCTTCTTCCGCTGTCTCTTTTTCACCATCCAGTCCTTCATTGCAACCATTTGTTGATCACCTCACAACTGACAACAACCTTGCAATGACTTCCACTGGCTGTAGATCCAAATCGTTTCAGCAGGCATGCTCTTCTGCTTCCGTCGTTCCTCAACGATTGGCTGCCATAGCATCTCCCCGATGGTCGTTTTTCTGGTCTTTGTCCCTGACCATGATCCAAAGAAATGTCGTATATCGATTCATCAACAATTGCATTCCCCATCAGTCCCTATTGAATCTGAGGTTCCCCACTGTTTACTTGTCCCCCTTGTGCTTTGTATGTTCCTCAGTTGAAGATTCCACTGACCACTTCCTTTTTGAATGCCCACCCAAGGCAGCGGTCTGGCAGGGTATTATCTCTGAGTTCCTCTAGCCCACGGTAACCATTGATGATATCCGCCATTCCCTCCTCACTCTCGACTTTTACAATATTCGATATAGTCAGCGGCCTCGTGCTTCCTCCCATCATATAGTCATCATTGCGATGTCTAACATTTGGAAGGCTCACTATCGTCTAATCTTCGATCAAGCTTCCTTCGCTCCTGCCGCTGTGCTGAATAGTATCCGACTCGACATCCAAAAGATGGTCGACGAAGATCTCATTCATGCCAGCCTATAACAGTCCCTCTTTTAAATTGTTCTCATACTTTGTCTAAACATATATAATATTATCACAGAAAATTGCGCCCGCCGCTTGATTATAGTCCTGCTACTATTGTCTACGCGGAGCAAGTAATAAAAACCTTTTAAAAATAATGAAGGCCAAATAATGCCCCTTATTATATCTCATACAAAAGGAGTTACGAGTTAAAAAAAAAAAAAAAAAAAAAAAGTACCGCAGCTTAACCTGGCTATGCTTCTACTTTAAACTTTTAAATTAAAGAGTTTCTAGATGCGGATCCTGCTGCAAGTGCGGATAGTAATCTCCAAATCTTAATTACCGTTTATGATCGATGCGGCATGTCATGCTATCATATCATTTCAGAATTAGAAATGAAAGGAGGCGAATGTGGCATAACGCATTATTTTTATTTAAAATTATACATCACATTTCTAACTTGTATGTATTGAATGCTACAAACTAATAATATGATACAGGCTATATGAAATTACAAGGATTCTGCTGCTGCCGTCTCCTTTTCTGCTATACTATTGCAAATACTTTTCTGTCGTTTCTCTTCCAAAAGTAGTCTTTGAATTATGATGTTCATATCATGGCCATGATAATACCGACAATAACCCATAGCCACGCTCCATTGCCATAGCAATTGTCGCCTCTTTTTCCGTTGATGATTACCATTGATCCTGCTGAGAATGGTGGAGATGAGCCGCTCTCGTCTGGATTTTCGGCGCTGCCGCTGCTGCTTGTGGGCTGCCGTTGCTGTATTGCGGAAAACAGCAGATCGTTGAGAGTAGACTTGCATTGCCTTGTAGTACTTGGAGTTGTAAGATGCTTCTTGTTCCTCTTCTAATATCTCCTCTTCTCCTTTGTCTTGAACTGATGACGCTGGAAATCTTGGTTCACTCATGTAGTAATCACTGGAAGAGACAATACCCACCAAAGTCGCTGAGGAATCAAAGGATGGAGACCAATTTTGCACATACTTTTCTTCATCGTAAGCAGCAGCAGCAGCAGCAGCAGTTGCTGCTGTTTGTAGAGGCGTTGGCACAGTAGAGCTTGTTTCTGTCAATGCATCAATATACGCGGTACGCTTTCTCCAAAATTTCTCTACTTTCTGTCTCTCCATACGCACTCGTTTAACCCTGCGTCGTCGAAATCTCCAGGAACAGTAGCGATACAGTAAAAAGCTTATGTAAAATGTGCCTAGACTGACCAAAAACCATGGTGCTATTCTGTTGTATACTCTTGAATTGGCTATCGAAAAAGGTGCATCTTCCATGATGCTGCTTGTGTTCCTTTCCTCATCTACCACACCAATCGTGTCAGACATTTTGCAATGAGATGTTGAAGAAAAGAAGAAGAAGAGTGATGGATGATAGAAGGAGCATTTTTATACTGACATCAGGGACCCTCCAACAGACTGCGTGATGTGTCATGTAATCTGGCATAATTTCTCATCTTAGTGGTTGGAACGGATATGCTATGGAAATAACGGGAAGATTGGCCGAAAATGACAAGACAAAAGCATATGACACGGTACAATAGACGGATGGTCAAAAATATAAAGGAGGTATAAGGTATTTATGTCTCTTTTTTTTTACAGAAATGATGAATATACACAACGAAGAGAGGAAGAGAAAGGGGAAACAGTAATAAAAATAAAAATCAATGCTATTCTGTGATATTATATGTACACTTTTTTTTGTTTAAATTTGATTGATTGATCTATTAACAAAAGGTTGGGTTAGTCATTGTATCACACTATATGCTTTAGACCAAGAAAACTTACCTAGATACACTTTCAAACAATCTTTCAATATCTGTGGCACAACGAGTGAATGAATGATTCCAGAAGCTGTAGCGAGGATTCTTGATCAACTCAATAAAGGTGATCAGCAAGCCCCAAGGATGAGGTCTGTTCACAATGAGACGCTCCAGCAGCACACGGGTGATCTGCTCGTTGACAATTTCCTTGTTGCTCTCTACAAACAAATAGAGGATAACACAGCTAAAATAGTGTGTATGACTATTGGGGTATCGAAGTTGATTGGCAATCGCACTCAGGAACAAATAGCGACCCTCTGAATCCAATTCATTCAACAAGCCCTGGAAAATCTCGATAGGAGGTCCTTGATTGATGGGAATGCCTTCATTGACACCCACCACACCCACGTAAAACACCAAGGCATTCATCATGGGTATATTGTACTTGGTCTTGTCGTCTGGCAGCATGAGACGAGAGGGTAATTTGGCTAGGAATTGATCGTCATTAGCGCCAGACTCTAAATAGGCATCAATCTCTTTTTTCAAATCATGGTGATCGCTCTTGAGGACGGAGGTGTAATCAGACAGGATGTTGGGAGATTGGTTGATTTCGGGTAGCAAGTCCACCTTGAGATTGGGTGTGAATGGATCAGGAAGTCGCATGCTACGAGGAAATGCACTGAGGATGAGGTTACGGAGCTGTATACAAGAGGAGGGAATCACATCACAGAGACTGTAGTGGTAATCGCAGAGGAATTCAGGGAAGTCATGCACCAACACAAGCAGCACTCTCAGCGTGCCACGATACAGCATACGTGTGGTGTCTTTGAGCTGTGTGTTGCGCAAGAAAGGGCCCAAGAACTTGAACAGGCAAATCAACAAGCGTTGGAACGTAGGCCATCCCTATAATAGCTCCAATAATGAATACCGAATTCTTCGCTCTCCAACAAAAAAAAAACATACCTTTTGGTTCTCTGCCAACAGTAATTTGGGCATGAACAAGCGATGGGAAATCAGCTGTAACCAAGCAAACGTGAATCCAGGGAATTGGGATGGCTGCAGTGTATGCAGTGTATTGCTCATGGCTGTCAAAATGGGGATATAGATGGCCTGCAATTGCTGTTCTGCTGCATGAAGATCACTAAACAGACTGGTGAATAGCCTCAAGAAGGGACGTTGATTGAACTGTTGACGACGCTGTTCATGATGTTGAGCAGCCACTAGCACAATAATGGACAGCACCTTGTCAAACAAGGAAACACGACTGGCATCTTGTGCCTCTGTAGCGGCAGTGGCAGGTGTGCCAATGGGCGTAGAGGGAGGCTGCTGTTGCTGTTGCTGCAGCTTTAATAGACTGATGACAAGCTTGGAGAATGCATCAATGGGTTGGTAAGCAAGACCGGCTGACTGGCCGGGCAGCTGCTTATATTTGATGGCATGTTCGATGCTGGTTTCGAGGCAAACTCGGTAAAACAGGGAGGAGACATCTTCCATTTTGAAAATGCCTTGTTGAGACAACTGGGCCACAAAGGCGTTCAGCACCTTGTCCGAAGTCGTAGGATGTTGGTAGATTCTGACCCATTCGGTAAACAGGATGCGCAAATGCTCGCGAAGGCCATGGTCTTCTTCTTGAAATGGTGGCTGTTGCTGGAAAGCCGCTTCATGTTGTTGCAATTGCTGTGTTATCAAGGGTGTAGGTGCTCCAGATGAATTAGAAGCAGATGAAGGTGGTGGCTGTACAGCAGCAGCAGCAGCAGCAGAGGCTCTTCTTCGCATATCATCCATCAATAGCAATACACTGTCAGGTACATTGCCTCTCAACCTACTGAGAGCTTCCAAGGATGCCATGAATTCTTGTCGATTGGCCAATGGCACATCTTCAAACAGGCAGGAGCGGATCAAGCGTGCTGTGAAATCAATAGCACTGACTCTGCCATTATCAATGAGATTCGCTAGTTCTTGGTCTTGCTCAGGTAAATTGATCAGGTTAGCCTTGATCAGAGCAACTGTAACAGGCACATTGTATTTGCGTTCATCGTCTGCATGCGTCAACCACGATGTCACAAGAGCACCTACATTAGGCGCGACATCGCATAAGCGTTCCAGCAAGGCCACATACATTTCACGACCCAATTGAGTCTCACTCTTGTAGAGCAATTGAACCACCTTTTGTGCAAAAGTGCGTGCGGCTTCGGCTTTATCGAAGCTTGACATGGCCAATAGTGGGATTTGACGGACCAATACAATAATATCATGGTGCATAGGTAAGGCGCTAAAACTAGGCGCATTGGTCATACTGACGAGTTTCTCCAGTTCGTTGATGTACTGAGCGAATCTCTCTAGGATTTGATGGGCACTTGCCTGTTGCTGCTGTTGTTGTTGGGGATTGCCAATATCAAAATTAGGAACTACATTGTTGGTATTGTTGCTGCCATAGCCATTCAGGGGTAGCATATCAGGGCGAGTGCGCAATAGACGTTGTTGTTGATCCAAGATAGGCTGTTGTTGCTCCATCATTTGTTTAGCAGATGCAGCAGCGATAGCAGCAGCGGATCGAGGAATGCGGGTAAAATCTTCATACACACGCAACTGGTTTACTTGAAGCCCATTGGGTTTAGGACGCAGAGGCTCAAGGAGCGTAGATGGGTATCGCGACATGGCCAAGACGTTCATATCAAAGTAAGGCTGGGCACTGCCTCGAGGTTGCTGCTCTCTATGTTTCCTACGACTGGCATACGCACTCATCAGCGCTTCATCCACCTCCATCACCACTTTCTCCATGGCCGTCTTTTCAATTACAGAGCACACCAGATCCAAATTATCAGCCACGGTCAACATGGCGGCTTGTTCAGCGACCACTTCAGTCAGACCATTGGCACTAAACAAGGCACGCATGTGATTCACCATACTAGTACGAAGAGGATCTTTGCAGGTCACCATGGCCAAGCTGCCAGCTAAACTCTGTGCCATCAAATGGGCTGCTTTTCTCATCTTGTTCTCGTCTGATTCCATGGCAAAATCCTTGGCAACCAGCTCTCGTGTCGATACAGAAGCGATGGCCACAGATCTCTCCACCACAGGACCAATGATTTCTCGAATGGCTTGCGTAACAGCTTGAAGTACCCAACGTTTGGAGTTGGGCTGCGTGTTGTACATGACAATTTGAGGATTGAAAGTCAAATAAGGACCCAGGTTGGGAATGTTGATGGGTGCACTATCATCGTCATTGTCAGCAGCGGATTGAGGAAGCAAGTTGGCAATGGGAGGGCGACTTGCAGGACCAAAGGGCGAATTCATGTCCATACCATTATCATCCGGTCTAGCCACCACAGCAGTGGTTGTAGGAGCAGCAGTGATGAATCTTCCTCTGGGCTGTCTTGTCTTGAGGACCACAGTAGGTTTGATGCTGCTCAATTCGACCGACAAGCTCTTGCACAGCACTTCAATTTCAAACTTGAGATTCAGCTTGAGATCCGCGTTATGATATAACTCCACCAACAACTTCAAGATGGCCATCACCCAGGGATTAGGAGGAACAAACACCGAGTTCTTGGTACCTTGCTCAAGCACTTTGCACACGAATGGAATCACAACAATCAATCGATTGGTATCATACCCCTCCAGCAACAGCTCTTTGAACGCAATGTATTTCTGAACGATGGGCTTGTTCTGAGCCAATGTCATACCACCCAGCCAGGAACCCAGGTTCTTGAGCAGGGTGCGTTCCGTAGACGAAGAAAGCGTGTTGTCTGAATTCAGCAAGATTTTGATGTTGGCAAATGTCTCGCGCAGGACATGTTGATAGAGCAAAGAACTGTTGACAGATTTCAGCAACAAAATGTACAAGTCGTGGTAATTGGGCTCGATACTAGCACGCTTGACTACCAAGTAGTTACTGAACCATTGATAGGCGGATTGCTGTAGGTTCTCTTTGAGATCAGAGGATTTAACAGCGAGATTGTTGAGTGCAACATTGTTAATAATGAACAGGATCTTGTCCTGCGTGGCTTCATTGGGCACTTGACAGTGGATATTTTCGTCAAACGACATGGGGGGCACATGGATAGCAGCGAAAATAACGGGCGCAGGTGTGGTGACAGCAGTGACAGAGTTGTTGGAGGAGGCAGCAAGTGTGAGCGCTTTTGAGGTGGAGGCAGATTCATTCAGTAAAGCAGAACCTTCATTATGCTGAAGATGCTGCTGCTGTTGTAATTGCTGCTGCTGCTGATGTTGTTGAATGCGTCCCATCTGCATGGATCCCTTTATCAAGTGAATCAAGTCTGGGTTGGCTTGCTGCAGTGTAGGAATCTGCAAGAGATGAGCGCAGTATTGTGGCCATTCAGGTAGACGAGATTGAAACTGAGCGAGTGCCTGAAGACCAAAATTGTACATTTTGGAGCCGGGTGCATTCCCCAGGGCATCTAAGACACATCTGAGAGCAATACCAAGGGGCGCATAAGACACTAGTTGGCTCTGGATCAATGAGCCAAATAAAATGCTGGTGATGGCTAGTTCCTTGTCAGGATACTTGGGAAAGAAATGGTACTCGTCAAACAAATTGTGGATCATGCACGCAAAAATATCCTGTTCACGGGCGTCGCTAGCAGTGCTAAATTGCGTCAATTTGTCAATCATGTCCTTGATGGAGATCTCGCCGCTGTAAATGCGTTCGTAGTAAGAGTTGGCTTCGTCCTCAATGTCCTGCTTGAATGTTACATCGCCTGTGGTTGCAGCTGCAGTGATGGATTCGGGTGACATGTGGTGGTGCTCGTTGCTGTTGACGGGTGGTGGTGATACGACTGATTTCTGCGCAATCTGAACGTACGTGTTGTGGATATCGCTAAGTAACCCCTTTTCTTGCATGGACAAACTAGTGCATTGAATGAGTCAGCGTTGCCATGACAACCCCTCCACTCCCACTAGACTATAAACTTACCTGTCTGAAATGGTCTTGATAAAGACATTCACAACATCCATAGAGAGAGGCACCGTCATTGGCGCAGAGCTGGATTCCTGTCGAGCCAGCTCAGCTCTCACCTTGTTGCTCAAAAATTTCAAGCAAGCTTGCGAAAATACAACGCCGTGCTCCTTGATTTTGTCTTGCAGCCATTTTTCCAGGTTGAGATATTCACGACGAGTAGCTAAGGCTGCTAAATCAATGGTGAACAAGAAGGGTTGAATGTCGAGGATAGTAGGAAGAATCTGCATTGCATGTGTTAGTATCATTGTGTATATTATTCTTCATAATTTTACCTTTAGCTCATGAACAAAAGCTAGAATACGAGTCAGTGATGTGGGTTCTTGGCTGTACAGATCGATGATGTTCTTCTTGAACAAGTCTGGCTTCACTTTCCAGAATTTAGTCATCACTAAAACACTGCTGGTGTTGCCTGCCAGGTAAAAGTTGATCAATTGATTCAACAGGTCTTGGTGAACGGCATTGGCAATGGGCTAGTTGGTAACAGTGGATGAGATACACACTCCAGTAGACACAAAAACACAACTTACGTCAATTTGAAGCAATCCCATAAACAACAATTCAGGCACCTTTTTGACCAAAATCTTCTCCAGCAGAGCTTTAGCGTCTTCAGCAACAGAGGAATCGGCAAGTTGAATGATGCGTTCAATAAGGTCGAGTGAGTTGAGTTGATCGGTCACTAATTGCGACACAATGGAGCGAATATGGACGCTGGATTGGGCAAAATCATCTAATGCAATGACGGTCTTGTTGGAACAACGAATACAGTTGACTAAATCGGTAGGTGCAATGGCGATTTGATACAAGGCGGTGAGTTGCCCCTTGACGTTATCCCATTTACCAAAGAAGACATTGGCAGGGAAACAATTGTTGTTGCTGGGACACGATTTCCATGCTCGCACTAATAGATCCAGTCCTTTCCCATCAAACAAGAAAAAATGAGGGTAATCGAGGCATTGATATACTCTGAGCCAATTCAATTCGGGTGCCTATACAGGGACAGTTAATATGGTCCTGTCTAGTCTCATGCCGAAAAACGCTTTACCTTGTCAGAGACGACATGGACAAAATTCTCCACGTTCCAAGTCGTCATCTCAGTCAAGACATTGTTACTATCTGCTGAAATGCCAACACCCGCCATATTACTATGTGTTCGAGCCATGCTACCCAATACCTCGGCCACATCTTTTTCTTCAATGGATGTTACATTATCAAGTAAATCTCGAACAGATTGCACTGTACTGCAGCATTCGTAACCAGCCTCCAATATCAGTTTGAGTAGTTTGCTTTCGGTGTCATTATTATACTCAGTCATAGTTAGCGTTTACTCTGTAAAACACGTTAGTTGCACATTCCATTTAATAGGTCATTATTTGTACCTATTTAACTAAGGTTGTTGATCTTTCAAATGGATTGATTTTCTTGATCGCTTCTCGCTCGTTATCCTTTTTTATATATACGATTAAGGATTCTTATATATATATATATATCTTGATGAAATATAAAAAAAAAAAGGTAAAAAGGCTATTGAAATTAAAAGGGGAGGGGGGTTGCTCGAGGAAACCTTTTCACATTTGAACTCTGGGCATACGGATAGAGTCACAAAGAAAGGGTCACCCACACCTTTGACCAGCGAAATTGAAGTCGAATGATGGCATTGTTGCCAATGAGATAAATTCAGTGGCACTAGCTCTTTCATAATCTGTTTGATTTGGGCATTGTCTTGTTCAATCATGTTAGAATTAAAGACACATTGAGTTTGGCGACATTTCAAGGCGGTTCCAACTCGACCTAATGTTGACAGCCTGCGTACCTCTGTTAAACTTAACCAGTCAGATTATACCCACCTTTCCACTCATGTGTATGGCACTCAATCTCTATCAGCCCGAGCTTTTCAAGCATTAAGAAAATACACCACAGCATTATGTTCGTACTTTCACATCACCAATTTCTTTTCATTATTAAAACAATAGACAAATGGGCTGCAATCAAATAATAGTGATATGATAGAATCACATACGGACAACAAACTAAATGAGCTTGCAAACATGAAAAGAAAAAAAATACAAAGAAAGGAATAATGTATATAATATAAATGTAAATGAATCAATGTCTGCGCTTTTGTCTTTTGTTGATCAAGCTCTGATTGCTGTCGTCAAGTCCTCACGATCAAAAAAATAGCTTGAAAAAATGGATTCATTGGCATCACAGATATGGAAGACCGTCGAGCTTCTGACCGAACTGAAGCGAAGGCAGAGAACCAACCTGCGCTGCTGCAGCTCGTGCCACTGGTTGCTGCTCTTGCGTATCTTATCAAAATACTGCTATTTTCATTTTGACCCTCCACTTACACATAAAAACCCTTCATATTATCTGTGGATCTGATTCTTATGTGATACTCTACATCCATATACACGTAGCTACTTCATATATGGGCAAGTATCATAGAGATATTATCCCTTTTTGGTCAATAGTGCGTCTAATACAGCAAAATCTGGGCGCATTTGAGCTGCGTTTTCTTGCGTTCAAGGCCGTTTTAGATGATCAGAATAGCACCAAACAGTTGCTCTCATCTGGCAGTTACTTGTTGACCCCTTTGCTCAACTTTTTGAGCCATAAAAAAAGGTCAAAAATCGACCAAAAAGCATGAGGTACCCCTCATGGTTTTCATTGAAAATCAAACGATCGCGTTTTTCACCTTGATAATGAAGACTTTTACTATAGTACATATTAAATCAAAATGTGTCCATCAACCTAACGTAACCCCTGAAATCATCTTTGTGGGACCTTGATATGTAAAATTTCGACTTCTTGGCCAGAAACCTCTTTTCATATTTTCATAAATTGCTCAATAGGTTTATTCAAAACATCAATCTTATTTGGTACCATTGGATGCGCCTCGAAAAGCACTCGAAGAATGTATTCGGAAGTATCATATGGTAAATACCATTTTTATAGTCAAATATCGCAAAATAGATTAAAGAAGTCGATAACAATTGAAATGTGGCCAATAATGAGCAGAATAAATAACTGAGTTTGAATGAGATTTGGCGGCGGCGGCGGGCTGCGGTGCTGCTGGCTAGCCCAAATGTCTTTCTGATGATGACAACGTTGATTGCGATGCTGATCAAATGTGGATCATGGAGTTAAAAGAACAATTGCTTGCTTTGCTCAACTGTAATAACCATTTCAATTTAGGCGTGCATATTCCCCCGCTTAAAAGCAGCATTTTCAACGCTGACTATCTCGTCAATTATGCCTTGCAATTCTCTAAAACTCTGGTATATATATATATATATATATTGCTATATCAAATTTCCTATCAATATCTAACACTAGATGTCTTGGGCTATTCGTAGGTCCTTTGGGAAAATCATCATGCTAATCATGATTCACAAATCGTTCGTTGGATAGATAGTAAGCCCTACTTGTATTATAGCTCATCATCATGCTGCAGACATTAGTGCAATAAAAACTATATAAATGAATCCTCTGAATGCATTCTCAATAAAAGTGTAATTTTTTGGCAGATTCAATTTTGCATTGTACTTTAACATAACATTTTTTCATCTGTATCACATTTGTTAATTATTCCAGCATATGACCATGCAATGGATAATATTTAAATGTTCAGGCACTTGGTTATACTGTATTACAAGAAGCTAGAGGTGCGATTCCTTTTGCAAACGCAACATTTGCAATTTTCTCGGTTATCGTGAGATGTTTGCAGCTTTTATACATTGTACGGTAGACGGTAATAATCTCTAAGGCTGTGCTTTTGAAATTTGAGCTAAGAATGCAATGATATATTTTTTTTTTTTGCTCTTTTAGGATTTGATAACCTATACCAGCCCGCTACACCATGATGATTGAAATGAGAGAATTGATTAAAGAATACAATGCATGACGCTTTTCTAGACAAATCATTGTATGTTCATAATCAAATGGAATCGTAAGTATAGGGAGATCCATTCCTAATAAAATCCACCACCGATATGTAGTGTGTGTGTGTGTGTATGTGTGTGTGTGTGTGTGTGTGTGATGATGATGATGATGATGATGATGATATTCTAGAAGCAGGTCCAAGTTGTAAAAAGCAGCGAATCTACGACCATTTTACAAAAGGAAGGATCTTTCCTGCTATCAGATTCTACATAATCAAGCTGATGGGACTCACAAAGTGTGTCTGCGATTGGCCTGCACCGTGTCACGCGCAATTCCAAAGCATCCAGAGGATAGACGAGTTTTTCCTTCTTGACAGTTTTGCTAGAATGCAATTTGGTCCTTGTATTCATTGCGGGAGAATTATTCTTTTAGCTAATGGTGCTCGAGCATGCGGCACATGTCATATCCTATCCACAGCCGAACGAGAGCAAGAGGAGAACGAGGTATTTCATTCATTTAGCATAGTATCATTGTTGTCTGTGGAAGATTTTTGGGGTGCATGCATTTAACCTATTAATAGCAGATGACAAACGATGAACACTATCAGCAACGGAACAGTGATAATCATAATGATAGATATGATCTAGAATCGAATGTTGTTCATTCAGATCGACGTGATAACCGTACAGCTGCCGCAACAACAACAACGACAACAACAACAACAATAGCAGCAGCAGCAGCAGCAGTGATAGATAACATGACAGATATACCCAATGTCATGGATCTTCAGACAACGATTGGTCGAGAAGATTTGCCTCAAATGTTGCAGCGATTCTTGAGGTAGCTTTTCTTTTACACATGTTTTACACCTCGCGTGATATACTCATTTAATCATGATGACACAGCTATTTTGATCCAAATGACAGGTAGACTGCTTGTTCGTACATGAGTTATGCAATATGGCATTTACTCTTAAAACTAGTCAACAAAAAGGAGCTTCAGATTCAGAGATAGCTGCATTAGATAGACGTATCTTGGGTGTAGATGATATAGGTATCTAAAAAGACAGGAAATCGATCAAGTGTATAAACTCAACCTACGAAATTAGAATGTGGGACAGAGTGCGCCATTTGTACAGAGTTATTTGAGAGGATGGAATTAGCTAAATTACCCTGCAATCACGAATATCACTCGGAATGCATCCTTCATTGGCTTCAGCTAAACTCATCTTGTCCTATGTGGTAAGTATATATATATATATATATATAAACGTGAAATGTGGCATGTTTATTATTGATTGATTTGATTATGCACCATGATACATAGCCGACAATCCATATCAAACCATGAGCAGCAGCAGCAGCAACAACAACAACAACCTATAGCACCGACACAAAACGAGCCTGATTTAATCATTATGCGAAGAGAAATGGCAGACAGAATGTATCTAGAAAATGCACCACTGCACTACATGGACGATGTAGATTGATCCAAATATACGTGTACCCTAAAAGGGGTATATTTTTCCCACCTTTTTGAAAGAATGCCCCGATTGTTCCCATATTACATAAATCACCTTATGGCAGCAGACAAGCTTGCCATGTAGTGTTGACCAGCTGTTACTTTTGTATGCACTATCAAATAAATCTAAAAATGCATACCCGATTCAAACAAGAGACAGTCTCTTATACTGTCTAAATCATCATTTACAGCATGCAGTCCACTGTAGAAAGGACATTTACCCCAGAGTTTCTTGGGGTTGGATAATATGGGAAACCCAAGCGAGGAGATTTATACAAAAATGTCAATGAATTATACCCTAATTTCTGTCAAAACTGTAAATAAAGGAATCAGGGTCGTACGGATTAATAATGGTGAATGTCCCTTTCTTCCCCACAAAATTTGCTTGGTGCTTGTCTCCCTTAAATCATGAATAAGCCAAATACAACGCCAGCTTGCTTATCTGATTCGTAGATGTTTAGAATGACAGAAAAAGATCCCCTCAGGATATAAAAAGAATTGGCTTTTTGACTTTTTGACCCTCTTTCTTTTACTAAGCATTACATTGCTTTTTTCAACATACAAACATAAAATGGCTCCTTCTTCCTACATTGCTGCTGCTGCAGACACAAACCAACAACATGCTCCTCAAAAATCGCTTAAATACATCTCTGGTTATGACAACGAAGGTAAGATGGCATCTTGACATACGCATGACGTGCATGAAGCTGATGAAAAATTCAATGTATAGGCACTGCTATTGAACAACAAAAGCGTAAAGCAATGGGCTTAACAGGTCTGTTACCCTCTGGTATTGAAACCATGGATATCCAAAGACGTCGTGCGTTACAGCAAGTCAGATCGAAATCCACCATGCTCGAAAAATACATCTTCTTGGCTCAATTGAGATCCTCCAACACTCGTCTGTTTTACAAGATTATCATGGACGATTTACAAGAGTTTGCTCCTGTTATCTATACCCCTACTGTCGGTACTGCCTGCGTCGAGTACTCCAACATTTACCCCTTTTTGGCTGGTCCCGGTGTCCCTGATGGTTTGTACATTGACTCTACCGACCTTAAGAACCTCAAAGAGACTATTGCCAACTACAAGCCTGTGCCCAACTTTTCCCCTGAAATTGCTGTTATTACTGACGGTTCTCGTATCCTGGGTTTGGGAGATTTAGGCAGCAACGGCATTGGTATTAGTATTGGTAAATTGCAATTGTACGTCGCTGGTGCTGGTATTGATCCTCGTCGCACATTGCCTATTGTCTTGGATTTGGGCACCAACAACGAGAAATTGCGCAACGATGATTTCTACCTCGGTCTCCGTAAGCCTCGCCCTGCCGAAGACGAGTTCTACGCCACTGTCGATACTGTACTCAGCACCATCCACGATGTGTATCCCAACTTGCTCATTCAATTTGAAGATTGGTCCAGTGAACATGCGTTTGGTCTGCTGGAAAAGTACCAAGAGAAGCTGGTGTGTTTCAATGACGATATCCAAGGCACTGGTGCAGTCATTTTATCTGGAGTCATTAATGCTATCCGCAAGGTACAAAAGGAGGATGGTGTGTTACCTAAAGATCATCGCATTGTCTTTTATGGTGCTGGTTCTGCTGCTATTGGTGTCGCACGTCAAATCCAAGAATACTTCCAGTCTGAGTTTGGCATGTCTGAAGAAGAAGCCAGACGTGTATTTTGGATTGTGGATTCCAAGGTATGTATACAATGAGAAACAGTAACTACTCTAGTATGGGATACTTATATAAAATGCAGGGTCTTGTAACTCTGAACCGTGGTGACAGATTGGCTCAACACAAAATCTATTTCGCCCGCGATGATAATCAAGATCAGCAATACAAGGAGTTGATTGACATTGTCAACTATGTTAAGCCCACTGCGTAAGTTGTAAAAAAAAAAAAAAAAAAAACTTGGCGTGAAACATGTAGGGGGTTCAGTTACTGATACATCCTTATAGCTTAATTGGTTTATCCTCAACACCTGGCGCATTCAACACACAAGTCCTCAATCGTCTTGCGTCTATCAACAAACAACCCATCGTATTCCCCTTATCGAATCCTGCTACACAGGCTGAATGCTCATTTGCAAAGGCCATGGAGGCTACAGAGAACCGAGTTATCTTTGCATCAGGCACAGCATTCCCCAGCTACACAGTTCAATCCACTGGCGAGGTGCGTATTCCTGGTCAAGGCAACAACATGTACATTTTCCCTGGATTGGGTTTCGCAGGTGTGCTGGCTAAGCCTACCATGATCTCTGACGGCATGATCTACAGCGCTTCCAAGGCACTGGCTGATTCGCTCACAAGCGAGGAACTACGTCAAGGCTGGCTGTATCCTTCTCTGATCCGTATTCGTCAAGTATCTGCCATTGTTGCCGCTGCTGTGATTGAGCAATCTATCAAGGAGGGTCTTTGTCAAAGAGAGCAAGAGCTCAAGCCATTGAGCCACAAGGAGCTCCTGGATTACGTTACAAGTGAAATGTGGACACCCACACAAGAAGGATACGGATCTCTGCCATCATCTATTTAGAATAAAAAAAAAATTTGTTTCATGTTAATTTCAAAGCAACTGACACAAAGTCTATCGCCCAGCTAATTGAAACGGATACTTTCGGCTGTATTTATTTGATGTGTTTCCAAATGCTTCTACCATAATGATGTCAGATATACCCTTAAAGCCGGTTTTAATTTTACATCTCGTCCCAAAAAAAAATCTTTTTCTTCCTTTTTCTCCTTCTTTATTTTTTTTTTCATATTGTGCGTCTGTGTACTCGTGGTGTAACCTCTTTCTTTATATACAATGATCATCCTTAGACATAACAGCTTACTAGCAGACGATCTATTTGCCATCGAGACAGTAAGTGAGCCAGCGGCAACACAGCAGTAATACAAAAATTAAGGTTAAGGTTTAATTTCATTGTAGATAATGCTCAAGATATCAGATAACCCCTATCAGTACGCCTTGGACTACTCGTTACATGGAAAACCTCGCAGTGAAGTCTATGGCTTCATTGCTGGCATTTTTAAGCGTATAGGCGTATGTCAAACACTGGGCACCACTACATCGGACTTTCTCGACTTGCTCATCGACATTGAAAGAGAGTACAACGATAATCCCTACCATTCATTCTATCATGCTGTTGATGTAGCCATGGTCTTGTATCATATGCTGGAAGAATATGGCATGTCTGAATATCTGAACCCATTCGATCTGGCCATGTTGATGCTGGCAGCACTGTTTCATGATATTGGACATGTAAGTTGCGTGGGACACATACACTCATGAGCGAGCTCTAATGCGTTGAATATAACAGCCCGGCAACAACAACAACTTTGAAGTATCTTGTCGCACAGAAAGAGCTTTGCAGTACAATAACCTATCTGTGTTGGAAAGCCATTCTTCCACCATTGCATTGCAACTTCTCGAAAAGCACAACTACCTAAGACACGTTGAGAGCAAAAGCCGAGAATATGGATGCCCCATGACCCAAGAAGAGTTCAAATCATCCATAGTTAAAATGATCCTCGCCACTGACATGGTCTGTCATTTCACACTCAAAGACAACATTGCCATTTTACGTGATAAAATCGAAAGCTCATCTCAAATGCAGCAACTCTTTCAGAACACTGTATCCATCGAATCAACACTAAAGCCATTATTCAGTGCTTGCAACGATCCGTTTGAATACTTTAAATCAAATTATTTCAGTCAGACAACCACGGCAGCAACTACCACCACGACTACAGCGGATAACACGACAGTGCTGAACAAGAACGAACGACTCATGATGTGCAACATTCTGATACACGCTGCCGATGTGAGTAATCCATGTCGCCCATGGACCGTTTTTTATCAGCAATCTCGCCTCGTCTGTGTAGAATTCTTTCGTCAAGGTGAACAGGAGCTCAGCCTCGGCCTGCCCGTCTCGCCCAACATGGATCAGAAGATTGCCAATCCCTCCAAAATTAACGTCGGCTTTATCGATTTCATTGTCCATCCTTACTTTGAGGCACTCTCTGAACTGTATCCCAAGAGTATAGAGCTGGTAGACACATGCACCAAAAATCGACAGGAATGGCTCGATTTAGCAACAGAGACAATCCATGATGTCCATGGCATTCCATCCATCAAATCGACATTGGGGACATTCCCTCCCCCTGCTACCACCATGACCATCGCGGCTGGCACGGTCCAAATTCCTGATGCGATCATGCAAGAACGAGCCAAACTCTTACTAGCTTTTAAGCGAAGTGTCAGTCTGAATAGCGTGCCACAGCAGCAACCACAGCGGCTATTAACACCTCCTTTGATGCCAGCTAAGCGACGAAAAAGTGAAGAGGTGGCTAGTTTCAGCATATTGAGGCAAATACATCATACTCGATCATCTTCGATCTCCAAGAAACGTAGAAAGAGCGAAGAATTGAATCTGTACATGCTAAACCAACCCAAAATGGTATCATTTTTCGAGTGATATATTTGTGTGTTCATAATTGTAAATATGTCTTTACCCCCCCCCCCTAGCCCTTCTTTTTTCTCTCCAGCAATGTAAATAGAAATTCTTGTATAAAATTCGAGCACCCATCTTACCATACTCCACTCTTATTTTGGCATGCCTCGTTCAATGTTGAATCAATAAAATGCCTACTGCAATTATTAAATTTAGAGTGCGCTATTGTACCTTGATGGTTCAACGTCGATGCATAGTGGTATCCATGGCAACCCACTGAGCTGAATTGCCTTGTCAATAGGAGACTGTGGATAAGTTTCTGAATAGTCGTGTTAGTGTATGTATATGCGATTTTAGCCTGGAAAACGATAACAAAAAAAAAGGTGATTAACGTGCCTCCTGATTGTGTGTGTGTATGTATATGCGCATCAACATGTTGTGTGGCTAAATACAGTTTGCGCAAGAGAGTCAGGGGTTCTCAAGCGACAATCAAAACGAAAAGGAGTATGCAAAAACAGAGTAGAAATGTCCATTTTAGTAATATAAGGTTGCACTTGACATTTTTTCAAATGTTGGCAATGTGTATATTTGTGGGGTAGTAAAGCAATAGCATCCATCAATGAGTCAAACCCGTAAAATGAGTGATCAGGCAGATGTACCTATTTCAAATATCACTAGTCATTTAGGCTGTTTACCCAGGATAGCGAATACGATAGCCAATGTAGTATGATGTATACGGTTTACAGATTGGAATCTTGGTATTGGATGTGTTGAGAAGTAAGTAAAAGAGAGAGTAAGGAAAAGGGAGAGAGATAGGAGGAGAATTTCATTGTCTTCCATTGGATGGTAAAGATAATAGCCAACAGCTGCATCTGCTGCTGCTGCTACTTTACCACCATGACAACAACACAATGTACATTCCATACATCCACCATCTTCCCCCCCAACCCTTGCGCTCCACTATTTTTGAAATGCTCATTGCCAATGTCTCTTGCTCTTCTTCTCTTTCTTCTTTTTACAGAATGACAAGATGACAAGCCAACAGGTGATACAAACCATCATACAACAACACAAGATACCAAGGCAATGCATTCCGTTGCTTGCAGTATTTATTATAGCAAAGACACCTACTATTCTGCTGGCAGGATTCGTATTAGGCTATTTCATGCTATTTAAACAGGACACTGAGCAAAGGACGCCCAAGCTGATAGAAGCACCACCTCAGCAGCAGCCTACACCTCGTGCCTCTTCTTTAGATTACGATAATGAACCACACTATGCATCCATTAACCATGCTGTGCTCACACACGAACAAGATCAGCAAGATGATGTTTCCAATGCCTCTATTGATTTTGAAAATCTCTTGAAATTCCCTTCTTGTCCAACTACATTACCAAGGTTAGACACCCATTTTAATTTCGTCAGTGATGATTATCACCAGTTGCAGCAGAACAATTCCGTCGATTGGTCTGCTATACACCAAGAGCTTGAATATGACCAACAAAGAAATGCTAAGCCCCCTACAGCGACCATGGAAAGAGAACCACAGCACCCTTTATACATATCTCCATCACAAAATGACTTGCTCACATTCTCCTCTGCATCTTCGTCCTCTTGCTCTGATGCTGATGTCTCTTCTTTGCTGTCATTAGAGTCTACTCGCATGCTGAAACAGACAACAGTGACAAGCCCCAAGACCCCTTTACCGCTCAATGACAATAGTACAGCAGCTATTTTGCTAGTGGATCAACCCCAAGACCATCTTACACTGCTGTCACCACCACCATCATCATCAGCAGAGATGTCGACTACATCTTTTACGAGCCATATCAACAACATGGCATTACTGGATGATATAGTATTACTGCCAGCACCAACACCACTACCAAAACCCTCGTTATCAAGTCCAGGACAATTATTCAAAAGCAAGTTTCAAAAGGCTGTCAACAAGATGAAGAAAGCGAATTCCAACAGTAGTGATCAGAGCAGCAACAGTAATAGTAGAAGATCAAGTACCATTAGTCAAGATAGCTTCGCTACCAACAGAAAAACAAGTTCGCTACAGATACAGGCCTACTTTCCTCCTCAGCAACAACCCCATGGGTCACCAAGGCCATCCGCCTCTGCACGTTTAAATGAGCACTTAAAGGGTCGATTTCATAAACTATTCAAGAAATAAAGTCATTATTTAATTAATTATCAAAACTTGCTTGAAAATCTGCTACATTGGATTCAACAACTTGCAAAATTTGCTTTTGCTCGTCTGCTGAAAGTGGTATATCGATCAAATGTTTGATGCCTGTATTGCCCAGGACCACAGGCCAGGAGAGGCAGCACTCGTATTTGGGTACATTGACAGACAGTACCCACACTTGATTCTTGGCTGCTGCTGCTGCTGCTGTTGAGGTAGCGTCATCTACAGCAGTAGTGGTAGTAATAGAGGTCTTCATGATGGCATGGACAAGTCGAGTCGCTGCGGATGCTTCACCAAACCAAGCTTTTCCTTTACGTTCACATATCAAATAACGTCGATGATTGGATACTACTTTATTGCAAGCAGTACGTTGAGCAAGCAGGTTGGGTAAGGTAGATGCTGGCATACCATCGACTTTGGCATGATGCCACGCAATGACAGGTGAATGCTGTGTTCCAATGCAGTAAGCATCTGTGATCTCGGCAGGTGTAACAGTAGCAGTTGTGGACATCATTTCTCGCAGCCAAACAACAAGTCGATCGGTTGCCATGGCAGTGCCTAATCCAAAGATGCGATTTGGAGATACATGTGGAAAATAAGACTGCAATGATTGCACGTACAAGTCCACTGGATCGCTGGTCACCAAGATCATGATATCGGCATGCACAGGGGACATGCTGGAGGCGATGCTCAGTAACAAATGTCGACTTCGTTTGAGCCATTGCTGTCGATCTTTGTCCATGTCGCCGGGCGGTGTATCTGCTGTCATTATGACCAAGGTGGATTGACCAGCTTCTTTAAAAGTGCCTGCCCGAATAGTTGTTGTGCTCTGTACTTCTGCTAAATCCAAAACTTGTCCTTGCACAATGTTGTGCGACATGTCCACCAGCAAGATCTCTTTGGCGGTGTTTGTCAGCAGGAGGCTGTAGGCTATTGTGCCGCCCAATGTGCCTGCTCCAATGATGGATACACGGCCAGGATGGTGCACCATGGTTTACAAGATTGTGTATGTATGTGGTGTAAAAAGAGAGGAGAATATTCAGAATCAATGGAGAGACAAAAGGAAAAAAAAAAATAAGAAAAAAAAAAGAAAAAGAAAAAGAAAAAGAGGGATGGATTGGAATCCACCCTAGGATAATTTATGCCACATCACAGCAGACATGCGAGATGGATGGAGAGTGTGAATTCTAACGTATTATATCTTTTCAAACCACATGGAACAAAGCGTGGTATAATCAATCATACGAGATATATATCCACTTGTTTTGTAGCAGTGAATAGAAATGCAATGATGCTTGCAATGACATTGTTACTGGCTCTTGTCGTTGCTTCGGTAACTCGAGGCCAAATGTCTTTGACATCAATATCCTCGGGCTAAATTGACCATGTATATATAAAAGCACAACAGTAGTTTGTTTGCACTATTTCTATTTATTTTTATTGCTCAACAAATATCGCTTTACAATGGTCCATCAACTAGGTGTTGTAGCATGCTCTACTGCTTTGCTATGGGTGATGATGGCCGCAGTGGAAGCTCAACTCAGTCATCTAAAGTAAATCCGAAACGTTGCATTGATATGGCCTCAATGCTGATGATCTTTACTGTTATACACTAGCGTCGGTCTTGATTACATCCAAGGAAGTCGCATGAACACACCCGCAAGAGTCAAACGAGCGCTGGCAAAATACGGTATCGTGGATGAAAAGATCAACTCACGTTTAAACTCTGCCAGCAATGCCGCTATTGAGCTCTTTAGCGCTTATGTGGATATAGAGTACATTGGCGAGATTGGTATAGGCACGCCGCCACAGAAATTTAATGTCGATTTCGATACAGGCAGCTCTGATATATGGGTTCCCTCCTCCAGATGTGGATCCAGCTGCAGCACGCACCGTCGATTCAATGACTCCAAATCATTCACTTACAAGGGAATGGGCAACGCGACGTGGCACTTATCTTATGGTGATGGCTCCAGCGTGAGAGGATACACTGCTTTGGATACTGTGCATCTCGGCAATGTCACTAAGCATCAGCAGTTCATCGGTTTGGTCAGTCAACAGACACCTGAATTCGCATCTGACAAGTTTCTGGATGGCATCTTTGGCTTGGCTTTTCCTCCTTTGGCTTACACGGGCATCAAGGCTTCCATCGTACAAGATTTGCATATGGATGGTTCGATTCCTTCTCCCATTGTCAGTTTCCATCTCGGACACAATCGTGATGGTGGCAAGGGAGAGATCGTAAGTAGATATTCATTGGATGGCGAGCATGCATTCTTACTCTTATTCCACTAGTTGTTTGGCGACATTAATCAGAACCATTTCGAAGGTGAACTCAAGTATGTCCCCGTTACAGTGAAAAAGTACTGGCAAGTCGACATGACAGGTGTTGAAGTCGGCGGTACCAACGTACTTGCTTCTACCATGCCTGCTATTGTAGACACTGGTACCACACTCATCATCGTGCCCAGTGCCGTCTCCCAAGCGATCCATGAGGCGATTCCTGGCGCTGAGTATGATCCCATGTATGGCTGGCGTATGCCTTGTGCTTTTGCAGAAGACAGCTCTACCGAATCCATCAACATCAAGCTGGGAGATCAAGACTTTCCACTGTATCTTAGGGATTTGGTAAGAGCCAAGACATCTCCACCCTCGTCTTCTGGTAAAGACGGGCTCTGTTATTCCGGTGTTGCTGAGGCCAACACGCCACTTATCATCTTGGGTGATACATTCCTACGAAGCTACTACTCGGTCTATGATTTTGGAAACGCCCGTATTGGCTTAGCTAGAACAAAGCCTTAATTCATATAATACACATGTTTATTATCTACTAGTCCATTCAACGACGTTTATTACTGTTATTCTTTTGAGCTTTTTGTATCTTTTCACGGACAGAGGATTCCTTCTTCTTTGTTGCGGATACGCTGTTGGTAGATGTTGCTGCTGCTACGGCCTTTTTGTTGGTGATGGTTTTGCCATACTTGATCAATAATCGCTCCTCGACATCCTCCAAATCCCACACATGAGGTGTAATAATGACATTCTCCTTTTCAGCCAAAAACATCTTTCTAAAATCTTGAGGCTGGCCTGGTTGAGCACCACCCATGCCAGGCATCATACCAGGCATGGAACTCATGGCTGTCATGTCCACACCAGCTGCATTATTATCACCCAAAATCAATGAAAATACACTACCGAGACCAAACAAGTTTAGGAAATACCAAGAGAGAGAAGACACCCACGTAACATCCATATCGCGCGTATCCACACCACTTTGCAGCATTTGCTTGAATCGAGGTGTCAAGGGAAAAGGCAATTTAATCACCACGAAGCCTTGGAAAAAGAAATTGATCCATCCCATAATCACCATTTGAGGCACCATGTTGGTGAGTTGCTTCTTCATGCCTTCCATCATGCCCTCCATCATGTCTGGATCTGCCATGGGATTCGCAGGTGCAGCGCCTTCCTTGTTGGCTTCAGGATTCTTGAGATATTTGCCCTTTTCAAATGCGTCGGCTAAATAGGCTTTGCGAACTTGATATGCGTGCTGAGGGATGTTGTTGCCTACTGTTCTTAGACGTAAACCACGCAACAGTGCTTTTCTAGAGTGATGCGTTTACATGGTGAATTCTTCCTCCCTCTTCTGTGTCCAAGCTACTTACGATTCGCGGATGGCTTTCAGTTGGGGCGCCTTTGGTGCACCTGTAATGAGCATTGTAATGTGGTGACGAAGGATGCCTACAAGAACCATGACAAAGAGAATAGGTATCAGAACCCAATCACGGATTGCTTGTCCAGAGATGTGTGTTAATATCGCGTTGTTGTATCATTCAACACAAGTGTGCATACCAGGATCCAAAATCATCCTTTGTCTAATTAGAGATGTTAGCAGAGCCATTCACACAAGCATAGGCTGCCACACTTACGAATCTGCCATTTGAATTGTGTGTGCTTGTAAATGTTTATGTGCACAAAGAAAAGAGTAAAAAAGAAATGAGAGCCGCTTGTTGAATTTATTATCAACGCAATTTAAGCTCTGCAAGAGGCTCAACATCCGAGTCTGAATAGGATCGTCGTAATTCAATGGCACCATTCAAGGTGAAATGGGCTCAAAGACACAATGTGCTTGCAGTATTTTATTTAGAAACGAATCGTTAGAGAAAGGAATGCAGCATGTGCTGCTTGTAAATAAAGGATATCAATACGAATTATAAAAAGAAGGGTATTATGAACATCAGTGTCTTGCAAACGAGAAAGGAACTTTGGCAGATCTACCTTCTCCATCATCGACATACAATGCTGCTGCCTTTCTCTTCTTGTCCTGTAGGCTCTTGGTATTCGCCAGCATTTCCTGCTTCACCTTCCATGTGATTTCCAGTAATGGGATGAAATCTGAAGCGATTTCAGTGATGTCCTGTGGGAAAGGGAAAGTTGCAGATCGAGTTATCCTGGTGATTGAACTCGCACAAGGAACATCAACTATCAACACCTGGACATTCAAACCTAAGGGGTTCTGTGAATACAGCTGATTAGCAATCGTCATTTATTTCCTCACTTACCCGTTACCAGGAAGCCGAATGTGCGCAGATTATTTGCTTTGTCAGGGTTATTGGTGATTTGGACGCAAAGCATGTCCTTCAAGGTCTTTGGTAACTGCATGTACCCGTCCTCCAGGTACTTGTCATTTACTACTGTGATACCATTCTTGCCCACTTCACAGCAGCCTAACTCTACCTGCACATACTTGCATAGGACATCCACCTTTGCACTGACTATTTTTCTCGCTCTCTTCTGCTCCGCCTCCAAAGAGAGTCTATCATTTCGCGCAATTGCCGACGCAACACTGCATCTCTCACCAAGCTTTGCTTCGATCTCCCCTTGTTCATACAGCTTGTACAGGAAAGGCCAAACCTTGAGGAGTAAATCAGCCTCTGATGAATCATTCATATTCAGGCCGTTTTGCTTCAAGAACAACCTGGAGACATCCAGCATAGCATTCTTCACCCAGTCTTCGTCGTATTGATGCACAGGATGATATTTGAGGCTGCTTGCATAGTCAAATAACGCGACACCACTTTTCCAGTTCTTGTTAAAGCCTTCCAGACAGTCCTCCATGTTGGGGGGGGGCAAAGCGACAAATTCTTGTCCTCGGTAGAGTTTGATTTCTTTGCGTTCTTCTTGATTAAAACGCGTGGCCCAGACAGGGTCATCAATGTCAAGTATCATGCTGTGGACGGGATGTTCATACACAGCAGTGGCGGCTAGAGCACGCATAGTGTCATTCACGTTTTTTTTGAGAGCATTGGAGCCTCCATTTCTTGCTTTCTTTCACGGCATCATACTGCAAGAGAACGCGCTCTCTTTCCGTATCGGTCAATTTGTAATTCGCCTTGGAGCTGGTGGAGGATGCGGATGATACTGAAGTTGAGTAGGAAGCAGAGGGAGAGGCAGCAGATGACGATGATGATGCTAAAGCTTGAATGGATGCTTGATTTCTTGACCTGATGGCAGCTTCAATTCTCTTCCACGAGATTCGTTTCTTTGTCTACACAACGGATGTCGTACAGTCTTTTAATAGCAAGGGAAATTGCTAGCGGAAATGTGAGTTTAGTTGCTTTCTATAATATATCCACATAATGCTCGATTGACTTACTATCGCTGTTAGATTTTTTTGAACTGGGTGTTGCCATGACAATATATCAAACAGTGAAACGAAAGTAATCCCTTAATTTTCTGGTGGATTTCTGTGGTTTATGTTGATTTGCATGTTTTTCCCTTACCAAGGTTTTTTTTCAATATTGAAGAATAACGTCAGGAGTAGCCAGGGAATGTGATTTATCACATATACCGAGTCTCTTCTGCTCTCAACTGTGGATGATGGGTTTCACTGACGTGAACGTTTGCTTTGTTGTTGGTGTGGTTCTGATTGCTCTCTCTCTCTTGCTTGCGGCTTCGGTCGAGTATCTTTGTTCTCTCACGATAACCATCTGATAAAGTGCTGACAGTACTATCCTTAGTCAAATATCTCCTGGGCTCTTCTCGTGAGAAGAGAAGTTTATAACCACGTTGCCCAACCCAATCTTCAATAAGTGCAGCCTTGTGAATGGATGCATTGTCAAGAACTAGATATTTGTAGCTCATGTTAGCCGCATCCAGTGTCGTGAGGACTTGCTCTATGTATTCAAGGAAGCCACTGCTGGTAGTACCCTTCCTCTTGGGGGCCTGAGATTTCTCACCAGTTCGAGTTCGTTTTCCACTCCTAGCAGTAAGTACAACTTCTTTTCTGGATAATGTGATTAAACCACTTTTACAAATAGCACCCAAGATGCTGACATTTGCTCCCTTCGTTTGAACATCAATTTTGCAAGGTGTTCCAGCCTCAGACCATCCATATGAGCGATGCATACTCCTGTTAAAGCCAGCTTCATCCAAGAATACACATTCATTCATAAAGTCTATGTTCTGGCTAACCCAGTATGCTACCGCATCTCGTCTTTTGGCAACAGTTTCATCCGTGTTTCTGCCATAATATCTAGGAATGATACGCTTGTAGGTTAGGCGACACTTCTTCTTCATGTGATTCTCCACTGATCTGGGGGTGATCTGTATATCTCTAAATTCATTTGACAGGTGGCCTGTAACAGCTTCAACTATCAATGTTGGCTCATTAGCCAGCAGCTCAAAGATAAATACAGTATGTTCGTCTTTGAGTATTGTGGGTCGTCCCTTTCCTTCTTTGATTGCGATAGAATCAGGGAATCCTTTTTCAGCTATTCCGCTTGTCATTTGATTCCACTGCTTGAGTTTACGAGCAGCTGTTGACTTGGAGAGCCCTATCTTTCTACTCGCTTCACTGATAGACATATTCTCAAACTCTTGCAACAAATTGATCAAATTGACTACCTCTGCTTCGTTCTTGGTAATGTATGATCCCCTTTCCTTCTTCACTACATCAAGGGAGGGCTCCTTGGAGTGAGGTTTGGTCTTCCTCTTTGCTTCTTTTTGTGCTGCATTTACTGCTGCAGTCTCTTCCCAGTCCATATATGATTGTATCATCACAGGTACTGTCTCACTGTCAAAATTGTATTCTTCGTTCATGTTAAGCAATATGAAAAAAATTCAAGAAGAGAAAAAGAAGAGAGAATTTGGCCAATCCTCATTACATTTCTGTATTGGTGACCCATTTTCAAAACAATGATCCACTTTCATTTCAAACTGACCAATTATTTTTTTTATTGGGCCAACCTTTTTTCGTCGACTGACACAGCCTATTTCACCACTTTCACCAATTTCACAACCGATTTCACAGCCTATTTCACCAATTTCACAGCCTATTTCACCAATTTCACAACCGATTTCACCACTTTCACCAATTTCACAACCGATTTCACCACTTTCACCAACGTCACAACCGATTTCACAGCCTATTTCACCAATTTCACAACCGATTTCACCACTTTCACCAATTTCACAGCCTATTTCACCACTTTCACCAATTTCACAGCCTATTTCACCAATTTCACAACCGATTTCACCACTTTCACCAATTTCACAGCCTATTTCACCACTTTCACCAATTTCACAGCCTATTTCACAGCCTATTTCACCAATTTCACAACCGATTCCAGGTCGAAAGAAATTTCTCGCAAGAATTTCTTGAGACCGTCAGAACAAAATAGGAAATGTTATTATGCCCGTTCTATTGTTTCTCGAACAACTACTTCTATCAAGTTATTACAACAGAAGTTAGTCTTTCTGCTTGCTATGGCGGCCTTCCTCCGACCCTCTGGCCTAGCTCGTATCCCGTATCACTCCTGCTCTATCACGGATACTGGCTGTCTTACTTTACAAGTCGTGGCGCCTAAAGAGACTCGTCGCAAACGACGCATCATCAAGCCCTTTACGATCCATCCGCATGCGTCCGACATAGAACTATGCCCAGTTCAGTGTTTCAAGGCTCTTCGTGCTCACCCTGGTTTGGCGTCTCGTCCTCCTGGTTCACAACTCTTTGTAAAGTCTCATCTCATCCAACAGCCCCTATCGTCTTCAACCATTTCCTCATGGCTACATCGTGACTTTATTGCACTCTGCACTTCTGAACCTAATGTTTCCATCCGTTCACTAGCATCCTCACGAGCGTTAGATCTTGGGGTCTCTAGAGACGACATCGTAACTCTCGGTAATTGGACTTCCTCCTCAACCTTCGAAAACCATTACCAACGTAATCAGATGGCTCAGGTGGACTTCACATCAACGGTTCTTTCGGATTCTCTTGACCAGTTCTTTGATGCTCATGAAGACTTTTCTCTGGATTAGCATAATAACATTTCCTATTTTTGTTCTTTCGACCTGTCCCCACCCTTCTTTATTCATTATGACCGAGCTTAAGTTCGATTGATAGTATAGATATTTTCTTTATTGTCTTTATATATCTTTGAATTCGCTCAAAAATAAAACTTCAAGAAGATTCTAGCATAATAACATTTCCTATTTTGTTCTTCAGGTCTAATTATCAAATTTGCTGCTTGAACACTATGTTTTTACACCTTTGCATCGCTACGGTAAACCCCCCCCCATTAAGGCCACTGATACCCATTATTTTTATTAGATGTTTGAATACTATGGTTTTGCACCTTCGCTTTGTTAGAGTGAAAACCTCATATAAACCAACGCTTGGTGGTCATGGCCATTCACTTTCAATTCGCTATGGTAAAGCCCTCTTGTAGGTCAATGTTTCCGAATGTAGGATTAGATGCGTTTTTGTATAACACATCCTATACCAGGCCTTTTTGATCACATTTACATGTTTGAATACAACATTTTCAATGCAATTGCAGGTATATTTGTCAAAGCATAATGTTGAAGATTCTTTTTGTCATTTTCTGCTGTTGTCTCCGATGCAAGCGCTATAAAAGTACAACTGTTGTTTGATGCTATAGATGACGAGCTATTCTACTTGTGACATGGGCAAATGAATATAGAAACAGTCGGTAGTCTTGAACAGCCATATTTATTCACTCTACTTGGTCAAAAGAGACCACATAATATAAGATTGAAGTATCCTGTGCAAAACTTGTTTTCCTTGACTGTCTCCATAATGGGCACATTTGGTAGCTTTACAATCATGTCGGCGAGGGGCTTCACCACCTGGAGATCACTTTCCATTAAATCCCGTTGGAGTCCAACAAGGGCAACTACCCGATCATTTCTCTTGATTTTCTAGATTGAAAAGGGATAGCGTTTGTAATATATGACAGTGTTAAGGTTATTCACGTTGATCAAGGTAGACCTCTACAGTTTTGCTATTTGTTTCTACATTACATCTTTCTTGATCCTTGGTGAGCCAACAAGATAGGAGCCAGCCTTCATTTAAAGTATCTAACATTACGTTCTTGATGCAATTTCTATCAGACTGATAAAAATATGTCTATTTTTAGTTGCAACACTTTCTAATTTTGCTATGCAAGCTTTCTTTTGCAGCCCCTTCCAAGCAGCTCTGAAATGCAAAGCAGCAAGACAAGTGCTTTTTGTCAATGTGTCCCTTGAAAATACCGCCAATTGAATTGATTTTGAATGACAAGCTTTGAATCTTCTTGTCCTCCTCCAATGTATCCTCTTCGTAGCATACACACGTCTTGTATTGACCCTACAATAGATTGAACACAACAGCATCTGGTCTTCGAACCATAATCCTTGGTATGGGGCCTGTAAACAAAGCAAGAGTTTATCAGTAGAGGGCCATGTTCTATTCCTTAAGGACAAGCCTTGTGATGATAGAAGCAAATAGTGAGCTGATCAAAAGCCCAACGAGTATTTTTGAACGGAAAATAAGAGAAACGATGCTTAACACTGACTTCATTGCATGGCGGAAGCAACTGGGACTATAATGCCATAGTCTGCAGTTGGACAGCCATTGCTATTTTCTCCTTGAGCATGTATTGCTTGAAACTGAGCTATACTGTAGAATGCATCCAAGGTCATTATGTGGTGATTTTTATAATCTATCCAAAGAACGTCCATTGCCTGAGGTGGGTATCACTTTGTAGCACTGGCAACACAACTTTTTTCAACATCATTCTTTTTTTTTTTTTATTGCGATTAGCCTATAAAGCTTAATCAATTTGCATATCATCATTCTTGTCGGTGGAAGACTTGTCTGCACCAGCAGCCTCCTTTCCGCCATCCACATCTAAATCCTTGACATCCTTTTCCACCTGAGCTGTTGCTGACGACTCTGCACTTTCCAAAGCATTCTCACTCTTGAGGTTATCAATCTTGTTATCAATCAAGTTGTGGAGCGCAATGACAGCACGAATCATGCTGGACAAGTAAATCAGCAATAATTGGTCGTTTGTCTTTGTGCTGAATGAGTTGACCATGTCGCTGTTTTCCAGGTTGGGCAGAAGGTTGAAGATGTCTTGCAAGTTGTAGATGATTTGATGGTTGACAGGCAGTTTACCGCTAACGACTTTTTGCAAATAGTCGCGAATCTCTTCAAGACGGCCCTGAAGTCCTCCCAAAGATCCCAATTGAGAGGTGATACGGGTGCTCAATGTGCCAACTGCATTGTCTTTGATGTCTCGCAACAAGTGTTCTACACCAATTTCCTCAGCTTCCTCTGCTACAATTTCTGATGGTACATGCATGAATGTCTTTGTGGTGGTGGTGCCGTCCTATTGATATGATATCAGTCTTTTGCGCCAATCGCACTTATCTGATACTTACATCCTTGATCTCTTCAATGGCGAAATAAGCATCGGTAGGGATTTCTGCATCATTTGGCTTGACATCGACAATAACAAGCACGGGATTGGGTGTGTATCTTTTGAACAATTCGTTGATTTCTAAATCTGAGGAACGAAGTTTGGGTCCACTATGATACCAACCGATCAACTTTTCCTTTGCTAATCATTTCGTTTAGTTTGAGTGAGCCAGCGTGTATCACGGGATATATCGTTACCATTGACTTTTTTGAACATGTCGTTCATTGCTTCCACGTAATTGTGATCTAAAAACCAGACAGAGGGGTCCTTGGGATCCTCTTCAAAAGGAACTAGACAGTAGACATGAGCACATATATGCGTACAATTACCCATAGGGCGATATCCTACCAGCAAAACTGTTGGAGACATTGACAGTCTTTCCCTTATTCTGACCAAGCAATACACCCACTACGCGCTTCTTGGTGTCCTTGGCGACACGATTGTAATGATCTGTTGCAGAAAGCAAGACGAGAGGATGAACATGGGCTGTAACTGAGGGTTGAACTGTAGTAGTAGCAGGCATTTTATTAGTATTTAAAGAGCAAAAAAGAAGAAGAAAGGCTTCTAAATGTTGGAAATCCAAATGCTACATTTACCATGATACACTTACGCGTACAAATGTTGGATTCCCGAGTTGACTGACTGACTGAATTTGGTTTGTGACATCATCTTGTATGCCAAGATGGCCCTTTTCAAGCAACAATTGCTCTGTCAATGTGCACTACTACTCTGCTACTACAGGAGCACCAATTTTAAAAGGGAGTTGAATAATCTTATTTCATTTCTTTTTTGCTTTTTCTTCATCTTGGTTTGCATTTTCTTTTTTTTTACATTTCATATTGCTAAAGCACCCGAGGAAGAGCGCCATGTCCAACTACAACTACAACTATATTATCAAGGTATAGCGAGTAGATCAGCTGTACGGGATCTGAGTGCATAAGGAGATCTAACATTTTGCCATATAGTACATCATCATTGGTGATACAGGTAAGAACAGAGAGCACACACAGCGAGGCTTTTTTTTTTTTTTTACTAGTGTGGTATGATTTTTAATCCATTGGGTTTATACATTTGCCACCTTTTGAACGTGGTCTAGGTGTTGGCAAAGTACAGTATCTGGCATAATCATCCGAACACAAGCTTTACAGCTCGGAACTAATGTTCTTGTATAGTCCTGTATTCTGTTGCAGTTTACCGACAAACGATTTATGCCAGCTCATGATTTGACCATTGGGTAGAGTGTCATGTTTGAAACGTCCAGGGGCAAACCTACTCACTGTATGGCTTTAGTGTTGGATTTGGTACACGTTTTATCACAGTCAATGACCAACAAATCAAGCTGCAGATTTGGGATACAGTAAGTGTGCTGAGCGAGCTGTGGGTTGTCACTATGTCCATCTCATGGCAACAACACTGTAGGCTGGACAAGAATCTTTTAGATCGATTACACGAAGCTATTACAGAGGTGCTGCTGGTGCCTTGTTGGGTAAATAACACATGCAAACAAACAATTCAGGCACCATTGACTAAGAAGGCAACTCTAGTATACGACATTACTCGAAGAGACACCTTTGAACATTTGCCAGTTTGGTTGGAGGATGTACGCCAACATGCCAATCCAAACACTGTCATCATGCTGATTGGCAACAAGAGCGATTTGGAAAAGAATCGACAAGTTTCAAGAGAGGAAGCCGAGAAATTTGCTCAGGAGAACGATTTATTCTTTCTAGAGACGTCTGCTAAATCATCTGATAATGTAGAAAAGGCATTTGAGGAGACAGCAGCAGAGATTCAAAGGAAGATTCAAAATGGTACCATTGATATGAACAGTGAGGTAAGACTTGCTGCATTGTAGGAGGCTGCTGCTATGATATCATGGGCTTAACAACATGTGTATTTAGACAAATGGTGTCAAATTGGCCCCTCCTCAAGGTGGATCCTCTTTACCCTCTGCCAACAGCTCTTCAAGCAGTGGTGGTTGCTGTTAGACCTATATCAATGTTCAAGTATTACCCCTCTTTCTTTTCTCTTTCTTATACTCTTTTCTACATCTAATTCACATTTAAATAAACCTTGGTCAATGTTACACATGGCGAGAAAGAGATCTGCTTTTGCTGACTGGTATAGAGTCTGGATGTCGCATCACCACAAAACCGTTGTATTGAAACAACTCGTTTTTATTACATATTACTTTGTTCCCTCTAGTAGCGTCGTCTTATTCACACCTCATCTTTGTCAGCGTCTATCCTGCTGACGATACACATCAGTATAGGCGGGCAGTGTTTCACGAATCGTTGTTGTAGTACTACTGGCTCTTGGTGTTGTCGTCGTTGTCGTTGTCGTTGTGCATATTTGATTTTGTTCTAATAGATAATCCAGTCGTGCTACCACGTCTTTTGGCAAAGAGTGTCTTGGATCTGGAGGAGCGTAAGTTGGTGGTGGAGGAGCAGGTAGAGGGGGGCATTGCACCAATGTGGTTACTGTGGATGAAGAATGACACTGACCTTGCAAATGCAGTTGGATCCTTCTCTCTTGCTGTGTGATGGCATTTTCAATCATCTGCTGCTGGTTGACACGGGCTCGCTTCTTTTTGTGCACACCTGTAAAGTAGCAGAACAGCAAGACCACAATGACGAGACATGAAAAGATGACCTCAATGGCAATGAGAAATGCATTGCCAGCATTAGGCAAGGGTGGCTGCAATGCTGTTGGTGGAGGGATTGTGGTACTGGTTGCGGGCTGCTGGTAGAACCCAGTGGAGCTCACTGCAACAGGTTCCGATACAATAGGCATAATGTAGTATGAAGAAAGAGAGAAAGAGAGGCGAGACAGTGTCAACAGGATGATGATATAATTGATTTATTTACACCACATGATTGTAATTGTAAACAAGGCATCAAATAAATTTCTGATTTGGCATCTGTTTCTTTCGCTTTCATCTCACAAATCAAACATGGTACAGTTTATTGAGATCTATGATAATGAGGATGAAGACGAGCTCTATTTATCAGACTTCAGCCATGTGCCTGATATCCTTGACCATGAACCTTCCATGAGCAGCAGTAGTAGCACGATGCCATCATCATCCACAATACCCCCTTCTCCCATGCACCGATCTGATTACAATGTTTTGTCCACTTCTACTGCTATTACGGGCACGACAGCATCATCGCCAGAGCCCCTCTCCTTGTCATCGACCGTTGGAAAGTCAAGAGAAACGCTCATGTCAGAAATAGAAGATACCATTGAGCAGATGTTTGCTTCTATCGCTATTGGAGAACTATGCAAACTGCCCATGTCAAGCAAGCCTCTTCCTCAAAGAAAGTAAGTTGTTCATGTTTGCAAGTGCCCTTTACCTATAGCCACACATATAGGAGAAAGAGGCCATCTTCTGCTGATGGTGCTGACATTACTTTAAACACTGATGCCACTACCAATGACCCTTCAGCCGCCTCAAGCAATGACACCACTCGCTACTTGTCGCTCTCCAGCAGCTGCAACAAGGCCAGAGCATTGGCTCGCTATCTTTCTGTATTGCAAATGATTTATGAGGCGGTGGCATACAAGATCATGCTGACCAAAAGAGACATGTACTATCGCAACGTAGAGCTCTTTGGCAAACAGTCTGTAGTCGATATAGTAATGTAGTGAGCAGAGTGCCAGTGTCCAGGTGTGCACTAACATCACTATGTACCAACAGATTGTAGACGACTTTTCGCGTCATTACAATGTGCCCAGATCGTCGCTCAATGTGGTCAGTAGAACATATACTGCTGATCTGGCCATGTACTGACATGTTGTTATATAGAGTGCAGCATCCAAAGGCCTTATATTTGGACCCATTATTATCAAATTAAAGAACAACAAGATACTCAACTGCAGTACAAGCAATGATACAGCAGATACAGACGATGAACAGGTGGAGTTTTATGCAGTCTGCCGTCATTCTGAGTGGTGCTCACTTACGCAGCTTTATACATAGGGCGTATTGATACCGCCCATTCATCAAGTGGTGCAAGTGCAATGCAAGGCAAAGTGCATGATCGTAATAGAGAAGGAAGCTACATTTCGATATCTCGTCTCGATTGGGTTCTGTCAATCATTACCAGAGAGCTGTGTATTGGTGACAGTAAGTATACGAGACGTTGGCAAGACACACATGCATACTCACACGTGTGTACGCATAGGGCAAGGGCTATCCAGACTTGTCCACAAGACAGTTTGTAAAGTACTTTTCGACCCATTTCACTACAAAACCTATCCTGGCACTGATGGACGGTGATCCCCATGGCCTGGATATTTATGCTACTTACAAATGGGGCACTCGAGCCATGGCATTTGATGTGTTTAACCTAGCAGCCAATAGCATTGAGTTGATTGGATTGACATGTCAAGATCGTCAAGAGTAAGTGGAGAGATCACCCAATGCAGACACAACTGATTCCTTCTTGCACAGGTTTCATATTTCTCCTCAATGTTTGATACCTCTATCCGAGAGAGACAAATCTAAATGCCAAGCCATGATGCGAACCTACGATCAAGATGAAACACCTGGACAAAGTCAACTTATTGAAAGAGGATGGTGGCAAGATGTTGATACGGAATTAGCCTCTCAAAGCCATCAATCGTATATTAGAGAGATCACTCAACTGTTGGCTTCCGATCATAAATGCGAGCTTCAGGCATTGAATCACAATGGGCCTTATCACTTGACAAACTACCTCATCAAAAAATTGGCTAAATACATTTAACATAAAGTGCTGCGTGTGTGGAAATGATTGACTAATAAAGATGGCAATGGCACATGAGAGCATCTCAAACCCTTAGGAAGATATAAAATAGTTCAAATCAATGTTTTAAAGCATATAGTACTATCCAGCTGTTTTAAATATAGTTACAAGGATACTAGATAATAGATGCAGACTGTTTACTACGTCTAAGATGTCCAGCATGTCCTACAATCATCATTACCTCACTAGCAAGCTGTATCATTCTGCTATAATACAGCGATACAACAGTACCGCTCAACCCAATACGTTCAGCTGGATATTTGGATGTAGCAGTATGCCCTGAATCCGAGTTAATGAATGCAATGTCTTTACTCCTTCATATCATAACAAGAACGCGCCTATTGACAAGCAAATATATAAAACACAGCCAAATTTGACAGCTTTCAAGCTCTCATATCTTGACATTAGACCTTTCTGAGCCACCGGAATAATGCCAAACAATTGTACTCGAGTAGGAGTATTTTCCTGACACCTTTGCTCAACTTTTTGAGGACCCAAAAAAAAAATGGTCAAAAATCGACCAAAAACCATGAGGTACCCCTTATGGTTTCCATTGAAATTCAAACGATCGCGTTTTTCACCTTGAAAATAAAGATTTTTACTATGGTATATATTAAATCAAAACGTTTCTCTCGATCCAAAGCAACTTCTGAAACCATTTTTTTGAGGTCTTCATATGCAAATTTTTGACATTTTGGCCAAAAACCTTATTTCATATTTTCTGGATTTGCTCAGTAAGTTCAGTCAAAACATCTCTTTTACTTGTTACCATTGGAAGCGCCTTGTAGAGTACTCCAAAAATGTATTAGGAAGCATCGGGTGATAACCACAGTTCATACAGTCGAAAATCATAAAGCAGATTAAAGAAGTCGACAAAACACAAAATCTGGCCAATCTTGAACAGAAATATGTCGTGTAACACCATATCACTAGTATAAATATCCAAGCATCCACATCAATAAACGTTAGTCTTTCTTCGTCTTACATATTATAGAGGTCCCATTAGTCCTGAACAATACAAATAATACAACTCCCTAACCATGATTTGCAGCATTTTAGCATGACATATAATCAGCATGCGTTTCGTTGATTCGTTAAAAGAAATTATTGCCACTGGCTAAATAAAAAGCTTTTTCGGTATGTGATGAGGTGTATCAGAATATTCATTGGGAATGATGGCTGCAATTTTGTTGGCAGTTGGTCTATCTTCATTCACAACTCGCTTCAATCTCATTTGAGGGTTAAGTCAAATATGAGCGTCCTTGTTGATATGATTTCAGGCTTGACGTTCGTCTTCTCCATTCATAATCTCATGAGCATGCTTGTAAATGCGAACAAAGGTTCTAATATATCCCTCCGATGGGTCACAGCGACACGCTTTTCTCATAAGTATTTGAATACATTATATGATGGATAATCTGGCAAGAGTCAGAAAGATATTTATTTGAGCCAAAAAACGGACATGTCAATAATATAGCCTGCGTGTCTGGTTTGGAGTTATAAGGCTGGAGATCATGTCTAGGTATAGTCTCCAACTGCTCACTATGGTGTCCGAGAAAACTTCTGTGACCTAAATCAAGTTCAAGTAGTTAACCCATCATAATGCATAATTTGCTTGAAATCCGAATATAAAGACTATCTTGATCATCCAATTCAGAATATTTAAACGCAGTTTGATCTTCATTTTGGTGAAATTCAACGGTACGCATCCTCCTCATTCCATGTGGATGAGATAGCTCTGTTCTGCCAGTCTGGTTACATGCACCATTGCAAATTGTAATATTCAACAGACCGGCGGTCATGTAGTCAAAGTACCTGACCGAGCGAGGACCAATGGCTACCATTCCCCATAAGCTGCGATATAATAGCTCATGGAGATAATACTGTCAAACTGATCACACCGTAATCTTTGACTCGATCCTGCCCATTTGGGTTGCCTTTACAAGCAATATTCAACAAATGGTGACCTAATTTTGCAAGGGAATCTCGCACTCCAGGGATAGCACATACGGACCCACTGAACGCAGCCAAAATAATCAAGGCGTTCCAATATTCGAAATTGGTTGACCAGCAAGAACGCCGGAATACTTTCCTTATGAGAATCATTCAAGAGCATACATCATGTGCCTGGATTTTGAATATTGAGGCCATCTTGCTGATTATTCACGCACCGGCATTTGATCTTCATTTTGGTGAAATTCAACGGTACGCATCCTCCTCATTCCATGTGGATGAGATAGCTCTGTTCTGCCAGTCTGGTTACATGCACCATTGCAAATTGTAATATTCAACAGACCGGTGGTCATGTAGTCAAAGTACCTGACCGAGCGAGGACAAATGGCTACCATTCCCCATAAGCTGCGATATAATAGCTCATGGAGATAATACTGTCAAACTGATCACGCCGTAATCTTTGACTCGATCCTGCCCATTTGGGTTGCCTTTACAAGCAATATTCAACAAATGGTGACCTAATTTTGCAAGGGAATCTCGCACTCCAGGGATAGCACATACGGACCCATTGAACGCAATCGAGATGAAAACAGCATTCCAGTAATCGAGATCAGAAAAAAGTGCCTCACCTAATGTAACTCTCTTTAATAAAACACCTCGGTTGGAATCCACATGAACATACCTAATTTTAGTTTGAAAGTATTTGGCAATCGAATTACTGAGGATTCGTCATATAATATACCTATTGGAAAGAAAATCAAAAAAAAAAAAAAAGGAAAAAGACGCGTTGTGCCAGTAGAGATTATATGCGCAGCTTTGTGACCTTCATCAGTATAATGAGAACTCTTTGCATGAAAAATAAACAACCTTCATCTCTGTACTGTCATTTCGCAGACATCATGTATTTCGATGAAATTATTAGTAACGAATGGAACATAAGTACAGCACTTGATTTGTATTCAGTAGAGTATCCAGATGCAGCGACACTTCTCCGCGCGATCAAATCTGATTTGAAGAGGATAAGCAAGAACCCGAATGTGTTGAAATCCGCTCGAGAAAAGGCTGAATCGCTCCTTGACAAATGGAATGTAAGTTTATTTGATGATTCAAGTATTAGATCCAAGTACCTTAAAACCGTGTATAGGATGTTAAGAAAAAGCAGAAAGGAAAAGAACACGGAGAGTCATCTACAGTAAAGGCAGCAAAGGCAGCAAAGGCAGCAAAGCCATCAGCCGCTTCCACTGTAAGTACATTGTGCATCCCAAACTATAGCCTTGATGTCTCAATCAAACTACCTTGTCATGCAGACAACGTACAACAACAGCAATCACTTCACAACCAGCGGTGATCACAGCAATATTATTGTAGGCGGTAGTCATTCAGGCAAACTAAAGCTTTAGTATGCATCCTTCTCCCTCTAATTTGATTGTGATTTTAATTAGGCGTTCCTAGTAGAAAAAGAAACATCAATGAGGTTGAGCCAAGCAAGGTAATACAGTAAGTGTGTGCCGAAGATATATTCACTTTACTGACCCGTCTTCTTTACAAAGGACGAAGTAGATGCTCTTTTCCAATCTGTCATGAACAACTCAGAAGAGGGTGAGGATGCCGCGCCTTCTGTCACATACATCAAGAACACCAGCTCTGTCCATATTAGGCTCCCCGCTAAACACTGGTTTGTGGAGGAACTGAATGTTTCAATGAAATTTTATGAATATCAAGAGCTTGTCAAGGAAAGAATTCAAAGCCAAGGAATCATATTGGAATAGCATGTGTACGAAATCCTGGCCATGTCATCGATCCTTCTTCTGAAGCCAAAACAGTATTCAACAGGAATGCTTCACCACTTTTCACAAAAAGACCTCAACAAGATTCAAAAGGCACATCTCTCTGGTCATGTAAAGGAATCAACAGCCGTATTCGACGAGAAGCTTTATGCAGACATCAGAGCAATCATTAAGGTGAGAAAATGGCCATGTTGACATGAAAAGCAGATACTCAACGCAATGCTCAATTTAGAAATTACAAACGGAGCACGATCGCCTTGCTGCAATCAACGCACTGACTACAATGGATATCAAAAACAACTATCAGGAAAAGATCGTGATGATGATGATGCACCTCATTACAAAGCTTCCTTTATCAAAAATTGATTCAAGATCTGGAGAGATCAACTTATGCACCAACTACTTGGATCCTGTTCTGTGCTCAATTCTAAATGATGACGAAGATGAGAGACTATTGCAATGGTAAGAATTAGTTTGTACACTATACTCCTCTCTGCTTAAGAGCTATTGCCATGTACATAGGCCTAATACGAAAGCTGAAGATTCAAAGTCAAAGAGACCAGATGCGGTGGTCTTTAATATGCTTCAAAACCAGTACGATACTAGTGTTTGTTATGGCGAAGCAAAACTGGAAGAGGCCAAGAAAGTGCCTAACATGCTGGTTCAAGATCTACTTCGTTTAGCACTGTTCTCAAAAGACACTATCGACACTAAAAGGCTGTCTTCTTGTATGTCGTTCCAAGCTGTTGGTAAGTTCTTTCTTCAGCCCCATGAAGCCAAGGAAATCCATTGATTTGCTTTGCTACAGGTCAGCATATAGTATTTTATCTGACATCTCTGAAAAATGACGGACTGTATATTATGAGCGAATTAGCAGATATCTACTGTCCAGCTAGCATTGATGATCTTTTGAATTTTATCAACTGCTTTGATGATCTGCTCAAGGTGATGATAGCCATGGATTCAATCAACGTAGACAATGATGATCAGAAGAAAACTTATCGAAGACGAAGCTTTGATTCCCCACAATTCAGAGCGTTTCTTCAAAAAAAACGCTGTGATTTCAATGGAGAAAGATCCTACCTAAAGTTTTAGCCTGTGCATGATTCATTGAATGTCATCTTTATATCCCCTGTGCTACATTTGCTAATATTCGTTATTTGTTGAATAGCTATTATCTTGTATTCAATTTTACCCTTATCCATTCATCTCAAACATTATTGCTTGTCGAATGAATCTGTTCAATTATGCTTGAAGTCAATTGTATCAAGTTCACTCTAGTTTTTGGGTGGTTTTTATTTCAAGTAATGCAATAATTCAAATTTTGCATAATTCTTTGCTATTCACGCCAAGAAACTGATTTTACGAATGCCACGTCAGGAATGAAACAATTATGAAGCATGCGTGAATGTCATCATATGATAATCACTATAAACTAAAGCTCTCTATATCTTTCTTTTTGCAGTTATGTGGCCTTTGCACTATATTCTTCTTTTGATTTTAAGATTCCCCTCAACAAACAGAAATGTACCGCGTTTTTGCGGTTCACCCCTGAATTGCATTTTCTGTTCAAAATATAAGGTGTAAATAAAAGTTTCCCAAATATGCATTTGATAGACATAATAATGTTCCTTATCTGCATCGTAAATATTAAGACGTATTAACCTGAACAGGTATGCAGTAAAGAGCTATCATGTCAAAAGAAATACGTTTAGCGGAACGGATGCGACGAACGCCATAAACGTCTACTTACACAAGCATAGTGACCACGGCTTTTCGACTGTATTGATAAATCTTTTTGAAGAAACCTTTGTCAATCACCCTTTCATAATATACTAAAAAAAAACTATGAAAAAAACGTCGTCGTAGCCAGTCAGAGATCAGAAGTCCCTCTCCCAAAAACATAGAGCATCTAATTCAAGTGATTTTTTTGCAAGGTATTTGGCTGCGAATTGAGTGATTTCTGGTTTCAAGGCAACATTTGGTAATACTGGTCATAATCAGCGTTTCACCGTAACGAAGCGAAGGTGCAAACCCATAGTATTCAAGCAGCAAGTTCGGGTTTTCATTTCCATCATTAGTAAGCTTACCAACAGCATAATAACGTATCAAAATTTGCATGTATTGGCTTTACCAAAATCAATATGCCTATTATTCAAATTAAAAATTGTACAGGCTACGGAACTATGTTTTTTAGTAAATTACAGCTACCAAAGATGTGATTTATGCCTTGTAAATAAAAGCTATAAAGCAAAACATAACCAAATTTGACAGCTTTCAAACCTTCATATCTTGACATGTAGACCTTCCTGAGCCACCGGAATAATGCCAAACAATTGCACTTGGGTGGTAGTAACTTTTTGATACCTTTGCTCCACTTTTTGAGGACCAAAAAAAAATGGTCAAAAATCGACCAAAAACCATGAGGTACCCCTTATGGTTTCCATTGAAATTCAAACGATCGCGTTTTTCACCTTGAAAATAAAGACTTTTACTATGGTATATATTAAATCAAAACGTTTCTCTCGATCCAAAGCAACTTCTGAAACCATTTTTTTGAGGTCTTCATATGCAAATTTTTGACATTTTGGCCAAAAACCTTATTTCATATTTTCTGAATTTGCTCAGTAAGTTCAGTCAAAACATCTCTTTTACTTGTTACCATTGGAAGCGCCTTGTAGAGTACTCCAAAAATGTATTAGGAAGCATCGGGTGATAACCACAGTTCATACAGTCGAAAATCATAAAACAGATTAAAGAAGTCGACAAAAGACACAATCTGTCCAATCTTGAAGAAAAGAAAATATACTGAGTTTGAATCAATTTTGGCGCTGCTGCTGGCTGACCACATGTCTTTCTGATGACGATAATGTTGATTGCGATGCTGATCAAATGGGAACCATGGAATTAAAAGTACAATTGCTTAGCCGGAATGCTTTTTTTGGGAGTTTTTCCCTATAAAGATGTCTTTTTCAATGATAATCTCTCAAAAAAAGTCACTTGGATCTCATACAAGTCCTTTATGTTGCCATCTCAAGAGCAACATCAGCGATTGGATATCTCCCCCTCCTGAACCTGATATAGCTATTAATTGATTGTTCATCTACTTAAATAGCAGGTTGTTATTGTCTCTGATTTGAAATGTCTTTGGCCAGAGCCCGTAGGGCAACGCCGTCATCGAGCGTAGCGAGATAGATCGGCTAGTAGCAATATATTGATTTTTTAGATTGTTGAAAGTTTCAAAAGCGCACCTCTAGTTGAGTGAATGATGCAAGCTTAAAGCCATCTCCAGATGCGTTAAAAAAGCGTTATTTGGCATCGCACAAGCGCACACATCTTTGGATAGTACAATAACTCGAGACAACATAGTTCTCTGAAACGCCGTTAAGCATTGGAATGCTTAACTCTTAAAACAAGCAGTAATTTTAGCATTTCGAGAGGCGTTTGTCAGATAATTACCAAACATCGCTCTTATTAGGAGAAGAGATTTTTGCATGGGCATGTAGAATACTCTTGTATCTACTGCTCATGCACTGAAAGCTCTCATTTTACATATTGCCTCATGGGATGTTCTGTTGACAAAACCATTATGTAATGCTCATGATTTAACATTTGGTAAGTCTATATACCACATGTACGTCCTTGCTACCAGCCCCTACATCTTATGCGGACAACAGCGTCTGGAATCACATCAGTTGCAAAAGATTCAATTAGCAGAAATTTCCCTATTCTCCTCATTTGGCTCATTGTTTGTATGGCGAATATTACATTAAATAAAATGTGTTTACTTGCTGTGCAGTTTTTGGTGGGATGAAAGGGTTAAACTCAAACCAAATTACACTCTACAAATTGTTCTTTATGCTTCCATGATATGGAAATGTCACGAAAGAGGCTCTTTCTTTATTCTTTTATCAAGAAATCAGAAAATATCAAGGGCTTCGCTAGAGAACCATGTGGCAATTTCAATGCCTGACAATATCTGAAGAGATTTTAGCTTTTCATTCATAATGGCCGAGATATGGAGTTGCTTACAATGGCTAAAAAAGAAAAATATAAATCAGCATGTAAATGATGAACCATTGAAACGCACTTACACAATCACTGGAGCGATGAAAAGCTAATTCAAGCGAAATATTATCATTAAATTCAGGCACGAACATTAGTAGCAGCCAAAATTAAACTCACTGGAACCACAAAAGAAGCAACTAATAGGCGCAGTTCCTTTTGATACTTTGCTTTGTGTCTGCTGCTGCTGCCTTTTAACAATGCACATGATGGTATAGAGATGATAGCTGTTTGATATTATCATAAAAGTGAAGAAGAGAAAAAGAGAGAAATGAAAGAATGGGAACAAGATTAAGCTGGATATCTCGAGTAATCTAGACCCATGGATTGTCCTTGACATTTTGAAAAAGAACACACACACACACACACACACAGAGAAACACATGATGCCAGTGATAAAGCTTTGTTTATTGTACTCAAACATGTAACCATTGGAGATATTGTTATTATTGAAAAGCATATACTTGATAGAAACTTGCAGAAGAAGAATACTTCTGCCTGTTATTGCCACATATCTTGTTTCTCGTCTTAAAGGTCGACCAACTGAACATACTCTTCCATCAAGCTGTAGATTTGTCCCTCTTCAGCCAATTCATTCAAGGATCGCAATATTTGTCTTTCATCAAGTAAGTTCTTTAAGTGATCGACGATGGATGAGATATGGCTGCCTACTTCTTCATCACCACACACCTTGATGGCTCGCTTGACAATGCTATTGATATTGTTTCTGCTGATCTTGTATAAAGGAGGATTTGACAGCTGAGTATTATTACTGCTCAAAGAAGGCTTATTCTAAATGCTATCATAAATAGCTGAGATTACCAATTTGCAGTTACTACATACCTTGATTGCTATCAATTCCAAATAGGCTTGGATGGCATCGAGATAGTGGAATGTGATTTCATTGGAGTCTTCGATAGGTACTGTTTTGAATGATACACAGAAGAGACGGTCAGAGTAGGATTGAATGCGACCATGGACTTTGACGTAAATGTTACGACTAGATGCATATATCAGATCGAATGCAGAGGTGAGAGGTATTATATTACCCATATCCACACTGAATACTTACGGGAATACTTGTGCTGTATTTGCATTGACACTTTCCTCAGTCGCACTGCCTACTGCATCATTCCAATGTTTGATGTCTATAGCGCCAGTGCCATCTTCAATGGTGTATGAAACGGATGCCTGTTGTACCACAATGGCTCGAATGACGCCAATAATACAAATCTACAGCAAAACTGGATGAGCACCTACAAAGAGCTAATAGCTAAAAACCAATACTTGCATCAGTCAATTCTTTGCCTTGAAGCAGAAATCTCTCGTCTACAGGCTGTACATGCTTCTTAATCAAAGCGATTGTTAATGGCATGCATGATCTGCTGTGAGTCAACATCTTTTTCTAAAGAAAGGAACTGTAATGAGTACACTGGAAGCAGTATATGTAGATGCTTACAACGTACATTTCTGGTATTTCCCTCTGCTGCACTCTCATGGTGGGCATCAATAGCTGGTGGCACTATTGGATAGGGTGCCATGCTAACTCTAGCTTGAGTAAAAGGTCCTGCAGAAATATTTCATGGTTAATCTTGCTGAATACATGAAGCAAGAAACATGTCACTATAAGAAGCACCTTCTTTCAACATCCTTTGTGATTTATCTTTACACGCGAAAGAGAAAAGAGGAAACAATGAGAGGTCAATGCATTCAAACTGTATATTCGGACATCAATTGATTCGCTTGATCAGTGAAGGCTATTTAAAGCAGCAATGCCATCAAGGTTATGGATTACAAACTTGAGCTTTCAAAATGAACTATGGCTTTAAATAAAAGGACATAAGGGGAGTGGTAATCAGCATGATGAGCATATATCAGTGCACGCATACAAGCCATTGGGCACTAATAAACACGCTATAACAGTGAAAAATGCATACACACGCATTTACAATACCAGCACACATAAAGCAATTTAAGCGATCGTTTGTTTATGCATCAATTTATGTACATGTAACGAAAGTTGCAGCTAAACCGTGCTTGAATCAAAACCTGGCAATGTCGTAAATAGTTGCTTTACAATGCTTCTATAGTCATTGCTCTCCATAGTACAAATATATAAACCACAATCAAACATCAGCTCTTTTTTAAAGTTGGAGCACAGAAATTGGCTTGCCAGTGTTTACGAACAGATGATTGTCATACATTGGGTACAAAAAAAAAAAAAAAAAAAAAAAAAGAAAAAAACCCAAAGATGAACATAGATACATGATGGTACCTCCTCTCTATAGAATACAGCAAACGGTTTGTTGTTTATTCACTATATTGCTATACTTTATTCCCAAGATTCCTCAACAGTTTCCCTAACTCGACGAACATATTCCTTTCTATTTTCACGGTAAAGATTTGCTGCCTCTGCGTTTGCTGGTGAGTTGGGGTTGGGGTCGTTAAAGAGAGATTGAATACTGGTCAAAATGGCTGCTACATCGTATGTTGGACTCCATCTGTTTTGTAAGATATCCAGACAGAGCTCACCGTTGGCATATACATTGGGATGGAACATTTTTGAAACGAATTTGACTTGGGGTGGTTTGTTGGGCTGAGGCAATGTGTTATTATTTCCCATCACATTGCAAAAGAAAAAAAAAAGCATGCACAATCAACTTACATAGGTTTCATCGAATTGCAATACTAACTTGAAAGTACCATCCTCAAAGGGGGTATCAGCTAGAAACCAGCATGTAAATGCTCATTGCTTTATAGCGCCAACATCTCTTGCACTTACCAGGACCAAAGATTACTGCATTCCACATCATGATGTTTTCGGGACAAGGGGCACCTACACACATACAATGTCAGTACAAGGAAAGCCGCTGAATATGTATTGGCATGCCACTTACCTGATACACCAGCTAAAATAAAGTCGCAAAATAGGACGAGGCCGTTAGTAACAGCAGGCAGGATTAGTGCTTTATCACACAACATTTACCTGGAGGATCGCTTTGCAATCTCTTGAAATCACGCATAAGTCTTCTTCTAGTGGGTGTCGACATGTTTGTATAATATATTCGCTGGCTCTATGCTTTGAACTGTAAAGTGTTGTAGATGGCAAGTTTATTTCTTTGTGAACAAAAAAAAAAAAAAAAAAAAAAGGGAACAGAAAGAAAGAAACAATGATCATCATCTCAAAAACGGCGTAGTCTATATAAAGCAAAAAGAAAAAAAACAAGACTGCTTTTAAAACCATGCTTTCAAGAACTGTGCATTTGGCATCGATTAATAATGGTTCTTTTGGGGCCATGGAAATCTTCTAGATAAAATGACTAAGAAATAAAATTGTGCTCTCTGGAAGGCAGTGGCTCATACACATCATGGCATACAATGTGATGAATTTATGCAAACATGTAGCAGTGTAACAGTCCTTCTTGCTTTGAACATTGCGACTACTCGAAATGGCAGCCTGACATTGGGAGGCAATGGCATTGAAATCAACCAAGCTGATTTCAAGTGGATCTGAGGCATTTGCGTATTTGGTGTAACTGTTGATCTGTCTATACAGTCTTCATTGAGACTCATCCCCTGATGATTTTGCAGCCCTGGGTATATCCAGCAAATCTCATCCAATGGCCATGAAAATCTGCAGCAAGCGTTCATTCGTAGCAGGCGCAAACCACCACAGAGCACAAATTGAACTGGATGGAATGAAAGCCGAAATGAACAGCCAGCCAAAACTTCAAAGTGCCACTGCTATCCGTTGCACAGCTTGGAGAGAGAACTGCATGACTGGATTTCACATGTTTGATCTCATATTTCACACACACATTTGTAATTTCGTATATTGAACAACCGATGTGTATCAAACTACAATACCTTCCCCACATTGCGTTGAAGGATTTCGTCCTCTTCTTTTCTGCTCCATTACTTTTTCTCATTTCTATCAAATTTCAACATGGCTCTGCGTCAAGTCTTTATCGTTTCTGCCAAGAGGTTTGTATTTGCCACTCAAACATTGATCCTGCGATTCTAAGCATCCAACAGAACTCCTTTCGGTGCCTTTGGTGGTAAATTCAAGAACCTCACTGGTAAGTGAACTGGGCGTTTCTGATAAACAGAGCGAGTATTGACGATAGCATCATAGCTGCCGAGTTGGGTGGTCTGGCTTCCAAGGCTGCTATTGCTGATCTCCCTGCCAATGTCCCCATTGATTCCGTGATTTTTGGTAATGTCCTTCAAACAGATGTCGCTGGTGCCTATGTGGCACGTCATATTGGTCACCGTGCTGGCCTTCCTGTCACTGTCCCTGCTTTAACCGTCAATCGTCTTTGTGGTTCCGGTCTTCAAAGTGTGGTTAATGCAGCTCAAGAAATCGTTTTGGGTGAAAGCGAGATTGTATTGGCTGGTGGTGCTGAAAATATGTCATTAGCTCCCTTCACCTTGTCAGGCTCTTCTCGTTGGGGTCTCAAGCTTGGCCAAGATCCCAAGTTGCAAGATACTCTCTGGACAGCTTTGACTGATCAATACCCTACTCCCACGCCCATGGGTATCACTGCTGAAAATTTAGCCGAAAAGTACAACATTACCAAGCAAGCATGTGATGAATATGCCTTGTCAAGTCAAAATCGTTATGAAAAAGGTACGTAATTAACGGGAGATAGATTACGGCGGATGACTAAGCCATGCAATTGCACAGCTGCCAAGGCTGGTATTTACAAGGATGAAATTGCACCTGTTGAGATCAAGGGTCGCAAGGGCCCAGAGCTCGTCAGCGAAGATGAGCATCCTCGTGCCGGCTTACAAATCGAGAATTTGACAAAGTTGAAGCCTGTCTTTAAGAAGGATGGTGTTGTTTCTGCTGCTAATGCTTCAGGTATCAATGATGGTGCTGCCGCTTTGATTGTTGCTAGTGAGGATGCTGTCAAAAAGTATGGTTTGACTCCCTTGGCTCGTGTTGTGAGCTGGCAAGCATCTGCTGTCGAACCTACTTTGATGGGTTTGGGCCCTGTACCCTCTATTCAAGGCGCTTTGAAGAGAGCCAATTTGGAATTGAAGCAAATGGGTTTGATTGAAGTGAATGAAGCGTTTGCTGCTCAATATTTGGCTTGTGAAAAGGAACTTGGATTAGAAAGAGAGATTACCAACGTCAATGGTGGTGCTATTGCTATTGGTCATCCATTGGGTGCTTCTGGTGCTCGTATCTTGACTCATCTGTCTCATGCTCTTCAACGTACCAAGGAAAAGTATGCTGTTGGTTCGGCCTGTATTGGTGGCGGACAAGGTGTTGCTGTTATTTTGGAGAGAGTTTAAATAGATGTTGGTGCATAAATAAAGAATACAAGCCGTTGTTACATTGCTTGCATGAAATAGTGGCTCTTCTTGGATATTAAAATGGCTGTAAATTGATAGTAAATTTGCTGTAAGCTATAACAAACCTGTTCTAGGCTTATAGCAACATGGTTACAGGCCATACTAAAATGGTTACAGGCCATACTAAAATGGTTGCGAGGCCATCACAAATTGCAACGTCGAATTAAACACAGTGCCTTGTTCTTTAATAGTTGGCTTGAGAATGTGTTTCTGCATTCTCTACACAGAAATTAGCTCTTGCTCATCCATAATATGTCAAAACATAGCCAAATCTGGCAATTTTTGAATGCTCATTACTCATCATACAATCCGTTTTAGACGCTGGCAATGGTGCCAAACGAATGCTCTCGACGAGTACTTACTAGCTGACCCTATACCAAAATTTTTTGGGTCGAAAATCAGTGACCAAAATCCTCAATTTTCCATGAGGTATACCTCATGGCTTTCACTGAAAATTAAACGATCGCGTTTTTGGCCCTCAAAATGAAGATTTTTGCTATGGTATATATTAGATCATAATGTTCCTCTTGATCCAAAGCAACTCCTGAAACTTTATTTGTGTCACCATCATATGCAAAATCTCGACATTTTGGACAAAAACCTCATTTCATATTTTCATGCATTGCTCAATAAGCTTGTTCAAAACATATCTTTAATTAGTATCATTGAATGCGCCTCTCATAGTACTCTAGAAATGAATTAGGAACTATGGGATGATCAGTACATTTTTATAGTCGAATTGTGCAAGATAGATCAAAGAAGTCGAAAAAAAATACCTAAAAACTGCCATTTCGAGTAAATTCTATATATCGGGAATTTAAACGGTTTTGGTGGCGGCGGCGGCCAGCAGCAGCAGCAGCTTCTAGGTATGATGCTCTGTGTGTAGTTCATCTACAAAATCCGTAGACATTCATCTGGTAGAGGTATATTGGGAATAAAAAAAAATGAAACGAAACTATGAAGCTTGCAAAATATGTTCACAACGCCGACCGTATATATATATATATATATGACTATTTGCCTTTCAAATCGAATATAATGCATTTACTCTGCGAAAGGGCATCTGCTTGATCATCTCCTCTCTTTTGCACTTGATCTGATCTTTCATCGAAATTACGCACAGATTGATACTGCAGTCTCAATACCTGGTATTTTATTCAAGAATATCTTTATTGCAACAGGTGGATATGGCTTCAAAAAGATGAGTGTTTGGCATATGTTGAATATGTCGCATATCCCAAATACAGGGGGCATGTCGGATAGAAAAAGCAATCTTTACATCCACATCAAGACGGAAGAAGCGGCGGAGCGATTTTATCTCTTGCCAACCACTAAGAGATCCATCATCGTCATCTCCAAGCAAGAATATAGTCTGTACTCACCAAGATCCTTGGTGACAGACATTGAATGTAGAGCTCTCTGGCAACTCAAAATAGCTCTAGATGACCACAAGATGTGCTTACAATGGGATAATTGCGTACCGGTGATGCAAGACCATGTTGAAAATTCAGACAATTTGAAATTGAAGGATCTGACGGATTTCAGAGGGTCCTGAGAGTGATGGTGGAAGACATGCCTTGGTTGGTACAAGTTACCTTTTTTTTTTTCTCAATACAATTTTTAACCTATTTAAATCAAAAACCTCTGATCAAAGCATTGCTACAAAATTCTGATTCATTCACACACTGTTTATTGAGTAACTTTTGGTCTATTTCTCTGGACTTGCTGTTTCAATTCAAATCTATACCAACACAACTTCAATGGTCCAAGTTCTACGACACCAAAGCTTGCATGTTTCATTACCGTTACCAACAGGTACAATGGCTTTGTTCCACCAGCAGCGTGTCTATTTTCTCTCACTGTTAGCAAGCAAGCATCTTTTATAGCTTATACTGTATATACGTACAGTGGGACTACTATGATACACCATCGTGCGCTGGCCAATACGCAATCTATCGTCATAATCAATGCTTGCCAATGCGAGACTATGAATACAAGACATGTTGGGTTGCTGTGAACGCACCTGCCACTTGTCTTCCAACCCAAATCCAGCTAAACGTAACAGATCCAGCCAATGCGAGTCTTGTTGGCTGTGGTTACCATTGCTAGTGTCAAATATCGAGTCTTGATCTAACAGCAACTTTAAGCTCCTTTGCTTTATTGAAGACGAGTTTTCACAAATCACAAAGCAAACCAATTCCTCTAGCAACACCACAATGCCTTGTTTTGTTAATAGTGGGTTCAGGGGAATACCTGACACAACTGCATGAGCCAAATAAGCATCTTCGTTGAACTGGCTGTGTCTTGTTTGGAATCTAGTCTTTTCGGTACGTAGAAACTTCAACATGTGAGCCAGCATGACGGGATCAAATTCTGATTTGTGTTCTTTGGTATCCTTCACAAGGCCCCGAGGAAACAGAGCCCTTCGCACTGTCTCTGGCATGGAGCGCTTTTATGCAGTATGTTATTGATCTCTCTCTCTCTGTTGGATGGATCAACTAAAGAACCTACCAGTGTGTTTCTGTCTATATCAATGCGAGTGCCTCGCAGGTTCAAATGCAGTGTTTCTGGTATATGAACTCGATGCTGGTGTTGCTTGAGTCTTTTTACTTGCGTAATGATGGTTGACATTGGATATAAAAATAAAAAGAAAGGAGATGCCCGTCTTTTTTGCTTTTTCTTTTTTTTTTTTTACAGAAAATAGGAGGAAAGAAGAGATGAAAGGTAAATGTGTCCCATGTGGATGGTTTTATTTTATAAAAGGAAAGAGAGAAGGATTGAATACACAGCAGTTTGTTTGTTTATTAATTTGAGATTTAAGCAGAGGCAGACTTTTGCATGGAAGAAGTACGACGGCGTTCAATCTTTTCTTGCTTGGACTCCTTGACACGCTTGGCGAGCAATTGCTTGTACTCGGATTCAGCTTCACGAGAAGCCTCAGCTCTTCTGCGCTTAAGAGCTTGTCTATGTCTCTTACGTTGAAGGGTAAGAGGAGTGACAAGACGTTGGATCTTGGGGGCCTTGGTGTAAGCCTTCTTGCCCTCTGCCTTGGGTTGAACCTCACGACGGATGACATACTTGCGGACATCATCTTCCTTGGTCAAGTTCTATACAAAATCATGTTAGGAAACGTACCTAAATCAACACATGTCAACTTACAAAGAACTTTCTGATCTTGGAAGCACGCTTGGGACCAAGACGCTTGGGGACAGTGGTATCGGTCAAACCGGGAATGTCTTGCTCACCTTGCTTGACGACAACAAGAGACAAGACAGAGAGGTCAGAACCGACGATACAACCGCGGACAGACTTTCTCTTGCGCTCACCAGTACGGCGAGGACGGTAACAAGAGTGACCCTTGGACAACAAGAGACGCACACGGTGGGGCAAAAGGACACCTTGCTTCATGGGGAAACCTTGCTTGTCGTTACCACCAGAGATACGGAAAACGTAACCCTTGAATTCGTCACCGAGAGAATCGCCAGAGACTTCTTGGGCCATACGCTTATCGTAGAAACCACGGCTACACAAATCATCAGTTTCCAATGGCCCCGTACATCTACATGAATCACACAATGACTTACAGACGACGCTCATCTTCGATTTCAATCAATTTTTGACAGCCAGTGGCTGGGTTCGCAATGTTAAGCTATACAGTAGGTACGTATTAGGACCGCAAGTTCAGGAGTAATGGCAAGGCGAATGTGTGTCATTTAGAGAGAAATGATGGTTCGTGTTGATCCGTATCGAAAGCCGTTGTTTGGTAGGCTATTGCCCGGTGATTTGATATACATATCAGTCTATGCTGTTGTGCACATGTCGAATTGCGTATTGCTAGTGGTATTATCCAGTGTCATGGCGTTTTACATTGGCTGTGCTATATTGCATCCATTTGATTTTTTTTTCTGTGCGTGTGCTTCCCCTCCAATCTCAACTACATCCATCCATCCATCTGAATCATCCATCTCTGGCATCCATTCCTCATTTCTCTCTAAAACGACACATCCGTCCTCTATTTGCATAGTATTACCTTCATGGTAGTAGCTGTTGGATCGAACCTAAAGTATAAAAGAGGAGGATTTTATTGTTCTGGCTCTGCGTACATGTCTATAGTGGCGGCAATTCCAAGTCTGTGCGATTTGAACTCCAGTCGCCGGTTCATCCTTCAAATGTTCGAGTGTATTCTGATGAAGTATTGAAGCTGGATAGTGAAGCGTATCATGGTAACCACGGGACCATGCTTCCCTTCACCCAAGATGGTCGCAAATGACATGCATACATGTCAGTCATTTGGAATGGCGGCAAAACGAGGCTTGTTCAAACTCATATATCGACCATAAGGCATGAGGATGGTTTAATGTGCCCATTTTTTTTTTTTTTTTTTTTTACAAAAGTGCGAACCTCGCTCATTGAAGCTATGCTCTCTGTTCATCTAGGATGGTTCTCAGGGCTCTGTGTCCTGACCAAAAAAATGTGAAAAAGCGCATTGCAATCTCTAGACATCGACATATGCTGATCATGATTGATGCAAATGATGTGATTCTGATTCGCCCAAAAATATTTCATCCTATCTAAATATTTTGAAGGTTTAGAAACCACACCTCTCTTTTTCTCTTTTTTTTTTTTACCCTCACTACTTATCACGACAAACTAGACAAACACAACATGAGCTCGCAACATTTTATACCACCTGTGGTAAATAGCATGAACCACCGTAAATAGAGACATCTGAATCCATAACGCATTGTTTTATAGAATTTTGGTATGATTGAAGAAGATTTATATCGCTCAGGACAACCAAACGAGCTCAACTTTCCCTTCTTGGAAAAGCTAGGGCTGAAAACCATTGCCTGGTTAGCGCCCGAAGAGCCCAACCAACGATTGTAGGCAAAAAAAAAAAAAAAAAAAAAAAAAAAAAAGCAAGCGCACTACGAGATAAACTCACAGTCTTTTATTAGCTTGGACTTTATTGATGATCAAGAAATACAACTGCATCATTTAGGCGTCGTCTCATCAGTGAATGCCTGGGATCCTATTACAGAAGAAGCTGTTTTGCAAGCATTGGAGTTGATCTTAAACCCTTCCAACTATCCAATGATGATCATGTGCAATTTAGGGCGACACAGAACAGGTAATAGCGGGGCAAGAGTGGAGAACTATGCGCGACACAGAAGCTGACATGTTGCTTTGGTATTAGGCACCATTGTGGGATGTATGCGGAAATTACAGCGCTGGAATCTCACCTCCATATTCGAAGAGTACAGAAGATACGCTGGACCTAAAGTTAGATTACTGAATGAACAATTTATCGAATTATTTGATACAGATCTTGTAGCAATTCCTGCTAATAAACCAAAATGGGGCATTTAACGCATAGGTGTATATCATAGTTTTATTCTACATGTGTTGGGGAATAGGGATCTAGATGTGCTTGGGAGTAAAGACAAGAGGCTCTTCGCAATTCGTGGCAAAGACACCAGCAATCGTAGCAACAGGATAGGGCTTCTTACCGCTGACTGTGTCAATGTCAAAATGTTTCAACAGATGTACAAGAGACATTTCAATCTCTTGAACAGCAAAGAAACGGCCAGGACACATATGCTTACCCATGCCGAAACTAGCAAAGTCTCTTGCTGGTGAAGTGCTGATCTTGTTCAATGACTTTGCAGGATCCATGTCTTGTACAGCAGCTCTGGTAACGTTATCACCAAAGTTCAATTGACGCAGAGTGGTAGTGACAGAACGCCCCTTGGGCACTTGGTAGCCATTCTTGAAGGTGTAGTCTCTGAGAGCCTTTTTGCCATTAGCCACTCTATCAGCGCCTTGGCGAAGCACTTCACGCATGAAATTGTTCAGGAACTGCATCTTGCTCAAAGCTTCGTGAGTTAAAGGTGTATTTCCAGGCACAATACGCTCAATTTCTTCCAACAATTGGGCCTTGAGATCAGGACGAGCAATCAACCAGTAGATGGAGAAACTCAGATTCATGGAGGTGGTATGAACAGAGGCAAAAGCGACCAACAAGACAGCATGAGCAAGCTCCTTTTCAGTGTAGAAGGATCTGTTGGGATCATCGGTATTCTCAAACTCCATCAGACCTTGCAAAAAGTTGTTTTCCAGGCCATGCTCGACACCTGCTTCTTGTGCTTGCTTCATCTTTTCCCTTCTCTCCACAATGACAGGCGCAACATACTTTTCCATGACTTCATAGTGTTTGTTGGCAGATTGTAGATAAGATACAAGGTAAGGGTGGAAAAACTTGGGCACCATCATAAAGATACCAACGTTCTTGGTCACGTCGCCAGTGAATTCAGCAAAGGACTTGATCACCTCAGTGTTGGTGGCCATTTCCTCGCCAAGCAAAGTAGGCACACTCATGTAAGCGACAAAGTTTTGAAAGAAGGGGCTAGGATGGTTGACAATGGTGGGTTCGTTCTTGTTAAATAGCGTCGCTACGCCTCTTTCCAGGCCAACCTGAATACCAGGGATGTACATGGGCATCTTGTTGTTGGGCACTGTTGCTTTGGCTACAATTGGATTGGCCTTGATACCAATAGCCATCGTATGATGATCGAATACATAGTCCAAATGCAACAAATCTATGACAAAATGTCAGTATACGTTGTGGCATTGAATCCATGCAGCATCCCCACCTTTGACAACACCTTCTTCTAATGACAAATCAGCCTGATCAGCCTTCAATGCCTCTTCGGCACATTTACCACTCGCCACAGTAACCTCTTTACCGAGCATGTTGATATTATACAGTTCACCGTAATTCTTGTTGCACCAATCAATAAATTTATTAGGCATGATCATGAGATACAACGAATGACCCAGCAAGGGCAGACTGAATGGCACAGTGGGAGGCAAATGCAACTTTTGACGCTTGGCTTTGACGTACGATGACAGGTTGTAGAGCGTCAAAAATGCAGCAGCGCCGAGAAATGTGAGCTCGTTTCTTGTGGAACGCTTATAAAAATCCATCCAGCGATGAGCCAGATGGGATTGCTGTATCAGTGCAATGGCTTGGTGAATGGGTGCTGATTTTGACAAGGTGCTTAGGTAATCCATGATTGAATGTAAATAAAGTGTACAGAAAACAAAAAAAAAAAAAAAAAAAATGTGGAGTAAAATTTCAAGGTTTTATATGTATACAATAGATCCAAGGACAAGTAAACCGAATTGTCATCTGCAAAAGACTCCGGGTGGCATCAATTGACACTCCACGTTTTGACGGAACGACGTGCCCGAACCTATGATAGCTTTTCATTGGAATTTTAGTGTCGATGGCTATTGTTTACCATCATAACAATATAATCAACAGCAGCACAAATACACCCTAAAATATCAGGATTCACGGGGGTTTTATTCATATGCCCCAGATTGTTTGATTACTGGTGTAACAAAGCTTTCAGGGCAACGCTCCCTGCCTTGGTTGCTCATTGATCGCTCATTTTGAGGTTACGTTTCGTTTAAGAGCAATCAATGTCTTTGAAGGCAGAAAGAGTAGCACTATTCATTCGGCAATAAATGTGAAAGCAGAGCCCTTGTCTATAGCATATACTCTACCTGATGATGTATGATCCTATTCGGAAGGGCTTACTACAAGTGATAGGTTAGAGTTGCTTGCATGGATAAAACTCTAGCAGACCTCGCTTGATGGAGTGTTTATATACGAAATATAATCTTTTTTGAGTGTAGATGCTATCATCACGTTTTATGCTCCCACTTTCTCTTGTTGCCAGGACATTCATGCTATAAAACTTTACTCTGTTGACATGGGCATTCAATATGAATCAAGAAATTCTCATTGAATTGAGCTCATTTGGACAGAAATAGAGATAACTAGCGGGTATACATCCACGCAAAGGTCTAACGATTGCTGTAATAACAGGTACAATTTTTCACAAGACAAACCAGTACAAGCAAACAGCTTGAGTTGATATCAAATTTATACGGCTTCAATGACCCAGTAGATGACAGGGTGATTATATGTTTCAGCAGCTGATGTTTACTCTGTGCGCTGGATGATAATCTTAGCTATCATCCACGAGGGACTTCAACCAACCGCCACTTTCAATGAGAATTCCCTTCTCACCATGGTTCTGGCAGGCGAGAAAAAAAAAGGAACCAGGCTGTACCTACAATAAAATACACCAGGGTTATTTCATCACTAATAATTGGATAGTAGCCTTACTTGTTTGTTTGGCTCTTTGAAAAGGGGGCAAGGGAAAACCATCAGTAGATGCCAAGCTAGAGAATCCAATGAAGGCCATGTCCATAGCTCCATTCAAATCACGGTTGATGGTGGTCGACCATATTGTGAGACGTCTCGGGCAGCATGTAACTCATGCCCCACTTTCCGAACTTGCCCAAACACATCAGAGCATGAGACGGATGCCGATCAATCAGGGATAGAACATTCTATCCATTGAATCACCAACTCTCTCTCAAACCATGCATAGAGGTACACCCATCAACCCGAAATCGTTGACAAACTAATCCACGACACCCAAAGCTAGGCGGTATACTTTAATCAAATGTATCTTGACAGTAATTCTTGTAACCATCCAACGAGTGATTTGTTCTTGACTGAAACGTTCTCAGATATCAGTCCTTCGCCTTGTTCCAATTTTACTGCAACATCTCACTCTTAATAACAAACATTTGATAGCTCTTGTTTGGATCTGTGAAAAGAAACAATAAATAGGTATAAGCATTTTGAATCAATAAAGAGAGGCTTGAGGAGCGAGAGTTTTTAGAGATCAAAACATTCAAAAGAATCAGGAACGAAACGTTTAGATGTCCTCCCTTTATAACTCAATACAACTCAAATATCCACCAGCTATAGGATACAGTACCACTGATATCTCTTTCAGGCTTTCATAATAAGTTATGTATAGCCTTTTGTACTTATGATCTCTCAGACTAATTTAATGTTGCTGTCATGACTCCTACTGCATAGCTATCGTTGGTTGCATTATAAAGAATATAACACATCATTGCAGATTCAATCCATATCCTAAACAGAAATAAATCTGAGCAATAGGTCAGGCCAATAACGAATATGAAAAGGGTTTATTAAAATGGATATGACGTAATGAAGCTGTTGATGCCAGAATGCCACGTAATCTTAACTATGCACATTAAATGCTAATACATGGTGCTATCTTTAGCTTGATCCGATTACCGGCATTTGCTTACAAATCTTTTGGCTTTGGTTGGAAATTCGCAGAAAAAATGTAAAGGTACTCCGCAAAATTCATGCTTGATCTGCTGCTGCTTGAAATTGATTTGATTTATAATACACTCACTCTTTGATACACTGAATGCTCTTTCGTTCTTTGATGACTAAGATTACCTCAAATCAAGCATGCATATATATATATATATATAGAGAGCACATCCACAACTGCTTCTTGGTCCCTTACTAAACCATTAGTAAAATAATTTGCACAAATACATACATAATATGAAGGTCTTGATCGTTTTAGCCCATCCCAGAGAGAACTCCTTGGTTCATTCCATCAAGAAAAAGTTTGAACAGGGCTTGGTTGACAGTGGCCATCAAGTAACCACCTTGGATTTATTCAAGGTTGGCTTTGATCCAGTGCTCCGTGAAGAAGATGAACCTCATTATGACCGAGAAGAGCAAGTGTTTAGTGAACAAGTAAACACCGAAATGGAGAGAATCAATCAACATGATGCCCTGGTCTTTGTCTTTCCTCTGTATTGGTCCAACATGCCTGCTATTATGAAGGGTTACCTTGATCGCGTATTTAATCTTGGATTCGCTTATGCTCCCTGGGGTTCTACTACTATGAAAGTAAAGAAGGTGTTCTTCATGATAACTACTGGCGCTAGCGAAGCACTTCTCAACAAGAGAGACCACATTCCATTCCTCAAGTACTACTTTAACGAGGTCGTAGCTGGATACTGTAAGATAGAAAACTCAAGGGTGAAGCTCTTTGACGATGCCCACAATACGGATTTGGCCATTAACAATCACTTGCCTCGTGCTTATCAAGAGGGTTTAGAGTTCGATAAATGGTAGATTCAAGTATACATAGGCTTTGCTTTTGCACTTGATAAATAAACATTAATTTACCGAAAGACCATTACAGTTATGCAAGGCATGATAGCTGATCTTGTAAGGTTGATCCAGCAAAATCAAATATATAATAAGCTTTACGATGGCCAATTCCTGTATATTTCATTTTCTATGTGCTAGATTAAATTTCTGTATTGGCAGAGTATGACATTTCTCGACTAATGCGTCTAGATTGCTGTAAAGTGTGCAAAAACGTCTACCTTCAGTTTGTATTGGCTTTTAAAATGAGTTTCCTGACTTGAATAGTAACAAGTTGATGATGTGCTTGCATGATCTCTATATTTGATCATCAGAATCATGAGAAAGGATCAAGCTTTAGTAGCTTTGTAAGCTGCTGTTAGTTTGAAAGAGTTCCTTGTTGTAGAGTCACTGGTATTTTACATCTTGCAATGGAATACACTGTGTTTTTTGTTTCATTGTGATGGTAAAATACCAAAAGACGGATACCAATAAGCGATTGATAATCTTGAACCATTTGGACATTGAGCGGACCAGAGAAGGAGCCTTATGACCTCACTTGATAGAGTGCACATTCTGTATTCCGTATCACAACATGGAGAATTATCAACAGTTCATACAACGCATTTGAGTGGCACCATCAGCATTTCGAAACCGCAGGTTAACCAATCGCTATCATCTATTAAATCGTTCGTGATGGATATGTTTGATCTATTTTTGCATCTAAAGACAAACGCCCAGGGCCAAATTTCACCACCCAGAGGACATCAGCAACAGCTGCTTACACTTCAAGAAGAAATATCATGAGAAATTGTAGACTTGAACCAAAGATCGGATCTTATCATAGAGTAGCCGTTTGAAACTATGCAAGAAATGACTGTTATAAAAGCAATGCTTCTTTTTTTTTTCTGTTTTTTTTTTTTCTTTCTTCTCGATTGCTTCGAGCAATATTTCACGTTAGACGACAATATGGGTACGCATACACCAATGTCACCAGCTACTTCGCCATCTGGAAGAAAGACCAAAGACGCATCACAAATAAAGAGAAGAATCACACAAGCCTGTATTCTGTGTCGAAAGAAAAAGGTAAATATTACTCGTTTTAATCTGAATCAATCTTGGTAAATAACATGCCAAAAAAAAAAAAAAAAAAAGATCAAATGCGATGGTGCCAAGCCAGAATGTGTTCACTGTCAAGATGCCAATCTACAATGTCAATACACAGAATACAAAAAGCGGGGACCTCATAAAGGCTATGTTAGATTACTAGAAGAGAGATTGGTACAATTAGAACGAAGATTGACAAATGCTGGAGCGGAGGTACCTCCACCAATCTCCATCAATTCACCAACACAGCAGCATTACAGCAACAACAACTCCACAGTCAAGGAGGAAACATCATCATCATCGTTGATGACAAATAAGCAGCAGGGCGAGGACGATGATTTCCCTCCACCGGAAATTGTTACTCACTTGATCGATTTATTCTTTCAGTACCTCAACTCGGTGTTCCCCTTTGTTCACCGTGCCAGATTAAAGCAATCCATCAAGGAAGGAACTGTATCAAAGCCGCTGTTATGGGGTGTTATGGCGATTGCTGCAAGGTATAAACAGAGAGACTTTTGTGTGTTTAGCGAGATTATCAATAAATGACTCTGATTTCCTTGTATAGATTTTCAGATCACCCCAGTATAAAGACCGATCCGCCATACTGGGCAGGCGAGAAGTTCGCCATGAAAGCAACCTCACTCATCAACGCAACACTGCTGGAGCCTACAATCCCAAATTTACAGTTCTGGGGTATCATGTCTTGTTTGGAATACGGTAGAGCGTCTGGTTCAAAGTAAGTTTGACCAAGTTGAGGGGAGCAATATTTGTCACTCACTGTGTGAATGTGGTGATAGAGCTTGGATTTATGGCGGTATTGCAGTAAGAATATGTCAAGAATTGGGATTGAACAAGGAAGAGACTCTTGCAACCCCGATATTGGCAGTAGATGGATCCATTGATCATGTGGCTATGGCATTGCGTCGCCGTATCTTCTGGAGCACTCTTTGTATTGACAAGTAAGTCTGGGTTGGCCTATGAGCTGATTGGGTCAAGATATTGATTTCAGTGTAGGTTTGCTAGCACTAGTACAAATCGTCCGCAAGGTTTCGACATTGGTGAATACGACGTTGAACCTCCGACCCTCAGTGAAAGTCGTCTCTTGAGAGATCCACTACAGGGTTTCACAATGGATCGCCTTGTCATTGCCAATGATCCCTTGATGGACGTCATTCCATACTATCTTCGTGTGTTGGAGCGGTTCGGTGAGATTGCAAAGTACATGAGCAGAGCCAAAACAGCAGGTGCAACAGTTGCATGGCCACCTATCAACGAATTTAGTGAATTAGATGCTAAAATGCGTCAATGGCGAGAGGACCTTCCAGAAATCTATCAGTTTACACCAGCGAATGTTAAGAAATACAGAGATTCAGCCAGCCAAAACTACATCAACTTCTGGATCTGCTCACATGCCATGTATTGCACCGGCATGTTGGCTTTGCACCGTGGTAGCTTAGCATACAATGATCTGTCAGTAGCAGAATTATCGCAAGACATCTATGATCGTATCCAAGCTAGTATCAAAGCATGCAAAGCCAATGTAGAGATTGCAATGGACGTTTTCAAAGCTTTGCGAGATATTTGTGGCTGGAACGTTCTGCCATACATGGGCTATTGTGCTTACATCTTTTCCACTGTGCTCATGACGTCGGCATTCTCTTCAGATCCTGTTTCCTATCAAAAGAGTAGTGCTGGTTTGGCCATTCTGTTTGATACAATCAAGGTAGGCTGACAAAAATAGAGTGATTCAACAAATACTGACTGGAGTTTCAACAGCTGTTGGGTGCCTACTGGCCCATGAGTGAAAGGCTGTCGCTGACGACTCGCGATATGCTTTCTGCTCACAGCCGACTATACGATGTTCAGGAACAAGAGTATAACTATGAAGCGTCGAGAATGGCCCACCCTATGCAACAACATCAACAAGCATCACCACGGCAACAGGGGATGCAGATGCAACAACACCAATCACTGCAGCCTTCAGCTTCGATTCAACAGCAACAGCGTCAACACCATCAACAACCGCCACAGCAGCAGCAACCTCAGCATCAGCTTAGTAGTCCAGATGTTGACTCGTTAGCTTCCATTTCCACCGTAGAAAATTCAAATATTCCCCCCACTTCATCATCCATGTCATACTCTTCATATGTTTCAAATAATAGCCTCATGCCAATTCAACCACAACCACAGCCTCAGGATCAATCGCAGCAACAGCAGCAACCATTGGGTAGCTACCAGCAGTTACAGCAAGGAAACATCAATAACAATGATATCGATTTCAACAGCTGTGAATTCCTCTACGATTCTGCCTTGTTTGGACAAATCATATTCGATACTTCGAGAGGAGGTAGTGATGTCAACATGGCGCCTCCGTATTCAATTCCCATGTCCATGTCAAATACGTCTAATGCATACGCACCTTACCAACAACAACTGCCGCCTAAGCAAACAACTGCACCATGGGGCGTTTGATTTTATTTATTAGAAAAGAGGGAGGACCGCAAGTGCGATACATGTACTAATGATTGAGTGCAAAGAATAAAATAAAAATATGTGTATATGCTTTATCAATATTTATTTCTTTACTGTTGGTAGTATCGATCTATCAGCTGAACTAGTTGTTGCGGCATTTAATGAACTACTACAATATTGTGATTTGGGCACATTTAAACGTGTGAATACAACAGTGCTTGTGAAAATCACGGATGAACATGGAACTTGAATGGTCATATCAGACAAAAGTTAGAGTCTGATTCAAACCAGCCCAAGGAGGATATAAAGTGCATATATCAAAAGTAAACCGAAGATTTCGTAGAAAAGAAACACACACAATTTCATACCAAGGCCATGATTCAATACTGGCTGATTTATCAGAAATGAATTATTTATAAAAAAAAAGAGTATGAAATTAATCAGGTAAAGAATATCGTTTATTACATTGGAAATAAGAGGGTTTATATACTATTCGAATCGAGGGATTTGATGTGAGGATAAGGTATTAGATGGGTTGATTTGGGTGATAGGATAATAGATCCAATCTATCATCCTGAACATGCCATGATATGGATCGTAACTGAATCCTGTTTCATGTCAAAGTTTATGATTTGATGTGATCGGTGCTTGAACTGCTTGTTTCTACGCATTTGGAGATCCGGTTTAGAAATGATACATCAAGAAGGTCTTGAACAATACATAACTCTTAGGACATAACTCTTAGGACTACGCAATGAGTACTGGTACAGGTAAGCTGGTACAGTTTCATCACATGTTTTCGTTTGAAAACCCTCAAAACATTTAAAAGTCAGGTCTAATTGTGTACAAGCTATATAATAGCATCAATTACGGTATATACCTATGTTACTACACTGTAAAAAGTAGCTTGAGGAGAAAGTGAATATACCCTAAGATGCATACTTCTTGTATGCAACAACTAAATTGCTTTCAATGAGGCATGAACAGTGTCCCTCCTGAAGAACATTAAAGGTGTGATTATATACTTCTATTTCCATTTGATTAAGGTTTTATTATTATAAAAGACAAAATAACGTTAGACAGATCAATAGGAAACCAACTAGTTGTAGACCTTCGCTGCTACGATCCCTCAACCAATCAGATTGCTTGAAAACTCCGCTGGCCTAAAAAAAAATTGCGAGGGTTTCCCCCTGTTTTGATGTGAGGCAAAATTTTAAGCTCCGATATACAGCAGTATAGCAGATGCTATCATCAAATTTCCCCCAGGTGCTAGAGCATGCCTTACTTACACCACCTAGCTTTTAAATTCTGGCATTGAGACTCTCAATCATCACTAAAGTAAGTAGCGATAACCAAGTGGAGGCGGCCTATCTACCTCCTAGCCTCGGATAAAGTCTTGTTGAGCTTCAGGGATAGGCACATCCACACAACGTAAAAAAGGTATGCTTCAAAGAAACATAATCAAAGGAACAAATGAACATAATACTATAAGAGTATAGTAGTATGTAGGCAAAAAAAAAGAGAGGCGCTCACACAAAGCGAGTCAAAGAAAAGCGTAACAAACACAACATCAAAGATGTTCAAAGAAGCTCGTTGTTATTGTTGCAATAAAAATGCATACATGAGCAACGTGCATGGTAGTAATAGTCGGCTGTAAAGCAACATGGCACAAATATACACAACTGCAAAAGCAACAGCGGTATTATCAGTTTGCAATACAACATAATGACTAATGCTGTTTCATGTGAAACCACAGAGGAAACACCACCAACAAAAGAAAAAGAAGAAGAAGAAATCGCAACAAGGCAAACATCATGAATGCATTATCACGAGAAAGGAAGTAACAATATAAACGTTCAAAGAAGGCTTATATCATTGCGACCAGAAGAAAGAAGATACTTACCACTTACCACAGCTAGAGATAAACCAGAGAACGAGCATGCACCAAATACAGTAGACCAGGAAAGACCATGTTAGCAGCAGCAACAGCAGCAACAACACCAGCACCATAGAGAAACCAAAGAACAAACACCACCAACAGAGACTAGTTAAAGACCAAAGAAATTGCTTACTAAACCTATCACAGCCACGGATGGACCAGAAGAGTATAGGCAATCACCAGAGATAGACCAGAGAACCAGCATACAGCAAAGACAGTAGACCAGAAAACATCAGATTATCAACAACATCAACAACAACAGCAGCAGCAATACCAGCAGCAACAGCAACACCAGCAGCAACAGCAATACCAGCAGCGTAGAAAACCCGAAGAACGAGTGACACCAGAGACCAGGCAAAGACTAACAAAGCAACTGCCAGAGATGAAGACCAAAGAAGCAGTTACCAGACATAATAAACCATAGAAGCAAACAGCAGAGATAGCAAAGAAGTAATGGTAGCAGCGCCCACGGCAAACAGGTAAAAAAAATAATCGAAACCTAATAAACAAATTCGATTAGTGCTTGTTCTGCGTCTTTCTGTGCTCGTTGTCGAACGGTACCTGCTATATTCCACTTAAGAGAAGCAGTATCAAGTGCTTTTAACAGTACAAGGCCGTGTTATCAAAAGCTAGAGTGTTATTTTCAATCAAAAGGGTTCCAAAACCAATGTGGTTTGATATTAAACGCGTTTTGCAAAAAGGGTAAAAAAAAAAGGAGGATATGGAAAAATGAGAGAGCGCCCCATTCGACGTCACGGCCAGTAGATTTGGTCCCAGTATTCTGCCGTCGTGGTAGCCATAACTGCTGCACTTTAATTTGCAATTGTGCAGTGGGTATTTTCGTCTTCAAACTTGACTTGATTTGACATCCTTTGAACGTTTTTGCCAATTTAACTATGAAAACTCTCGTTGTCACATCCAACGTTATAATGCATCTTTAGAGAACTAAAAAAGCCGCATCAAATGGTGCTGATTACATGCAGCTTTCAGACCGAAAATAATGAGCAATTTTCAAAAATATGAAAACAGGTTTTCTGTGAATATGTCAAAATCTAGCATATAAAAGTTTCATATAAACAGCTTCTAGTGTCGCGTTATATCTTTACAATCAATTTGATTCGATATATATTATAGAAAAAGTCGTCATTTTTGGGGTGAAAAACGCGGTCGTTTGATTTTCAAGATTTTTTCCTTACTAGTACACATGAGAATCATGAGGATTTTCATGAATTTGCAACGACCTAAAACATTTTGAAATAAAGCATCAGTAGCTAAAGCGTGGGCAAGGAGAAACGTTTGGCCCTATTCCGAGCTTCCACAACGCTTTGTAGCATGAGTTATTCGTGCTTCAAAATGTCTAAATTTGGACAGAATTTGGCCAAAAATAAGGCGTAGTAGGTTGTGTTGCCAAGGGAGTCAGTAAATCACGGTTCTGTCTGATGACCCCGATATTTTGCTTTGTATGGAAATCAACGCCTAAGCGATCGACGCTTGTATTCTAATTCTGAGGCTCTGTTCTTTCATTTTGAAATGCGCGAATACAGTAATTTCATAACTTGAGCGTCAATGATATTATGCAAATTTGCATGTAACAACTTGCTAAGAGTGACCGAGATGCTTATCAGCTTAGCAGAATAATTTTGGTGGTTGTCCACACCAGAGATGCCATATCTAGCCGTGAAATTAGATCTAAAGTTTATCCACCATGTTAAACACTCATATGTATGTAAGGAGAAAACTTCTTTTCATAATATTGGTTTCGTTACACTTTCCTCCCTTAATTATTTAACAACCAATGTAGCAACTGAAAATCCGTTAATATCTTTAGCAACCACTCATAGTGGACTTGAAATAGTCTCGATGATATAAAAGCTCTACCATGAACATAGGGCTTGGGATAGCTGTACCCCCTTGTTTCGCAAAATGCGCAGCGTACGTTTGGCTCTTTGCTACAGTACAAAGAAGCAACGTTTCACCAAGCGGTTTCAATACAACGTTTTCCAGTACCTTATCTGTCGATCTATTACTCGCAACTTCTTGCAACCAACAGCCTATATTGAAGAGCACTGCCAATTTACATTTAAAGTGCATTTTACGCTGAGCACTGCATTCCGCTGTCATAGGTAATTTGTGAACCATCCTACTTGTGTAGTGTAATAATGATTATGAACCTAACTCTTTCTCTTTGTTATACAGTTTTATTCAAACAATATGAAAAGATCTTAACCAAAAACGCTAAATTCATCTTCATCAGCCATGTCTTGGTGTTTAGGCTGAAATTGACGACGACGGTGCTTGAGTCTGATTTGATTATCGTTTGCCATGGGAGGAATTCGCTTGATTTTACAGCCTGGACATACAGGTACACACTTCCAACAATGTTCAAAATGATGAGCGCAGGACCAGCACTGAGCATCAACACACAAGATTCTTTGACAACGGTCCACTCGTCTCTGCAATGTAGGGTCATCTGGGTGTTGTTGTCGCTGCTCTGGCGTCAATCGGCTTTGCTGTTGCATTTGCAATCTTTGTATACGCTGTTCCAGTAAACTTAATTCTTGTTCAAGCTCTGTTTCCTTTTGATCCTCGGGTAAAAAGCCACAATGTCGAATATCCAGCTCTACATGAGGATGTATCGATAGCTTGTTCCATGTCTTTTGATATGCCAACAGATGAGGTTCGAAATCCATATAATAGTGGTAAATATTGATCTTCTCGATAGGTAAAGAATTCGGCTTGACAGATCCGAATTTAAGCATTTCTTGTAATAGCTTGATATCCACTTCCAGGTTGGTATTTTCTTTGCGGTTTCTAGCACTGAGTTTGCGCAAGTGAGGGAATTTGATCAGCATAATGATGGGAGACAGATCAGCATCATCGCTGTCATCCATGATTGCCTATTTGACATGTGAGTATGGAATGTGAGTACAATGTACAAATCAGCCAAATTACCTCCACGACATGCTGCCTTAGTCCATTCGAGTCATCTAGTTTTCGCAGCGATGAATAAATGCGATGTAAATCAGTTGTATGATTCAAATCAAAAGTAATCCTTCTCCAAAGATATTTCGAGGACAAAAACATGTAGCGCATGTGTCTACATGTATCCATCAAACTTGTGTTTGAGCATAAATCTAAATGCTGGCTGATGTTTGCAATGATGTCGTAGGGTAATGTCAGTAATGTTGTGGTCATGTTTGAGTATATAGAAGAAGGAAATGTCAAGGAAAACAGGATATTTTAAAAGCTTATTAATGTAGTTTCCTGCCATTTTTGTGACAGTTCCTCTAATCATTATAAATCAACATGTACAGTCGACATTTAACCAATGGAACAGGTGGGATCATTGATTTGGATCAATTGTCAAGGCATTACACATAATACAGGACTTGCTATTGATCAGGCAAGCCCTCAGTCGGCAGCTATGTATTGACTAGAAGCTCCCCAGTCTTTGGTAATAGACATTTAGCAATGCTTGACTAGTGGTCATGTAGAGGGAGATACAACACACACTCCAGCAGTGTTCTCTACCCAATCAAGTACAAGCAAAAGCAGTCTGGCCAACCATCAATATTTATGTGAATGTGTCTCGACATCTAAATTTAGTTGACGTTATTGCCTACAATATATACGCATTTTTCTCTCTCTCTCTTCCTTTCACGGCAAAAGATGGACACTGGCTTGATAAAAGAGGAACAAGAGATTGAAAATGCTTTAGAGGCACTGACGGTAGAAGAAGCAAAAATCGACGATGCCATTGCAAAAGATGAACAGGAAGTGGTGGATACAGCTTCTTGTATTCTCAACAAGAACAGTGTTTCTCAAAGCGAGCATGCAAAGAAGCGTAGAAGGTAAGTGATACAGCCGCGAAACTACGGATCAAGCGAATAATGATATGCCTTCTTGCTAGCTTGGCTACCTACAATCAACACGTTGGCATGCAGAATTCACATATTCAGCCTACAGACGATATTTTCAACTCCAATGATCCTCGCATCAAAGAAGACATTATTGCCATTATCATGCAGTATCTACAAGACGAAGGCTATCACGCTTCTCAGTCTGTTTTATACGATGAAACCAATGTCAAATGGAAAGAAAGAGAAGAACGCACATTGGAAGTGAAGCGATTAAAAAAGGCCATTCTAGGTAAACAGAGGGAATGCCATTTTTGCAACCACAAGGCTCACACTGTGTGTATGTAGACGGCGATTGGCAAGAAGTAGAGAAATTATGTACAAAACCACTAGTTAAAAATCATAGATCATTTTTATATTCTGTATACAAGCAGCAATATCTAGAATATTTAGAACGACGAGAGATTCAAAAGGTAGCTTCTGTTGCTTGATATACCGAAATAACAATAACAGACTGACACACCCTATAGGCATTCACATTCTTGAACAAGCGACTAAAGCCACTTGAGCACTTTCAAACAAAACCCAACGAATTCAAAGACATGTGCTACTTGTTAACAGCGAAATCCATCCATGAAGCGCCTAGTTTCAAGCAATGGGAGGGTATCATGGCATCGAGAGAAAGTCTTGTCGATCAGCTTCAAAGCATGTTGGAATTTGAAACAGCAGACCGCACAGGCAACCGACACATCCCTCCAGATAGATTACTAGGCTTATTGCGTCAAGCAGTAGCGTATCAAATCGAGTTTTCTCGCTACCATCCCAAGATTGCACCTACCGTCAATTCACTGCTGGACGACTATTCGAGTTTTGTGATACCAAATGCTGTGGGTGCGACATTGACTGGCCATCACGGCAACGTCAAGTGCTTGGAATTCATTGGTGAAGAAGGCAAGAAGATCGTATCGGGCTCCAGTGACAATACATTGCGTATCTGGGACACAGAGTCTGCCAAGTGCTTGGATGTGTTGGAGGGCCATCGATCTCGCATTTGGGATTTAACAACGACACATGCGGGCGACTTTGTGGCAAGTGCCAGTGGTGATTCTACAGTCAAGATTTGGAATTTAAAGAGCCAGCAAAAGGCCTCTTGTGCAACTACGTTGAATGGACATGCGGGAGATGTGTATTCAGTGAGATACCATCCCAACGAAAGCCACATCGTGACAGGTGGATATGACAAAACGGTGCGACTCTTTGATGTGAATACAGGTGCCATTATAAAGACGTTTCCTGGACACCAACTGGCTGTGACCAAGACCATCTTTAATCCTCTGGGTAATCTCGTGATTAGTGGATCCAAAGACAACACCATCAAGTTTTGGGATATCGTATCTGGCTTGTGTATTCGTACCATTTCATCGCATTTGGGTGAAGTGACATCGGTGGAAATGAACTCTAGTGGCACCTTACTGCTGAGTAGCTCCAAGGACAACTCCAATCGTCTGTGGGATGTTCGTATGGTGCGACCTATCCGCAAGCTCAAAGGACATCAAAACACCTCCAAAAACTTTGTGCGGGCCAATTTCGCAGACAACAATCTCATTGTGGGAGGCAGTGAAGATGGCATTGTATATATCTGGGATCAGGACACAGGTGAAGTGTTACAGAAACTGCGAGGACATTCGGGCGTGGTGTACGATGCAGCATGGAACGTGAAACAAGGCATGCTGGCAAGCTGTAGTGATGATCAAACCGTCAAAGTGTGGTGGTATGATGATACGGTAAGTGTTGATAATCCCATGATGAATGAAGGGAACTATACTCACCACAGTACCCTTTGAAGGTCCCGCTGGATATCTAAAAATTGTTTCTCTCTTTCTTTCTCTTCAATAAATAAAAATGCAAAGTATCATACCAAACACAAATCCAGTCAATGTAGATCTCCCTTGCTGCCAGTGTGCCAGTCTGCAAGATCATGAGCTCGGCATCTCGCCATGCTGCTCAGGCGATCATTGGACATACGCCTTGGCACAAATCAGAAAGAATGCATACAGCTCAACGATCGCCGCAATCTCGTCCCCAGCTTATCATATTCATGCGTACGAAACCAAGTACAAGAAGTCATCCAGCAACACGCTAGCCCACTTGCCATTGCCAGGCACTGAAAACGACGTCCTGGGCCTGTTTGGATACAGCTTTAATGCAGAGCCATTTTCCACACAAAACATCTTTGAATACAGACAGCATCGCTCAGAGCATCTGCTAATGCGCATGCTCCATTGTTTTGCCAAGCACGATTTCAACCTGTCGTTCGTCAGATTGTCTCCCGGCACATTTATGGTACAGAAATGGGAGTTTTGCGAGCCATTAGTTTACCCTACATCTGATTCATCACTGATCAATGCCATGGACCTGTTCACCAAAGACGATACCTTGGCGCCCATTGACACATTCACGTTCAACGATTTGTTCAACGACATGATGGAGCAAACCAACATAGCAGCGATAGAAAAGAAGCGACTGGAAGAGGAGGAAGCACAGAAGCAAAGAGCACAGACGTTTGTGCCATACACACATACCATAGGCATTCGATACACAAACCCATACAGCTACAACCGAGACGTGCTAGTGAGAGGCAACATACCACTGTGGTGTCAGACGCTATTTATTACCGAGTGCTTACGGCTGTTGCCTATCGCGCCGGGCACAGTCGTGCATGGTATCTTGCCGTTTGCCAAAGACATTGGATTTCATTTTCAAACTGTGCCTACCGTCAAGGGTAATCGCTTGCTAGAGCCTTACCCCGAGATATGTGTCATGTATGAACGGTTTGCTATGGAGCTTAGTGATCCTCAGATGATGCTAGAGAATAGGGACGTTCATGGGAAGCGATGGGAAGATGTACAAAACAAAATTTTGGCGGGTATACTGTACTGTGAGATACCAGATCACACGGCTAGTATCATCACCTCATTAGCTATTGAATGGGCAAAAACACAGGGTCTGTCTTGATGTGTATATAAAATAAATTATATTTATTTGCGTTTAAATGAAATATATATATATATATATATATTCTCCATCAGTGGGACCCTCTGCTGTAGAGAGGAACATCGACAAATCTCATTCTGCCGTGATTATCAAGCCCAACTACCTTTTTCGCTTGCAATGAGCTACTCTCCACTTGCTCTTGATCGCTAATGGTAGTATCAATATCCTCAGCGTTGGCTGGCACAGGCAGATCCATGATTTGAGTATCACTGTTATCACTGACGCCCAGGTATTTTCTGTGTCGTCTACTAGCAGTAGCAGCACTGGAATCACTTTGCTCTACATCTGTCATTGTTCTGTGAGTGGGATGGACATACGTTTCGCTGTCTAAGAATTTACTTACTACTAACAGCAGCTTCATGCTCTTGGTTCAAATCCTGCTGCAATTCAGGTGATAGGGGAGCAATTTCTACAATATTATTAAAGTCTTGTTCGTCAGCGTTGTCCATGATGCCCATATGCTTGTAAGCAGGTTGCATATCGATGCGCTGATGCTTGTCAAGTCGATTGTTTGCTACAGCAGCAGTAGCATCAGCAGCAGCAGCAGCAGCAGGTTGAGGCAAACTGGATTCATCCACGACAATCATAGGTACAACCTGCAATTGCTGTTCTAGCACAGCTTTATCCTCTGGAAACAAACCATCAGGAAGAGCCACTTTCATATGCGCCCATTTTTCAATTCTTGGGTCTACTGAAACCGAGGCGACGGCGGCGGCGAAAGATGATGCCGATGGCTCAATAGCTACAAAGGAGGAGGATGCTGCAGGAGCAGCTAAAGCAGTGGAGACTGTGGATGCAACAATGAGGGCCGAAAGAACACTTGAACGCATACGAGGAGTAAGGTGCACAGGCTGTGGATGAATGAAAAAAGGAAAATATTTCCAATGTTTATGGTATTTTGTTCTTATATGCTAGGAATGGGATGAGATTTTCAGCCAAAACTAGGATATTGGATCTGTACCAATGGATTCTGAAATGTGCTATCATGTCAATCCGTTTCGCATGTCATGCACAGATGGATACTGCGTCAAGAATGATACCAACGCTTCTCTTGAATAGTATCCTGCAGCTGATTCTATAGTTGAGTCTGGGCCAATGACTATTCTTTTATTTCTCACTCTTGAAGAGACATATATTTATACCATTTTAGCTTGAATGCACTCGCAAATGTCTTCTCATGTTGCTCTGAACACTGAATTTTCGCCTGCAACCGGGATGGGTGCAATTGAATGGCTTTTCGCCTGTGTGGGAATAAATGTGGATCTTTAACGAAGAGGGCCGCATAAATTTCTTGAAGCAGAATTTACAAACGTACTGCTTCCCATGGATCAGCTTGTTTGAGTTGTCTTTTGCAGGGTTTAGTGGCAACGAGATACTGCTGCTTTCGCGGTTGGACTCGTCATCATCTCCCAAGGTCGAACATGAAGACATGGAGGAGGATACAGGAGAGGGGGTTGCCAGAAAACTAATGGAGGATCTGGAAAATGGAGGAGGTAGCATGTTCTTTCCGTGCGAATCTATGGTAGAGGCCGAGAAATGCAGTAATTTGGTCACTGACTGTAGTTCTACTGGCAATACAGCTTCCATGTAGTAGATGGTAGGCTGAATTGGGTCAGGCAACGCGGAGGCAGTGGTGGGTGGCATGATGATGGGAGTGCCTTGAATGTCTTTTTTTTTTTTTTTTTTTTTTTATTATTGTTCAGCATAGTGTTAGACTGGCTGGCAACTGGTAAACAGTAGAGTGTATACCTCTTTTCTTGCCCTCTGTTTGGATCATTGGCAAGTTTAAGCTTTCATTGTGCATGTTCTCTTCAATAGATGTTTATGGAAAAAAATGCTTCCTATCTGTTTCAATAGCATCATGTATATTTAAACATCAAGAAAAAAAAGTTCCGTTTCCTATGTGCGCACATTTGACAGGCTCTGGTGACAGGAGGAAAATCACAAAGGTTGCAACAAACACTTGTCATAGAAAAACGGATCATATGTTTATTCATATAACAAAAAGGGTATTTGCTTAAAGAAATCTCAATTGAGCTGGTGTAAAATGAATGGGCTTCCAGTCCAATTTGCCTGGCACAATCACTCGTTTTCTGCGTCTCTTTTTTTCGTCATTTCGTTCCCATTGCTCAATGACCTTATCGCCCAAACAAATAATATGCTGACCACGGTAGTATTTTAAAGCGCCAATGTTCTGTAATGTGTGTAGGATGTCTTGTGTTGTAATGGAGGTTCGATGTGAAATTTCTTCAATTGTAATTTCCTCGGTTGAATTTAGTAAAAACTCGACAATGGTCTCTGTCCAAAAGGCACGGTACGATAGCAGGCCCAGATCAGACAGCGGCTTCTCGGGAGACCCAGTGCGTCCTTCCGCTTTGGAGAGTTCGTACGAAAAGGCGATCAGTAGTCTACCGTATCCGAGGCGTTGGTACTGTGGTAATGTCAGGATACAGGCCACATTGTAACTTTCCGAAGACTCCTTTTCTTTGGAAAAGTACCCAATTAAGTGATATCCCTTCTCGTCTCGCTCTGTCATGCAGTAAAATAAGAATGGATCCACATCGTAGTAAAGCGTTTTGTGGTCCAGAAACAGCTTGGACAATAGACAGAGGTTTCTGCACCAAGTCTTTTGCTTTCGTCCGTCAATTTCGAAAAAGGAGATTTCATCATGGCGATAGATTTCGTTACCAGGTGGGTGGTGTAGTTGACAGCGTGCTCTGTGTCTGCTCAGTTGCTTATGCGACACATAAAAGGAGAGACAGAACTCGCAAATGTACAGCATGTCGCAGTACGCGTATTCAATAGGGTAAGGCGAGAAATACCACGCCTCTACTTCATGCTGTCCCATTTGAATCTTGTTGAGGTTTTTGACACGAGCAATCTCTTGTACACTCTGTGTCATGGATCCAGATGTTCGTAGCTTTTCGATTTCATGGTCTTTAGAGAATGTATTGTGCTCTTCGTCTTCTTCGTCGTGTTCGTCGTGGTGATCAGCTACTTCCATCTCTACGGTTTGATCGTGCTCGTCTTCATTGCCCAACACCACCTTGTCGACACGGTGTTCGTCTTGCTGATCCTTCTTCTTTCTACCACCTCCAGAGGGAGTACCAGCTCTGCCTTTTTTGGTTGGTGTTGCTGCTGCTGCTGCTGCTGCTGCTGCTCCATCCTTGGGGTTCTTTTTGGGTGCTGGAAATTCAATAGGTCTGGAGAAATCGAGACGCTTGATGGAGACCCACTCATCCAAACGTTTGTTGAATTCAGTGTAATGCACATAGTACTCCAGTCCATGGGCTGGTGTATCACGCGAAGACAGGATTTCTGCTCTTCTGAATTCAGATTCTTCTACGCCTTTGGATATGGTAATCTTTTCCACAAAGAGTTTGCAATTGACTGGAGCAGCAAGGAATTTCTGTACTTGAGCTGCTTGTTTGTCATTGATAGCGTCCATCTTGTCGTCTGTTGTTGCTGATGCTGCAGTAGATGTGTGTTCATCAGGCAGAGATGACATGATGGTATCTGAATCTACTGCTGCTGCTTGTGTTGGCATGTTTACCGTATCCGCAGCAGTCGCCATAGTAGTCGTCGTCATGGGCTCTGTGCTTACCGTAGTAGCCGTGGTTGCTATTGCTGATGCTGATGCCAGCACGGCTGCTTCTTCCTGGGTTGCAATCACCTTCTTTTCAGGCACAGGTTCATTGACAGGTTCAATGTGAGTTGTTTCTTTGTTCTCTGCCAGACCTTCAGTCATCTTTTGGTGTGTGTTAGTGAAAGAGTTTTTTTTGTGTGTGTGTGTACTTTCAGGACAAGGAAAAAATCGGAAAGTTGTGACCATACAAGCTCCGGATTTAAGTGCTTTACCTCAATACAAAGGCCATCGTAAGACTTGCTGGTAGCAATTAGTTTTGTTACGCATATGGGTTTGCCACTCAAATACTTGCACACATGAAAAGAGGGTTGATGCAGTTGAAGGCGGTCATCTCTTGCTCGTCTTTTTGCACAGGCAGCATCATTGCGTCTCAAAAAGCTATTGAAGCTGATGTTCTAGTTTGTGGCAAAGGAGATTGCGTCTGATCTACTTTGGATCAGGCAGTATTAAGAAGATGCGCGTATAGTCACCATGCAGCTGAGCTCACGGTGGTGTTTGACCAAGGCAAGTGGTGAAAACACCAATGCTCGACTCTGTCCTGAAGGTTACTTCCTTGGTTTGTATAGTATCCATCGCTGCAGTATGAGCATTTGACGGCTTTCCCTGTGCTACTTGCGGTTCCGTCCTCAAAACTATAAAGAAAAAGCCTGTCCCTTTATCTCCACTAAGCTGTCCAAGGTACATGCCAGCAGTGATATTGAGAGTACCTTGAGCAAATCCAAGGATTCCATGATGATAACACTAGAACTTGCCATGCGAGCCGCTGTTGGATCCCTCGGCATCCCTACAGAAGAACAGCAAAAGACGCTATTCAATACTGAGATACTGAAACTGTAACATGTGGCATTCAAGGCTCCCAACCATTACCAATATCTGCTCGGAAACGACATCACTGTCAGGGAGTTTTAACGGGAAATTCTCCTTCATTTCAACTACCATAAAAACCAAGTGTTAAATATCAAAAATGAGCAGAATTGGCTAATACGAACTAGAGTACACCCACAAGCAAGGTGTTAAGAGTACAATGACCTTGTAGTGATGTGAAGACACATGTACCTGGATTGAACTTTGGTGTTACTATTTGTAGGCCCTTAAACTTTGGACAATTCTTACTATATAATACGAGTGTGTTTATGCTTCAAATGACTCTCTATCTTCGCTTCGTTATGGTGAGAGCCAATCTGCGCTACCGATTGCTGTTGCTCATTTTACCAAAATACCGCTACTATCATCTTAATTCTTTACTTACACATACAGAACTCTTCATGTTATCTATGGGTCTGACTCTTATGCGATATTGCACATCCGAATACATGTAAATACTTCATATATCGGCAAGCAGCATACTGGCATTGCCCCCTTTCTAGTCAAGAGTCTGCCTAATACAGCAAAAATTTGGTGCATTTGAGCTGTGTTTTCTCGCGTTAGAAGCCGTTTTAGACTGCCAAAGTAGCACCAAACAGTTGCTCTCACCTAGCGGTTACTTTCTGACACCTCTGCTCAGCTTTTTTGGGATCGCCAAAATTCGACCAAAAACCGCAGCAAAACCATGAGGGATGCCTCATGATTTTCATCGAAAATTACATGATCGCGTTTTTGACTTTCAAAATGAAGGCTTTTACTATGGCATATATTAACTCAAAATGCTTCTCTCGGTCCAAAGCAACTCCTAAAACTTTATTTGCCAGACCTTCATATGCAAAATCTCAACATTTTCGCTGATGGGACAGACTGGCAAACTCAATGCCCTCTTAATTATGAAGGCATTAATAGATTCTTTGAAGCCAATGAAAAGTAGATGGCGAACTGCATAGTAATATCTTTAGACATGTTGTTTTCTTTGGAAGTCTTGCATCTAACAACGCCAGTCCACCGAAATACTTGTGAGATTAACTTGTTTCCTTTTGAGGCTTCGAAAGTGTGTAAATATAATAAATATACTATTTTATGATATACAATTTAAGTTGGAACAAGTAGTAATAGAATTAAATGGAGTATTTATTAGGATAAATGTGGTGAGAGGAGTAATGACTGATATTTTCACTAAAGTTCGCTATCTGCCAAAGTGAAGTCTATATATATACATTGTATTGATGTTTCAATTATGCGGATTGAAACGTATGTACATGTGAATCATTACACAAAATATGTGGCATCTCAGATGTCCATAAGCGCTATATTATTTGAAGGCACCCAAGTTCTCTTATTGACCGCTGTAGAGTCTTACAGTCGAAAGACAAGTGTGGATCCATACGCAGGACAACATGGTCCTAATGCCCAGCAATCAGCATTGCTCAGTTATTTCGGTCAGTATAAAACATTTAGATCCAACCCTGATGGCCGACGCACTTTGAGGATACACATACTGTATGAAGATCAACGTGATGTCGCCGGGATAGAGACGCTTCTGATTACATATCTCAGAGGAAGCTCTGATCCCTGCAACATCCATGCTATATAGCTGCCTCAAAGATTCTCTGACGACAACCACTTATAAATGTCACAATATGATACTCATCATATAATGAAAAATTGCTTCCATAAACTTGACTTGAGTATCATATATCTTGAGTATTGTAAATCTTGGCCAAAAGAGAACCGCACATCCTATGTGAACGCTGAATTGTTCCATTGAGTAGATGGAATGAGTGAAGCGCAAAGCAATGCCCAATGCTTGAATCCTCTTACTCGTGACTCGATTCCTATGCTATTTCTACTAACTGCGGTTTAGATATTCCATTCTAATCATCTTTTCTCTTTGTGCTTTTTCACTTGAACCGACCATGAGTAAAAGAAGAATTGATGGTACATGTTGAACTCAATGTCAGCTACTACCACATCTGCTATAACTGTTGTATGAAACTATAGAGATCAGTGATGACGAAGATGATGATGATGTGCAATTAGATGATACTTTGCAATCAAAACTTTATGGTAAACTCTCTTGAAAAGTTGTTGTATGTTGGCAGACGGTAACATGATGCTTGGTCTGTTTTAGTGCCAAAGAATGCAAATCTTGAGATCAACTCCTTGAAATCAGGCAACGAAACAATCATTGAGTCCAACAAATCTGATTTCATTTCTCACATCTTTGGCCGTGAAGATTATACCAACCTTCCTTTGAAACAAGATCATGCTTCGAGACCATTGTGGATCAGTCCTGAAGACGGCCATATCATCTTGGAGGGGTTCTCGCCTATTGCAGAGCAGGCACAGGATTTTTTGGTTGCTATCAGTGAACCTGTCAGTCGGTAAGATGTCTGCAGAGTGATAATGCTTGATGAATGTCAGTTGCTCATACTCTTTCTAGTCCTGCGCATATTCATGAGTACAAATTAACACCCTATTCCCTATACGCTGCAGTCTCTGTAGGCTTGGAAACAGAAGATATTATTGAGGTCTTGAATCGTCTCTGCAAAGTGCCTGTGCCTGACTCTATTACGCAGTTTATTCGTCAGTGTACATTGTCTTACGGCAAAGTCAAGTTGGTGTTGAAGCACAATCGTTACTATGTCGAATCATCTCATCCCGAGACATTGCAAATGCTCCTTAAAGACCCCATTATCAGCACTGGACGTATTGTACGCGATGAAAATGATCAAATTATCAGTGCGCCTGCTGGATCTGCTGTGCTCCTCGTCAATACAAAGCCTACAGGCAAGGATCTGACAATTCCTGGCATCAAAAACCCTACAAAACCGACCGATGATGGTAGTGTTGAAAAGATCAAGGAGCTGACAGCCGAAGAAACCGAGCGTAAGAAGGAGGAAGAAAAGTATTTTGGCGCAGTTGTTGGCATTGATAAGGAAGATGAGGAGGATGATTTTGGTGGTGAACAGGTGCACTCATTCGAGATTGCAGCAGAGCATGTTGAGGTAATTGCATGGTACGTTTGGAAAGGGGTTGATGTTGAACCCTGAATTTGTGTTTTGTAGAATATCAAAAAGAGATGTAACGACATTGACTATCCCATGTTGGAAGAGTATGATTTTCGTAATGATACCGTCAATGCCAACCTTGAGATCGATCTCAAGCCTACAACCACCATTCGTCCTTATCAAGAAAAGAGTCTTTCCAAGATGTTTGGTAACGGGTAATGTATATCCAAGATATTTGTGTTGGAGTGGACACTCATACTGCTGATTAGTCGTGCTCGTTCTGGCATCATTGTGCTTCCTTGTGGTGCTGGTAAAACGCTTGTTGGTATTACTGCTGCTTGTACTATCAAAAAGAGTTGCTTGGTACTGTGTACCTCATCGTAAGTACGCTCTCAAAATCTAAGCGTACTAGTTTATTGATCCATCTTACCTTGTAGTGTGTCAGTCATGCAATGGAAGCAGCAGTTCTTACAGTGGAGTAGCATCAAGGAGAACCAGGTTGCCGTGTTTACATCGGATTGCAAGGAAAAGTTCTCTGGTGCATCAGGTATCGTCATTTCAACCTACTCAATGGTTGCCAACAAGCGTAAGCGTTCGTACGATGCACAAAAGATGATGGAGTTCCTAGAATCTCGTGAATGGGGTTTCTTGTTACTGGATGAAGTGCATGTTGTGCCAGCAAACATGTTTCGTACTGTAGTCACCACCATTGCTGCGCATGCCAAGCTGGGTCTGACAGCCACTTTGGTGCGTGAAGATGAAAAGATTGATGATCTTAACTTTTTGATCGGTCCTAAGCTGTATGAAGCCAACTGGATGGATCTGGCGAGCCGTGGTCATATTGCCAATGTACAGTGTGCTGAAGTATGGTGCCCCATGACGCCCGAGTTTTACAAAGAGTACCTCTACGAGAATTCTCGCAAACGCACTTTGTTGTATGTCATGAATCCCAAAAAGTTCCAGGCTTGCCAATATCTCATTGGATATCATGAAAGACGTGGTGATAAGATTATTGTCTTTTCTGACAATGTGTATGCTCTTATTGTAAGTTGGTCAAGCAGGAGGAGGTTGAGCTGTTTAATTTATCGGATTGTGCGTAGGAATATGCCAAAAAACTGGGCAAGCCTTACATTTATGGTGGCACGGGTCAGCAAGAACGTATGCGTATTTTGCAGAATTTCCAATACAATCCTGCTGTCAGCACCATTTTCTTGTCCAAGGTTGGCGATACCAGTATCGATTTGCCAGAAGCCACCTGTTTGATTCAGATCTCCTCTCATTACGGTTCCAGACGTCAAGAAGCTCAGCGTTTGGGCCGTATTCTGAGAGCCAAGAGACGTAACGATGAGGGTTTCAATGCTTTCTTTTACTCACTTGTGTCTCGCGATACACAAGAAATGTATTACTCTACCAAGCGCCAACAGTTTTTGATCGATCAAGGTTACGCATTCAAAGTCATCACCAATTTGGAGGGCATGGACAGTGATCCCAACATTGTGTTTAGAACACATCAAGAACAGATGGATCTTTTGAAGGCCGTGTTACTCACAAACGATGTAAGTGTCAACAGCCCATGTCTACATTTACAGACTTACTTACTTACTTTTGCGTTTCTTTTAGACTGATTTGAGAGATGAAGAGCTGATCAATGTGGATGATGTGGGCAAGATTACAGATCGCAAGGTCGCTGCTAAAAACCGTACATCAGGTTTGGTTAAGAGACAAGTGACAACCACGCGAACATTGGCTGGTGGCGATAATATGGCTTATTTGGAATACAATCGTAACTCGGGCGGCCAGTTTTCTGCTGGTCGTGGTCGCGGTAATGGTGGTGCTCCTCCCAAGGAACATCACACATTGTTCAAGAAGTTTATGGGGAGAAAGTAGTAACCGTTGCATATTTTATAATAAAACCATTTGTAAATAACCATTTAAGATACAAGTGCATTTACGCTTTGGGCTGCTGATCGCCTTTAACCATCTCTTTGAAATACTGTAAGAGTATCATTGTGCATTCTACTGATGTAGAATTTTGAACATTCAACTATTCTGCAATCGCCTTCCATAATGTGGATCTGGCTTTTCTATGAAAATCTATGTCCGTATTATTGGGAACAGCTCATATAAGGACAGCCAGTATAGTTGCATTGCCTCCAACTACTCAGAAATACGCAAATCATAGCATAATTTGGATGCATTTGAACCGCGTTTTCTCGTGTTATAGGCGGTTTTGGATCGCCAGAATAGCCCCAAACAATTGCTCTACATCCATATACACGTAGCCACTTCATATACGGGCAAGTATCATACATATACTATCCCTTTTTAGTCAAGAGTGTGCCTAATACAGCAAAATTTGAGTGCACTTGAGCTATATTTTCTCGCGTTCAAAGCCGTTTTAGATTGTCAGAATAGCACCAAACAGTTGCTCTCATCTGGCAGTTACTTTCTGATACCTTTGCTCAACTTTTTGGGAATCAAAAAAACATGACCGAAAATCGATCAAAAAGCATGAGGTACCCCTCATGGCTTTCGTTGAAAATCAAACGATCGCATTTTTCACCTTGATAACGAAGACTTTTACTATGGTATATCTTGAATCAAAATGTTTCTATCGATCCAACGTAGCCCCTTAAGTCATCTTAGTGGGACTTTGATATGTAAAATTTCGACATTTTGGTCAAAAACCTCATTTCATAATTTTGAAAATTGCTCAGTATTTTTATTCAAAACATTAAAATTATTTGGCACCATCGGATGCGCCTTGAAAAGCACTCCTGAAATGCATTAAGAAGTATGCGATGATCATCACATTATATATAGTCGAATCTGGTAAAATAGGTCGGATCAAATCTAAAAACTCTGAAAATTAACAAATCAGAAAAAATTGTCCACCGGAGATTAAACGAATTTTGGCTTGCAAATAGAATTATGAAGGTAATCATTGCTTTCGAGAGCTCATAATAGGAAGAGGATTACTAATTAAAAGAGTTATGTTTACTCTGTCTATTTTCTCTAGCTTTTTTAAATTACTTTATACTTGATAACGCCATACAGCATAGCCTATTACTGAAATATTGGTAACCTTATTTTCCCTTTGAATACAGTGCCTCAAATTTATTATTATTAAACGGCATAGGCTTGCGTAACTTTCAAATAGACAATTCTAAAACTCTTGATCACAAAAGGAAGCTTAATGAGGGAATAGCACAGGAAAGGGTTTCTCTTGTACAAGAATGCCAAATCCAATGGATTTCTAACTGAATGGATCCACATGGTGCAGTTTCAAAGAATCAATCCAGAACTTTTATGCTTTATTAAAAGATCTACAAAATGGTAGCTCTCGTTTTGAATCATTCTAGCAACGGTGCTTGCGAGGGTAAATTACTCGTATATGCTTCAATCTGGAACAACATTACTTCATATTGTATAAGTAAACGTCCCTTCAGCGAGATGCTTTTAAATGAGACTGACTAATGTTTGATAGATGATACCAGATATAATGGTGTAAAGCTCATCGCATGAGATCGGCTACAAATTCAAAGATATCCGTCAAATTTCGCAAAAGCAGCGTGCCAACTGAAGCCTCAGAATCAATGCCCTTGAATCATTTTGTTACAAACAATTAGCCGCTATGTATAGCGAACAGCACCATTGAAATCAACAATCTTCCATCTGAAAACCACATCACATTAAGAACTAAAGGAGGAGGTTGAGAAAGGTTGCATGTACGACCAACAATCCTATATATTAGATGATTTGCCGTGTATGGTAAATCGATAATAAGCATCGTCTTGTATCACTCTTTGTGGTACGCTCCATCTTTAAGCAAAAACTAGACCCCATTGATACCCTGAGTTTTATAGAAAACGGAATAGAAAGAAAATGAGCAAAGCATTACAGCATGTCCATATACTAAAGTATTACCGAAAAATAAACAGTTTCAAGGAGTAAAACAGACATCACCTACCTATTTTCGAGAACACCCCTTGATTTGTTTCTTCTTATCATTGAATTGCATTATTTATTTGTTTGTCCATTGGAAATATACTCTTTTTATTGACAGGAAGAAGAAGCTAGAAACGTGGTTCAACTGGGGACCTCCTTCTCGATTATGTAGATGGAAAAAGCTTAAACATATAAAGTTGTCATTGATATCATTCTTTTTTTTTTCCCTCTCTCACTCATTCTCAAAAGATACCATGAATTATCAGCAAGAAGAAGGTGAGCATGCGGAAGTAGTACATGTAATATGCTCTGTGACATAGAACATTGACACACAAAATCAACCAGATATTTGCTGTCAGCATAACGAACATTACAACCAATGCAACAAACCTACCATGTCCAACTCTACTAGTCAGACAACATATTTATCCACAAGAAAGAGCAAAAAATCACTCACTAAAAAGCTTAACCACATTCTAAAATCAATCTTAATACCGTGTTATCACCATGCCAACCAACGCAAAAAGAACACCTGTAGAAGCAACAAGAACGCTTCATTAGCTGCAGTAGACATATCCGTCCAGGAGAAGGAACAGTATTGCTGTTGTGGATGTCAGTCTGCAAGAGACTCAATCACCATAGTAGATGGCCCAGAGCAGCCGTGGATCGTGCCGTCTGAATACCACAAAAATATGTCAGGTACGTGAATGAAACGTTTGATTCGGATCAGAGTTCGGCAATTGACACACAAATCATAGAATCTGTGTCAAGTGCAACTGGCAGTAATCACTGGATGTTTCGAACTGGCTGGACACCCCAGCCGGACCCGTTGGCGTTTTTGAATAGCGAATGGTGTGTTAATTGCAATGCTTGTGTCAGAAAAGATCAGAAGCAATGCCCCTTCTGCGACGCGAGTCCTCTCATCACCTCTGATCATCAAATTCGTATGCGTAATATAAAAGAAATGGACGAGACAAATTAATTAATGTGTGATTAGAAAGAAGCTATTATTAGGCTCTGCTTATAGATGATTACAGTAATAAACACAAACAGTAGTAATTTCTGCATTTCTGCAATTCTGTCTTGTCTCTTAGGAGAGCTCTATATTCATATGATGTACAAAGTTATCGAAATCATATTTCAAAAAACAAAATGTACGTTTTTCATGCGAACTTTTTTTTTCTCTTCAGAGCTATACCTTTTGTCTCACTCCACGGCTCAATCATCATATTCAAACTTCTTGGTATCACCTCTTAGTGGTCGATACAATGTGTTGTAAAGGGATACACAAGGGCCATGTTGTGCACTGTTTTAGCGTCAAATAGAGGTTACACTTGCATTATTGTTGTATTATACGATTCTCACTCAGCTCAATTACCACGTAGAACCGAGACTTTATAAATAGTCTCTTCCTGGACGATCAGCTATCACATATGTTATACAAAATCTTGCTTACCTCGCACATGTTTATATTGTACAAAAAGATCAACTTATCCGCAGTTTATCAAGCACTGCAGGGACTAGGAGCCACTACTGCAGTAAAGCTGTATCATGGATGGTGGCAAATAGTAATGCCACATTGAAACCATACTGTATGAACTTTGATGAGATCATTGAACAGTGCGTGTTTCAATGCCAATTTACAATGCTAAACAGATGACAAATAGGGATCTACGTCTGTTGAATTCTCGGTAATGAGCATGCTGTCTTGACCCAAGATGTAACCATAGGTAACATTTGCTTCATTTGGTTTCCATGGCAACTGACCTGAATTCGTTTTTCTTACTTGACCTTGTTTCGTACATTCTTTCTTTCGAAAAATACAGCATTTTGCACATGAATGGCCAGCGCCTTCTTATGATTTGACATTGACATGAAACATTGTGAATTTTGCCCTATTTTTAACATTTACAGGATATTCGAATCGGCGATGCTTGTACCCAACATTACTGTATTTTTAGGGAGATGCACCTTGGATGAAATAATTGCTCTTACACCCTAAATTTGGATAATAATGTTACTTTTGTAATATTGTCAGGTCCAGATCAAACCAAAAGTGTAACGTAGAACCTCTTTTTTTGCTTTTAAAACAGTGTTTTTATCCGTTTCTCGCATCTGTTTTTATCATTGAAACTCCATGTAATTAGACATTTGATAAAAATAAATAATATTTCTTTATCCGCAACGTTTTCTATTGATTCCATTTCGTTTCCTGGATTTTTTGGGAGTATTTATACAACATTGAATCCTTGATCTTTCTTTCTTCCCTTTCCTTAACTTTCTGTTTTTTCAATTTTTCCAATCTTCATTCTTTTCTAATTCACCTTCATTTACATCTACATCTCGAAAAATAAAAATGGTTTGGAAAGTCGCCCTTATTTCAGCTGCCGCTGCCACTGTAGCTTCTGTGAACGCAGTTACCACTAATTACACCAGTTCCACTGATCCCACTCAAATCACTCTTCCCGACATCCCTCAAGTTACTTCTCAAGACCCCGCTCAACAATGTGTTTACTACAACTCCCCTTACTCAATCAACCCCTCTGAATGGCCTACTGTTTGGGACACTGCCACCTCGAATGGCATGAACACATCTGCTGAATTTACTGCTTTGTATAACTCCATTGACTGGACTAAGGTTCCCAATTTCCCTCCTAGAAAACTTACCGCTGCTGGTGGTCTTGATATGACTGGATATGACGCTACCAATGATCCTGCTTGTTGGTGGTCTAGCTCTACCTGTAAGACTCCCAAGGTTGAAGGTATCAATGCTGATCTCTACGCTTGTCCTGAGCCCGATGTTTGGGGTTTGACCTTTGATGATGGCCCTAACTGTTCTCACAATGCCTTCTACGATTTCTTGGAGAAGGAAAAGCAAAAGGCTACCATGTTCTACATTGGTTCCAATGTTGTTAACTGGCCCTACGGTGCCCTCCGTGGTGTTAAGGACGGTCATCACATTGCTGGCCATACCTGGTCTCACAAGATGATGACCACTTTGACCAACCAAGAAGTCCTTGCCGAGCTTTACTATACTCAAAAGGCTATCAAGCATGTTACTGGTATCACTCCCAAGCACTGGCGTCCCGTAAGTTTTTATTTTTACTGCGTTTTGTCCATGATTCATGTGTCTAACATTTAAACATCTAGGCTCTTGGTGATTTGGATGATCGTGTCCGTTGGATCGCTACTCAATTGAACTTGACCGCCATCATCTGGAACTTGGATACTTTCGATTGGGCTGCTAATGTTCAAGCTGGTGTTACTAATGAAACTGTCGATAAGCTCTACCAAGATTTCATTGCCATGGGTACCAATGGTACTTTCAAGAACTCTGGTAACATTGTCTTGTCTCATGAAATTAACAACCAAACTATGGATTTCTTCATGAAGCACTATCCCGCTATCAAGAAGGCTTACTCCCATGTTATGGATGTCGCCACCTGCATGAACATCACTACACCCTATGTTGAAACCTCTGTTACCTTCCCTACTTTTGCTGAAGCTGTTGGTACCTCCTCCTCCAGCGGCAGCTCCGCCTCTGGTGCCTCTGGTGCTGGTGCCTCTACTACCCCTGGTGCCTCATCTGTTAAGGCTGCCAGTGCTGGTAACTCGATTGTTCTTAATGGCCCCCTTTTCATCGCTGCCCTTTTCGGTCTTCTCGTCCTTGTTTAATTCCTTAAAATCCAAAACCACCCCACACATTATGTATTCAATATATAAATGAGAAATATTTCTCTGCTTATAACCCTCTCGTATAATAATAATTCATCGAAAATATACACATGTAATGATTTATAAATTTATGTTTGATCGAACAATGCACCTCATTAGTTTTGAGAAGCAACTCCTCGGATTTTTTCAAATTTACACATACGTGCAATGTTTGATGTCGTTCCCAGATCAATATCACTTTGCTAATTAGTGATTATTACACAAGAATCCCGGGAAAACCAAAAGCCTTGCTAATTCAATCGTTTCTCAATCCATGTAACTTCAATATTTTGAATACAAATTGTTTGATTTCTCTGTATTGTTCGAAAGGCAATTAAGATATGCATCGAAACGGTTTTTTGTACAGTGATATAACTCGAAGATGGACTTGATTTGAAAGGATACCGTCTTAATTAATATCAGTAAACCTTAGAACCAAGCGTGTTTCCTTAGCGCAAATCATTATATAAAACTACTTGCATCATGGCATGTGTTTAAATTATTAAACTTACAGATCTAGCAGTGTTTTACATGCATTTCCTTGCGCTCTACTCCTTGAAATGTTGCAGTGAAAGGTGCTTTCGTTATCGCGGTGCTTGAATGAGTGCTCATCACTATTGTTCATTGTACCAGTGGAAATTTCAACATGAAGAGTCTTGTTTATGGATTCTTTCATGTTTCCTTGAAGTTCTAGCCCGGGAAAAGGCCATTTTTTTTTTGTTGAAAACACACTAGAGGATGATATGTTCTGGCAGATATGAGCAACAGCATTCTTATATGTAACTGTGCATCATTGTTATAGCCAATCACCAATGAACTTCTAGGAGATCTGATACTTGTTTACGAGAATAAGCGTCCAAGTTGATTATATCTGAAAGAATAAGGTAATTCCTCATGAAATCATCAACCTCTTGGTCGTGTATCAATTACGTAACTGGTACCTGCTCATCAAATGTCTCAAGATTACCCAGCATCAACTATTTACCATGATCATCATAACTTGATTGGCCTGAGAATACCTAAAAACATGGAAGCAAGTGAGACAATGTCACACCGCCGAGAGGAAAAAGTCTTTTGCATGCCATCGGTAGGACACGGAAAATATATCATCAACGTTGCTGCTTCGAAATATACTAAAGCCATAAAATATTACTAAATAGCATTACTCTTTCGCTTATTCGATACTACTACAATATTATTTTTTTACTCGAGAAATGCCCCGTAAAGTGCCAGCTGAAGGTAAACATCTATCAATGCATGTAACATGTCAGTAGAATGATCAACGCTAAACAACACATTTTCCAGAGTTACCCTCACTTGAGAGATTGATAGGTATCCGTGCAAGGCTCTCGGCTGTCAAACGCAACCGTTCCAGCTATCTTAAAATGGAAGACATTATGCCTCTACGCCTCGAAGCTGAAGCAGAAATGAAGATCTTGAGTGACATGCGTGGTGGTAGACTCTTGGATAAGGAACGTGAACTGAATCGAACTGACGATGTATTGGATGAAGTGCTGCAAATGCTTAGTTTGTGCTTTTTATCCTTGGGAAAAAAGAGAGAAAGTGAGTTGCTCTATAAACTTCTGCCTGCTGCCATACTGATTTCGCTCCATTTTCAGGCCCTGCTGTGTATTCTCAAGTTGTAGCTATCAAGGTTTGTTCAATTGAGGAATGCATTGTTCGGATGTCGTCTTAAACTGGCCGTGTATTTAGCATATTTTCGATCGTCTGGAAGAATTTGGTGTCTATGAAGAGGAATACCTAAAACCATACAAGACAAAACTGGATGAAATCAACAAAATTTTATATGTGGACAACAAAAGCCATGCCTTGCCTGATTCTGTCATGCAAGTCTTAAAGTACAAATACATGCAGTGCAGTAAGTTCATGTCATGCTGGGATAGGATGGGATATCTGGTTAACGGGACGAAAACATAGGCCACATATACGATAGTCTGATCGCTACAATTCACGAAGTGGCACCTGAACTGTAAGTGCTGGTACAAGATATTGGATCCAGAGTTTGACAGATGTTGTATAGTATCCCAATTAGAGACAGAATGCTGCGTATCAGACGCCATCTCGCCTCTGTGTGCTGTCGCAGTGACTATCTACCTAGTGATATCAAGCCATTGCAAGAAAAGATCCGTGCCATTGATAACATGCGAGTGAATGGTAAATTTATGGGACAGGATGGAGTGAGCATACCTGCAGGTCAAGCTGTGCTAGTCAATCTTTTGGAGCAGCTCTTTTTCTGGTCTCACGATCTCATCATTGCCTGTAGCGAAGATTTCTCACCTAATCTTCAAAGCATTCGCGAGCGTTTACTCGAGATCAAGAATCAATTGGAGCGTTTGGAGTTAACACATAAATGGACATTACGCCAAACCGACCTATTCACCTACCAACATCAGCTTCATGATATTGTCAAGATGAAATACAGCGACGATAATGAGGAAGAGGCAGGAGATCCCGCTTTGCTAGGTAAATTCTTGGACGAGGATGGCAAAACTGCTCCTGAGGGCCAAACCATCCTTGAATTCTTGCTCAACAAGTGCTATCGAATGATCTTTGTCCTCTTGAGCGAAAGTATTCCTGTTTCAGAAGCATTAACCCCTGTATACAACCAACTGACCACTGTGCGTCAATGTTTGCTGGCTGTGAAGAAGACTGGTGCTCCCTGTTCGGCTGAGGAACTTTACCCGTAAGATGATCTGTTTGTTGGTCAACTGCAAGCGCTAATGCCATTTTCCTGTAGTTATCAAATGAAACTTACCAGCATTGAGAATTTGCGTAAGGATGGTAAATTTTACGATGATAGGGGTCATATTCCAGAAGGTACAGGAGCATACAGCAGCGTTTTTTTTTTTGACATGTGGATTGATCATGTGTATATTTTGTAGGTCAAGCGTTATGTGTAGATGTCTTGGAGGAATGCTATCTTCTTTTAGCATCTTTGCGTGAATCATCAGAAGCGGAAGAAGGAGTAGCCACTGAGCAAGCTGTTTCTTCAGCGAATTGATAAGATAAACCATGTAATATCGCACTACCACCCTCTCTCTCTATGTATTCATATCACGTCTTCTACTCTCCTGCCCTATTAATTATAATACTTTCTCCTCCAAATCATAAAATTACTTGATATTTGTGTAGTTACAGCGTACAGTTGTCGCTGAAAGTTGTGCTTCCAATGTTCAATAACCCTCAAGTCAGCACTTGTTTAGACTAAACAGCTAGGACAATCTTGGATGTTATTTTTTAAACCAAGGTATTCCATCTTTCGCTCATTATTACGGCAACATGCTCTATTTGAAAGCGCATGTACTAGATATGTAATATCGTAGCTAGTAATGAGATGCACTGTATGGTAATACTCTTTGAGTCGTACACTACTTCAATCCACATAATTGTCAATGCTGAGATGGCATGTAATAGTGTCTGTTATGAGCATTTCGTTTCAACCGAGACGATCTCGATATTCATATTTCAGCAAGCTTATTGATTGCATTATTCCAAATGTAGCTACAAGTATACAGTATATGAATTGAGCATCAAGCGATATGTAGAATTTTCGCCTTGTAATGATAATTTGGGTTCTGACTAACGATCTCTCTCTCTCTCTCTCTCTCTCTCTCTCTGAAATGCGTTCTACATTAATACTACATTAGCAATGACTATTCATGAACAAAAAGAAACTAGGAGCTTAGTTCGAATAAACACAGCAAAATGCCTTCATCCAGCCATATCGTCTTTGAGTAGAGCTATCATTGCTGCACGACACACTGAAAATGCTAACTATAAGCCTATCTTATGGTTAAAGTTATACATTCAGTTTTGTCCAAGAATGTGGAGATTATTCTGGATACACACCAAGGATGATTGCATATGATGTGTGTACCAACATATTGACAGAAAATTCCTCTTCAGTCTTTGTTTACATACTCTACCTATTATCAGTGTTGCAATCGCATGAAGGAATTCATCTCGAAATAAGGATTCTCTTGCAGCTAACTACGTTTAGTATGATGAACCTTCACAAATTCATCTCCTTGCCGAAGAGTACCTAAATTGAAACCTGCAGTACGACTAGTATTTGTGAATTGAAATTCTCCATGCACCAATGGTTTGGTATCTTGTCGATCCTTTTTGTCACTACCGAATGTCTCGCTCTCTCTCTTTTAGGGTAAATTCCTGGAATGCGTTTACTCACTGCCGATATAGATTAAAGTTATACATCGAGTCGATCTCGTAAAGATCAAAATATTTCATAAACAACTAGCGTGTAAAATACCGAGGAATTGGGCTGGTATATACACTGGGATTATTGCACCTTATTAGCTACAGATAAACGCCTACAGACAATGTATTGATTTGGCAAATTCAGATGGACTCTTTAGTTTTATTATATTCGGAAGAATGCAAAAAGGAATAATACTGTGCCTTGTGCCTGTAAATATTGGCAGCACACAAACCAACATTTATTTGAGCAGCACTCCCTGCAATGGTATTCTGGGTCTTTGGAATTTGTGTCAAATTCAAAAATGCCACTTTTTGTATCAGACAGAGTGAAACCTAGGAACACGCTTGTTTGAAAGCAGTGGAATTTGATCGACAGTGGATGTGTTCTGTATTGAATGGTGCCCGAAGTATTTTCTACGCACATTCTCTAAAATAGCATAAATTAAACATTTCTTGGGCGGTCCATTAGAGCGAGCATTTTCGTCAGTAAAGCAAAGGAGACGCTTTGGTGTTTTGCCTCAACCTCATAAATTATGTCAATTTTCCCTCCTCTCTGCCCTCCCCCCCCCCCCCAAGAAAAAACAATGATGATAGCCCCCTTTCACTCCTTCATAAACTGGAGTCTCTTTTAAAAACAATTTCTTTTGCGTTTTACTTTTGCATGCATACATTAATTTCACTTTTTTCTCTTTCAAACACTTGATTCAACAATCCTCAAGCAAAATAATAATGGAAAACAATATGGATAATGATTGCCCGAGATACCGACCATTTGCCTCATCCACAACAGCACAGCGTATTGTCAAAGTAAAGAAGGCCAAATACTCTACCTCGTTGGATCCCAGAGGCTACATTCCAGGTAACGTAAACAGACAAATATAAGTAGCACACTCTATACTAACACAGCTCATAGTGTATGAGTATCTCATCAATGGACAGCCCATTATGTGGGATAGAGAATCAGGTTTGTTCTGGAAAATACACATCCTTGCTTGAATGAGAGACTGAATCAAAAGGTTGCATTCTAAATCAGGTTATGTACATTTTACCGGTATATGGAAGTCATTAGGTAACTCTAAAGCCGATATTGTCAAGATGGTAGACTCGAATCCCGAGCTCAAAGTCAAGAAAATTCGAGGAGGCTTCCTCAAGATACAAGGAACATGGTATAGACATTTCAAAGTTGTATCATCATTGGCAATCGCTCATTGTAAAAGTGGATAGGATCCCGTATGAATATGCCTACTTGCTTTGTAAACGAACCGCCTGGATGATCCGTAGAGATCTTGTGGCCATGTTTGGACCACGCTTTCTTAATGACGCACTTGATCCCTCTCATCCTGAATACGGCTGTCTCTTGTTGGATCCGAAATGCAATCAAAAAGGCATGAATAATCGACAAACAACCATGCGCCATGTGAATCATCATCCTTACAAACGGTCAGACTTTATGCGCCGAAATTCACTGGATAAACTCATCAAGAAGAATGACAAGATTGTATCCAGCATGTCTCTCTCGAGATTACTGAATACAAGCGCTGCAGATACAAAGCATGGGCAGCAAAGCAACGATGCTGCCTTTTCGGAATCACCAAATACAACGCCCTCGCCCACATTTCGCGTAGTGCCCCTTCCATTAGCATCCAGAGTGGAAAAAGAGACACATTTATTACCTCCCATACTCACAAACAAACCCGACAGAAGATCATCAGAACCTCGCATTACACCCATCTACAGCCCCTCGTCACCATCTACCTCTAGTACATGGCCATCACCCAGCTCTCCATCTGCATTGTCCAGCTCACATTCGTCTTCTGATCTGATGCTACCTCCGCCAACACACACTTACTCAAAGGACATTATCGATACCATCAATGCGACTATTCTGTTGCAGCGATTATCACAGGATGACGGCGCACGACCCTTCAAGCCCATGCATCTAGACTCCATTCCAAGTAAGGTCATTGTTGGAAATCAAGAATACAGGATTTGTTGGGATGATTGAATCCATTGCTAGCCAATCTATATGTACATACTTTTTACCACTCTATCACTGCACAACGTTTAATTGATGTAAACATGTGCCTATTACCACTGAATAAACAGCGTTTTACCTAATGAAAAGAATGCCATTTACCAATGCTTCTCTCGATTTGACATGACTAAACACAAATTCCCTATTTCTGGATCTTTGAATAAGAAAGCAAGAAGAGGAGCATTAATTTTAGTCTATGCGGCTTGTGAATAATAGGCTCATACCTATAACCATGACGACTGTGCATTGTGCTTTTCTTTGTGCAATTCTACACATTACATGGCAAAAGAACCAAGCAACACCGTTTCTAATATACCTCCCGAGATATGGCAAGTTATCTTCTCTCATCTCTCCGCCAGAAACAACTACGAATGTCAGCGCGTATGCAAATCATGGTATTTACCAGCTAGAAGAGCTTTTTTGGACCATGTTGTCTTGAAGAGTCGATACGATTTGGAAGAGTTTCTGCGCTGCTTTACGGATGACAACACATTCAGTGAGTCGGTCAAGAAATTTACCATTGGGTACGCCTATACAATGCCGAGTCGAGCTGGATTACTGCTGCAAAGCGAAGCCATCCATACGCTGATTGACCGGTTTCCCAAGGTACAAGAATTGACAGTATCTGTCAACTGCATCGACTTGGAGAACTTCACGCAGCCTCACATCATGTCAGCCATACTGCAGAAATGGACCTCCCTCAGTGTGTTTAGAGTCAATCAGATTCTACTGTCAACAGAGAAGATCAGAATCTACCTGCAGACCATGTACCATTTGCGACAGCGCATGACGGAACTCGCCTTGTATGATCATGACTATGTGACAAAGGAAATGGGTGGCGCAAGTCAGTTTGTGTCTATGTTTCCTCAATTGAGGCACCTCAAGATCATACCACAGCAGGGAAACATTGACAGCTTTTCGGATTGCTTGCCTATACTAGAGCATTGTGGACAGCATTTGGAATCACTGGATCTGCATAGCAAAAAGGAGGACGAGGATCAAGGGCTGCTAATGAGGGACAGATCAGCGGAGGAGAAGCAAAAGCTGGCACGCATCAAAATGCTCAAGTTGACCATGACCAGTTTTTGTACCAATACGGTACACTTTATCATACAAAATCTGGTGGGATTGGAAAAGATGACAGTGGGATTTGTGTACGCTAATCTCAGCGACTGGACAGAGAACCAAAAGACAGTGTTCACCAGCGATTTCCTGAGCTATCTGTGTACACGACATGAATACTTTCTCAGGCCATTGACCATCAATTACAAAGAAGACGACGCCTATCTGGTGCATATACTGTCGAGGCACACTACAGCCAACAGCACCGAGAAGGTTGATTTACACACTCGTCTGGTCTTGTACAACAACAACACGCAATTTGGCTACGACTACAACAATGCTATTGCCAATTCCTCCAAATTCTCTTTGCAATTACTGTCGAGCAAGCTTCAGTATGGGAAACTGCAGCGTACGTCGTATTTTACGCATTTTTACACAGGGAATAATGCACGGGATATACTGGATACGTTCAAGGTGGCGACGTCTATCAAGCAAGCTACGAGTTTGACGTTGGATCTGGGTGGCATGTGCATATTTCTCGACTCGATACCTCGTCTTGTCTATCAGTTTCTGAAGATGGTACCTCACGTCAGCCAATTGTCCATCGTGTGGCCACGAAGCTATTCTGAAAACAACTCGTTTGTGTGGCCTGAAGACACAGTACAGTATCCTCATGTGATCTCTCTGGAGCTTGCCGCGGGTCTTGCGTCTTGGGTGGACATATCCATGCTACCACTGGTCTCTAGCATGTTTCCAGCGTTGTCGTATCTCTCCATGCAGCTATTCAGCGGCTACTGGCACGAGGCAAGTCAAGCATTTGTCATCAACCTACCGCAGAGTAAACTGACACGGTTGCATTTGGATGTGACCCCAGTGAGAATACAATCAGGCAATGTGCTCAAAGAACAGATTACGTTTGCGGAGGCCTTTTTTGTCCTCAAAGTGACCCAATTACTGGACAATACCACCACAAACGAGTCTTGTTATCGTGTTTCTTTGAATTACTTGGAGGTCACTTGCATTGGTCGTTTGGAGGAGCAGGCGCAGATGGGAGAACATTTGACTGTACACATCATTATAAAGGATATCCAATACTTGAATCTCTATCTGTCTCAGGAAATCTACGAGCAGCAACAAGAAAAGCCCATTTTACTATCCATGGATCCCCAAAAGAAGGTTCAAACATCCATTTCCTTTTTGTAATATATTCTCTAGATACCCTTTTTACATGTGTTAAAAACATGCGCCTTATGACAAGAGCAATAAAACCTAAATTACTGCATAGTAGTGTGATCATTTCTCTTTCGTGTTCCAGTGAAAAGCGCTTGGATCAAGTAGCCCCGAGGGTGGATGATGCTGGTGAAACGATACGCAATCCCTAATATAATCATTTTGTACATACAATGTCTGCTTTAGAGGAACCCCTTTTGGACACTAAGGACAAGATGGCCCTATTGCTAAACAGGATGCGACAAATCGTAAATCAACATCACAAGAGAATCTTGTTGCATTCTACCAAACATTTGCGGATTGCATAAATCACTGCCCTGAGCATAGATCATTGTTCTATGCTCATTAGAATGACCGGATTGTGAGACTTCAATGTGGGACCCTAGATTGCCTATCGCGCACTTTCGGCTACCTGCATACATTTCTTTAACGATATCGTTCGTTCACTCATTATAGGTATTTTCTACATGTAAACATGCAAACAAATAGTTTTAAATCAGATAAGACGTTATATCTAAGGAGAACCAGCCAAATGCTTATTGCCATCATCAATCTCACATTGAAAATTTGCTCATTCCAAATACCATGCTCTGCGATAGCAACCCTTGCGCCATCTTATGCAAGCGTATGACTTTATCTGGGATCACTCACTGGATAGCCTCCACATCCATTTAAAGAGTAATAGATCCTTTCTATACAACATTTCGATAAAAACGCTTTAAGGTTTGTATAGTGATCATGTGGTGCGGAAAACTTGTAACATGTGGTTATATCTCTCTTGCACATTTCCCAAATATAAAATTTAAAATAGTCTCTGTCATAAATAAATAAAAAAAAAACAAAGAACTTTTATTTCAAAAGAGAAGGTCCTTGCTTGATTAGGCGTTTTCTTTCTCGTTTCCTCTTACTCTTTTTCTAGTCATGTATCAATCAAATCACATCACACAGCTACCTGTTGAAATTACTAGGGAAATATTTACACATCTACTACTACAGCATGTCCATCCTCCTTCGATAGCAACATCGTCGACATCGCAATGTAGATTTATCTCGGCTAATAGTGGTGCAGTATACCCAAACCATACCACATCACGGTATTTTAGGTACGGCGAAGATGGTACCTGTGTATGCTGGCAATTGGACTTACTCAGCGTTGCCATGGTATGCAAATCATGGTACCTGATCGGCCTTGAATTCATGCAATCCGCCTCCGCCTCCGCCTCTTCCACTGCTACTGGCAAAGGTGCCAGGATTCCATCAAATCAGTTACCATGGTTACCACTTGTCAACCATCCCAGTTACTCAAGAAGCTATCCGTTTAGATCTCGCATAGTTAAGCTGTTAAAGGAGTCTAGGATGGCAAATCTGGCTTTTCATCAGCAAGTGCGTCACCTGGTGATTGATTTTGCGTCATTTGACACCATACGCCGAGAAAAATCCAAAACTACAAACATGATGATCAAGAAAAGAGGTAAAGATAGGATATAGTGGGAAAAAACAGAGGAATTAAGTCATGTTTATCAGTTCATCATGCCAATGCCTTGACCGAATTGAAGGAAATAATCAACCTTTGTACTCAAATCGAAAGATTAGACATCATCTGTGATGCAGGGTTCGCAAATCTCGTCTCTTGTTCCCACTTGTCCAATACAACATCGGCACCTCATGACACTCTAATAGACAACAGCGAAAACAACAGCATACTCAGCGTCTGTAATGCATTACAGCAAACATTGATGCAGCAACGTCAAAGCGATTGTATAAAGCGGCTTGATTTCATTGGGTTCAATCCAATCCAACGATGCCCATGTTGTGCTGGTAAGGAATGGGATCAGTATCTAAAGCCACTGGTGAGCTGTCTATCATCAGTTGAAATCCTCGTTCTCAAAGATGTACTGCCGTCTGTGGATGCATTTCGAGCCCTCAACAGCCCACATTTGAAGAAGATTGTGTTTTACAAATCCATGGTGACAATACCTCTTTTCAAGAAAGTCAGATCCGCTTCGACATCCACCACGAAGTTCATCACTTCTGTCAGTCTGATACCCGACACTCTATGGAGGCAGATCGAGCACATTGAGATCTACGAGGACATTGAGGATGTTACTACCTGGAGAAGTAGACGGTACTTGACTGAACTCGTGAATGCTGTGCATGATTTGGAGTCATTTGTATTGCAATTTGGTACAAAGGAGGCAAATGAAAGAAGTTTAGTGACGGTCAACAACAGCATATTGGAAGAGCATGACATACCCAATGATCAGTGTGGTGATATCAGGGTGAACTGTGATTCTCCGTTATACGACCTCAGCATGAAGTGTAAAACTACTTTGAAACGGATGACTCTGGTGAATGTACCGAATTTTTGAATCGAATGTTTATCTATGGTTAATAAACTGCTCACTACATATATGCTGTATTTGCAGTTACCAAGACATGAAATTGAATACAGGATAAGCTCTTGCTTTGGCACTGATATCAGGATCCGCATAAATGCACGCGATATATCCTTTTTTTATACATGCTGTTTTCACTGTTGTGTTTACTGATTCAATGTATCACAAAATTAAGGCCGTTTGCCCAGCTCGCAGTAAATTTCGAGTCAATTAAGTCCATCTTTGCTCGTATTTTAAAGCAAATGGTGTTATGGTAGGCTTTCAACCGTATTATCGATACTCGTATTCTAAAGCCAAGATGCACTTTTGTTTTTGATGTTCACAAAAATACTGGGGAAAATCAATTTCCAACGGTTAAATTTATGCGTAAGGCTTAGCGGTAATGCTTTTTCACGGGCGTTCCCCTCCTAATGAGCTTTTAAAAGCATTATACATTCATCATGAAACTGGCATTGACCTTGGCAGCCGCCAAAATAATTTTAATCTCCATCACTTTTTTTTTGCCAGATTTGTTAATATTTTTGATCAATTTCGACTTCTTTGATCTATTTTGCCTAATTGGCCTATATAAAATGTGCTGATCATCCCATGGTTCCTAATGCATTTCTGGAGCACTTTTTGAGGCGCAGTCAATGGTGCTAATTAATAGGGATGTTTTGAACAGACTTATTGAGCAATCTTTGAAGATATTATATGAGGCTTTTGCCCAAAATGTCAAGATTTTGCATATGAAGGTGACACAAATAAACCTTCAGGAGTTGCTTTGGGTCGAGAGAAGTATTTTGATCTACTATATACCATAGGAAAAGTCTTCATTTTGAGGGCCAAAAACGCGATCGTTTGATTTTCGATGAAAACCATGAGGTATCCCTCATGCTTTTTGGCCGATTTTGACGATGTTTTTTAGGTCCTCAAAAGGTTGAGCAAAGGTGCCAGAAAGTTGATACTAGGTGAGAGCAACCATTTGATGTAACTCTGGCAGTCTAAAGCGGCCTCTAGGGCGAGAAATCACGACGCAAGTCCATCCATATTTCGCTGTGTTTTGCATAGTCTTGAGCAATTGGAGACAATTCTGTTTATGAATTGTTCTCATTGACATAGTCGCGGAGCATCCCAAGATAGTCAGATCCACAGTAAATAGGCTGTTCATAGAGAGCGTTCACGTGGTAATGGCCAGATAAACAGTGAAACTTTAGAGTTCAATTACCAATGATTCCAAAAGGCCCACAACTGCTTGTCTGCGGTATGGCGCCTTCTACTGGATTGCTTTGCGCTTTAGCATTACCTCCCTCAGTCTCCCAGCGATTTACTAATATGTATATTGGAACAAGATTTCAATAATCCTATGTGCGAGAATCCTTGATGCGAATGGGACCAAAGAGATGAACAGCGCACAGCAAAATTTATACGGATTATTTATTTAGAAGCATCCAAGGAAGCATCATGTAATCCCTTGACTTCAAAAAGATGCATATGGCTCCCAAGCAAAGATATTAAGGCTCGACATCCAGTCATTCTATGTTGGAATACATCTTTTATGGAGAAGGGGTTGCTGCTCCTATTAGGCGTGGAAAAAGCTGTAGCTGTGATGACTGCGGCGTCTCTATGACTGTATGTAAGGGTAAAGAATCGGGCCCACATCATGTACCCACTTGTTGATCTTTGCATAGAAGAAGTATCAGACACAAAGTTCATGTAGGGATGATGAGATACATCTCGCAGTTTCTTACATTGGGGCATGTTCTCAGAACCATCTCGAAAATGTAACAACGCGTGCGTTCTACTCCTTTGGATGTTGAACATTTGTTATCATACACAGAGCACTAATGACACGAACTGGCTTTCCAAGGGCACAAAGTTATATGTTTTTCATTTGTATTTGATAAAGGGGGGTCGGCGTCACTTTGCGGGTAGTGTAAGGCAAAGGACACCTGTGGATTCCAGAGATAGCAAGCCAGAGCTCTGGATTCCGGGCGGAAAAAATTAGATTAACAACGTGAGGGAACTTGTCCCTCATTATAGTTGTTAAACTATAAAGAACAGATACTACACTTGATCTTAGCCAAAAGGCCTGAGAGGATAAAGATTCAATCGTTTCTGCAGTTTGCGACCCTTTTTATACTTTTTTTTTTTTTTTTTTCCTGGCTTGAAAAATTTTCTCTAAGAGACGGTGGATTTCAGCAGTCTGGTGTTGGTTACATTTGCTGCATTTAATTGACCGAAGTCTACCTGAATGTGGATCCATTGTAATGCAAAGCAACTCTGCACATTGGCCTCTTCTTGGCTGTTCATTTGAGCATTAAGTCGCTCAAACTTGCACACAAAATAAAGCAGATGATCCTCTAGTGATGCTATCAGCACTCAAATGATGCTACAATGCACTGTATCACACATCTACATCATACTACACCTCCCAAGCGTCCTTGAGATGCTTCAAATGGGCAACATACGTGACTAACTATCGTGACATTTGAAAAAATCTTTACCTCTTTGACATGATGGAAAAAATTGCTCTTTCATCAAAGGCAAATTAAATCGATAAAATCAACAATGAGTTCATCAGCAGAGTAAATTGAAAACACGGCATAGATATGTGTATGGACATTGATGATTTATTTCGTTGAAATAGCATTCCTTCCGGCTTCAAACCAGCACTTTCCAAATTCGATTCTGTCTTTGATAAAGAAGTTCTCGATGATGATGATAAGGAATTATGGCTGATTCGTATTCCTGATAATGTATGTTCTATGTCTCGTTATGAAGCAAACATTGCTGACACAGCATGTGTCTTTAGCTGTCTGAAGAAGATGTTGCCTCCATGAAGATCAAAGCACCTACCGACAAGGCCACCAAGAAGCCTCTCGCTAAATTCGAGAAAGAAGATGATAAATATGCTTTATACAAGGTGCCTACCGCCAGCGACTTGAAATCAGAATCAGATGACGAGAATTTGGATGATGAAAATGTGGATTTGGGCATCAGTGGACATGAGATGGTATCATTTGATTGTTTAGTTCCCTCTCGTGAAGATGGTGGCAAGCTTGCATTTGGTAAGCAGTTGACATGCTGTAAACATCAACCAAGCAAACTCAATCTGTTGATGTAGCACCCAAGAAATTTGATCAATTTTTGATCTTGAACCAAATTGTAGATATTCCAGACTCAATAGCTTTAGCACAATCCATCCTCGACAAGCCTGTTTACAAGAGAGAGCAACCTGAAGGCCTCAAAATGCGTTTCAAGCCTTATGGATACTACTCTGGTCAAGTGACAGATGGCGACGCTGAGATGAAAGATACCAAGGACGTTGCTGCAGATCAATGCGACGTTGCAAAGAAGAGAAAGAGAGTCGAAACCGAGGAAGAACGAAACGATGACGATAAGAAAGAGGTCAAGAAAGAAAAAAAGGCCAAGAAAGAGAAGAAGATCAAGAAAGAGAAGAAATAAACATGTATCCATTATAAATAAAGCAGAGCATATTATAGAATCACTTACAACATTCGATCCAAAGGCTGATGACATTGCGGCGAAGATTGTCACTTCAGTGGCGATAATTTTGATGAGCGAGGTGTCTTTTTGTGTTGGAAATGCGATAAAAGAGGGGGTCGGCACGTTGATGTGTCGTTTTGATGTGTTAGTTTAGCCCTGTCGCAACTGTCCTTGCATTGTCATCGACACAATTCAAATCAACGGTGTTTCAAAGCGTAGCAAGACATCAGTCTTTTTGATTCATTCATGCGTAAACCTTCCAGGTTGAATAAGAGGCATATGTAAAGTGTATTTCGAGCCAGCATGCTAATCACAACGGAACATCTACCTGCAGATTTGGGTTTATACCGTTCAAACGTTATATCGGAGCCATGCTGGGCAGCGGAAATTCCATATTTTCTATTTCGCTGTTGTGCTGATGCATCATTGGTCCTGGCGAAGCATTATTAATTGCAAAGCATAACTGCGTGTTGCCTGCAGCAAGCGCTACGGATGTGCCAGAGTATGATTTTTACTATAAGCGTTACATGATCGTTTCAGTGCCTTTCGCAATACTGACATTGTGCTTCTGATTGGATACATTTGTATAATAATTCGAGAGAAATGCCATAAAAGGTGCGTTTTACACGTCACCCACCGCGTTAGAAATTACTATATTGGACCTTTGGTTATGTGTTCTTCTTTCATTTTCCATTTTCCCTTTTTTTTTTTTTTTTTCCTTTCTTCACTTTTTAAAAAAGCTAACAGAAAGAATGACCATCAACGTCAACATCAAATCATCAAGCGACAAGAAGTTTGTCATTGCTATCGATACCGACAAAACTGTACTGGATCTCAAGAATGCCATTGCTGAACAAACCGAGGTTCCTGCAGAAAGACAACGCCTCATCTATTCTGGTCGTGTATTGAAGGACCCTGATACCTTGGCCGACTGTAAGGTGGCTGATGGTAATACAATTCATATGGTCAAGGGTGGAGGACCTAAAGGTAAGATGGTCTATAAGAAGGTTGACAGAGAGGCCAAGTATGTTAATCAAGTGGATTACTTAGCTGCTGCTCCAGCTGCTTCTGGCAATGCTGCTGCCTCTGCTACTGCTCCCACTGGTGCTACTTCTGCCACAGCAAATCCTGCAACACCAACAAATAACTCACAAACAACACAAGCACCCAACGCTAATCCATTTGGCGGATTTGCCGGTATGCCAGCCGACTCACAAAGCAACCCTTTCAACATGTTTGGCTCTGGTTTCGGAGCAGGTGCTATGGGCAATAGCTTTGGAGCCATGGATCCCAATATGACCAACCAAATGTTACAGAACCCCATGTTTGCTCAATACATGTCCAATGTTCTTCAAAATCCTGCTGTTCTCGATTCCATCATTCAGACCAATCCCCAATTATCCGGTATGGGCCCAGAGATCCGTAATATGATGCAATCACCAGAATTCAGACAAATGTTATCCAACCCTGATATGATTCGTCAAATGGCAACCATGGCATCTGCTATGCAAGGTGTTAATGGTGGCGCTCCTGGTTTTGGAGCTGGTGCTGCTAATCCATTTGCTGCCATGATGTCCCCTCCTGCCGCTGGTTCTCCAAATACAAACGATCAGCAATCACAGCAACAACAACAAAACCCTTTTGCTGGATTTGGCAATGTGCCTCCTGTGGATCCTCAGTTACAGCAACGTATGGCAGCACTTTTCGGAAATCCTACCTCTCCATCTCCTGCTGATACGCGCTCACCCGAAGAAAGATTTCAAGTTCAATTACAACAATTAAATGAAATGGGATTCTGGGATGCTGCAAAGAATATTAGAGCTTTGACAGCAACTGGCGGTAACGTCAATGCTGCTATCGAGATGCTTTTCAGTGGAAACATCTAAATGAGAGGTACAAATAAACTTTTTGGCTGAAATTATTATGGTGGATGGACAAAATGTTGTGCAATTTACAATTTGGTGACACAGTAGTACTATCATCAATAGCAGAACACTTCAATATTTCACAATAATAGTACGACAGAGAGGACGATTAGGGTCTTTGCGGGTTGAACAGTTTTGTAATGGCCATTGGCTGATATAAACTGATTGATGAGATGTATACATGTAGGACTGAAATTGTGGACATCAGCTGAGTGGATATCATACATTATGCACTATTCTAACAGTAAGCACATGGAGAGATGTTATGTGCTTCAAAGTTACGGCATTGTAAAACCTTAATCAGGCACGTATATAACAAGATCTTGTGACATGATAAGTATTCAATGGATGGTCTTTACTTGCTAATCATTGAGATATTGCTTGCCTGTTATATTTTGACATATGAACTCCGTTCAGGGGTATTATTTCGTGGCCCAAAAATCGATGTGTAAACATTCAAAAAAAAAAAAAAAAGTAGGCAAACAAATCATATCCTTTTAAAAGTTTAAAGAATTGAGTACCGTACAAGGTGAATAAACCATCGGCGAAGCCGGTATTGAGAGAAGGTTTAGAGGGGGTACGAAGTCCATTCACCAACAACATAACGCATCCAACTCAACATTTGCTAACATTGACATATGAGAGTATTTTACCATAACGAAGCGAAGGTGCAAAACCATGGCAACTAAGCAGCAAATTCGAGTTTTCATTTCCATTGTTAATAAGCTTACCAGCAATATAGCGCATCAAAATTTGCTTGAATCAGCTTTACCAAAATCAATACGCCTATTATTTGAATTAAAAAATTGCTCAAGCTACAGAATTGCCTTTCCAGTAAATTGCAGTTACCAAAGATGTGATTTATGCCTTGTAAATAGACTCTATAAAGCAATACATAACCAAATTTGACAGCTTTCAAGCCTTCATATCTTGATATGTAAACCTTTATGAGCCACCGGAATGACGCCAAACAATTGTACTTGAGTAGTAGTAACTTCCTAACATCTTTGCTCAACTTTTTGAGACCAAAAAAAAACATGGCCAAAAATCGACCAAAAAGCATGAGGGATACCTCATGATTTTCATCCAAAATCAAACGATCGCATTTTTCACCTTGAAAATGAAGACTTTTACTAAGGCATATACTAGATCAAAATGTTTCTCTCGATCCAAAGTAACCTATGAAACCACTTTTATGAGGCTTTCATATGCAAAAATATGGCTATTTTCGCTAAAAGCCTTATTTCAAATTTTATTAAATTGCTCAATAATTCCATTCAAAACACTTGTTACAGTTAGCACCATTGGAAGCACCTTAAACAGTACTTCAAGAATGTATTAGGAAACGTAGGGTGATCATCACAATTTATATAGTCGAATGCCAAAAAATAAACTAAAGAAGTTGGCAAAGGACAAAATTCGACCATCTTGAGCAAAAAAAATAAACTGAGTTTGAATGAGATTTGGCGTTGCCACGGGCTAACGCAAATGCTTTTCTGATGATAATAATGATGATTGCGATGCTGATTAAATGAGGATTATGGAATTGAAAGTACAATTGCTTAGCTCGAGCGTTTTTTTTTTTACTTGGAAATTTTCCCTATAAAGGTGTCTTTTGCAATGACAATTTCACAATTTCAAAAGCAACATCAGCAATTGGATACCCCCCCTTCCAGACTTTGATATAGCCTTTTTTTTTTTTACTATTAATTGATTATTTAAAATCTACTTGATATGCCAGATTTTATTATCTCTGATTTGGAATGTGTTCGGCGAGAGCCCACAGGGCGACGTCGACATCGACCGTAGCGAGATAGATCGGCTAGTACATTACATACAAAAGTCTCTTTTAATAGTTATAATTCCAATACAGAAATAGATGAAAAAAAAAAAGTAAGAGCCTGTATCTAAACTAGCTAGTGCGGAAAAGATTGACTAACAGTGTTCTAAATTGTTGAAATGCAACTTCTACCTCATGATGAGGGGTACCATTGAAATTCGACATTGAACCATCATTCACAGCTCCACTGGATGATCCGCTCAGGAGATCTGTTGATGATGTTGCAGTTATTGGCGGTGGTGTTGCACCGTTTGACGTGGGAGTAGATATGAGAGTATCTCGTGGTAGTGCAGTGGCACCCATTGTATATACATCTGGTCTGCTAGGAAGCAGGAATTCCACGTTTCTCATGCCTCCACCACCCATACTCTCAGCTCTGTCTAGACCTTCATTTTGCACACGTTTTCCACTTCTTGAATTCTCGATCAAGAAACCTTTGATGCACTTCATGACCACTTCGCCTCGCTTCTGAAGCCATGATTGATGATGATCCATTGTCATGTAATGGTCTGGTTGTTCAATGAACCTGTCAGGTAGTAGCAGTAGAGGAATTGATAGCGATGAAATGTCAAATTGGGTTGTCATTTTCAAAATGTTGCGAAGACCGATAATAAGAGGATGGCGATTGGAGAGATCTGTCGTGGTGAGGGCTAGGGGACATGGTCAAAGGGATATCAGTCATTATGCGTTGACGCCCTTTTACAACGATTTACCTGCACTATTGATCAAAAGGTGAAAAACTACCTGAGTACTCGGCAAATTAGAGTGCTTTGTGACGAAAAACGACCCTTCTGTCACTGGATGCTCCTTGAAATCCTCCTCTACAACATTCAATTGTGTCTCGATATCAGCGAAATGGAATTCAGTCGACTGTTGACAGCGCTCAAACAGAGCCTTGTTGCTGCCTTTGCCCGTCTTGTACAATCTCCACCCTTCCACAGGACGTCTTGTCAATTCGTTCACTTCCACAAGCACGATCGCTGCGCTTAGATGACTCGTATAGAGCTTAGTGGCGGTTTCAGCTCGGTAGGCCATCTCCCGAGGAGGATCATATACAGGATGAAACACTTCACTAGCCTCGTCTGTCACCAGTAGTCTGAGATTATGCGAAGATTTGATCTGTGCTGTGCCCATCATGATAGTAAAAGACTCGACGAGTTGTGGCGTTTGTTGCTGATGCTGCTGTTGCTGACGACGTGCCTGACCTCTCATTAGACCTTGCTTACTTTCATTCTCATCGTTCTCGATGCCAAAGTTTTCCATGGCCTTACCTAGCCAACCTCCCAATTTGCGCACGGAACTCAAGTTGGTGCTCTCCATAGCCTGCTTTTGTTGCTGTAAAAACGAGATGGGGTTCCAAGACTTGCCTCCAGTATTGTTGCTATTAGCATTGTTTGCATTGATGCTGTTGTTCTGACTAGGCACATTCAGATTTGGACTACTGTGTGCCTTTGCAGTCCCCGAGCTCATGATGTTGAGAAATGTAGGTGTTCTCTGTGTCAGTGATAGTCTACGGCTGTTCGTGTTTTCAGAGCTTTGGCGGGAATGGACAGAAGCGCTACTTGTCGTTGCAGGCACGGGAGCAGTGGCTGATGAAGCCTCGGTGACGAGCGCAGGGCGAGGCACCTGGCTCAATGAGTGCGATCTGCGGTAAGGCGTGCTGGAGCTGGCAGGCGGTCTTGCCATTGTTTGAAACTGTTGTTGTTGAATCAACTGCTGCTGCTGGAACTTTTGCTCGGCAATATATGCATCCACCTTTTCAGGGTTCTCTAGTAATAAGCCGATAGCAGCTTCCATGTTTTGGTTGCTCAACACAAGCGCAGTTTCTGCTTGCTCTTTCTGGAATCCCATCTCCTGGATGCTTTTCACCGATTCTGCTGTTGCGGCTGACAAGGATTCATCGTTGGAAGAAATGGATGCGGTGCGCACTAGGCTAGCGAGTTCGTTGGGTGAGTGCTGTTGCTGCTGTAAATTAGGCGAGGTAATGGACCCAAGGCTGCTGGCTAATGAGCCCGTTCTGCGGCGTGTGATGATGGGGTGGGTATTGTTGCTTTTCGTATCGCTGTGTGTGCTTTTGCTGCTTCCTGCTGGTGCTGGTGCTGTTGCTGATGCTGCCTCGCCATCGCCGTTGTCTGTGTCCCATTGTCTGACTCGACTGGCTGCTGCTGCTACCATCTCTTTGCCATCCAGTTTCTTTTCCGCCACTGCTGTAGTTGCTACAGCCAAGACACCCAATGCATTGTCCTCTGATTTCAAATGCTGCTCGTCCGACAGGGAGGCTAACCTCGACTGGTACTCTTTGTATAGCTCAATGACAAATTCTCGGTATTCCTGACGCTGCGTTTGTTGTGTTTGAAGGATATCGGATTGCCATGTAGCTTGAAATACTTCCATTTCCTCTACCTGGCGGGTAAATATGGTTGTCATGTCATTGCTGCTGTTGTGGGTATTGCTGTTGGGTGATCCTGTCAGTGATGTTGAGGAAGAAGAGGCTGATTCGATCTCTTGCGCCTGTCTAGGTGGTATGGGTAAGGTTTAAGTTCTGCTTGGTCGGTCGAATGCACATTTACCTCGCTTGAATTGCCACCAACTCATGATCGCTAGCTGTCTGAAGCTCCTGAATTGCAATTGCATAGCTCTGTTCCAGTTCCAACAAAGTATCAAAGATGGCAGGTATAGGGCAGTGTACCAAGGTATGATAAGCTCGAGGGAATATGTCCTATAGCAGCGTCAACAAACACCATTCACGCGTCGGTAGTGTCGCAATCAAACTTACTTCTTCGGGCTTATTGTTATATTGAAGTGTGTTTGCTTGATATGAGTCCATAAACAGATGGCGCAACTCTTTCTTCTGAACCACTTTATGCTCCCGTTCAAACAACACTTTGCTTTTGCATGTTTCGTTCATAGCAGACAGAATGGAAGAATACAAAGATATGGTCAAGTAAGGGGGTAGCGCGTGGATTTGCACCAGATGATATACAAGATCTTTGATGTTTTGGCCTTGCGCAATGTCGACCTCAATAGACTTGTGGTTCAAACAGGGCAATGTAACTGAAGCATGAAATGATGTAGTTGCTTGCATTTCCCTTGCTGTTAGGTAGTAGAAGAAAAGAAACGTGTGCTAACTGATTCTCTTGTTTCGAAATTAGAAAATAAGAAAAAAGAAGATAGCTTGTATTTGGCGGTTTCTTCTTTGTCCTGCTCCTCCAATGTTGGAAGCAAGCTGCTCTGGTGGTAGTGTCAAAAAGTCATGTGATCTCAGGGTCTGGAGCCATTTGGCTGTAAAATTAAACATGCTCGAAAAAAAAAAAAAAAAACAATGAGCGAGCCCACTTTTGGTGGATGAAAAAATCGGATCATGTATTTAACATGTTGAGCGTCTATTTAAAACCATCTGGTATCGATTTGCAGGAAAGAGGCATGACGAAAAAATTCTTTAAAGAGTTAAAAAGACGAAAGCTGAGCAATCTAGCTCAAAAATCTATCAAGATTTGCTTGAAACCGTAATCTGATGTACAGCGAGACATATTGCAGCGGCGGTTTATTGTCTAATGCAGCTACCACATTTATAATGATTTCACATTTGATCTGTAATTGGAATTTGGTCATTAAAGAACGAAAGGAAACTAAACTAAAGAACGGAACAAAAACAAAGCATAAATGCTTATATATAAAAAGAAGGCTGACCGACCTACAGATAGCAAGCCAACTAGTAAATAAATGATTGAAATTAATATCCACGTGTGTGGTACATTATCGACCTCGATTTTCATGAATTTGGGTATGTTGTGATAAACAGCATTTTATCATTAATGCAATGTTTCTGAGAAATGGAAAAACAAAAACATTACACAAATGGACATTTCATCAAAATTGGATGCGCACAGCATAATCCACCACACTGAGAATCAAACGCAGCTCCTTGATTTCATATATATATATATAAATAAATAAATAAATAAAATCTAGGCAAAGAACATGAAACTGATCTTATTTGATGCTTTGATATGGAAAACGGAATAATTTCTGGGTAAATATGTAATGTGGTCTATGATATGTGTGATGCGCCATGTTTGATGGGGTTCCTCTTGAAAAAAAAAAAGAGGGAGTTATAAAAGGGAATACACCAAATAGAGAGCACAAGAAAGCCAAGGGAGAGGTGGGGGGGGGGGACTGTGTGACAAGAAGGCACTGAGGGAATATTTTTATAAATGTTGTCAAAAGAAGGATGGATGATAATGAAAATAAAAAAAAAAAAAAAAAAAAAAAAAAAAAAAAGGGAGCAATGTTGGGGGGGTGGGGGTGGGTTACATGTAAAACAAACCTGGTGAAAGGGGATCCAAGAAAAAGTGAGGGAGGCAAATTTTTTGTTTTACATGTATCACGATGGTTTCTTTTGGGACATTTTATATTTAGGGGCCGGTCAAAACGGAAGAAATCTTTTTAGTTGTTTGCGAACCTTCTTTTCATGGTGGTGCTGATGGAATTATCCGACATTTTGTAATCAATATAAATATAAATCAAGATTTCTCATCTTGGCTTTTTTCTTCTCTTCTTCCCTCACTTGATCAAACAACCAGCCAGAAAAAAACACAAAAAAAAAACATACACCTATACGCCAACACCATGACAGCATCCTACTCCATTTTGTCCATTACAAATCCATCGCAATTAGCAGATTTCTGCGCAGTGATCATACCTTGTATCTGGGCTGGATCTTTCAAAAGAGCATTGTTAAGTCCGAAACGTCATGCTGCTTTTAAAGTTTACGTCCAGAAAGTATTGAAAGCGACACAAATATCATGTACATGTATGATTTTGGCACTCCATTACATCCAGAGATTACGAGCAGCTTATCCATCGATCAGAGCGTCCATTGGTTCCGAAGTGAGACTATTCACGACAGCACTTGTATTAGCAAATAAATATCTGGATGACAATACATTTACGAATAAGGTAATTTTGAGTAATTCATTTGATTCGAGGCAACATCTAATCCACTTTACTACAGACATGGTCCGAAGTATCCAGCATTCCTGTGAATGAGCTGAACATCATGGAGATGGAGTTCCTGTCAGCATTAAATTACAACATCCATATTCCTCAAAAGCAATTCTTTGCATGGACATCGACATGCCAGCAATGGTGGTCAAACAGCACATTGATGATGCCCATATCACCAGCAACACCTCCTCCACCACCTGTTGTGATCCCCATGATGCAGCCATTGAAACGCACGCATGAATACATCGATGAATATAGCACACAGGCTACAAAGAAGCGATACATCCCTGATCAGGCACCGGCACCCACTCAAATCTACAGCTACAGTTACCCTACACCACCACCCAATGTTTGTAAACCCATTTTGAGCTGGTCCTCATCTGTTTCTGCATTATCATCAGCCGCCAATATAAATACATATTACAACACTACCAACATGAATGCATTCCACCATCATCCATACAATCATTCATATCAATAGATTTCTTGTTACACATTCCCCTTTATTTTTTCTTTTATATATACATATATATATATATATATATGTATAAATGACAAAACAACATCGTACATATAATACTCTTTCTTAACAAACACACACACATATATATATATATATATATATATATATATAAATACTACTGTACATATATAAATATAATAAAAATGCCTTCCTTTCTGCCTGTACTCATAAATCACAAAAAAAAAAAGTCAGGTACACAAACAAGTTGAACTAGTTTTTTTTTTTTTTTTTTTTTTTTTTCTGATCGACATTAAAGCCCAAAATGTGATGGTTCTAGTCTTGAAATGACTATTACATGGTCGTCTCACGTGGGAGAAATTTTATACCGATTGGATGGTTAAACAAAAAGCATAGAAAATGTGGTCAAATGTGTGTGTGTATGTGTTGCAATGTCGGTTTTTTTTTTTTTTCATCTTGCATGTACTACTCCCTTTGGGATGTGATATTCAAAACCAGTTTTTTTTATTGGTTTCATCATGTTTCTATATTCCACGTGTGATACCCAAATCTTAATCAACAAAAAGAAAATCAAGGCGCCTCGTCTCGTCTCGTCTCGTCTCGTCTCATCTCGCCTCGATTGTCCGCCTCCGTTTTTATTGATTTTTTGCCTTGCTTCTGCTGCTGTCTGATAGTACAGTTGACGGGACCACACACACACACACACAAACACCACATCACAATATAAATATGTCATTAGACTTACTATATACGTTTTTATAGATCAGATGAAGCTATAAAAAACGCACCTAATAACACAAATAATTCGCTTTTTAGCACAAGTGATACATTTAATTTCATTGTTCCACCAGGATTATATAAAGTAGGCATTTACATGGCCCGCGGTAGGTCTAAAATAATCTATTTGTGAAACCGGATGATTCCAAGTAATTCATTCTTATTGGAATCGCCTACAGTTCTTCTCTCACGATGACGAATAGAAACAAAAAGAGCGGGAATCTGATATTCTATATTATATTATATTGAGCTGGCCGCACATCTATAATTACTATACTAGAGCGCCAAGATTACTTGTATTGATTGTACTGCAAAATCATCTGATAGGTACGGCCGATGGATAATAATCAAAGCGAGCAACCAAAGGAGGGCGGCGAAACATAATAATAGCAATAATAGCAATAATAATCAGCTGCTTTAAGATGGATGTGATGAAATTTCATGGGTAATCATCAGTCAAATATCATAATCTTCAGCCCATGAAGGAACACTTAACAAATCATCTTGGTGTACGTTAGTCTGCATTGAATCTCAATTCAAAATAGTTAAATTTGGGGGGGGGGAGGGGCGGCCAAAGTTGATGTAATGTAATGTCATGTAAGTCTCTTTTTTTCCTTCTGTAAGCATGTAGTGTTACCATCGTGATATCTTGTTTAGTGTTTTTGACAAAAAAGAAGCTGTATCAAATCGAAACAAATATTTCCAGATGCAACCATGATTAAGGCATTACATTACACGCCACATAAAACGTCTCCTTTTTTATTTATAATGATCAAATGCATGCCCCAATTTCGGGTTTGAGGCAAGGGGAGCGAGAGAGAAAAAAAGAAGCGAGAGACAACATTTGTTTAATATGACTAAATTTAACAATTTATAACACTAATTCGCTAGGATTTCTAACATAAAATTCAACTCTTTCAAGGAAAGCATTTGCCTTTTGATCATTCAAGATCTTTCCTGGCTTGCCGCCGTCTAATTTGATTTCAACGGCATGTGTTTGCTTTGGTTGTTGAGTGAAATCTAATTTGGCATTTTTCGTCGAGAGTTGAATACGACGAGGCTCTTGCTTTCTTGAAGCACCGCCAAGGTAGTCGATCAAATCAAGCATTTCATGATCTGATGAACGCTTCTTCTGCTGTGATACAATACGTTGATAGCCGCTTACTTGCATGACATAAGGCTTGGAATTTTGATACGAGTCTGTAATAAAGTCATAAGTAGGTTCAGTTAAATTGAAAACCCTGTGTTTTTGTGTTTGTTAGTATCCCAGTTGCATAGATCTGTCTTTCTTTCTTCTTGCTCTTACTTGAATTGTCCACCTGTGTATTTCTCGGAGAAGGATAAAGGAGAGGATTTATAAATAATAGGGTTCTTAACACCAACTGCATTGATCTTGTTGGCTGTGACATCTTGCAAAGCACGTTCAGCTGCCTTTGCAATGAAATCGTTAATGCTGACATGTGTACCATGTTGTTCGTTCAATGATTGGCGCAAGCTGAAGAGATCGTCGACTACAACTTGTTTGCTGATGAATGTAGGGAGGGGAGGAGCGACTTCCTTCTTATCCTGCTTTTTCTCAGTCTGTATCCAATATCAGCACAGTGTCATCTTATCATGCCATGCCACTCCATTTACCTTGGCAAATACAATTTGATCTCTAGGAGGTGCAATACTGAGAGTAGCCTTGGGTGCAGGCTTGGGCTTGATAAGACCAAGGTGAGCGAGAACATCGCCCTTCAAGATTCGGCCACCGTTACCGGATGCCTTGATGCTGTCAACATCCTTGATACCGTATTTCAACACCAAACTTAAAACAGCAGGAGACAATGGCTTCTTGAGCTTGCTAGTGTCAATATCGTGGTGAGAGATGGGTGATGCAGTAGGTGTAGGAGCAGATGTGCTAGTAGGCTTCTCCTCTATTATACACCATGTTATCAGATCAAGCAAACCAGTTGACATTGAATGAAATTTTACCTTCAGCAGCAGCAGCAGCAGCTGGGGTAGATGAAGATTCTTCTTCTGCGGGGATCTCAACATTGGAGATATCATCACCTTCTTCAGCAATGAGAGCAATTAAGCTGTTGACAGATCCCTTTTTACCATTTTGAAGCTATTGTCACTATGATCAGAGCCTGCTTCTCTGTCTATCCTTCGCATCAAGTAGAAAACTTACAACAATCTTGGCTAAAACACCATCCTCGGCAGCTTCGACATCAATTTGAGCTTTGTCAGTCTCGAGTTCCAAAAGCACATCGCCAGCAGCAAAGGAATCACCCTCCTTCTTCATCCACTTGTGAATAGTACCTTCTGTCATGGTAGGACTCATGGCAGGTAAATTGAAACGAGTAATGGCTGCACTCACAGCAGAGGTGTGAAATCCTAGCAAAATTTTGGGTTTAATCAAACTATCCACTTTTTCAGTTCATACTACTCGTACCTGCAGTAGCTTTGTAACTGACAGTTGTTGATAATTTACTTGCGAAGCGATGCATGGTGTCTATTTTCTATTCTATTCCACAACAATAAATATATTTCAGAAAAACAAATCCAAGAAAAGAGAGTAAACAGTTACAAACACGGGAATAGAAGCGAAAATTACGGGATAATGATATGTTGTTTGATAATACTATGGCCCCGGATTAATCGTGACCATGAATCTAACAAAACATACGGAGAAGTGCCCTTATAAATTTACTATTTAAGTAATTGGCTCAATCTGGTTCCTAGAAACAGAGTTGAGTTTGATGATGACATGTAGAAAATGGGGTTTGATGGGAAGCAGGATAAGGCTTTGAACAAAGCCCACCGACATTTGCTTTCGTATCTGTAAGAATCTTGGTAAGATCACAATCGTTCATGGTACATTTGCAACCAAATGCTTGTATGTTATGGGTAGGTTGAAGCTGTTTAATCCCTATCCTTCCCGATAAGCCAAATCAGTGGCTTGTGAAGTATACCATCTCGCACTTGAATTGTGGTAGTATATGCTGAATAAAGGCATACGATGAGATCGCGAATCAGAAGCTGACAAAATCTACATCTAGCTCGTGTATTATAGTTTTTTGAAGAGTCGAGTTGATACTCACAACCACTTGATACTTGAAACGATGAATCATTCCACATGGAGGCACTCGCCATCAACGCTTCATCAAAGTATGAGAAACAATGATTTCTATCAACTACAGAATTAGTGACTACATTACCACTTGCAATCATGTAAGCTACTTCAACCAAGCAAAATTCCCAATGCTAAATCATGTACAGATATGGCTTGGATGAACCGCATTCATTCAGATTGAATCTTGAGGTCGTTTCTTTCATCGTCAGTATTATTGCATGGAGATATGGAATTTTTTTTTCGCATTCTGAACCCAAGATCAATTCGTGTATCTGGCATCAGATCATTTTGCTTTTTATGTATGTTGTTAATGATCTGACTATGTATAGCATAGCTGTTTGTCCAGATCCACATGTACATGATAGCCATTACCAAGATCTCAAGGGAAAATGAGCATTTATTGAGTTGTCAGCGTTCGTCTGATCAAGCACACTTGACAATCATATCAACGAACAAAAGTAAGCTAATATTATAAGCTTTACTCGAGGCCATCTTGATCTTGCTCTATTATGTAGCTCACTTATTGATAATGAGTATGGCAGTACTGTTTCAAAAACTTTGATAGAGCAAGGTAGTAATGACCATTACACTGTAATGAACGGACATTAGTCAAATGACTCTACTTTGATACCCTTTACCATAAACAGTACTATTATTGCCTCAAATGATTCTATCTAACGTCCAAAAATGCATCTCCAGTATATGTAAATTTGAATTTGGACTCGAAATGTCATCCACAAAACTCTCGTTTAGTGGCAGGATAAGCATGGCAACATTTTTGCTAGCCAAAATTGATTTATTCTCCGTGATTTGTTTTATTTTCCTGATTTGTTGGTTTTCAGACTTTTTGGATTCAATTTGACCTATTTTGGAAGATTCAACTATATAAAATGTGATGATCATCGCATACTTCTTAATGCATTTCTGGAACGCTTTTCAAGGCGCATCCGATGGTGCCAAATAAACTTAATGTTTTGAACAAAAATATTGAGCAATTTTCAAAAATATGAAATGAGGGTTTTGAGGAAAAAGTCGAGATTTACCATATTAAGGTCGCACAAACAAAGCTTCAGCGGCTGCGTTGGATCAAAAGGAACATTTTGATTCAAGATATATCATAGTAAAAGTCTTCATTATCAAGGTCCAAAACGCGATCGTTTGATTTTTGATGGAAATTATGAGGTATCCCCTCATGGTTTTTTGGTTGATTTTGGACGAATTTTGGCGATCCCAAAAAAGTTGAGCAAAGGTGTCAGCAAGTTGCCGCTAGGCAAGAGCAATTGTTTGGTGCTATTCTGACAATCTAAAACGGCCTTGAACGCGAGGAAACGCGGCTCAAATGCACTCGAATTTTGCTGTATTAGACACACTCTTGACTAAAAAGGGATAATACCTGTATGATACTTGCCCGTATATGAAGTAGCAACGTGTAGATAGATATAGAGCATCGCATAAGAACCAGATTTACAGATAATATAAAGTGTTTTTAAGTGTAAGTGGAGGGTCAAAATGAAAGTAGTAGCAGTATTCTGATAAGGTGCGCAAGGGCAATCGGTAGCGCGAGCTGCCGCTGCGCAGGTTGGTTCTCACCGAAGCGAAGCGAAGCAAAGGTAGAGAGCCATCCGAAGCATAAACACTTGTATATATTAGCGGAATGCCTTGGATGTACGCTCTCAAATCCACAGTGCAAGACACATGCCTGTATATATGACACCAACGCCAGGTGTATCATGCACTGTGGTCTCGTACAATATATGATACGCTGTAAACTTGTCATATATCCCAAATACGTACGTTGCTGAGGCAATGACTGTTGATGTTGACTGTATTGATAGACTGTACTCAAGATATGTATACATGCTACTCACACGAGAAGCTGGCCAAGCGGCTTTTAAGAAGATCTATTTATTCATTTAAACAAATCCACGTTACATTGAATTTTCCAAGATGTCCTTCTAGCATAAGTGATTCAAGTGAGCTTGTATTCCAATTCATAGCAATAACAGAGCGCATTTATATGTTTAGAGCTTTCAAGAAGGATCGCCTACCAGGCTTTTCAGTTCCATACCAATGAAGCTTCTTACGCAAGTATTATCAATTCCACAGTAATGACACATCCTTACTTGATTATGTATTACACGAACCTAATTAATACCTTTCATTGCTATGAAATTTAAAGAATATTCCTTCCCAGAAACACTTCAATACTAAGCTCTTTGAGAGCAATGCCACAATCAACTAGAAGCTTCTTTTTTAAAATTATTGTGTTTGATTACTGATGCCTTCAGGTCTGTTTGATATATAAATTCCCAGATCAGATCTATTAAACGTTTACACAGGTACAGGTACAGACACAGGTACAGGCACAGGCAGCCTGTGCAGTGTCAGGTATACGATGTATACCAAAACAAGTATGATGCGAGTATTGGCATTGGAGTTGTTAGCTGATAAAACGAGTTATAGCATATTTAAAGTTGCATGTATTTTGTATCACAACCATCATGTAACACCTGGACGACATGGCTTATCACCTCTACTGACAAAAAGTAGCTACTAGAGGCAAAGAGCGAGCCCTATTGCGTTCATCACTCGAGAGATCCTTAAAAATTGCGAGTCTACAGAGGACGAAATCCATGATTGATTGACAACGAGATGTATAAAATAACGATTGCTGCTGTAATATCCCAACTTACACAAAGGTGATGATGTACATATTGATGTAGCAGTTTACCAGGGAAAGTTGGTGGGTAGAGAATTTCTATTTAGGGACATTAATATAGTTTGTACGTCAACGTGCTAATTTATATATACAAGAATGGAGGAATTCAACAATTTCAACTTAAATTGAGACCTTGCTATCAAAATGTTTTGTGTACAATGCATCATCTCACAGGATTATATGCTACTTGCACAAGAGAAGCAGGTCTCTTATGTCATTTGCTACGCTGCTAAACACATTTTTTACTATTATTATAAAATCGAAATCTTGTGGTATCAAGGCATTGATTGGACTATCAATGCTCAACCTGTAACACAAGAAAAATATCAATGGTATGCACTGCACCAGATCTAGTATAGCTCATGTGCTACTCCAATACAAAAATAATCAAAAGGAAGATCATTTCCGTTGATGAATATTATGATTCAGCGTCTTTTCGCTAAAGAAAAAACTGAAAAGAAGATCCATTATCTATAGATTGGACAGCGTATCAGTCATGGCATATGAATTTATTGACTCAAAGTAAACCATTGTAGCAATATCATTAAAGCGGAAAGCAAATTTGATGTAAAAGAAAGAATGGAAATATTTTATATATATATATATATATATATGATTGTCGCTAATGACTAAAATTATGGCATTTCCGCTTAGCAAATCATGCTGTCATGACATGAACGAGTGCAAAACTACTAGAGTCAAGTCAATTGCATCTGAGAGACGTTGTGTATATGCCATTGTATACCACGACTTGGCCACACTGTAGATTCAACCAGACGCAATCATTCACTCTGGGAAAATCAGAGAAGCTCGTCTGTTTTATTTACAAAACTAATTTTGGTTGACATACACGAGAAAAACAAGCACTCTGCCACTGACCAAGATCTATAAAAAGCAAAATTGTCTAGTAAAAAGGCAGAAATTATCGCGAGACTCAACTCTAAAGTTACAGAATAGATTCAGAGGAAAGACTAGAAGATGAGTTTGTGTCTAATTGAGAATTGAAGCCGGAAAAACCGCAACATCGTTTTGACGGGCTATTTATATACAAAGACATCAAGCACGTACGTCTACACTGCCACTGAGAGACATGTGAATCTATCGGTTGCAGCATCGTTCCATCTATACTGTATGATGGAGGTTTCTCGCTCATTCAATGCTATCTCAGGTCTTGAGCGAAATCATAAAGTGTATGTTCCTGGAATTCATTTTGTGATACACTTGACAATCTAAATAAAGAAACTCTGTAGTAATTTGGTGTTTGCTCTACCAACTATAAATACGATCTGGTAAAGAGTATTTGATAATGGCTCTTTCCATCTCTTAATTTCTCTTTTCCTGTCCGTCGTTTTACCTTCCTTTATATCCTTTACGTTCCCTTAGACTATAAAAACAACATGTTTCATAAGCTTTTCATTCTCGCCACGGTCGCACTTACAGTAGTAAATGCTCATCCTGGATCACACGCTATTGTCAACGCAGCTGCTGCTCCTCAGACCATCAAGTTGAAGGAAACTTATCCTCCTGCTTTCAAGATCCCCACAGCTAAGCCTGAATGGCTTGAATTGATCAAGAACGTCAACATTACCAAGGCTCCTGTTTACAAGAACCTCAACAATGCTGGTAAATGCAGAATCCGTGTTTCATTACGTTGCAAAGCACTGACATTTTCTTTTATTAGGCCCTCAACCTGAAGTTGCAGGCCAAGATCCTTATTGTGATTGGACCTTCACTGGTTGTTTCGGTAAAGAAGATCTCTACGAATGTCCCAAGGGTCAATGGGCTCTTACTTACGACGATGGACCATCTGAATTCAGTCCCAAGTTGTACGATTACTTGGACAAGGTCAATGTCAAGGCTACTTTCTTCATGGTTGGCGGTCAAGTCGTTCAATTCCCTGACTATGCTCTTCGTGCTTACAAGTCTGGCCATGAGCTGGCCATGCACACCTGGTCTCACAACTACATGACCACCTTGACCAACGAGCAAATCGTTGCTGAGCTCAAGTGGAACGAGTTAGTTATCAAGGAAGTTACTGGCGTTGCTCCTCGCTACTTTAGACCTCCTTATGGTGATATCGATAACCGTGTTCGTGATGTTGCCGCTGCTCTTGGTTTTGCTCCCATCATCTGGAACCATGACACCAATGATTGGGCTTACGCTTCCAACCCCAAGGTCTTTAAGGAGTCTTGGATTGATGGCAATGTTACCAAGTGGGCCAATGCCGCCAAGTCTGCTACTGTTGGTGGTATCTCTCTTGAGCATGATTTGTACACTCAAACTGTTGATGCTGCTATCCGTATCTTGCCCATCCTCCAAAAGGAATACGAGTTGGTTCCTGCTGGTCAATGTAATAAGGTCCCTGTCTACAAGGGCAATGCTACTGTTCCTACCGCTGCTTCATCTTCTGTTCCCGTCGCTACTACTACTACCGCTGCTGCCAAGACTACTACTCCTGAGGCTGTTGTTGCCGCCACCACTGCTGCTCCTTCCTCTTCCACTACTCCTATCGCTGCCAATGTTGTTGGTTCAGGCGCCTCTTTCACCGGTGCTAGCGCTGTTGGCTTAGGTGTTGCTGTCGTTGCTGCCATGGCCCTTATTTAAATTTCATATTGATTATTAAACTAGTAATTTTGTATTATATCATTACATAAACACTCGATTTGATTGATATGAAGTCAATTCAACCACTAGACTTATGTAAAGCACACATCCCATAATAAAAACCAATTCAAACACTTATATACAATATGAGGTAAAATGCGACATGATATTAGAAAAAAAAAGAGAAAAGTAAACTCTTGTCAAGGTAAGAGGAGTGAACGTATATAGAGGTTGTTATTTTTGCAGGCTGGATTATTTCTTCTAGAATCATAAAACATCTCCAGAGGATCCCGATGGATCTAAGCAGGAGCAACCCAATCTAAATTCCACCATTAATGCTTATACTCAACACACTATAACACAACCAACTTACCAGGGAAACATTCCTTGAGAGACTTGTTGTGCTTGTTTTCAGAGTGTTCAGACAAACTACCACAAAATGTCACTATGCCATTCTGGTTCTTCATCATAATTCACTTACGCTTTTTCACGAGAGGTACAGAGGAAGGTTTGGAAGCAGGTCTTACAGATAATGTTCTTGGCAGCATCATTCTGTCAAATGGCACATCAACACTCACTCTCATCCTACGCACAAATGCTACTTACAGTCTTTAATTGAGAAACACCGTTACCCTTTGCGTTCTTGGCGTTACGCTCACGCTTCATTTGTGCCTTTTGACCCTACGATACCATCAATATTAGTCTACTGTTCATCTTCCCATACTTGGAGTCTACTCACGTTTCCCATTTTGAATAAGTTGTTCTATTTGTTAATGAAGAAAAACAAAAAGAAGATGAGATTTGATGAAAAAAATTTTTTTTTAACCTTGACCAAGATGGGGGTGGTGTAGCCAAAATGTAAAACTTCCATTTCCGGATGCTTCAGCAAGTGTCCCTGTGTGTTTGATATTAGCGAGGCGAACGAAAAAAGGGGATGAAAAGAAGGAGTCATAACATCATGCCACTCTTGACAAGATAAACTCAACAAGGCTCGCTTGTGAATAGCACTGTCATTGACAGTTAATTAATGCAATCAGATGATATATCTTATTGGATCAGAAACAGTGCTTATAGTCTCATTTCATGCGCACTAGTGTTCTTTGTTGCCGATCTCTTGATATTCAATCGACATTTGAATCTGAAACGGACACTTCAAACTTGCTCTTCAGCTAGACACCGGCGCTGTCTGTGCGTGCAGCTTGAAGGAACATTCTGACTATGATCCCCTGCTGAATGTTGATTACCTTCTTGCTAAAGGATCGGCTCATTTCCGCATTGGATAATCTTTTAGAGCGATTCCTTGTATCAGAATCTCTTTGATGAGCAACTGTAAGTTGCGTGCAGGTATTTGAGTGTATTGATAGGTTAGAATCTCAGATTACTGCCATTATCTCAACCAAAAGATTCAAATGAGCTACCGTACAGCGACATTGAGTAATGCACTATCAATGAGATAGCTACGAGAACTGAACAGCCTAGTATAAGGTTTAAATGGCATACGGCGCTCAACGTCTATATCAGATAAAGTAGCGTATTCATATCTGTCCCTCAGACCAAGAGGAGCCTATGGATTCGATAGATCGACAAAACATGACAGCATTTTAGGCTGGCTAGGGGTTTGACCACACATGTATTATGTAAAGGATCGATTGGTCACACCTTTTTCTTTAGAAAATGTTTAGATTTTGACTCATCACGATAGCGAATCGGGGCAACAGATCAAAGACTGTGGCAAAGTGTAGCATACGAACAGTAAACACGCCTGCATGTGGCAATGCTAAAATTACAGGTTGATCTGCTTCTGGCTGCTACTATAAATGCCCTTTATTCGTGTTATGAACCATATCCAACCTTTCGAGTTTCAACGCTAATCTAAACATGCAATGTAAGTCTATGGCTCTCATGAAAAGCACCATCAGACTAGCACCCAACTGGAATTAATTCAACCAAACAGATTTGGCATCTAAAATCAGCTGCAGCCATCTTTTGAAAAGTGATTGATTTGATATTCGGTGATACAATGATTCATGTTCAAATAATAGTTTCCCTGTTGAAAATGGCTCTTTTAGGAATGATTTACTTTATTGATGCTCAACGCCTCATCTTTGCCCATATACAGATATGAATTGTGCAATGTGCATTATACTTGGCACGAAATAAGCTTGCTGCTGTTTAGACCAAGTACAAAGTAGCATTTCCTCCTAGTGCTGGCATCGAACATGGCAATGAATATCTCATTTGACTTATTTTCAATAACATCTGTCTTTTGATCTATATAGAGCTACCTTGTGGAAGTGAACCAGGGGCAACAGATTGTACGATATTGCACAAATTGAGCCTTGTAGTACAAGCAACCGCCATACCATTGATGCTTTCAACCACATCAGACATTGTAGTGGTTGCCATGGTTACTGCACAGTGGCACAACTATTATAATGTATACAAGGCTCAGAGGCGCAGTTCTATATTGTTAAAACGCCAGATCAGTAAACTGTGTGCCATTACTCTTTTCATTTCTAAATATGTATTATTTGAGAGTGGGTAATTTCCATATACGCTCAGTGCAAAATTCTGGGTACATTGAACAAGTATAATCTTACTACCATGACGAGAAAAAAGAGTGAAACTGCATGCTTCCTATTTGCTTGTATAGGAGATGTTGATTAAACATGTAGCTTGCAACGCAAGGAGGATTTTCGTAAAATTGGCAAGCATCAGCGCACTATAGTCAGGACCACTTTCACCTCTTCTTCTGCGATACATATTAAATGAATTTGTGTCTATTATTTAGACTCTTGTAGATCATTCTACAGACAAATTTGTACAACACCTCTTTCACCAAGCAAGCAAGGGCTGGATCAAATAACAAACCCTATAAAACTTGATAAATACATCTTTTCATGGTTTGCTTCTTTCTTTCTCTTTCTTTCCCTTGTAGTATTACAACAATATAAACCAGGGGCAGTTGGCTTTCATCCATTGCTCTTATCCTACACCTGTCCATTAACACGGTAAGCGCAAAAAGACCACAGAATAAACTTTTTGTAATTGATTTCCTGCAGATGTCGCATCACCATCATCAACAGCAACAACAGTACTATACAGACATCTCTGAAGAGATCCCTTTGGGCCAAGTCCCTGAAGAGAAACAAGATCAAAAGTTGTTTGATTCAAGCCATGTGAAACACGACACTACGTACGCCAGAATACACAACAGACAATCCGTGAATAGCATCCAAGAGTTGCAAAACAGAAGCTCATTTTCTTTATATTTCAAGACTCTGTTCACCATTGTACTGTCTTGCTTCTTTACAATTGCGTTGCTGCTTCTGTTCCTGTATGCTGACGGAAAGCCCTTGGATTTCACTATCATTGGCCTAAAGATTCCCTCTCTTGTGTCGTTTCTATTGAGCGCCAACTTGATCTTTATTGCCAGCGGCATATCCAAGTAAGACACAGTCTATAAGCTTGTCATTCTGTACTAACACTTGTCATTAGAGCGCTCGCAGAGTATAAATGGGTCCGTCTTACAGAAGGTGCCAAGTTGACTATCATTGATGTGTATGATGAATGCACCCGAGGATTGTCAGGTACATATATACTCATCATGTCAAGCAGACTGAACCAACATTCCACTAGGCTTCACAAGTGCTTTTAAAGCAATGACCTTTGATTGGGTCCTCGTTGTAGCTCTTGTGTTCAATATTGGCCTCTTGATCATCAGTCCTGCTTCGCAAGAGCTCCTCGTCCCCGTCATGAAGAACATCACACTAGGCCCTAACTCCAGCATTCGCTTTCATTATCTGCCAGCTGAGAGTTTGGGTGGTCGCAGCAAACTTGGCAGTAGTGGCATTGCGCCATTTATGAACGGTTTGTCAACCAATGCCTATCTTACTTCTTCCAGTTTTGCCCAGGCTGCAACAGGTAGCAAGTCGTCACCTCTCTATGAATGTCCCTCTGGCACTGCCTACTGCTCGTACGATAATATCACCTACATTTCAACCAACATGACCTGCAACACTGTGTCTGCTGATGAAACGGCCATTGTCAATCGCTGGGGAACAAACAGAACTGTGGTTGTGCTGAAAGAATTCTTCACTGCCTTCAATATCACGACAGCTTCAGATATGAAGTTTCCTAAATTCTTGTATTCTGGAGATATGGTGAATCGCACCTACTGGGATTTGGCCAACTATACAGCTCCCATGATACCAGGATTGAACGTGCCAGAGATTTTTACAGACGAGAAGGTGTACGATGCACGCTACAGACCTTATGTTGGTGATCAATCCTTCATCATTGCATACAACAAGACGTATCAAACTGCCAGTGTTCTCAATCCTAACAGCACCTACTTGGATCTGGAATTCAAGAAATGCTACTTTAATTCGAGTTATGTTAATGTATGTTTATCAGCTAGCATGGAACATTACAGCACTTGCTCATACTAAACTTGCATATAGTCTACTTGGAGAACCACAAATGGCACCTTGGTACAATATAGCGTCGATTCTGCTACTCCTATTGTCATGGATTATGATAAAGTGATTGGCAATAACACTGCAAACAACTTTGATGCTATGACAGCCCATCCAATGTACGGCGTCATGCTCAACGCATACATCATGCAACAGAGCATCATCGCAGAACTGTTGGCACCAAAGTATTACAACATTCGAGACTACCTTGCTTCGTTTCGTCAGATCGAAAACTTCAAATACAACAAGGAACCCTATCCATTCGAATATTTTATGCAACATGCTTTGAATGCTTTCGATCAAGCTTATTTCCAAGCGCCTTATGTCAACAATGACGCTGAATCATTAGCTTGGTCAGGTTCAGGCAGAGACGGGCAAGCTGTTTTCAATTTGGAACCTCAATACGCTATCAAGAGAGAGGCATGCTATGCGCTATGTCTGTGCTTGTTCATTCCTATCGTCTGGTGGATTGCCATCTGGACTGTCAGCATCAAGAAATCACACGGTGTTGCTCGCGGTAACTCGCAGATTGCTCTGTTGGCTACTGGAATGACACCTCTTGCGGAGCATAACCTGAGAGGTTTCTCCAAATTGGACAGCGAGAATGCATTCAAGTACGCCAAAAATATTCGGGTTCGTGTGGGTACATTTAGAAATGGAAATCAAAAAGACGTGGTTGCCTTTGGCATGGATGGCGAAGAACATTTGATGCCTTTGAAATAATAAAATGTCTTTCGCATGGAGCTCAAAGCAGCATGTTTGTATTTAAGCTCTTTATAATGTGTCACCTTGTCGTCGTGACTCTTCTGAAATGAACAAAACGGTGATCAGATTGTATTTATCCATCCTTTCATCTCTTTCTTGCATATACAATGGAAGCTTATTACAGCCAATTTGCCGACGTCTTTTCGACCCTTCCCGAGGGCTATCTTCCCAAGTGGTTGCTGTTCACCTCTGCCCTTGGCATCTTCAATTCCATTCAAAATTTTTGCACCAGTTCATTGACCAAACGCGTTTACGCAAACAAGCCAGAAGAAGGTACAGTTTAACAAGAGTTGTGTGATAGCAAAGCTGTGCTGACTCAGGACCCTTGGATAGTAACACCCTTGAGCGGTCGTCTTTTTGCTACATGGACTTGGTCTGTCAGTATGATTCGTATCTATGCTGCTTTCCACCTTCAACATAAATTGTATGTATTTTGACATTTTGTTTGTTTGAGGGCCCTTTTTGTTAATCCTGTCGATAGCATGTATGATCTCGGTATTTGGACCTACGTAATTGCTTTGACCCATTATGCTGGTGAGCTCTTGGTATTTCGTGGCTGCAAGTTAAATGGCCCTTTCATGTCCCCCTTGTTTGTTGCTGGTAAGTATTGATATTCGACGTTTACTGGCATTGTATTAAGATGTTTTGGATAAACAGTTACCTCTCTTATTTGGCTCACTCAAGTCAAGGATTCCTATGTCAAATTCTATTAGATGCATTCAGTTTTAATGTCGAACGCTATGAAGCAGATGGTTGGATGTTGGATTCAATAAAGAAATCATTGTTTTACATGTTCATTTTGTGCAACAGTAATGGGATCCTTAAGAAGCAGAGATTTACGATCAGAATGGCGATGAACTGAGGATGGAGTGGACAATCAGTAATAGTATGGAAGGGAGCACTGCATGAGGATGTTCTAAGGCCATATGCTATGGGATGTGGTTTCAAATGTTTTTTCTTATAAACGCGAATTGGGTGTAATCCGAGACAAGTTGCAAACGAGATTCTATTTTCGAGTAAATTTTTGTAGATGCCACTTTTGCTTACCACATCTGTCATAAATAAAACATACACATTGTAAAATCTATAGGAAATGAGCATTTTGGAGCGATTGTGGCGAGTACTGGAACACGAAATTAGTTTGAATGTATTGAAACACAACCGCTTGCATGATTGTTTGGCCCTGAAATGTTTAAAGCGGATATAGTGTTTGTGCGAGGTATACAAAAACTGATTAGACAGGACATAAAAAGGATGCTCCCAATCTTCAAAATGTCGAATTTACATTCATTTTTTTAGCTTTGCAATGCTACATACCTATATCGAATACGCTGTATAGTCACAAGTTTCAATTCTTTAAACTGTTTTCTTCCTATAGTGATCCGCAATGACCTTTGGGGGGGGGCTTCTTTATATAAATGAAAAATATCTAAAAGGATTTGACACAGTATCATAAGTACCAGGTGGTAGTATTCTACCTTGATCATTTCTCTGCGAGCAATTATTATAGCGGTTTTCGCTTTATTGGTCTAATTTTAATTTACATGATCACTTTCAGTAACATCAACAACAGCCCACTCATGGTCATAGTATATGTCCCTTGAATGAACGTCTTCTGCATGATACAAGAGTTCAAACTGGCCACGGGATAGAAAATACATTGGAAATGAGTGCTTGGCAACACCATTAGAGGCAGGAATCTGTTTGAAAAGGGTAGTTTAGCTTTCAAATGAGCAGTACAATGGCAAGTACACATGTCTTACCTCAGGAAGAACGACCTGTCTGACACCTTCCATCAGTAGCTTGCTTGACAAATCATACTCTTTGACGCCGTCATTGTAGCTTTGGACAGGTTGAATGCGCAAAATCAGCTTGATAGGATGAGCTATATAGAAAGACGAGGATGAGGCATTACTATTACTTGCTGTTATCATGTCACTTACTGAATCGATTTCTCACAGACACTGTCATTATCACATGGTCATTACAGACACAAGTAAACTTTCTATGGCTCAGTTTCTGTATGCTATGACCCTTCAAATCTACCACAAACTCGACATCTTCCTTCTTGAGAATACCCAACTGCATCGATGTCAGCCTCAATGAAGGACGCAGATTTAATTCACCCATTCTGCCTGTGGATCCACATCGCCATGTTGCCTTTATGCGATTCAATAGTTCTTCTCTGTACCAGAACATCTGTAAACGGGCTTGCCGTTGTTCTTTTGATACCTTGGGGCCTTGAGATACGACAAACTGCTTGTTTGGATCAAATGAAGGTATCTCTTGACGACAAACATCAGGCGAGAGAAACAGTCTTTTCAAGGGAAGAATGACCCTAATGCGCCTAGTGTAAGCAAAGAGCTTGATCAAGATAACAATAAACTGCTTACCGCGATGTAGAGCCAGGCTGTACTGTAAGATGAGATGCCAATTCATCCATATCGCTGCTATCGTCATCCTTTGTTTTGCTATTCACTACAAAATCAACGTCGAATGGCGTGGTCCATCTATTGCGTACGTCCAATGTGATCAGACAGTATTCGTTTCTTTCTTGATTCTTCAATTCTATGTTTCTTGTGACCAGCAGCAAGTCCTCAATGGGCTGTTGCTGCGATAGAGAGGTGCTGGATATACCTCTTTCTTCTGCTTCCATGACCTCTTTGATGGTACGCAGGTGGTCAAAAGCGAGATCTAAGGTTTCTTTGGGTGCAGGTGTGCTGTGTCTGAGATAAGCCACATCCCAATTGAATGGTTCAATGTTTTGATATACAGTGATAAGCACATTGAGATACAATTGACGTGTATAGAACATGGTAGCAGGGGCAGCAGTAGCGTCGTTCTGGGTGGACTGCAATGATTGTATCTTCTCTACAGTGCGATCCAAATAGCCATAGTCAATCTGGATCGTTCCTCCATGGCTGGCACCACGTTATTAGTGTCTTGCGTGACATATAACCCAGAGCACATATAACACTCACCAATCTCGTTTGCCATAGACATTGATCTTGATAGTCGTACTTGCACCTTGTGGCAGCCATATCTTCTTACCTATCAAGTCATTGGATCTTTTCTCTGATGTTCCCTCCCAAGAAAAGACACGCGTGCCCTTGGTGTACAGCTCGAGTTCATACTGATCTTCAGGTGTTAGTTCTGGATTCATCAGGGTATTTGTGGTGGTGGAATCTGTAAATGACAGCGTGATGAAATCTACTGCAATATTGCCAATATTCTCTAGTTCAATCGTGATGTGGGTGCTATCAGAATGATCAGTTTTTGAAAAACTGTTTTGTTGCTATGAATAACCTACACTTCTCCTTCGTAGAGCATCACAGCGCCGTGTAGCAGCGATGTCGACTTGATTTTCAGCAAGGGCTGATCATCAATGACATTGAGATTATAGAATGTGATAGGACTAGTATCGCCCAATGTTTCTAGTAGCACAATAAGTCAATACGAGCAAAGCTACTGCATTTTGCTGTATGCAAACCTCTTGTTCTGTTTGTTTTGATGGCATCCAGTCCACTGGGCACCTTATATCAGCTTTCATTGCACCTCAAAATCACTCCAGTATTACTTACGTGCGCTTGATCTTGATAAAGCTATCGTTTGAGGTGTCTTCTGGCGATTTCTTGACTTCGTTATCGACCAAAAACTCTTGTTCCGCAAATCCAATGATCTGAATCAAGCATCCTCTAATGATAAGCGTACCTGTTTCTTCTGGTGTCCCCATCAACGGCACATGCATAGTGGCATTTGCTGGAATAGTAATAGCAGTCGACACCGCGTTGAATGAGATACCTGATGTGCTATTAATGGGATTAATATACTCGCGCTACACACTATGCCCGTTTTTACCTTAATGCTATGCTCTGAAGCTCCAAATCAAAACCAAACGGATTGACCAATGTCATCTTGAATTCTGACAATTCGTTTTTAACTAGTACGATCTTGGACTAACGGATAATTGAGTCAGTCAATTCTGTTTTAAAATCTAATCATATCATCTTACTGTTGTATCCGCCTTTTTTGCAAAAGGGTTGTAAATGAAGGGATCGTTGGCATTTGCTAACGGTATCGCCTTTTGTGCATTGGCCATTGCTTCGTTCTTGATAGGATGCGCATACACAGCCTTTCTGGATATTGGTTTCTTTGCTTCCACGCGCGATACAATATTGACTCCCCAGTAGTTAATAGACTCTGTGCCATACACCAGTGAAGATGACTTTTTGTCTCGGTGCGTATGAGCCACCATGCCCTGTATCGTGGTTGCTAGCTTGATCTGCTCTGCCTTGGGAATGTGCTGATACAGATTCTTCAAGAGCACGGTTGTGTAGTAGAGTCGAGAACCATTGTCAATCAAAGCATCGGATACAGATATACACTGCTTCAATATGCATATCTGCAATTCAGGCCATCCAAAGCGATGCTCCTCCTTGGGTCGAATGTTGCCTTTGGACCGAGAGGGCGTCTGCTTTGAAAATAGCTCTTGATCCTCCTGACGCATAGCCTCCAAAGCACCTCCATCGTGCACATTGCGCTCGCCAATACCGTATATTTCGCAGATGCGCTTCAGTATTTCCAGGACACCATTGTCGTAGGCTGTGGATAGTTTTGCAGTGTCTTTAGAGAGTCCTGATCTACGGTGCTGTATCAACAGAGGCAGCATTCTATCCACACCTTCGTGCATAAGCCAAGCTGCTTTTCGATGATACCCAATGAAAGAGTACACCGAGGACATGGCTGTTGTCAGGTAGATCTAGCGCAATGTCACATGTATCAGCAATACGGATACTCTCATACCTTCTGCACGGCTTACCTGGTCCAACAAGGCCAGCTCATTCATATGAATCCCCCATATTTTGGTGACCCATTCTGCGATGTGATATCTTGGTATGCCACTGCTCTTGAATCGAATCATATCCTTTGCAGATAAAAGCACACAGTTTCCACTCTTCTTTTCCCGTAATTCGTCTTGCTCATTCTCACTGAGCTTCCCCTGCACCAGCAATCCCATAGTGTAATCATTCCATCCTTGGTTCAAGAGTGCTGTGCTGAGCAGTCGAGCAATTTTGAGGCAGGCTTCCGCATACACTAAATCCGGCACAGATAAATTGGCTGTCAGGTACGTGCGTTGGTAGTTTTTGATGATGGTTGTGTACTGATCTGTCACTACAGTCAAGGTGGATCGTGGTCCTCGACTCTCGGATGAAGGCGATGAAGTGGATGATTCGCTGGTCTCCTCTGCTGTAGTAAGCGGACCTGGTGACGACGCTGAGTTCCTCGATACAATATGTCCAATGTCTGCTTGCAAGTACTCTAACAAGATGGTTGCACACACTAATCCTTCCATCGCACTTGCCAACCACAGAAAATCGGATGTGATCTTGGCCATCTCTATTGCTTGATCATAGCTAGAAAGTTGAAAACCATCAATCATCATAGCCTTGTGAAGTTTGTGTATACTTTACTGGTTCACAGCGTCTGGTAGTCGACCTGCCAGCAGATAAAAATCACCCAGCAATTTCTTTATTCTCCCTGGTGTGCGCTTCCTTGTCCTTATGCTCTCTCCTGTGGATCCAGCTGGATTGGACAAATTTGTAGAGAATCTATGGTGATGATGGTGATGCTGCTGTGTAGGTGACGATTGTGTCTGCAGTGATGCTCTCTTGCTGTTTAATTGACTCGAATTGCTCGGTGAGATGGTGAGTGGGGGCTGCGACAGTCTGTGCTGGTCTCTTCTCGATGGCGTGTGGTTGTTGTTTGGGACGGGCGATTCGAGTGTCTCCAGCTTCTGGATGCGAGTAGCAAGAATGGCGAATTGTTCCAGGATCTCACTGGCAAAATCGCAAATCATGGTGCTCATGTAAAACGACATGTTGCCCACATTTGGTATCATGATGAGGCCCTTGGTATCGTCTTCTTGTGTTTCTGAGGGATCAAAGGCAAAGCATCTGGTTGCCACTGCAGTGGGATACTGTGTAGTCTCTGCATGAGTACAGCAAATGGATGAGTAGTGATACAGTTCATCTACCTGATCGAGGTCCTGTGAGAACTGCTTGTATCCTCCACGCAAGCTCTTGTTCTTCCATTCCTGACAATCCATGATACCAATAACCTATCCGTGCTGTTGTGAGTTGATCTGTTGTATGTGCGTGGATAATTTGATTTACAATCAAGTACCAACCCCGAAAATGCGACGATGCGGTTGAAAATCCTCCAATTCAGCATGCTCTCGAGTCCAGTGTGTGATGAATTGAAAGTGCATTTGACCTTCTTGGAACACTTGGCTGCTAAACATGGCTGTAAAAAGTAGCATCAGCGAAAAGTTAGGTTACACACTACTTGCATTAATAACACATACCATTGGCACCTTTCTTCAAGTCTGGCGTAACATCACCCAGACGCACTACATGAAATGTTTTTACCAATTCCACGTACTTGTAAAAGGTGGATTTCTTGATAGGTGATACTGGCACAAGCAGTACGCGCACTCGACAGCTAGACGTAACATCGATGGCTAGATCCATATCTATCATGGCAGTGGAAAAATAAAAAGCGAAAAAAAGGATATCTCATTGATATTCGCGATGCTCATCTTGTGATTTGGGGTTGTGACGACATGCATAGCGATTGGTTAAGGACATGCTGCATGATATGGACTTTTTGGAATGATTGCTATTAGCTTGTGGCGGTTGTAAGGTGATAGATAAGCATGCGAACTGATCCATTGTCAGTGAAATAGAAGGATGTCCTGGCATGGGCATGATCCTCTTTAGCCTGGATGACAGTAGATTGGAGGTATAGGATGGCACAGCATGGGTGATCTGGGATGTCTTTGAGATCAGACTTAAGACCTTGACTGAGCAAGGGCAAACAAGTCGCAGTTTGAGCAGTTGGCATATCTTTCGTGCTATCATATCACTTTAATTGCTTTTTTTTTACGACCTCATGACATACTCAAAGGTCTGCATACGCTTGAATGGAAGGCTCCATCTTCTTGATAGGGAGTCAGTATGTCTTTCAAAATGGTCAGTGTGCAAATGAAATCTGCTTTCGAGGATGGTTAACTTATTAAAACAGGTTTCATAACGGCGATGATGAGAAGCGTTTGTGTCTATAACGTTAACGAGACTAGGGAACATGAAAATCATTACTGACTGACTGAGGCTACTACCTTCACGTGTAATTCACACATCCCATTACTCTTTATATGTAGTCAACAAGACTTTTATTTACTGAAAAGATTTAAAAAAGGCATCACAACCCTAAGTTTGATGGAACAGCGGCCTTGAGGACGAGAGGGACCAGAGCCGATGAGGAGGAGAAAGGAGAAGGCTTAAGCCAGCCGAGGACGCGAGCATATTTTTTGGGGGAGCAACAACGATCAGTGATCGTATTTACGAGGCCTTCATATGGTGAATTCTACGGATATGCGTGTCAATTTATAAAGGGGAAGGGGGACGAAGCCGGCGGGCAGATGAGGAGAAGGAGGAGAAGGCCACACGGAATGCCGTCCTTCCGAGAAGTAGGAGGCAACTGCAACAGCAGGTAAGCCATCAGCTTCAAAGCCTTTGATTACAGCGCGTTTTCCACTATAAACACACAAGATTAAGAGGCTATTCATACAGAACAAGCACAATAAAGCAGCCTACCTGTGGATTGATCATCATCAACATCAACATCATCAACATCCATCAAGAATTGAAACAAGGCCAGGATTCTTCACCATAGCATGTCAAGAAAACATGGAGCAGAGCACCTGCTAAAGAAGAAAAAGAAAAGCTTACGGTTGAGAAGGGAATCCGGTCATTTTATAGTTGCAAAAATTGGCTGTTCCCTCATTCCCGATAGAAGCCTTCCAATAGTAACCGTCCCTAACTGCTTGCATGGGCTGAATTACGCCACAGTTGTTCCTGGCTCCAGCGCTGGATAGGATAGTGTTATTCTCACTCTTAGAATGTTGGTTACTCTAGCCATCTGTCCTCTGTAGTCGATTCATGTGTATTCCATCTCATCAACAGTTGCTCAGATGGCTTTTTTTTTTTAATTTCTACCCCACCACTGCAAGATTCCATGGACGTTTTGCTGTGTGAGTTCACAGATAGGATGTGGTCCTCTTGAACTGTGAAGAGACATTGCGATAAAAATGCTCCATCTTTGTTGCCTTCTCCATCCTACCGCGTTGTCTCTTGCCTGTTGTGCCAAGGTAAACATGTCCTCCTCATCTTTCGCTTCCAGGTTTTGCTTTGCGCTCATGTACACCTCATCACTGATGCATTCAAAGGCTGATCCGCCGTTTATATAGCGATGTCTTTAGCACATGGCATCCCATGATACCGATGCGCGCGGACTGTTTAGGGCTTATGAACAAACAATAGTATGTGTTAAAAAAAGAATGGAACAGAAAAGCAAAAGAATAAAGGAGAGATGCGTATCGTTTTATGTAGTTTTGTGAGAGATTTGAACTGCAGTTTGAGCAAATATGAGTGTGGGTCGATGCCATCACAGATATCATTAATCAACGATTTAGCTCAGATCAATGAGTGGATTCGATGATCATCGAGGCGTTAATTCAACTGATGTTTGCAGAAATGCCCACATTTTAGCTTTCTGCCATTATGTAAGAACCTGAATAGACAATTTATAGTGGTGGTTCTGGCTTTTTTTTTTGAATGCTCCAGGTCTATATAAATGGGATTAATTGGCTTGCGGACAAACAGCCTAGCTGCAATGCCTACAACTGCTCAGAAATACGTAAAACACAGCGAAATATGGATGGACTTGCGTCGTAATTTCTCGCCCTAGAGGCCGCTTTAGACTGCCAGAGTTGCATTAAATGGCTGCTCTCATCTAGTATCAACTTTCTGGCACCTTTGCTCAACCTTTTGAGGACCTAAAAAACATCGTCAAAAATCGACCAAAAAGCATGAAGGATACCTCATGGTTTTCATCGAAAATCAAACGATCGCGTTTTTGGCCCTCAAAATGAAGACTTTTCCTATGGTATATATTGAATCAAAATGTTGCTCTTGATCCAACGCAATCCCTGAAGCTTTGTTTGTGCGGCCTTTATATGGAAAACCTCGACATTTTCGCCAAAAACCTCATTTCATATTTTCATGAATTGCTCGATATTTTTGTTCAAAACGTTGACTTTATTCGGCATTATCAGATGCGCCTTGAAAAGCACTCCATAAAAGCATTAAGAAGTATGCGATGATTATCGCATTTTACATAGTCGAATCTTGCGAAATAGGTCGAATTGGATCCAAAAAGTCTAAAAATCAACAAATCAGAAAAGAAAATGTCAATTTGAGATTAAACCAAATTTTGGCTGGCAAAGTCAATACTATGCTCATCATGGAAGTAATCGATACTTTGGAAAGCTCATAGGAGGGCGATTGCAAATTAAGAAAGTAATATGGCTTAAATGTAATAGCCTATTGCACTGTTACTGCGCATTTGTATGGCTGGCAGGCTTTATTTCTTGCTAATTGTTCGTCCTTATATGAACCTAATGAAGGCACTTAATTTTCTTGGTTTGATGAATCAACACGATATGAAATTCAAAATATTACTACAGAGTTTCATCTATCCAAAGACTGTATGAACAGAAACTAAAGAATATTAACAGCTTTAGAAACATCACGGCCATTCCAAGCTAGTCGATGTTGAGAGGCAGTTTACACAACAACAATGAAACAAAATGCTGTGATCAACTGGGAATTGAATAATCGATTACATACACCACTCTTGACAGGCTCAAGATAACATTTTGGCGTTACTACTAGCATATCTGATTCTCAAACGCAGGTAAACGTAGGCTCACCGATGCTGGTTGTAAGTATCCCATGTTATCAATCCAAATCCCGCTGGCATCCGAGATCTCACCTGTAGAGTGATTCATGCCTAATTTTATTGTTGAGATACCGTATAAAGCTGCGTCTTCAATTGACAGGAAGTAATATACTTGCAAATGGTATGTTTGGCCAGAGACAGTAGATCACAAAGGGCCACCATTTTGTGGAAGGAAAAAGAAGCATGTAGATCCCAACTTGTGGCATCGGACTTGCTGGCTGGCTAACAAAGACTTACGACATGTCTATCATTTCTTCATCAGCAAGGCTATTTCAACATTGGAACGATGATAATGAGCACCCTTTGACAATCATGACAGGTGAAACAGCGTCACACAATGAAGAAATGCCAAAAGGATATATACATGAAGAAGGGCATGTTGAATGGCCTTCTGCTTTTCTTTCTTCTTCATCATCTTACTGTAACATGTCAAAGCATGTATTCCTCCTTGTTCTACTATTTTATGTAATTGCATTTGTCCAAGCGTCTGTGGGAGATGAGCAACCTCTATTTAACCATTGCGTAGATGAATGCGTTCAAGCGTCCTGCCCAGCACCACTCAGTTTCTCGCTGCGACTACTCAAATGGTCATGTAAGTAACAAGTTTTGAATGAATGGCAAGCATTGGCTCATCAGTATACACAAATACATGTTAGGCCCAGAAAACTGTAGATATGTCTGTATGCAAGCAGTAACTGACAAAGCCATCGAGGAAGGTTTACCCGTCTATCAATACTATGGTAAATGGCCATTTTACAGATGCCTAGGTATTCAAGAGCCTGCATCTGTGCTATTTTCTATTGGTAATGGACTCGTACACGCATACTATTTCCGTCAAATCCAAAAGCAGGTACCCTCAAGCTATTTTCTCAAGGGATTTATGCTATTGTATACCATCATTGGTATGAATGCATGGCTCTGGAGCACGATATTCCATTCAAGAGATACCAAATTTACCGAGCTGATGGACTACTTTTCAGCTGGGCTCCTGGTGCTATACAGTCTCTATTATGCCATTCTGAGAGTGTATCGTTTGACACACAGCCTTATTGTTCAGACATTGGGCGTATTATTTATCTGTTTGTTTGTCGCTCATGTTGGATATCTTATCATTGTTACTTTTGATTATGTATACAATATGTATGCCAACGTTATTATAGGCGGTTGTCAGATTGCTGTCTGGGTAGGATGGTTTCTGATGCAGACTGTTCAACAAACGCCAGCAAGGTCGTATGCTCATCTTGCAGTGATATCAGGTATCGGGGTTTCCCTTGCCATGTGCCTTGAACTGTTTGACTTTCCGCCTCTGTTTAGAGTGTTTGATGCTCATAGTCTATGGCATTTATCGACCATTCCACTCTCTATTGTGTGGTATAAGTTCTTGATTCAAGATACAAAATATGAGACAAACACAAAATCCTACACAGCAGTGAAACTGCTACCTGCCTAAATGTTTCAAATGTTCATTCAACACCCTTATTTTTTTTTGTACATATAAACAATAACAAACATATCATCAAACCTTTTTTTTTTACAAATTAACCCTAATAAACAATTGCATCCCATCATTTCTATCAAGTCGATATACAAAAGTTTATTCAAATCAAGGTGCCCATGGTGAAATGGAAGGTTGAGAAAGTAGTCAAATTACCATGACCCCCAACAAAAATCAAACCAGAGGATATTGATGAGTCAAGAGAGAGAGAGAGAAAGAGAGGGGGAGGGGGAGGGGGGTGAATACAGTAAAATTTAAGCGTGGGGGCCACCAGTAGCACGACTTCCTGCACCAGTGCCCTCTCTGTAGAGTTGTTGATCCCACAAATAGACACCAAGACCTTCACCAACACGATTGAGTTGAGTGACCATATCAGCCAACTTCTTGATGGCTTCCACTTGTTCAGCCAAGTAGGTGCTTTCAATGAAATCACACATTTGTGGGTCGCCTTGACCATCGGCAATCTTGTGCAAGTTCAAGAGAGACTTGTTGACGTCTGGTTGTTTGAGGATTAGAACCCGCTGCATGTCGGTTTCTTTTGGCCTATGTACTTACCCTTTTCAAGCTGAAGAGCAGATTCAATGGCGTTCTTTGCAGACTTCCAATCTGTTTCAGGTGCTTGCAAGGCACGCAAGACAACACGACCGCCTCTGGTGTTAATGTAGTCTATAGAATGAAGCCATGGATTGAGACAATAGGATAAAACTCAGTGTGCGGATACAAACCAATCAATTGTTGGGCATGTTCTCTCTCCTAAATAACATGGAACACGATGAATACAAAACAAATCCAGGACATGGCAAACACATTTTACCTCATGAGCAGACTCGCGAAAGTACTTTTCCAAACCTAGGCGTGTGTTTCATCCGCATGTCAGATCAATTGATGTGTGTGCAACATCTGAGCTTACCTGGCAAAGCGACAGAGGAGTGTTGAGCCCAAGCAGCCATGGACAAGTAGACTTGAGAGGCCTGCAGTTCCGTGTTGACCTGCTGATTCAAGGCTTCTTCAGATTGGCTAGCAAAATTTTGTTTAGCAAGAGACATGGTACAAAATTGGGAGTTTGACAAAGGGGTTTAATGTAAGAAAGTTTGTAAGGAAAAAGAGGAAAACGAAGATTGCAAGGATCATCGAGTATTTATTGATGTTTCAACATGTATTTGATTGGTTACACTTGCCTATAGTTATTGTGATGATTGCTTTTTAGTTCAAACTTGCTGGCTCAATCAAAAAGGGAGGACAGGTTTTCTTCATCATCATATTAGAATAGACGCATTGGTAGCACAAATAACACCCAACTGGGAAGGCGGCCTATCTCGGGTCACAGCTCCGTAAGATGACATGTCAAATCAAGCGTCGAATAATACGGTTTAGAACAGAAAACAAATAGTTATACAAATCAGAGAGCGGTTTTTATTGAGTAAAGTTCTTGATAACGCGTTCAATATTATCCAATCCCAACTTGAGCTGGTCTAAGGGTGGACCAAAGCTCAATCTGACAAAGTGATGACAAGGCGATTCAAACAATTCACGACGATGAGAAGGCTAAAAGTGTGAGTGTGTGAATAAAAACCGTACAGTGTGTATGAGAGTCGTATATAAACAAACAACAAATAAACTTACATTCACATCAAAAAAGATGCCAGGGACAACAATCACCTTCTCTTTGAGACACTCTTCAAAGAAGTTCAGTCCAATGTTGATGGGCTCAGGCAAATGAGAGAGATCAAGCCAAATGTAGAAAGTGGCATTGGGAGGCACCTTGACCTCGAAACCCATCTCCTTGAGTCTGTTGAGCACAAAGTCGCGCTTTTCTTTGAAATGGTGTTGAAGCGCCTTGGCTTCGTTTTTAAACTTCTTGGGGTCCAAAAAGGGGATAGCTGCCAGCTGAAGAGGATGGTTGGCACCACCTTCCAGGAAGGATCCAGCGCTCTCCATGGATGAAATCACAGGCTTGGGACCCACAATCCAGCAAACACGCCATCCAGGCATACGAAAGTTCTTGGTAAGGCCATCAATCAAGATGACGGGATCTTCGTTCACATCGTCCACAAACTGAGCAACGCTAACCGTCTTTCCAGGCTCTTGGTCATAGATGTAACAAGAGTAGAACTCGTCCAACACCAATGTTGTGTGTCTTTCCTTGGCTACCTCCACCAGTTCTTCCAACTCTTCGTCTTGAATCACTTGTCCTGTAGGATTGCGAGGATTGGAAGCCACAATCACACCAAGGCCTCTGCCTGCAATCTCCTTGCGAATGGTGTCAGGGTCAATGTGGTAGCGTGCATCTTCCTCCAGCGTGGTTGGAATGGGCACAAAGCGCTTGAACACAGAGAGCATTTGCTCATACGCTGTGTATTCAGGTAAAAAGTAGCCCACGTTGACATCGCCAATAGCAGCTGCCACACGGGTCAAACCAGCACGACCACCAGGTACAATGCAGACGTTTTCATGCGTGTATTTGGAATCCTTTCCTTGGCGATAAATCTCGTTGTAGAGATTAGCCACAGCGTGTCTTAATTCAGTAATACCACTGGTAGGCGCATACTCGTAAGCGTCTTGGGGGATATCGATGTGCTTGGGTCTCTCGAAACATCCATCAATAGGTCCAACTATACTGTGATGAGCATACCAACCCTAGACAACACATCATCCTGTCAACAAAATTACCTTCTGGCGCTCCTTGACCAAAGTTAGCCCAACCCTCGCTTGCATAAGTAAAACCATTCTTTATGGCGCGGTCCATGACATAAATGACGCCGGTGGATCCAGGATGTTCGATACCGTGAATGGTGCCTTCTTCTTGTGCCTTGGTCGCCCTGTTTTTGTTACCTGGATAGCCTCTCAATGTTTGATGCGCACTGGATTCACGCTCTTTTTGGCTACAGAATAAAATGTGAATCAGACTGTATTTGTTTATACAGCGTTTGTAAACATACAGTTTATTTTGCACTTGCAAAGCAATATCACGGAAACGAAAGCGAGGTTTTTTGGTTTGTGGACTTGTAGACATGATGGTGGAAAATAGTTGAAAAGAGGAAAAAGAATAACAGCAAAACTAATTGAGCGAGATTTATTATATGCCCCATCCATCGAGGCTTGCCCTTTTGTGCTTTATAGGCGAAACAAGGCTTTGAATTTCGCGGTTTCACAATGATGATGGACATTCGTCATTTCATGACTAAATTAATGCAAATTTGCCCTTTTCATAGAGTACAAAAAAAAAAGCCTTTTATTACAGCTTTATTAGTAAAATGAGTTGCAAAGCATCTGTGTTGTGCTTCCAGTATTACATTAGCCTTTTTCAAAGATATACCTGGCATTGATTCAAATACAAATGAATGGATGAAAAGGAGACAGAGAGAGGGTTGGAATAGACATTGCATCTATTTTATATGCGGTGATAGGCTGATGACATTAGTAAATTGCATTGCAGAGGGAACTACCTGACAATTGGCTCCATATAGTGATTCATAGCACTTGCGCAGCCTCTGTAGCTAGTACTTGGATAGGATGGTAAAGAGCACAGATGCAAAAACCAATAATCAGTGTAGCTAAAAACCTGATTCTGGTACATGGGAACCACTTCACTGATGCCTTTTGTTTATTGTTAAATTTGCGCTACTCGTTAGTGTAATAAGTGTACCCCAAGTAAAAGGCGAGATAGAGTGACAAGATTACTCTGAACGACCAATATCGGTAGTTATAGACACTGAATACCTTCTTTGCAGCGAGCACAAAAGCATCCACCAGGAACATGAATTCAACCACATTCTTCAGCGTGTAGTTGAACAACACCTTTGTGTTTACAAAGATGTCAAATGTAGATGGTTTACAACTGTATCCTAACAAGCTGTCATAGAATTGACGGACTCCTTCTTTATCATTTTCATCTTTGGGGCAATACTCTGTTGACATGCAAAATGAAAAGAGATTAAACCTTTGTTTTATGCGTGACAGTGTACATTGAAATACTCACTTCCTACAGTATGCCTGGTGTAATAGCTGATATCTGTGGTGCCATCTTTGTTAGAAGTAGCAGACATTTTTAGGGGCGTGGGATCAGCCTGCAGGTAAAAGACACACCCTTCATCCTTTCCTGTTTGATGCATGAGTGGTGGAATCTCGCTACCTGGTCAATATGTGCTATATACCTTCACTAACTCGCCTCCACTTGACGCCATTTTTGTCTTCCACAGTCCATGTTGATACCGTTTCCTTGAGCATCTCCTCTCTGTCTGCACTGACGGAATTACAGTCAGGATAATGAATGCCACCACTAGCCAAAACTTGACAGATCTCTGAGACAAGCGGGTGCTGCTGTGGTTTAGATTTTTCTTTCGAGTACCTGGTACTTGCTAGTACGTCCTTTTTGAACAAATGATAGATGTAGACAACCGGCGAACCAAGAAACTGGATAACCGAAAATGGAGCCTGGATCATAGAATGTCTTGATGGGCCTGTAGGCATATGTGCTTGACCTGTGGTATCAGTGCTGCTTCTGCTGCTGGTGACAGCGGAGGGGGGTCTATTAATGGCTAAAGTTCTAGGCTCAGGGCTACTGACAGGACCAGGAACTTTATTGCTGCTGATTGTAGTGCCTTTCTTGAAAGGATTGAAGCGATACGTTTTGCCGGATTGACTCGATTGAGACTTTGTTGTTAGTCTTGATACAGTGTCGCGAGCTACTGTGGTGATGGGAGGTGGCATCTTATATCTTAGCGGGTCTGGTGTTGCAAATTTATAGACATTGGCGTAGAGGGGAGCATAGTTGGGAGAGCGAATACTTGGATCGACAGATGCTGCTCGTATCCTCAAATCCACCGGATTGAAAAACGGCATCAACATAATGATGAAGGAATACAATGGTAAAAAATACATTGTAGTAGAAAGTTAAGTAGCATTAATGATGATTTACCTATCAAGTGTTTATATATACCTCAAACGTTTGATTGTGTAGTTTGCAGAACAAGTATAATTCAAGTTTTCCACCACTAAAACAAGGAGGGCTCATTGATTGATCATGGTGATATTCCGACATCCAAGCAAAAACATTTGCCTTTTTTAGTGGACACTTTGACAATGAAGGTTATATTTATTCAGACATCAAACAATTAATATATTGTTAGTAACGGCTGGAGTAGATGGCTATCATGAATGCAACAACACATTTGACATGGTCTTACGCAATGCTAGTGGGGGTACACTCCATATTACACTGAAGCACCACGCGGTAGTTCAAAACGGTTCGGAGCACCTTTCAGAGACATTATAACAAGCAGAGATTCCTTGGGATCTATTTTGAAATCTTCCTCAATACATCTAAATGGTAATGTAGACAAGCACCCACAGAAATCAATCCAAACAACGTTCATAATGCACACAAACACATACATAACTCCAACGTGGAAGCAATGCAGATCAATAGATGGATGGATGGATTGCACAGATTGGATTGAGTGGATGTTGGCATGTTTGGATGCAGTGGATTGAACTTGTTGCTTTGGATTGGGTCTGTGCAATGTCATAGTGAATATGTCCTTTAACAGCTGCTTTGTCACTCTTGTGTAGGCTAAGAAAGACGTTGCCGGTAAGCCTAGCTCCTCCTCAGGTGGTAAGAAGGCCAAGAAGGCAAGTTGATACAGAGTCGAATCAAAACATGCAATGATATTAACATGGTAGCACCTGTTTATAGAAGTGGTCCGCTAAGAAGGTCAAGGACAAGGCCAACAACTTGGTTATCCTCGATAAGCCCACCTACGACCGTTTGTTCAAGGAAGTTCCTACTTACAAGCTCATCTCCCAATCTGTCTTGGTTGATCGTCTCAAGTTGAACGGTTCTTTGGCCCGTATTGCTATCCGTGAGCTCGAAGCTCAAGGTTTGATCAAGGCCATCTCTCGTCACCACGCTCAAGTTATCTACAGTAAGTCAAACATATATACAAAGCATGGATGGAAGAGATGTACTAACCTCTTTATGTTCAGCCCGTGCTACTGGTGATGATAAGCCTGCCAAGGCCACCGAGGCTTCTGAATAAGTTATCATTATTTAGAGATTTTATTTGCATTTTAAAATAATAAAACCTATACAAATGTCATTTCTATGTATTTTGTTTTTTGGTTGAATATGATGGAGATAGATACATGATATCTATAGTAGTAGTTGCTTTGAAGATCCGCGGTGAACACATTGCTTATATTGTAGCGTGGATGAGAAAAAAGCAAAATGTAATTCTCGCCTTTTTTTTCCTTCTTTGTAACATTTCTCTGATATCATGGCAGCTCCCATACCAGGAGACAGGTTTGTGAGAACCTTGCGACACTATTTAGAGGCAAACGAAAGTCGCTTATTAGCAGTTCAACCCAATTTTCAACCACAACAAGCAACCATCAAAGAAGAACCACCAGCAACAAACGCACAGCAAGATAATGGCATATTGAAAGCCGTTTCATCATTATGGAGTAATAATAACAATAGCAACGGCTCTTCATCGGCGGCGCGTTCAACTGCTGCTTCTACCACCACCAACAGCGCCAACACAACAACAGCAAAGAGTAGACCTAGTTCTCTTTACGGTATTCCCATCCCTTACATGTCTCTGTTGGCTGCTGCCTCTCCTAATGCGACATCACTTTCAAACACACCGTACATGCCACTTCGCTCTAGTCTGACATTGGACATTCATTATCTCTACTTTTTGCTGGTGCAGTTTGAGTATTTAGGCTTGGAAGACACTCATTTGCCTGTACCCGAGCATGGACTTGTCGAGACTGAAACAACAATGGACCATGGTGGCAGAGCGCCGTCCATCTCATCCGTGGGCTCTGTCATGTCCACTCTCTCGCTCTCCACAGGATGGCAGTTTTGGTCCTCCAATCAGCATCAAAAGCAAGATCGACCCTTACATGAAGACATTGTGTATATCCATCGCTATTTGTCTAAAGTCACTGCTCTCAAGTTACATATGAATATTTTGATTGATACCCAACATGGTGTAACCAAAAGCGGCCAGCGTACCATCCGTGGCTATGAAACGCCTTTACCGCAAGATGGATCCGTTGCCCTCTCGCTGAAATGCTTTAAGAACCTCCAATTTCTAGAATTATCCAACATCAACCCTCGCTGCATCGACCACTGGCCTGATTTGCACACATCGCTGACAAGTCTTGTCATTAAATCAGGCAACATTGATAATGCAGCCGATATCATTGGCACAGAAACACCTTGGTCGGAACTCAAGATGCTGTCTCTACAAGATAATAGCCTGACTACCATGGAAGACGAACCAGCGCATCTTATTCGATCCATCACCCATTTGAACCTGTCGAGCAACTTGCTGATCGACATTCCCGCTGCATTGGCTTCCTTGTACAACTTGTCCTGTCTGAATTTATCGCACAACATGATTTCGTTTACCACTGGCATCAACACGGTATTGGGAAACATTCAGGAACTAGATCTGAGAGGCAATCGATTGACTGTCTTGGCGGGTTTGGATCGATTATGGGCCTTGGAGAGATTGGACGTGCGTGATAACCGTATTGACGATGCTGCAGAGATTGGCAGATTGACTGCACTGCCCAACATTAGCGACATTTGGGTCGAAGGAAATCCATTTACCAAGTTGCAGGTAAAACGAGTTTACCCAGTTCTTGCGTCTTGACACTAATGCTTGTTTGAAGCCGGACTATAGAGTCGACATATTCTCCGTGTTCAAAAAGAGTGATTTAGACATTGAGCTGGATGGTACCAAGCCAACATTTGCCGAGCGACGTCGTATACAAGTGCCAACGCATGGCAACTCTGCCACCATATCAGCTACGATAGCCACCACAGAGCCTAATGCGGCCAAGAAATGGCCCGCTGCACAATCACAACAACAGGAAGATGGCAACAGTATTACGAGTCATAGTACAGCGCCTGTAGTTACTAGCAAAAAGATAGCTCGGGCAAAAACAAAGGGAAACAAACGTCAGATTCGCTTGGGACAAGCCGCCATAGAAGAAGATATACCTATTCCTGCTGCTGCTGCTGCTGCTGCTGCTGAGGAGGAAAACAACAAGAAGCATGTGCATCGATTAGCAGATTTAGAAGAAGCTGTGCAGCAAGAACAAGTGAGTGCTAGAAGAGCAGCTTCTGTACGCTCCCGTCGTAGCAAAAAGGGTTCCTCAGCAGAAGAAAAGGCAGCAGCAACTGCAGCAGCTCTTTCTGGAGAATCTACAAAGAAATCATCAGAGGCTTTTCGAAAGAAGATTGAAGCAATGCGACGAGAAGCAGGTACAGAATGGCTTCGTGTGTTGCAGGAAATGGACGTTGTCAAAAAGACGCCCTAGTAGTGGCAGCCACAATACATGTACGCATATATATATATCACAACATTTATAATACATTTATCGGACATCATGTCAAATAAACCTTCTTATTGAGGAAACAAAACTATTGTGTCAAGTCATATATAAGTATTGTCATTTCAACTCCATGATTCCCATTTCACCAGCATCACAATCTTGATTGTCATCATCAGAAAAGCATTTGGGCCAGCCAGCAACAGTACCGCCGCCAAAATCAATTGAAACTCAGCCCCCTTTTTTTTTTTTGTCCAAGATTGGATAGATATTGTCCTTTCTCGACTTCTTTAATCTATTTTGTGATATTCGACTATATAAATTGTGATGATCACCCAAAGCTTCCTAATACATTCTTGAAGTACTTTTGAAGGCGCTTCCAGTAGTACTAATTGTAATAAATACTTTGACTGGACTTACTGAACAATTTAGTAAAATTTGAAATGAGGTTTTTAGCGAAAATAGCCATATTTTGCATATAAAAAGCCTCATAAAAGTGGTTTCAGAGGTTGCTTTGGATTGAGAGAAACATTTTGATCCAATACATACCATAGTAAAAGTCTTCATTTTCAAGGTCAAAAATGCGATCGCTTGATTTTCAATGAAAACCATGAGGTATCCTTCATGATTTTAGGTCGATTTTTGGCCATGTTTTTTAGGTCTTCAAAAAGTTGAGCAAAGGTGTCAGGAAGTTACTACTGCTCAAGTACAATTGTTTGGCATCATTTCGGTGGCTCGTAAAGGTCTACATGTCAAGATATGTAGGCTTGAAAGCTATCAAATTTGGTTATGTATTGCTGTATAGAGTTTATTTACATGACATGAATCACATTTTTAGTATCTGACGTCTTCTGGAAGGGCAGTTCTGCAGCCTGTGCAACTTCTAATTCGAACAGGAGGCATATTGATTTCGGTAAAGCTGATTCATGCCAATTTTGATGCGCTATGTTGTTGGTAAGCTTATTAACAATGGAAATGAAAACCCGAATTTGCTGCTTATTAGACACTATGGTTTTGCATATTCGCTTCGCTACAATCAAGCCTTCGTATATATCAATGCTGTCAAATGCTAGATTGAATGCTTGGTTGTCATAGATTTGCGCCTTTGCTTCGCTACGGTAAACCCCCCCCCCCTATAAATCAATGCTATCAAGTGTTGAATTAGATGCGTTATGTTCTTCCCCAAAACCTCGTCTCCATTGCCGGCTATGCTGGTGGTTTTATTCACCTTGTACGGCACACAATTCTTTAAAATTTTGGAAGGACATGATAAGCTTATCTACTTTTTTGAATGTTTTACAGTATATATAGTGAAGACTAGCCGATCTATCTCGCTACGCTCGATGACGGCGTCGCCCTGCGGGCTTTGGCCGATTACAATAAAACTGATTAAATCAATGGTTATAAAGGGTAAAAAAAATATATAGAGTAGTTATATTAGGTAGTATCTGAAAATAGAACTTCAGGATACACCACATTTTCTGTGTGCTTCATATTTTCGGGTAATAAAATAGTCATGCCATTGGCAGATGTTGCTCTTGACATGGCAACATAGAGTTGACCATGAGTAAATACGGGACTCCTGAGGTCCACGGCAACTTTCCTGAGAGATTGACCCTGCGACTTGTTGATGGTCATTGCGAAAGATACTTTAACCGGGAATTGCTTTCTGATCAAAATGAATGGCAATGTGCCAGGCAATGTAGACAAAGTAAAGCGAGGAATCAACTCGACTGCACCTGACTCTCCGAGGATTTTCACCTTGAGGACATACTGTCCAATTTGCTGAATGATCAGCCTTGTACCATTGCACAAACCTCTTTCAGGGTTGAGGTTTCTCAAGAGCATTACAGGAAGACCTACTTTCAACTCCAAAACTGCTGGCGGCAGCCCTGAAGGCGAAAGGGTTTGCAAATACTCTGAGGGATAGGCTTGGGTCTCAGTGTTGGTCAGATCAGATTGCACCGTGTCAGCAGAGTACAAAGTGACCTTTTCCCCAATCACGTTCTCCATCACCTTGCTGTTAATAGCATCAACGTTGACGTTCTTTGAACAGAGAATAGCTCTTTCCTTGAAGAAATCACTATTTTGCAGAGGACACTGCAGAACATGCTGAGGATAGATATCTTCAATGAACTGATCAAGATCAGTCATCTGCCTCAAAAAAGAGGGCAAAGCAATGCTGCCAATCATGGATGGTTCATACGACATTTTTCCTATCCAATCTGCAAATTGCCTATCTGTGTCATTGGAGTTGGCAAGTCTCATATTCTCAGTCAGGCTCAGCTTTTGTAATTTGGGCCATAATCTTGACGATTTCAGTGAGGCATTGACGATTTCAGGACGGCCACCTTGCCTAACAACAGGTGGAATTTGAGCAAAATCACCGCCAAGAACAACAGGAATACCACCAAAGGTAACTTCATCACCACGACTACAAATATCACGAAGTGTTCGATCAAAAGCTTCAAAGCAATATCGATGCTGCATTGGCACTTCATCCCAAATTATCAATGCTGTCTCTCGAATGAGATCAGCAAGGTCATCGTTCTTCTTGATCGCACACACAGACTGCTCGTGGATGTTGAGTGGAATGGCAAAGCGAGAGTGTGACGTACGCCCACCAGGAAGTAGCAAAGCAGCAATGCCAGAGGAGGCAACACAGAGAACAATTTTTCCTTGGCTTCTATAAAAGTGACAAAGAGTATTGTAAATGAAGGTTTTGCCAGTGCCAGCTGGACCTTGCAAAAAGAAATGTGAGCTGTTGGCGTTGCTGTTGATGGAGGAGGTGATGGTCTCAAATATGTGCTTCTGGGTAGCGTTCATTTGAGCATACTTTTGCTGATACGAAAAGGCTTCTTGATCTTGGAGATATGACATTTCATTGAGTATCAATGAATTGCGCTGTATGCCAGTCATTCTGCTTATCAAGCCATTCCAGTTGAAGAGAGGCAAAGGCAAATTGAACTGACCTAGAGATCTGTCTTGTGCACCAAGAGATGTTTGCAACAGATATAAGCCATAATCAAGACTTCGCGTTCCATGGTAAAATTCAGCGTCAGGTTGCACGCTGAGCAGCAGCGAATACCCTTTTTGCACGATTGCATGCTCAAGGTCATCACAGAAACTTTCACAGAATTGATTCCAAATCTGAACAGGCGATACCAATGAGTTGAACATGAGCGCAGAGACAAACATTGAACGCATTGCGTAGCCAGAGGCAAAGGTAGCAGCTTCTTCAAAGGCTCTGGTCCATTCTCCATCATCTTCGATCAAATGCAGCATCATACAGGCCTCACGAAAGGTGGCATACTCGTGATTATTGACAGTTCTCAGATGAGAAAACGACGTGGCTCCTCTGACAACTGTGAGCAGCAGACGCAGATAATACCTCTCGCCGGCAGCAGGGCTACAGTAGTACATGCGGCCGATAGACATGGTATCGGTTCGTCTTGCTTCCCACCTTTTTGGCTTCTTTTCTTTCCAAGTCATATGCTCTGGGAATTGCTGGTAAAGCAATGGTTGAAAACCAGGTTTGTTTTGATTCACGGCATTATAATGAAAGTAACCCATGAGCGTGGTATGACTCTCTCTCAGGACATTATCAATTCTTGATTGAGGCCAGGAAGGATCAAAATATACAGGCTGCTCATTTTCAAGATGAATAGCAAGTGTAGTGACAGGTGGGCTTTCCTCATGCATTGGGAACTCTTTCAACCTCCAGACGGCTTCACACGGGCTGATATAACGGCCATTCAGATATTTGGCACATTCATCATTCTGATACATTGCTGCAGTACCAGCTGTTGCGGCTGTTGTCGCGGTAGTCGTGGTTTTCAGAGTAGTCTGATCAGAACCTTTGTATATATACTTGTTGATGTATTTGATAGCCTGGACACTGGCGCATACTTCCACGTTGATATGAGCGTTGTATCTCTTTGATAGGAATGGATTATACGCTACCACCCATTCATTTGTCATATGAAAGTCGTGGTACACGTTCTGATCATCTTTGATGCGTATTACATGAGAGCGGCCATCCATTCTTCTACGATAGAGTGGATACCCATCATCAGGGACTATGGTTGCTGGCTGATAAGGCTTTGGGAACTTTTTTGAGCAGACGTCGTTACCGAAAGCATCCTTCACCATACAGGGAGATTTCTTGTTATAACCACCACATGGACCGTGCATCATGTTGCGGGTGACAATTGCATGTAGTTCAGGGTCTTGATGAACGTCTGGAATTTCTGTGGAAATAATCTGGTCGATCCTCTCTGCCGTATCAAACCGGTCATTTTGGTTATCCAAGAACAACAGCATATGACTATGCGGGAGGCCGCGCTTCTGGTATTCGATTGTTCTCACAATCCCTTTATAAGCACCAAAGATTTTCTTTTGCTTCAGGTCTTTGAGTAATGCGTCGTGCTTCCGGTTGAATACTTCAGCAACCAAATCTGGGCGATCAGCAGCACTTTGGCCAGGCAACAACTCATCTTGGATCTCCCTCCAGTTTGGGTTTGCAGTAAACGTTATGAATAACGTTGGCTTACCAAAGAATCTAGAAATAGCCATTGCGTTTTGGTACAGCTCTGCCATAAACCGGGGACCACCAGTGAAACTGCTTGGCAAAATAAACGTTCTACCCACCGTTTCAAGATCTGTATCAGAAGCACTGATAGCATCAGCAAGACCTTTGTAGACATCAGCACGGAGAGTCGTTTGATTAGCCTTGATCCAGTTTAACTTGGTTTGTTCACAAACAGCCCAAGCATCGATCAGGTATTGCTGGAATAGACGTCTCGAGAGGAACAGGATTTTGGATTCACCATTCCTGACATGCAATCTAAATCTATAGAAGGCACGCTGGGTAAGCCTGCCTGTTGCTCGACGTTGTCCCTCTTCTTGCGCTTCTTCATTGTCAACATCCATGGCATCAACAGTTGAAGCAGGCAATTGCAAACGAAGGCCCCAATGCCACCCATATTCACCTCTGGGAAAAAGCAAAACGTAATGGAGAGGCATGTAGGCAGCATGCGTCTCGTTGATCCTTCTAAAGAGTCCTCTGGAACTGGTGGAGGTGCTATTTCGATAGGTAATCAGGATGTCTCTGAAACTTGAATCAGCATATTCATTGGGGATAATAGCTGCAATCTCGTTGACAGTTGGCAAGTTCTGAGTACGCCTATCTTCACCGACAACCAATTCCAGTCTCATTTGAGGATTGAGTCGAATATACGCATCCTCGCTGACATGATCTTGGGCTTGTCGTTCTTCCTCTGCACTCAGAATTTCGTGGGCATGCTTGTAGATACGTACAAATGGGTTACCACAACGAACCGGGTCATCAATCATTTCACTTAATGCTTCAATGATTGAATCATCTAAATGCTGATTTCTGGGGTTGGCAGATCGACATGCAGCAGCATACTCGGGATCGTAAATGTACAGTTGATTGTACTTTGGAGCATTACCAAAATTCAAGGGTGCTTGCATGTGATACAATTCACCATGGGCACTTACTGGAGTAACTCCACCTCTTCTCTCCTCCTCTCCTTCTCTCTGGGCCCCTGCTGGCGTAGCAGTGGTACCGAATGAAGTAAAAGCAAACAAAGTATTGTATTGCCTTATATGCTTCAAGAAATGGGATGAGCGTGGATGGCTTCCGTTGATTAAGCTATTCAAGGGCTCAGGCGGATCTTGCAATAAGGGCAATATGGCCTTTCCTTTTTTACAGCAAGAGTAGAAGAGATTGTTGCTTCTGGATTGACCGGTAGTTCTTGCTGCGTCCCAATGCAATGCGCCACAACCATCACATACAACGTCCATTCTTCCCAGATAATGAGGTTGCATTCTTCCAAGTTCTGATATGAAAGCGGCAGGTGCTCTAGGTGCTCTAGGTGGCCTTAATGCAGCTCTCTGTCTGGCGTAGTTTCGGGCACGTTCCTGAAACAAAAATATATATATAAGGTTCGTTCGAATGTTTGTTTTTCATTTCTTTTCTATTTACTCGACATGAATCACATTTTCGAAAATTGTAATCTTCAGGTAGAGCAACTCTACAGGTTACACAGTTTCTAGCTTGAACAGGAGGCATGATAATTCGATTTGATTTTAACAAAAAGATATTTCATACACTTTATGCAAATTGTGATGCTTGATGTTCTTGGTGGAGGGGCTAAGCCCCCTCCCCCAAACCCCCTCCCCATTGCCGGCTTCGCCGGTGGTTATGCCCTCGTTTGTTCTGGCTTTTAATACTATTAAATTTTAAAAGGATATGATTGGCTTGTCTATTTTTTTTTCATAGTTTTCCAGTATATATATTTTAGATAGCTTATACTAAATACAGACTATATTGTATTTGCGTCTAAAATTTCCAGCGAGTCTTCCAGCTGTCATCGCTTCACTAATAAGCTGTATCGTTGTGCTATAGTACCGCGATACAACAGTGCCACTCAACCTAATCTTTTCAGTTGAATATCTGAGTGTAACGGCATGCTCTTAATCTAGGCTAATGTATACAATGTCTTTACGCCTTTGTTGTATCATAACAAGAACGCGTCTATTGACAAGCAGATGTATGAAACATAGCCAAATTTGACAGTTTTTAAGCCTTAATATCTTGACATGTAGGCCTTTCTGAGCTACCAGAATAACGCCAATCGATTGTACTCGAGTAACATCAACATCCTGACATGTTTGCTCAACCTTTTGAGGACCTAAAAAACATCGTCAAAAATCGACCAAAAAGCATGAGGTACCCCTCATGGTTTTCATCGAAAATCAAGCGATCGCGCTTTTTGTCCTGAAAATAAAGACTTTTACTATGATATATATTAAATCAAAATGTTGCTCTTGATCCAACGCAATCCCTGAAGCTTTGTTTGTGCGGCCTTTATATGGAAAACCTCGACATTTTTGCCAAAAACCTCATTTCATATTTTCATGAATTGCTCAATATTTTTGTTCAAAACATTGACTTTATTTGGCATTATCAGATGCGCCTTGAAAAGCACTCCATAAAAGCATTAAGAAGTATGCGATGATTATCGCATTTTACATAGTCGAATCTTGCGAAATAGGTCGAATTGGATCCAAAAAGTCTAAAAAGCAACAAATCAGAACAGAATGACATGCGGCGATTCAATTGAGTCTTGGTTGTGGCTAGTTCAATGCTTTTCGTATCATAGAGGTAGTAACAATGCTTTCGAAAGCTCATTAGAAACGGATTACGTAGTAAAGAGTATTATTAATTAACCTATATACTTTGTTTTGGCTTTTTGCGCATACTTTTAATCTGATACAAAGACTTGATCCTTGCAAAATGCTTATCCACATGCGACATGCAAGATTGTCATTTAGTCTTGGACATTGATACTGTGCATAGGCGCTTGAGCAACTGAACAAGAAAGGGCTTTTACACCATCTTCTGGTCAATTGTCCAGACACAGCTAGAGATGAACAAGTTGCACAAGAACAAAGGAAAGCTGGTACAACATGAGCATGTAACTCAAGATTTTCAGTTTTGATCATCTAATACTAGACACAACTGCTACAATATTAGTAATTTCGCGTTGGGGAGAAACACTATCATTTCAATTTTAATACTATACATTTAGCCGAAAGCAGCCATCCAGGCTACACACAGTAAAGAGTGTTTCCCCGCTTATACCTTTTTGTTTGAACAATGGTTTAAGGTTCAAACTGAGTGCCATTAAAATATTTACATTCTTTTCTCTCTCCTTCTTTTTTCCTCTTTCTTCTCTCTTCTTGCTACATTATCACCACGCCCTTCTCCCAGAAAAATGCAAACCTTTGCTCAAAAGTTTACATATGACGTAGCTTTGTGGATATTTAACTTGATGCTGGATATCTTCTTTCGAGAAGTACGACCTAGAGGAGCGCATAAAATACCCAAAGAAGGCCCTGTTATATTCGTTGTAGCTCCACATGCAAATCAAGTAAGTGCAGAGAATTCAGCAAAGTACCAGACACTCACCGAAAAGCACGGCTAGTTTGTAGATCCCATTGTGTTGATGCGAGAATGCGGTAGGAGAGTCTCATTTCTGATAGCAGAGAAATCGATGCACCAGAAAGGCATTGGATTCTTTGCTCGCATGATCAGTGCCAGTAAGTAGGCTCGTATCTTTCTTGAGCAATCTCATCGCTAATAGCCTGCTTATAGTTCCAGTGATTCGTCCTCAGGATCTAGCAAAGCCTGGCCAGGGCCGCATCCAACTCTTGAACCGTAAAACAGATCCTCTTCGTATCATTGGTATCGACACTCAGTTTACAGCCCAATTAAAGCCACGCGATTCCATTGTGCTTCCCAAGGGGTGCGGTGTATCCGAAGTAGATCAAGTCATCTCGGATACCGAAATCATCATCAAGAAGGAGTTCAAGGAGCTGAGGGCCATGGAGATACTGACACAGAGCGACGGCACTGCGTATAAATGCATGCCCCATGTCGAGCAGGATTCAGTCTACAAGTGCGTTCATGATGAATTGAATAATGGAAGATGCATCACTATCTTTCCCGAAGGTGGTAGTCATGACAGAGCAGAGATGTTGCCGTTGAAAGGTAAGAAGTGATATTGGCCTTGTTTTTTACTACAAGCTGATTGTTGTTGTTGGGGAAACATAGCTGGTGTTACATTGATGGCGTTGGGCGCAATGGCAAAATACGAAGGATTGGATGTCAAGATTGTTCCTTGCGGTAAGTGCTGTTTTGTCTTTGTAAGATGTGTATGTAGACACTCATTTCCTGCAAAACAGGGCTCAACTACTTTCATGCACACCGCTTCCGATCTCGTGCAGTCATTGAATTTGGTAATCCCATCACTGTATCAGCTGAACTCGTTCAAAAGTTCAAATCAGGAGGAACCGCAAAGAGAGAAGCCTGTTCTACGCTTTTGGATAGCATCTATAATGCATTGAAAACTGTGACAATCAATGCTGGAAGTTATGAAACACTAATGGTATGCAGCACGTGTGTATGTGTGTGTGTGTGTGTGAATACCCTATTGACGATTAAACAAACAAATACTGTAGTTGATTCAAGCAGCAAGACGTCTCTACAAGCCTGCACACAAGAAATTGCACCTATCTCAGGTGGTGGACCTGAACAGACGGTTTTTGATTGGATACAACATTTTCAGGGACGATCCCAAAGTGATGGAATTGCAACAAAGAGTCATGGCATACAATCAATTACTGAAATATCACGGCATCAAGGATCACCAGGTGTCCAAAACCAGCAATGAAAACAACGGACGGTTATTGTGGCTTTTGATCAAGCGTATATTCATCTTGACCATTTTGGGTTTGTGGGCATTTCCAGGTGGCATTTTGAATCTCCCCGTGGTGATTGTCGCTAAAGTTATCAGTCAAAAGAAGGCACAAGGTAAGAGAGAAAGAATTGGAGGCTATTGCAAAGGCACGAGTGCTCATCAGCATGTGCCTTGTTAGCTGCTTTGAAAAGCTCAACCGTTAAAATTGCTGGTCGAGATGTGTTGGCGACATGGAAATTACTGGTTGGATTGGTATTGTTGCCAACATTATATGCGTTTTACAGCTTGATCATGTTCATTGTTGTATTACAAACAAATCTCGATACTAAATGGAAGCTCATTTTACCCTTGGCGACATGGAGTCTATTGCCATTTGTGTCTTATGCTAGTTTGAGATTCGGTGAAATCGGCCACGATATCTTCAAGTAAGAACTCGTATCATGCCAAGTTGACAATGCAGCTGAGCACTTTAAATAGGTCCATTCAACCTACTGTCATGGCATTACTGGATCCAAAAGGAGCCGAAACTCTTCGCCAAAACAGAGAGAAATTGTCGAGTAATATCACTGAACTCATCAACGAGTATGGACCCAAGGTGTTCCCTGACTTTGATGGTAACTTTTATGCACATACACATACAACAAACATGATCATGATCAATAACAAACATCATTGCTAGCCAATTACATTTCAAGAACAACGGTGCCATCAACATTTAGCCCTGTTCCCAGTCGCACAACAAGCATCAGTAGCATGTCCTGGACATCGGCACCTAGTAAATTACCCAAGATTGCTAGTGGATTCTTCCAACAAGCAACTCGTATGAACTGGCTGGACGATAAGAACATTTTCAATTGGGGCAGAGCCGAAGATTCGGACATGGCGGATGATGTGTTCTTCTTTTTCGATCGGTTCTATGGCAACATCAGTGGTCGCAGTAGAAGTGGCTCTGTTAGTGAGTCGGATTCACGATCTGCCAGTCGAAATCGCAGTCGAGCCAACAGTATCAGCAATGAAGGATTCATCAAAGTGGAAGGCATGACAAGTTTATCCAACACCAATAATAATATACCAGACGATCATGTAGCTGCTGCTGTTGTTCCTGTCATTAATATATCTGATCATCAAAAGCCTCCAAGCACGAAGCCCTTGACTTCAAGACGTATATTCAGGATTGATGATGTGGAAGAGGATGAGGAAGAGGAGGAAGAGGAGGAGGATCGTTCAGTACAAAAGTTATCCATAGGCGACAGCAAAAAAGATATATAATAAATATTTGGCAGTTTATCTGAAAAAGACTATACAATGATCTCTCATAAACAATACAAGTACGCAGCACACTAGAATTGATGGTGTTGGAGCCTATTTATAGGTCCGAGGGCGATAATTCTATTTGCTATGGCGATCCATGAATCCTCCCCTATAAACCACCCTCCGAAAAGAGGGATTACGGGTACCCTGCTACCCCAGATTCACATTTTTTTTTTCTCCTTATCATATTTCAGCATGTTACGTTGCTTATTGACTCGCCAAAACTACATAGTACGCTCAGGATTACAAACCAGACACATCAATTCAACATGCCGCTTACTAAAGAACAAGGAAGACAAACCCATGTCTAGCACAGAGGAAGATTGGGAGCAAGCCAATGTCAAACAGTCCAGCATAGCCAACTATGCTATTCCACAGCAAGCTTCGTCAGCCATTCCAAGCAGCATGTTGGCAGCATTCAACAACATGTTTGATCGTGGACCCAATGTCGGCATTGAAGTCATTACAAAGAAGGGCTTCGTGCTCTCCAACCACATCAAGATAGATCAACCGCTGATTCTGCTGAATGGATCACCCTTCTTATGGAACGCGCCACCCAGAGCACCTGGATTCCTGCCCATGAAAGACTGGGACATTGAAGCATTCAAGATTTTCGAGTTGGTATCACCTCGACCTGAATTGATCATGTTTGGCACTGGCAGAGAATTTGCGCCTATTCCAGAACACATTAGACAATATTTCTTCAAGCTGGGCATTCAAGTGGATCAAATGAACTCTGTGAGTAATGTGAAAATGCAACTGTGCTGAATACTCATGCATTCACTGTATAGAAACACGCAGCAGCCACTTACAATGTATTAGCAGAAGAAGGAAGAAGAATTGCAGCAGCTTTATTACCACTTGACGAATAAATATATATGTACAGTATCTACAAAATTAAGGTTGAGCCAGGATTCTTTGCTGGTGCTTGGGTGATTTCATCATATGGATACCACTGTCGCCGGAAGAAGTGGATGAGGAAGAGGCAGATGAATACGTTGTGCTGTTTTGACGAACCGGTGCCTTTCTCTTTTTCAGCACAGCATCCATCAATGCTTGGATAAATCGTTGCTCGTCAATCAGTCGCACATCTTCTTTCAGGTAGTTTGGGTGGTTGACAGATGCCATGAGATCTCTGAGGCTCCATGCCGACAGTAAGAACAGCCGCTTGGCACTAATCTTGTTCTCTTTGAGTTGCTTGAACACTGTCTTTCGCACCTCCTTGACGAGTTCACCAACTGCTTTGGCCCAAATTGTATTCACATCTAAATCTCTGGTGGAAGGGTCTTGGGTGTATCTGGATATTTTAGAGTTGAGAGACTACCCAAGTGTGTTATTTTAGTATATTTCATGCGCTATGCCTTTTATGTCGCTTAAAAGCTGTACCTGGTCACATCGATTTCTTACAAACAACACGGGAATGTGATGTTCCTGCGCCTTTAACGCAATGTCCAGATCAATCGATTGCAATCTATTTACTATATCAGATGTCTTTGTACTCCCTCCGTTCGGAATGGTGCTTTATACCTTTCTGCCGTGACGATGATCAAAGAATCAAAAGCCTTGAGATAGTTGTCCTCAAAGTACGTGGCTGAATTATGCAGCGCGGTGCCTGCTCCTGGCATGTCCCATAAAATCATTCTTCTGAGATCTGGATGTCTGTATCCTCGAGGCTCATTGATGTTCTTTCCAGCTTCGTTGATGGCTGCTGCGTATCGATCTGTATCTGGGTAACCTAGAATACCATTGACCAAGGAGCTCTAAATTGTAACATGCGGATGAGCATTTGTTTGTGTATGCCTTTTTGTTGTCCTACTGACCTTTCCTGTTCCTGCCGCACCGACTACTGCAATGTTGTAAAAGTTATCACAGTCTAATCCAATGGCTTTTCGCACCATCAGTTTGGTCTCCTCAGATACCTCGATGGATTTATTGGGTCCTTCAGTAAAGATGGTTTGATAGGCAGACCAAAATGCGACAAAAGGAGACAATGGCCCTGTTGTTCTAGTGATGAGTATCCGCTGTGTCTGTGTGTTTGTTGAGTGATGTGAACTTACATCCGACGACACCGAGGAGTCCACCAATAGTGCTGTCCACCATCTTCACTCCAGTGTATTCATGCTCGCTGAATTTGTAGGCATTTAGGATGGGAAATGCCACAATCACCATTGGCACCGAGATGGTTGACATGGTGGCCTTTTTGAATCGACTCGAGAAATCATCGATATCGTACAGGATACTGGACTTGTTGCTAAAGGTGATGGAAGCTGCCTGTCCCATTGTTGAAGTAATGTAAAGAAAATGGAAAAAAAAAACCATCAAGCCATCCACATCAGACTTATTTATAGTTGAGAGCACGAGGGGTGGATAGCCAGAACCCTCATCTCTCATTAGGGCGACATGTCTCTCTACACAGACCCAGTTTCCTTGGTTATAAGCTTTATTTTTTTTTAGCATATGAAAATTTGATTTAAACAAAGAGGTCATGGGTTAGCATCATTGATCATTCTGAAATGTGAAATCCATCCTTTTCTCCTTTGATAACCACATGATTTTTTTCCCTTGCTGACTACATTTCACTACTGTTCTCGGGCGAGAAAAGCTGTCAATAAGCCTGCTTTTCAAATGAAATCATGATGGAAGCACTGTTTTATCGAGCATGCGCATGTTTACCAGCAAAGGCTGTGCAACGTGCAACACATTGCAGGATCTGTGAAATGCGTTAAAATATAGCCTGCTCCTATACATGTATATTCCCGGTGGTAATGATGATCACTTACTAGATGTGATCTGATACGATCTGATGTCCTACTTCTATATTTTTCTGTTATAAATTTGTTTGCTATTAGCACTGATATAAATCACTGATATAAATCACTGATGATATCGCAATCAAATCATACAAGACTTTCTTTTATGCTTGTGCTTATTACACGCAATAAAAGATAACAATTTTGTGAGCGCAATAAGAAATGAATGTCTCTGAAATCAAATTAATTTTTAGATTGCCTATATATTTTTTCATGGCAATTGTCGAGAACGATGCATCAATTTAGTGATAAGCTAATCAGTATGCATTTGCTAAACTTTGCACTCGTGCTATTTTGAGAAGGGCGGTAATTTTGGCACATGTAGGCAACAGTTTGATTTATCAGCCATTAAAAAGTTGTAAAAAAAAGTGTCTAGACTAATCTATAACACTATTCCAACGCGCAATTGCCTTCTCAAGAGCTTATAAAAGCATCATCTACCCTCATAATAATGAGAATGCCCAGTCAAAACTAATTAAATCACCGCTTTACATTTTGTCCTGATTTGTTGATTTATGAGCTTTTGGATTCAATTCGACCTATGTTGTTGCCAGATTCGACTATATAGAATCTAATGATCATCCGATACTTCCTTAAGCTTTCTTGGAGTGCTTTTCAAGGCACATTCCATGGTACCAAGTAAGGTTAATGTTTTGAATAAACTTATTGAGCAATTTATAAAAACATGAAAAGGGGTTTCTGACCAAAAAGTTGAGATTTTGCATATGGAAGTCTCAAAAATAAAGTTTCAGGAGTTACGTTGGATCGAGAGAAGCATTTTGAATTAACATATACCATAGTAAAAGTTTTCATTATCAAGGTCAAAAACGCGATCGTTTGATTTTCGATGAAAACAATGGGGGGGGGGAGGGTACCTCATGCATTTTGGGCGATTTTTGGCCATGTTTTTTAGGTCCACAAAAAATTGAGCAATAGTGGCTGTTGTATCCAAAGATACAGTATTAATAAATTAAGATAGATTTCAAAAAAGAAGACTAAAAAAGTAACCAGATACGAAAACTTAATGATTTATTAATTGATTCGAGCACATCTTATTTATACTAACTTGTTATCCGCTAAATCAATCAATCTATCTCATTGTTTAACCTGAGTCAATACATTGAGTTCTGTATATCCAATACCAATCATTATGAAGGATCCGATCGTCAGTTCAGCTACGATGATACGATTCACAACCTATCATCGTCACTCGCAATCATAGCCAACCATATAGTTCACTTCTTGTTGAACCTTGCGTCCCAACATAGACAGTGAGTAACAATGTAAATCATGATCCGACTACCACCGAGTTACCACTGAGCTCTCGTAGCTTCTACAGACTCAACAGTGGCCACAAGCAACTGCCAGACGAGAGCAATTGTTTGGTACTATTCTGACCATCTAAAACGGCCTTGAACGCAAGAAAACGCAGCTCAAATGCGCTCAGATTTTGCTGTATCAGGGGCACTACTAAGGACTAACAAGGTTATCTATTAGGGAAAGGCATAGTCAAAAAATGAAAATCGTGATGGCATATTGATGAGATACAGCTGATAGCGACTGTGATGAGATTAGAGAAAGAAATTAATGTATTATAATAAAAAGTAGAGGCCACGTAATACTTGGATATCTCAATTTTTGATAAGAGCAGCATTTGAAGCAATATATTCTGCTACTAAAAAAACCAATGGAGCTGCATCAACTATGTATACTATTGACTGAATATACTTTTACAGCATTTTTCAGGACAATGCAATGACGAAATGTTTGATTCAAGGATACATTTCACATGTGCAATATCATTCTAATGATAGATAGTAGTGAGATACTCAAAATGAAGTGCTTTGATCATAGGTTCTTATTCCAGCGCCTGCAATCAACGCATCGAAAAAATTCTAGGCAGCCGAATCTTTAAATTGATCTGTCAGCATCAGCATTGCGTTTATATAGCAATAGACGCTACATCAATGCTTATAGATCCACCCATTACAATGCAAATGTATACTTTGCCAAATCATAGTAAAAGAGATTGATGGTCCCATAAGTAATCATGCCATCGAGGCATCAAACCCTATGTAAAATTGAACAATCTCAGTGCAAAGAATACAAGGTGTATCAACAACAAATCGGCTGCTACATCACTTGATTGATATACAGTGTATGACTAGAAACAAGGGCTGCTTTTCATGAAACTAGCAGTTTATTTAACAATAATCTTTATGACACAATCTTGATAACACCATCTCTATCACCACTGATGATCATGGGGTAGGGTGCTGCCGTGACGATAATGTCTGTAATGGCATCGGTATGATTCCTCATCAAGTAATGCTGTTGCGTGATGACATTGTTACTACTCGATGGGTTTGCACTGAAGCTGGTACGGCTTCCCACATTGGCCACCTGTTGGTTGTTGTTGCGGTTGACCTGAGTAAACTCGAAGAAAACCTTCATCTTGTCATAGACATTGGTACTATATACAGAGACATCAGATACAATTGGCTTATGCTTAAATCCTCTTTCCCTCATATCTCATTCTTACCTGTATCTTGGTTTGGGTTCTTCCATGTCTAATCCCAATACAACGCATGAATTCTCAATTCTTGCCGTATCCCAGAACCTAATTTTACGGTCTGTGCCACCAGTAATCATGAAATGGCTCTCCTTTGGCGAGATGATAGCACGAATCGAGTTTTCAACCAAATTAGATTCATTGTTAGTAAAAGCGCTGGATAAAATAGCGGTATCCGTGGGTACTTCCAAGGCCTTGTACGATTCCACAAACACACCAGCTGTTTTTTCATCACCGGATTTCACAGCAAACACTTCCAGACAAGTCAAATGCTCGATATCCCAGGTAGAAATTTCGTTGCGACCGGATGCAATTCTCACCAAATGTCTATCATAATCGCGAGGGTCTGTGATCAACACTAAGGAGCTGATGCGGCTTTTGCTGGGATGAAGCCATGACTTGAGAGGAATCTGGAATCGAAGATCATACAATGTCAAAATACCTCGCATGGTGCCTACCAACAACCATGTATGCTTGGGGCCAGTGACCATGGAAGTAATGACACCATGACTTTTGGGATTTTGCAATTTCCACAGTATCTCCATTGTGAGTAGATCCAGTGCGTAGATACGGCATTGTGTAGTGGCAAACATCAGCATAGATTTAGCGCCCTTCATTGTATTAGAGGCGTTGCTTGTAAAGTGCTTCAAAATCAGAGCATACTCGTCCACCAGTTGATACTCTCTTAGTGGGATGCATTTACCAAATTTAAGCGGTATACTGCCACTTTGAATGTCGGCCCTATAGAGAGAATGTATAAGCTATACACCCAACAACAGCCATCCCCCCTTTTAACTTACCGAAACACATGGATACTACCATTGTCAGAAGCAGCAGCAATGGAATGTGTATCTTGTATGAATGTCAAGCACTTGATACGTCCTCCCTGCTGACTATAGGTTGCACGCGATCGATTTGTTACGTTTCTCTCTAAGCGAGAACAATCCCAAATCCTCACAGAGCCGTCATCAGAGCACGAGGCAAACAACAGACGGTCAAATGAAATATCAAGTTGGTTGATGGCTGCTGTGTGCTCCGTGTAATGAGCGACCAAATTGCCTTCTGGTTTCCACTTGCTAGGCACATTCAATGCCCATACCGACGTCAGCTTTTTGAGTCGATTGGAGAGTAAAGCGTCCTCCGAGAACTCGGTAATGAGAGCTGGGAATGCTTCCATGGCCGTCTTGTCAAAGAGCTTTTGCAAATGGGCGTATCCAACTGGGTGCACAAGTCAATCAGTTGGATTCATTGTGTGAAATGATAGGATACTTACTAGAGCTCACTTCGAGAGGAGGTGTTGATTTATCAGCCTCGTCAGCGTTATTTTTTGCCTTGCTCTTAAGGCTATGCGATATGATACTCAATTCAACAGGCTCAATCTTGCCATGCTTATTCTTGATAGCTTCCATTGTTAAAATGATACCTACACAAGATATTATTTCAGAGAGATATTCAGCTAGAGTTTCAACGTGTACTCACTCTTTGGTCTTTCCAAACTTCTAGGTAAACTGGTGCCAAAGCTGTAGTCTGAGGGACTTGGAATAGGCGAATGCAGAGGCCAATGACTACTACTGCTACTGCCTTTGATAGGAATACAGGATGACCTTTCATGGTGATTGTGGTTTTCCTTGTCAACGATGTTGGGAGAAATGGCTTGAACATGAGGTTGACTAGCGATTCGGTTTAATTTACAAAGATCCTCTCGCAATGACGTGCCAAGACTTGTCGTGGGAGCCATGGCTGATTTCGCTCTGTCTAGTTTCTTGGGTAGCGCATGCTGCTTCTTGTATTGCGATGTGCGTTTGTTGGACAAGTCGGGCAAAAAGGCAGTGTGAGGCGTGATATTGAGGTTCTTGAGCTGAATATCGCCCTTCTAGATAATGTTATTTAGTATGAAAGGTTGGCAGTGATGAGCTTGGTTTACAACTTACCTTTGCATTGGCATCGTTGTCCATCTTGGGTCGACTAGTGCAAGCAGATTAGAATCAATCGGAAAGCGACACGCTCTTAATTACCTTAGTTTAGATTTGGATGCCTTGTATATAAAGTCTCGCATGTAGCGCAATTTTTCCTCTTCCTCAATGGTCATGCCTAGATTTCTCAATTTCTCCAAAAACACCTCATCTCTATTATATGTATATATATATATATATATATATATAAGCATGAGTCACCATTACGTCCACTCGATCCAGCTAAAAAGAGCTTACTCTGTCGACGTCTCATTGTAGTCACTGTTGTTCATGGTGCTGTTGAGCATGACAGCTACATATAGAGATTAACTCACATGTCATGATGATACAAACAACAGCATTACCTTGCAGTGGATTCTCTGTTGCTCCCATGCGAGATGACTTTGAAGAAGAGCTTACATCTTTAGCAGGCTTGATGATTTGCTGCTTCCAGAATTTGGATTTGACGGTTGCTTTGGTGGCCCAAAGAATGGCTTGTTCATAGACTTGGCGGGATATCTAGACGTATGATTAGCCCTCTCATATCGGCATTCAATGTGATGGTTCTGCTTACAGGTGTCTCTATATTCTGCAGTAACGATTCTTCATTGACCTCTGCAATATCAGAGCGCAGAAAGGGCCTGATCATGGGGTAGATAATGCACCAAAGATCTGTCTTGGGCAAGTGTTTAACGCTGGATGAAATGAACCCTACAGCTGCATTTCGAATCCAGGTGTTTGGATGGCATATCAAGGGCCAGATGATACTTGTAAGCTCCCAAATCTTCATTTTTTGAAACAAACCAAGATCAGACAAGCTTGTCAGTGAATTGAGCACATTTTCAATCACAAATTCCTCGGCATCTAGTCTGGCGTGTTACTCGGCTTATGGATCAAAGAACAAACCCCTTATTACCTGCAAGTGATTGCACCATCAATGGTAAAATGTAAGTTTCCAAGCTTTTGGAGCCAACAAACGTGCCTACGCCTTTGACACTTTCAAAGAATGCACTAAATCTCACTCATCAGTTGCCTGCAGGCTGCATCACACAAAAATCATACATACCTTCGCAACATCCAATCTTTATCGTTCAAATAGGTAATCATATGACTCAGGAGAATATCATTTGCTTTCTGCCTGCCAAAAAAGACACACAAACAAGTGATATTGGTGAGCAGTGCTCTCTTGACAGAGCTCTCTGGATCTGCCAGTAGAACGCTTGTTTGGCTTTGAATGGTGGTATGCAGATCTTCAAGTGAGGTATCATAAGCAGACTATAGAGTAGTTTTTAGTTGCTGGCAATCAAGTGGTGGCTAGAATACAAACCTCGAAATCAAGGTCTTCCGAATCAATGTCTTGGTGATGAGGGTATATGTTGTCTGCTTTCAACAGTTGGGTCATTTCTAAAAATCGTAGTGCTGTCTCTGCCAACAAGGCAATGCAACTGGCATAGGTCAATCTCACAAGTACATCCTCGTCTCGTGCAAACAGTTCGATGCTGGGTATAATGTATTCAGGAAAAATGCGGGCATTGATGGGAGAGATGGATTCGACCATGCAGAGCTGCAGCGTGTGTCTACAGGTGAGCATGTGCTCAATAGAATAATAGATTCCACTTACCACTTTGGTCAATGTCTTGATGGCATTAGCTCTTACGAGTGTCGCATTGTCTTTGAGTAGCTCCACCAGATAAGGCACAAGTCGATCCAATTTCACGTCATCTGGAAGTCTCTCTGCCAAAGCTAACAGAATGTCCATTGCCTTGAGTTTTGAGCTTGGATACAGTGTGTTTCGCAGTAACGAACAGACATAAGACAGCAGTATCAGCGATCCCTCCTCTGCACATGGGAAAATTAGTGGTAAATCAGCATAGCCTGTATGTATTAACCTACCATCTGGCGTATGTGTAGCATCTGGTGAATCATCGTCATCAAAAGAAGTACCTTGAGCAGCGTAGTTGGGTATATTGGATGTAGGTGGAAGGAGGATCTATAGCATGATCAGTATATACGCCATCCCAATTCATACCAGGCCACTTACAGACGACGCTGTCATCGAATTGTTCCTCTTTTTGCGTCCATCGGCATCATGTACCTCTTGGCACGGCACCGAGATAAAGTACATGATCTTTTCAAAATCATAAAACATGCGCTCAATCTTGCCATCCGCATCTGTCAATTTTCGGCTGCTTGCGTTTGGATACGCTGCTGAGATTTCAGACATGATTTTGGATTGCGGCTGTGTGGGTGGTTGATGCTCGAATTTCTCGACAAAGGTGCTCATGTACTGGTATAAGAACGAGTAAAAATAGTGAGGAAATGCCTTTCCATGCCATTGTGTCAAGTATTCTTCCGCAGAGTATCGCTTTGCTGGGTCGATCTGTATCATGTGCTTGACCATCTCTCGAATAGTGTCGTCTTCAATCTGATCCAGACCCACATTGGGGTTGTACTCACCGCTGCGATACTTGAATAACTGTGGCAGTGTAAATGGCGGTGTCCCCTCGAGAAATAGCTCTGCAATCACACATCCAACTGAAAATATGTCCATTTCAGGCGTCAATTCACTCGTAAAGTCATTGTCGGTCATCTTTTTCTGTCGCCATGTAACATGTCAATAAGTCAACTCTTGCTGTACTTGCAACACACTCACCATTCTTTGATCAATGTCAGTGCCTGCCTTGTAGAATCTCTCAGGGGCAATGTAGCAGGTTCTTCGGTGGGATGTATCGAAAAAGAAGGAAAAGTCGGCAGGGTTGTTCTAGTGACATTTTAGTGGGGGGGGGGGGCTCGTTTTCAAGTGATGCGTACTTACTTCAGGTAGGTAGGTTGGCTTGTAAAATGCATAATCCACCAAATAGGCCCAGTTCCATGATGTTACAAGTACATTTTCAGTCTTAATGTCGCCGTGGTATACGTTCTTTGCATGCGAATCTGCAATTCCTCTCAGTAGCTGATAGGCGATCCACTTTTTTTCAATGGTAGTGAGGAATGGCCGAGTGCTAGTCATGTATATTAGTTGCAAATCAATCACATGCGTAGGGCACAACAACAGATAAAATACCTGATGCGATCATAGAGGCTACTGTAGAGATAAGGTCGAACAAGGTAAGAAGCACGGTCTGTCTCCTTGGCTCTTTGGAAATAAAAGGCATTGGGTACATCTTTCAATGCCTTGTATTCCTCTGGTGCTTGCCTGTTAGTAATGTGAAGGATCTCGTGCGAGCATCATACACTCACCTTTGATCTTTCTCACTTGCTTGGCTAGATTCTGGCCAGATTCAGGTTTGATGTACAGTTTGATTACCACATAGCCATCACTGTGTTTGCCACGTAACGTCTTCATGAAACGAGCTTTCCCCAAACTAGTGTGCATAAAAGTGAGAATTACAGCCCATAGCAGCTTGATTTCATATCGTACTTTTTCTCAAAACTGACATCGCCAAGCTCGCTCACATAGTTTCCGATGGCTGCAATATCGGTAAAGTTGGAAATGTTGTTTCCCATTGTGTTTGCTGGTGAAAATCAGAAAGAAATGCGAAAGAAGGTTCAATCAGCAAAGTGATGAAAGTTATAAACCTGTGTTTGAAATGAGCTTGTAGTAGGGTGGTTGTGTTGATGCGTGATTGCTATTCAATGTGTAAGTTCTAATGTATAGCAGGAGTGTGGTATGTATAGCAGGAGTGTGGTATGTATAGCAGGAGTGTGGTATGTATAGTGGATTTCAGTATACAAAACCGTCGCTCCATGTAAAAGCAGCAAGCTTTTGAAGGGATTCCAAGCTAGTACAGTACCACAGCAAATCATACGTAGATATTCAGCTTTGGACATTGACCACTGCCAAGAGGGAAGTGTGGGAAGTTCATTTATCTTTTTTTTTTTTTTTGCCTCTTTCCTTTTCATTTCTTCCTGATATATGTAAAAAAAAAAAAAAAAAAAAAAAAGAGGAAAATTTACTCTCTTTTCCTTTTCCTTTTGCTTTTAAAATGTCAGCACGCAAATCGTCTATTCGTCGCAGAGGAACTGGATCTACCTCGCTGGGAGGAGCACAAGCAGGTGCAACTGGAACAGGATCCAACTATCCAAACTATCTGCCTATATTTCGAGAAACAACCGAGCCTCGCTACGATCTTGAATCACCATCACTGCCTTTACCTGATTCACCCGGTGCTCAACATGGCCGTAGAGCCAGCAGCTTCCGTAGTTTTCTCACAGACAAGAGCCTGCAATCAGTGATGAATCATGGCGAAGATGGGGACATAGTAGAGGATGTCAAAACCGATGTCCTGTATCCTCGCTACAGGGCCAGCAATGACGATCATGTAGACATTGCTGCGTTCAATAGAATGGTACAAGACCGCACTCGCAAAATGTCGACTGGCACACTGCAATTATCAAAGACACTGAGCCGACAAAATCAGCTGTATGGATCATCCAAGAACTTTGACATTCAGCAGCCAGGCATCCGATTTACGATTTACTCTTCGCAAAAGAACTCCAACATCTCGACCAGTCTGGATGAATTGCTCACTGAACAAGGGCAGAAGGCCTTGGAGGCTGTGGTGACATCCAGAGGCTGGTGGGTGGATGTGTTGTGTCCCTCTGTCGAGGAAATGAGGGTTTTAAGCAAAGTGAGTACAATTGCCAAGATGATCATTTACATTGGTGCTTAGGGTTATTTTTAGACTTTTCATATACATCCTCTAACGACAGAAGATATTCAAGCCCAGGAACCTCGTGAAAAGGTGGAGCTGTTTCCCAACTACACGTTTGTGTGCTTTAGAGCCTTTGATGTGGATCCCATTTCCGACCTCATCAAGCCTTTCAACTATTACACCTTGATCTTCAAGGAGGGCCTTCTCACTGTAAGTTGTGGGTGGGTGGTGGCGTTTGGCTTCTGATGTGTGCTAACAGGCTTATTAGTTCCATTTCAAGGGATCCGACCATTGCGATGCAGTGCGTGAAAGATGCGATCAGCTCAAGACTTACATGCCCATCACGCCAGACTGGATGAACTACGCTTTGATCGACTCCATTACAGATAGCTTTGCACCCATCATCCTGCAGGTAGAAATGGAAGCCGTGTCTATTGATGAGCTCTCGCTGGTGCTCAGGGAATCAGAACAGGCAGACATGTTGAAGCGTATCAGTCGCTGCAGAAAAAAGTCGACTCAATTGGCTCGATTGTTAGGCTCCAAGCTGGATGTGATCAAAAGTCTAATGAAGCGCTATCAGGACAAATCCCGAGAATCCGCACTGTTGGAACAACAACAGCAGTCTTTTCCTGTCCAGCTGTCGACTGCACTGAATGTTGTTGTGTCTGGGAATGCCGCTGATGCAGGAGAGAATACGCCCATGCGATTGGCATTGGAGAGTAAAAAGGCGTATACCGACGTCTTGCTCTACTTGGGAGACATTCAAGGTAATAGAAGCCATCATGTGTGGATTACCATGACCTGACATGTATCGAGTATAGATCACGTTGTTACCATGGTGCAAAACATCAACCACTACGACCGTATTCTGCATCGAGCGCACACAAATTACCTCGCTCAAGTCAACCTCGAACTGACTCAGACCTACAACATGACAAACAATGTCATGAACAGACTGACATTCTTGGCTACCGTCTTTATTCCATTGACATTGATTGGAAGTTTGTGGGGTATGAATGTCTACGTCCCAGGCAAAGACCATAAGGATCTCAGCTATTTTTACTGGATTCTGGCAGCCATGGCTTTGTATTGTACGGGATGTATTTCATTTGGCAAGCGACTTGGGCTTTTGTGATCTGCCTACCCAGTCGTGGCTTTATTACCAAAATGAAAGAAGGTCACTTTTTTGACACATTTTTCTAAATCACTGAATAAAGTCAATTGTTGTATATCACTCTTTCTATCCATCGTTGAGTAATTGCAGTCTAAATCATGGCCGAGTCAGTACAATATTACCTTGAGCGTATGATCCCTGAGCTTGAGGGGCTCGAGAAGAAGCACATCTTTTCTCCCGTATGTCGTGTTGAATGAAATGGCGTATCCATAGCTAAATGTCTATTGTGTAGGTCGAGATCAAATCCATCATCAAAAAGAGAACCAACTTTGAATACGCTTTGCAACGTCGTATCAAGCAAAAGATTGATTTTCTGAGAGCCATTGAATACGAAATCAATCTCGAGGAGCTTCGTAAAAAGAGAATTGCTAGGCTAGGTATAGCAGGATATCCTTGAGTGGATCCATTGATATACTCAACCTTTTGTGTGTAGGCATTGCTGATTCTTTGAAGGGTAGCGATTTGCAGTATTCTGGTGCTAGACGTATCTACAACTTGTTTAGAAGAGCCACTATCAAATTCAAGAGCGACTTATCACTTTGGTTACAGTACATTGATTACGCTAAAAAGAACAAGGCAAACAACATTCTTTCCAGTATCTTTGTCCAGTAAGTGGTCCGTCACGATTAGAAGCTGTTGGCCTTGCTAACGCTTGCTTCAATTTTTCAGAGCTATCCAATATCATCCCAACAATGCATCACTGTGGATTATGGCAGCAACGTGGGAGAATGAACACAATGCCAACATGGCAGCAGCTAGAATTTTACTACAACGTGCCTTGCGTCTAATGCCAGAAAGCCAGCAATTATGGCATGAATACTTTCGATTGGAATTACTATACATTGAAAAAATCAAGTTGAGAAGACGCATCTTGGGCATCGATCAGGCAAAGAATCAAGAGGATTTGGACGCTATGCAAGTGGACAACCAAGAGGACGACGATGACAACACGATCAATTTGCCTGCTGTCACTGGAGAGGACGTTGCTCAGTGGAAACAGGACGAGGAGAACACCAAAAAGAGCAAGAAAGTGCTAACAAAGGAGGAAGCTGCTGCTTTAGAGGAAGCCAACAACCCCATTTTGCAAGGCCTCTTGGCCAAGATCATCTACGACAATGCTATTCAATCCACTGCAGACAGCATCCAGTTTCGCCAGCGATTTGTGGATATTTACCGTGAATTTACAGACACACAAAAGGACATTGATTATGTATACGACACCATTCGCCGTGACATGATGGACAATGCTGAGGCTCGTGCCTTTCTTGCAAAGAGCCATTTGTTTGTATTCACACAAGTGGAGGAAAGCCAAGATGAAGAGAAATCACAGTACATCTCGGTGTCTGATCCAGCTTTTGTGCCTGCATTGAAAAAGTGTGTAGATGAATTTGAGAGCGCTTTGGTGGATGTGCCCCAGCCTGAGATGTGGGTGCAATACATTCAATTTTTGCTTAGCTGGTATGCTCTGGTAAGCGAAGAAAACTTGAAATTATACCTTGGAAAATTACTGCAAAAAACATTCAAAGCATGCAAGAAGCAAAATAAGCTTAATGCTACACTATACGAATTATGGGTTGCACATTTGATAGAGCAAGAGGACCAAGAAAAGGCCGAGAGTGTCGTTTCGCAAGGACTGGATTCACACCCTGACGATGCTGCATTGTGGATTTACTGTATTCAACTAGCCCGAGACGATCCCAAAGAACAACGCGAATTGTACGCTACTGCATTAGATTATAACCCAGCATCACTGTTACTATGGAACTCTTACAAGGATTGGATTGTTTCGTCATCTCATCTTTCAATTGAGGAGACAGACAAGCTGTTCTTCCAAGCTTGCGAAAAGGCTACTATCCTGTTGCCCTCTGTTACAAGCGAGTCTGCCGATCGCAATGGTATCAAGCAAATGTTACAATCGGCGTATGTGCAATGGGCTGCTGTATCACAAGGCATCGAAGCTGCTCGCACAGTCTACAAGAAGATCGTCAAGAGCTTTTACCCAACATACACATTCTTTATCAAGTGCATTGAAATTGAAAACGAATATGGCAGTGCAGATGTGGCAGGTCAAGAGAGTGTCGAGTATTTGTATGATAGAACCACGCGTTTAGAAGATGATAAAGAAGGTAATTTGATTGAGGAGACGTGTACACCATGGAGTACTGTAATTGACACTTTTTTTATATATTTCAATAGGATCATACGTATCTTATCTTGCTTACCTTTATTCTCAAAAGAAGTTTCAAAAGGCCAACCAAGTGTATAATAGAGCATGTAAAGAAGTCTCAAATAAGGATTCATTTGATCTGAAAGTGCAAAAACTGAAGGCTTCTCATCAGACAACATTGTAAAGACTATGATAATAAAAAATAATGTACACATGTTTACAGGACTGATAAGAGGCTTAGAATGTATTTACATGCTGTAAAAAAAAAGACAGATTCATTGCTGGCACAAATCAACACAAATCATTGCACTTGTAGTCTATAGCATGAATGCATTTCGCATTCTGGGCCAGGAATAAGGTCGCCAATTCATTGGCAAAGTGGAAAGTGTGGTCTTTGCTGGTTATCGTGTTAGTGTATCAACAAGCTAACGGTACAATAATAGTGTAAAGCAATATAAAGTATTATTGAGGTGCAATAAGTTACATGATTTGAACCTAAATGAAGTATTTACACGTTTAGTTTCACTTCTCAAATACTACTTTAGTGAGATTTGTGCGATCAAAGGGAGGTAAAAAAAAAGCGTATACATTCGAATAAAATGTGGGTATGCAGTATTGTTTCGATACTATTTTGAACAAGAATATCATAATCAGATGTATAATGGCTCTCTAACACTAGGTTCAAGCCATAAGGAGGAGTTTCTCTCTGACAGGACTGACGTAATGGAACCAAGATGATATTGCCAAGTGCAGTAAAAAGGGGTTAAAAAAAAGCAGGTAGAATACTGTTAAAATCCTTCTTTATTTGAAATTAGGATAATGTGCGATAAAATGTATATTCTACATCTCTATTTATATTATTTGGTTTATATCTCTTATCTGGCAGCAGTTCAGTAGTTGCCAGTGATTCCATTATATATTTTTGTTGGATCAAGAACGGTATTTCAATAAATGGTTTTTGAATCATGCGTAGAGAGTAGTTCTTTATTGTTGAGCCTGCATCCTTCTTAGGTATATTTTTGTTACAACACATTACAATACCCTTGACATTTACTTTAGTATCTGTCATCTCTTATTTTTAGACCATTTAGCCCTTGCTATTATCATGCTAATACTATTATTATGCATGCTTATCTGCTGATGGTAGCATGGTTTGATTGAGATTGTTATATCAAATGTCATAGCAAGGTCTCACACTAAAGGTTTTAGGCTATTCTTAGGTCCTTTGGGTAAATCATGCTAATCATGATTTACAAATCAATTGTTGGGTAGATAGTAAACCTATTTGTATTATAGCTCATCATCATGCTGTAAACCCTAGCATAATGAAAAGTATATAAATGCATCCTTGGGATGCATTCTCAATAAAAGTGTAATTCTTTGGCAGATTCAATTTTACATTGTATTTTGACATAACAAAATCAACCAATAATATATATAAAAAAAAACAGTGTTTGTACGTTATTATCTATACAACTGCCAGCTCAAACTGGCTTCTCCATCAATTAAATTTTGTTCCCGTTTGTTTGCTCTACAAAATGAGATATTGTTTTAACAACTACGATGCTTATTCAAAAATCGGGTTATTGATCCCTTTTTGGAGTTTACAGTGGCAAAAATGCGTTTTTTTCTTCTTTAAATTAAACAGAGGTAGACATTTTTGACACGAGTTTAATGCTGTGTATATGTGTCTTTTTCAAGCACGTGTATATTGCAGGATGACCGATGTTCATAAACACATTCAGCTTTATTAGTTTGAGTGTGTTGGATCAACAATGCACATCAGAAGTTAACTGAATCCTGTCGTGACTACCTTAAAATGCCTGTCATTCATAGGGGTCCTTCATCATTTCACATCACTCGCCTTTTACTCAAAGCGACAACACTTACAAAATGGATGATACACTTGAGCAAGTCCGTGAAAAATGTGCACTTCAACTCGAAATGTACCAAAAGTGTGTCGAAAACTACCCTCATTCATGGGACAAGAGCTGTATGCAGCAAAAGAAGGCCTTGACCAAATGTTCTGAAGACAAGTAAGCGGTTCACCATGTCGTGGACAAATGTTGTGCATGATTTGACTGACATTATATAAATTAGTGTTGGCATTTTGAAATTTGTCAAGGAGCACTGTACGATGCAAATCAATGCTTATGATAAATGTCTATCAGCTAATTCAGAAAAGCCAGATGAATGTGTTCAAGTATTGAAGGAGCTCTATTTCTGTACCGAAGCAACCTCTCTTAGATATCGTGATCAAGAAAAGGAAAAGCAAGAGGCTGCTGCTGCTGCTGCTGCTGCTGCTGCTGCTAAGAAAGATTAGATTTGGCACATGAATAAATTAGATTTGTACATATGAGATAGAATGACAGGTTTATTTCATATAGGCAGCATTGTCTAAACATGGATATCTTTTACACCTTTTTGAGTGTACGTCTCAAATTGCTTTCTTCCTTTTCTAAGCATGTATTCAATTGTTGCAAAGTCTGATTTTCGAATGTTGTGTTCCTTGAACTCTTTTCGAATGAATGCATAAAATCTGGGCCTTGTTTCCTAGAATTGGAATGTCAACATTCGGATGCTTATTCAAGCTTGCTCATCTTACCACAGGCTTCTCTCTTGCCGCTCTAAAGCATTGCCTATAGAAATTGACGACTTCGTTCTGCAATCCAGATCTTTTTAATGGTGGTGGCATATTGACAATAGGATGGTCGAAAGAAAAAAAAAAAAAGTAGAGGAATGGGTTAATTTCAAGTGAGTTAAAGTAATAGTGACGCTGTAATGACAATCCTGATGGAGAGCGTGCGGTAATTTAATACTATGTGAATGGGATGTCGATGAAGAAAGGAGCTTTTATTACATTTTAGTAGCGAGTTTGGACCATTTGATCAGCACTCATATTGGGCGTGCTTGAATTAAAGTTGGATGAGGAATCATGGTCATGATAAGGTTCATGCGAATGAGGTGGTTGAGAGTTGACACTTAAACCGCTGTAATCTGATTCTGGACGGTAACTTTCCATGTCTATTTCACGGCGATGTCTCTTACAGCGAGCAATCCACCAAAATGCAATCATTCCCAGCACAATGGCACCTCCAATACCACCAACACACCCACCAATGATAGCTTTGCTCGTTTGACTGAGGCCATCACCCTGTGATGATTCACTTCCTTGCTCGCCTTGATCTAAAGCAGAAGATGCAGTAGGCATGAGGGCAGAGGAGGTGCTCATAATGTCTATTGTACTGGATGGCCAAATGCTTGTTGAGGTTGGTAGGAGCGGAGCATTTGTAGAAGTATGCACTTCTGTTGCAGTGATAGTTGAGGATGATAGGTCAGTAGATGAAGAGTAAGTGATCCACAGAGATGGTGTTGCTTCAGTGCTGGCTGTAGATTCGGATGTAGAAGAGGAAGAAGATGGGCCTGGTGTTGTGGTTGTAGTGGCGGTTGGTGTGTGAGTAGAATAGGTTGTCTCTGATGATAAAGTTGCAGTAGTTGTAGTTTCCAAACCATCTGATGTAGTAGAAATAGTAGTACTAGTACTAGTTGTCGGATACCCTGCATCTGTTGTGGAAATAGTGGTTTCTAAACGCATAGTCAAGGTTAAACACATGGCCACAAAATCAAGATCCCCTGATAAATACTTACCACCAGCAGCGTCAACTGTTAATGTAGCCAAAGTTGAATAGTAGGAATCTAATGTGAATTGCACAGTGATGAGCCCTTTTGCTTATATAAATTCTGTTTGACGAGCATACCCGCTGTTGTTGTTGTTGTACTCATGCTTGTTGTAGTAGCATCGCCATCATCTTCGTTATCAGTGGTGGTTTGATCACCTATGGATGGTTTCCGAAAATAACATTAAAACTCCAGGCCAAAACAGAAAGATTTGCGTTGGTTTCAGAGCATCATGCACAGTAAAGTTTAACCCACTTGAGGATACAACCACATGTGTTTATATATGGTGCATAAAAAACCGTTCATTGCAAGTAGTCGACTAGACTTACCGTCACCGTATACAAAGGAAGTTGTATCAGCATCAGGATCACCCACATCTGTGGCATTGTATGGATCCGTACTAACAGATGTGTCATCACTTTCAGCGTCAGATGTTGCTACATCACCATACGAGCCATCTTCAGTAGTAGTGCCATCGCTACCATTGTCGCCATCGCTACCATTGTCGCCATCGTCTGTAGTGGTAGTATCACCTCCAGTGTTAGCATCTTGATCCGTTCCATCTTGTTCGTCATCATTGTTGTGCTTTTTGCGCTTCTCTAGGGCTTGCAATGCCATATCTGAACTATATATATATATACGAGGGAGATTGTGAGGAAGGGAAGAAGAGAAAAGCAATGTTGAGAATAGAGAGTTCACCATTTGTAAGAAGATGTTTCTTGCTGTCAAAGCGGGGGACTAAACTATTTATACATTCAACATCCAAAAGGCCAACACAAAAGCATGTAAAAAAGTGTCATTAAAGATATGCGTTTCAGTTTACATGGCAGATTTCAAGATGCATCAAGTTGTCGGTGTAACTTTCATGTCAATTAGATGTGTATTTCCATGATAAAACAAGCATACGTCCTGCAGACATTGCTGTTGAGCACGCAACCATCGTGTGCCACCATTGTCTCGCATTTTAAGCAGAGCAATGTGATGAAAAGACCACATCTCAACAAAAAAATGGATAATAATAATGAATTAACTCAATGTCGTTGCCATGGTTACACATTTGATTTAGTTGTTCAGTGATGATTGTTTGGTGTAATGCAATGTATTGATCCCGAAGGATAACCTTTTCCATCATTTTTCTTTTTTTTTTCTTTCTCTTTCTTTTTCTTGCTTCCTTTATCATCATTTATGGGGCTCAACAATTGCTGCTTTTGTATTCCCCTCAGGTAGAGACACTCCACTAGCAGATGCAGACACAAAATACTAACATGCCCTTGCCATCTATCATAGAGCTGGTGTTACTGCGATTGCTGTTTGTTCATCTGTATGTGGTTTACACTTCTCCGAGTTACAGCAAACTGATTGATAATGATGTAGGTGTTGTACATTGGAATCCTGATTTGGCTGCTGAAAGAGCGTCAAGGTGAGTGTTATTGTGCTGCATCTTCTCTCAAGCCGACTGATTCAAACAAAAACATGAAATTAGTGATCTATAGCTTACACGATGAATCAGCAGCTCTCGCTGTATTTTGGAGTTTGGTAGCAGTGATCGGTCTCTATTCCGTCAGTGCGTTGTTTGGTGTGATTGGCGGCATTACGGTAAATTTAGAGTTGTAATATCAGTGAAAACGTTTGTTTATACCATACTAAAGTGAGTATGATACACACACACACACACACACACACACAGCAAAACAGGAGTATGATCAATATATTTCGATTTCTGTATTGGACGGTCGTGATACTACTCTTATTATCATCCAGTGCAATATGGATTTTCATGCTGATCAAGCAGAACAGCATCATTGACGAATGCCAACAGTATCTCAATGACAGCACCATCATCACATCTAGCCAACAGGGCCTGATTCAGGAGGATTGTCATACAGCCACCAAGCAGATTCTGATTGCAGGCGGTATCGTGGTATTTGTAGGCAACTTTATTCAAATCTACTTTGCCTCCATCATCAATGCCTACGCTACTCGATTGGGGCAACATGGCAGTTTTCAGCATCACCAATTACATAACCTGGATGATTTCCCTGAGACCTCCATCAAGACTAATTTATACTAGAGTAAACAAATACCCTTTTCTTGTACGATTTCCAACTTAGAAAGTACAACTAATAACACATGTGGACACTCCCTATGATTCAATATAGAGGACTCCGATGTATCCGTACCACCAACACTATTATATAAAGCATCGTTCTAGTAGAAATGTGGCTCTCTCTCTCTTTCTTGTATTCACACCTCACACTCTTTTCTATACTTTGATTGAGGTCTTTCTTTCTTTTGTTTTGATTTAATAGATAATTGACTGGGGCAATTATTCGATTCACACAAGAGAAACACTAGATCTTGGCAAACACAACTTTCATTTCCAATCCAAAAAAAGCACACATTCTAATGACCACTACTTTTGATAGCAACGACATTATCTTAAATGACCCTCAACAACAACAACAACAACAACAACAACAACAACAACAACAACAACAACAACAACAACAACAACAACAACAGCAGCAGCAGCAACAGCAGCATGAATTGCCCCATTTCACTGTTGACGAATACGAATCAGAGTTGAATTACTTTTATGATTACGATCAAGACATGGCTGAAGCAGTCAATGAAGCTGAATACCAAGATTACTGCTATCAACAAGAACAACAAGAGGAAGAAACTGACCTCATGGATGATAGTCTTTTAAAGCTCATTGTCGATGTTCAATCCTATCTCTCTGAAGCCCCTACGGATTCCCCTCTTTTTGCTCTTCAATACAAAATGTACACTTATCTCAAACAGCGTGCTTTTGAGATGGGAATGGAAATCCCACCTTCCTTTTAATCCATATATGCTCCCCAAAAAAATCTAAATAACGATTATGCCCTCGTGTGGTTTATATACAAAATTTCATCTAAAAAAAATGGATATAACACATAAAAACCCTCAAAAAACATCAATACCCTCATTCTTTTCTACCTATAAAAATAGCTCAATAAACAACATTTAGCAAATTAAACGTACGATGTCTTTTCTCTCGACTGGTGTAGCCGTGATCTCATAATTCCCCATTGGCCCTAACACTGCCACAATGATGTCTCTTGCCATTGACTATAGCATCAACAGCTATTCTGTTGACAAAACTCATCAATACCTACCCGTTGTCTCACATCTTTGATTTCCATTGACATGCTGATGATAACAAGATTTATTTACTTTGATCTCTTTACAACAGCAGCCACTAATGCGGCACCCACAGCCACTACTCCACTAACAATAGCCAAACCAATCACCCCCTCTACACAATGTATCATCAATAAAGTAGCTCATCATCTCTTACATGTCACAAGTACCTGTAGACACCTTTTCATCAATAAGCTGTTTCAATGCCAAAGCCTGATCATTGCGAGGCTCCAGTTTCAGCAACTGATCATTGAAACGTCTTGCTTCCGAGTAATTTGAGATTTTAAAATTGCCAATAGCCAAAAAGTACAGACATTCTCTTCTTCTTTCAGGTGCGTCTGTATAAATTTCTGAAATTACCCCGCACAAATTTCAGGTTAAAAAGACAATGGCAGCGGTTTGGCAACAACTGTTTTTACCTGTAAGTAGCTTTATACCCAGTTCTAAATGCTCTGTTTTAGACGACTTGACGAGTCCCCATGCGTAGTTAAATTTTGTCTGTATGGTTACATATTCACCCTCTTTGATATATTGTCTTCGAAGCACCTACATGTAGTTTATCAAATGTGAGTTTCTGCCATTTGAGTCATGTATTTGAAACAAACCTCAAGTTCAGCTGGGCTGAGAGGGATTTCAGCATCTTGTATTAAGGGCGTAGATTGTGATTTCATGGTTTCGAGATGAATGAATAGGAAGAGAAAGAGTGTTAAAAAGAATTTCGGGGAAGAAACTCAGTTTATGAGCATTTGCGGCGTAGATGACGTACATTACATCAAATCATGCAAAACGAAGCTACTATGGTAGATCGAATGCGATTATTGCATTGTGTTGTTTGTGTGGGGATCTGCTTTAAAGCTGCCTTGGATTGTGCACTGGATCATTGACCCGCCATGATGTCGGGTGGCAATGCCTTGCTCCTGATGATCAATCAACATCTCTTGCAATGCTCAGGGCAGCGTGCAGATGGCAGGGATGCAGCCGCATAAACCACGCTTCCTTATCAGTGTCAAGTTGGAAGATACAAGAGCACAGCAAAAGCCCAGCCATTGACTAGATTCGTTGCTGATATCCACGTTGCATCGAACACTCTGTAATGGATTGAAGAGTGTTGATATGCCATATGACAGCATGGCAAGCATAGCGACTACCTAATGACAGCTTATTCTAATGCACTCAAGGCCCCATCGTCACTTGCTTCTTCAGTGCAATGTCTGTATTATGTAGTTGGATGCTTGGATCAGATGACACCTTGATGGCTGGGTGACTGTCGGGCTTGTGGTACTTGATCGCGTTTCCTCAAATTGATTCACTTTTCTCTCTCTCTTCTTTCTGACCATACAATGCTATCTGAATACCGAGATCTTCTTGAGAAACGACGTTTAGAGAGAAAGCGAGGACACAAGTAAGTCAATCATCAATACTAGAGGACACAGAATGCTCAATTGATGCTGCTAGTCCTGTGCCAGACCTTCCTCCCTTTGTCCCATTACCCAAAGGTTTGAAAGAAATCAACGTTCAAGGTACAAACGCCAACTAACTTGCTCTATAGATGAGCTTGCTCAAATGCCACCTTCATCACCCGCTTCTTTTGATTTTGATTCATACCTCTCTCGAGAGTCTATTACACTCAGTCGCAGATCTCCATCCGTCTACTCGAGGCAGTCAGTCAATGCATCATCACCGCCTGCCAGATCTCGTAGTATAATCACACCACCACTACTTGCTTTATCTATTGCAAATGACATGGAAAATAATCAGCCTCGTAGTCCTCAAAGGCCATCTTATTTGTCACAGTTAGCACCATTTTCAGTGACACCGAGAAAGCGATTGTTTGCAGAGACCACCATGATCACAGTTGAAGAATTCGCCACAGACGATGACGAACCTCATCACAATAAACGTGTGCAATCCCCGTCAGTAAACAGAGAAACAGAATACAAAGTATACCATGATAAGGGCCCAATCGAGACACCAGTAGCTATGGATCAAGCCAATATACCGAATATAGAGCATTCAAACAGTAGTGAAGATATAGATATGATGGATGCCAATACAAACAACAAGATACCCGATAACGAGCAACCACTTTCACCTGTCATGGAAGGAAACAACATGGCCGAGAGTTTGTCCATTCACGAGTTGTCAATTCATGAGGAGAGCCATGAAGAGGATCAATCCCACAACACACCGCCAGCAACAGCAGAGTCTCCTCTGGAAAACAGTAATAATGCGCATTATGCCAGCGTGCCTATAGAGCCACAGCAACAAGTAACTAAAGACAGCCTACAAGAACCGGACGAATCACAGCAACTGATGTCGAGAGGTGATATAGAGAAATCTAAGGAAGCACAAGATGAAGCGCCAGGACCTGCTGAAGCATCAGAATCAGTGTTGCAGGAGAATTTAGAGAAATCCAGTAAAGTCACCTATCAAACAGTTGTAGACGAAGAAACGCAGGATAATCTGGGAGAATCACAGCAAGAGGCAGGCGAATCCATAGAAACACCAACAGCAAAAGAGGGAGATCAAACCATCATCAACGACCACACATCAGAAACAGAAAATGCAGTGGATCCATCAACACAGGGAAAACCAATCAAGTATGGATTTGACGACAATGATATAGACTATGGTGGCTATGGTGATGTCGTCGAGGAAGATATAGGGAAAACAGCTGACAGTATGCGTCAGGCAGGAGATCAGACAAGCCAGGCAGGAGACAAGGCGAGCCAGACAGAGGAGGACACACCAAACGACGTATTACGGGATCTTCGAACAATGGCCACTGCCAATACAGTAAACTTGAAAAAGATAAGAAAGCTCTCGAATCTTCATATCCAAACCATTAGCAATCTTGTACTTGACAGTACAAAAGAAGCAAGGTAAGCCAGTCTGACATTTGTGTACCATGACCTGTCCACCTGAATGGAAACGTGTAGAAACAACACAACGGATGCGCACGAAAAGAGCATTATTGAGGACTATTACTACACTGTCAATGATGATTTGAAGAAATGCCACAAGCACTATCTTCAGTACCAACAGTGCGCCTCCGCCAATCGTCGTCTGAAAGCATACCACCGCAAGAAGGATCTGCAGTTTCTCAATGTCATCAAGGAGGAGGGCACACTCAAGAGACGTATCCATGACCTGAGACAGGAGATTGACGAATTAGACACTAAGCAGGATGTAAGTGCTCATGAATTGTTGAATGAATCAAGCTGACACTCTTATGTAGACCTGGAAACGCATTGAAGAATTGTTTCATGATATCAACCAGATCAAGGACACTGTCATCACCACCGTCACAAAACAAGTGTAGTTGTTGTCTCCTCTCCAATCTACAAAAAGCACCAACCTTGACTGTACATCTCTTTCTTTCTACTAGACATTCATAAATAAAAAGAACGCGTTCTACAGAGATGATGTTTGATAACAGCGAAACCGTCTTGCAAAAGCTAACAACAGAGGTGCTGGTCCATGTTGCCTCATTTCTAGACCTTGCATCCATAGTGCAGTTCTCCATGACTGGCAAGCCCTATTCGCATCTCATCAAGGATGAACTTTTGTTCAAGCAGCTGAATAAGCGTGATTTCCGCGTGTCTGAAAAGAACCCTGAACAGACATGGCTCGATATGTACAAGCAGTTGAATCATACTGATGTCGTAATGGCAGACACATCCTCCAGCAACCCTCCAGCAACCAACGTATCCCAAGCAACAGCAGCACCTACAGAAGCAGCAGCAGCAGCAACAGCAACACCCACACAACAACCCGCTTCAGATACGACCACACAGTCTACCATTAACACAACAGACATAACACCTGCTACAAGCGAATTTGCCACACAACAGACAGCGACAGATGCTTGTCCTCATTTCAAAGCATTAACTGAATTTGCACGAGACGTGAAAAAGATACTCTTCAAGAGCGAGGAGGCCTATCTCTGCGACTTGTGCTCAAATAACCCTGCTGCTTACTTGAGCATGCACTATGATGATCATACTGGAGGTGAGCAAATGCTGTTGTACTGTTGGCTTTTTGACAATCAACTGTTTTTTTTTTACGTAGCATGTTTGTCATGTTTAACCCAGCCTTTGAAGGACCAACAAGCGCATTATCCAATTCAACTGGAGCTAGTTACTGGTGATGTATATTGCTTCAAATGCCATCCAGGAAAGCCTCGCAAAGTAAGTTAATAATACGGGCAAAGTGTCTGTCCATGTGCTGATTTGGTTCCTTTATTAGCTTGACGCCACTCGAGATGGCCAGATTATTCAGGACACCATCGACTATATTAGAGAATCAGAGTCAATGGAGGATCTGGAAAAGAGACGCAAGACTGAGCAGGCACTTTATGTACAAGAATTGAGACGAGAGGACATGTCTTTAAAGCATTATCTAGTGGAGAAACAATGGGGACGAACCTGGATGTCGTTTAGAACTCGTAAGTGTCAGCACATTGGCGTCATCGCTCTGACTGTGGGTATACTCATGGACATGACTGTATCATAGGCGAAGGAGCCCCATTACCCACCAAAATCACACAATCCAGATTGTCACGTTCCAATGGCACATTAGATCCCAACATTAGATTACCCATGGATAAGTACCGTCCTTGCCCTGAAACACATGGTGATATTGTAAGTGAAAAGCTCTGGCGCTATTTGGCCAAGGCTTACGGTGTACAAGGAAGAGCGTACAATGAAGGTGAGTTAGATGGTAAGCGTGTGTTTTTCGCATGGTACTCATACAATTCGTATAGATGATATCATTGCCCCTGAATATGCTAGAATCCGAGTGTATGTCGATGATTACAAAAAGAGCATCCATCTTTATCCTTAGATGTCATGTATTATCTCAAGCCAAAAGTGAATAAACTGTTATTATTCGATCAGTAGTATCACAGGTTGTTTATTAGTTTCAACGGGGTTCATTTTTTTTTTTCGTGTGTATGTGTGAATAGTTGAAGTGTAGTATATAAAGTGTGTTTTTTTTTTTGTTATGAAAAAAAAAAAAAGAAGAAAAAAAAAAAAGAGGGTTATTCACAATGGTAATGATGGAGGAAAAAGGGAAGAGGAAGAGGGGAAGAGTTCTCTATTGACAAAATTGGTGGCATAATTTTTTTAAAAGAAAAAAAAAAAAAAAAAAAAAAAGACGAATACATGTAGAAAGGTGGGGCAAAACAAAAGAGAATCACAAAGAGATGTGATTACATGGCATGCAAATCATATAATTTAGGATCCCAACAGCCCTTCTTTAGTCCAGTTTCTCTCACCACGGCGATTGTATCCTTTCCCTTATCAAACTTCATCACTGCAATCAATTGAGGCTCGCTGCTACGTTGGTGGAAAGTGTTGTTGCTGCTGACAATGGTCAGTACTTTTCTGGCAAATAAGTTGCGTTGAATGGCATCTTGCACAGGTAGAGCCGGGTGTTCCAAACAGCGAATCATCAGGTGCAGAGGCAGAGCAGAGTAAGCACGGGCCAGATCCATGAATCCGCGCATAGGAGGTGTGCGAGAAGGCATGTAGCCACAAGCATTGACTTGACCAATCACCACATTGCCACTTACTTTGACCGAGGTCGAAAATGCCTCCAATTGAGCAGACAAGCCCTTGACCATGAATGAAACAACATCCTCTTCCAAGGCTTCTACCCAGCGACGAGGCTCCTCTTCTTCTATTGGTTGGTACGGATCCATGGCATCGATGTAGGTCATGGCAATTTTTTGGCTGTGTAGATTCTGGTTCAATGCCAACAAGAGTGCGTCCAACAGTGGCTCCAGTCCCAATTCTTCCGAAGCTTCGAGTAATTCAATTGCAATCTGGGGCTTTTCATTGGCGAGGAACAAGATGTCTTGAGGTGTCAAAGGTCGTGTCAGATGGTTGATGACAGTATGAAAGGTTTCGGGAAGTACGTAGAGATCCAGCTCGAGTGTGTTTGATTGCTCCTCCATGATGCGCTGGTAGAGGACAGGAGATCGAGAGAGGACGCTGGTGTTCAACGCGTATGTTTTTTGGAGTGTTGGTACATAGACAGTGATATCAGCAGGATAATAGCCTTGCTGATGCATGTATCCCATGGAGGGATGGTGATAGCCGCCACTGCCAGCATAATCCATGTACTGTTGCTGAGATGGATCAGTGGGGTACATGGGCTGCTGGTGAGGAACAGGCGGAGGGGGAGGTGGGGCAGGATGAAAGAAATTGGGAGGTTGATGGTGAGGATGAATGAGATGATGATTGATCATGGGAACAGGCATGGGTATAGGCATCTGTTGTTGGTGTGGTTGCAGAGGTGGTGGTGGTGGGGGAGTCGAATGTTGGTATTCATTCCCGTTCATGTAGTTTTGTTTGTAGTGCTCGTTATTGTAGTTGATGGGCAAGACTTGGACCATTTTTTTTCAAGTTGTATGATACACGAGTCGTTTTTCTATACTGTAGACATAAATGAATATAGATACGCGCGCTAATGAGGCTATCTTACTTACCACAGAAAACCACTCTTTAAGATTCCTTCTGTCGCTGTTTCTTCCTTCTAGTCTGTTGGCAAGTAGAATATAGAGTAAATGAGAGAGAGATTAAAAAAAGGGGGGGAGATTGTTATCTATACGAATAAGCAAGAAGTTATATATAACGTAGATGCTGCTGGAGATCTCGCAAGTCCCTTGGCTTATTCGATGTTTGTAATCAAAAGGGAAAAAAGAAGAAGAAGAAAAAAAAAACAATCGTCTCAAATGGAAACATTTTAAGCATGTTGAGATGCTTGTGACTCTTTCAATTTAGCACTCTCTTTTTCTTTTCCCTCTACAATGCAAACCGTCGTGAGCTACACTACAGAAGCGCCTAGAGTAACAGAGCCTCGTCCTTACATGGAGCATGAGCTGCTGGCTGAAATATTCCAAATGCTACCTGAGAGCGTGCTGGCCGACATGTACGATCTGGCCAATGCGTTGTTCTACAATGTGATGCAGGGCACAGCAGACCGACTTGCAACAGAATGTCCAGAGAAACGAAGAGAGATCAAGGCTGCTCTGGATACCTATCAGGTTGCGGCAGAAAAGATGCTGGACGAGGTGTTTAATGTGTTTCAGCAATACGTGTCTCAAAGCGCTTGGAAGATACCGGATGATTTGGACGTGCAATTTGATCATCACAAGGTAAACGTGGATGGGCAGGCAGATCCAAGGCTCGTCTCAATACTCATAGGATGGTCTTTTGGCTAGGACATTGACTTTAATATATCGAGTCAAGATCTACAAGACATGGATCAGCAATTGGATGACCTGCGAAACAAGATCAAAGCTGTAAGTCATTTGATTTGTATACGTGCAAGGACATACAATGGCTAAATGTGAGATGACAGCAAAAACAGTTCAAAGCCGTTTTGACCCACACGCATGACAAGCACCAACGAGACATTAAACAGGTAGATGCTATGCTAGAAAGCATGGCTTTTCTACGTGAAATACCTTTGCAAGAGAATGGTAAGCTTGGACATCAGAAAAACCATTTGAGAGAGACATCTGTCGCTAATTCACTTTTTTTTTTTTTCAGTGCCTGATGTGAACAATACCATGTTGTTTGTCAAGGAGCAGATTGAATACATCAAAGACGCTGTGATAAAGGTGGCTTCCGAAGATTTATCGTCCCTACCCCCAGACAAGAGAACACTGCATCTTCGCTCAAAATTCCAGTTATATATGGACCGGCTGCTTCAGCAATACCAACCATCAAGTCAATAAGTATACAATGCATTTATTCGCTATCTACTGTATATACACTCTATCCAACCATGCTTCTCTTGCGTCCTCTCATTCTCACTATGATTCAATAAACATGTGAGATGCGTGTCCTCTATGATTGAATATGACTCGTTACCATCTTCCAATTTGGTCCAGATTTGCTTTGATTGCTTTGAATGCTTCAAATAATGCTCCATAATCTTTTCAAACTATCGTTCTCTTTCCTTAATACAGTTCTCGTGTAGACTGACTGACAAACATACCAAAAACTCAGTCTGTGGATGTGTACTTGCAAACGCACGCTCAAGCACATACAAATCTACCGCCTTGTCTTCAATCAATGTAGAGATGGAACTTAGTCCAAAATCGATAACAACCTATCGCTCTTATGTTAACAGAGCTGTCTCCCTCCAATTTATGTCTTCTTACCACTGAATCGTCCTTTTCTCTAAGCATCAAGTTGGAGGTTGTCAAATCGCCATGTACCACATTCAAACTATGCATTTTGGAAAGTGAAGTGCCAATTTGCTCTGCTAATGAGTCTGTATGTACATCCTTGTATTCAGTCGCTTGATGGTCTAACAATCTCTGCTTGACAGTGATGCCAGTGATGTTTTCCATAAAAATGGTTGCTGTTGGCATGTCAATGTGATATACAGTGGGTGTGTCCATGCCTGCTTTTTTGCACTTGTAAAGGCAGCGTGCTTCCTGGGCAACACGTCTGGTTGTCAAGAAATGGTCGAGATCAGGGTGGCGATATGTCTTTTTGAATCTTTCTTTAGCAATACAGCCATTTGGCACGGTAAGAAAAGTTGGCAAGTGGAATACGCGCTTGATGACTGGTCTTGAGTATCGTGTAGATTACATGCAATCGCTGGCCTAAACACTTACTGCTTCAGCGCCTTGTTTAATCAATACAGCGTTTTCTGGAATCATGTTGAAAAGAGGAGCCAAATGGTTGATATTTGCAAGTCGCTTTTTTTTTTTTTGAATAGAAAAACTTGGGGTCACAGTTATTTGATTTCATGAGACGTTATATACTCGTAAATGGGCTAATTTCCATACGAATTGAACGAGTTTTATTCTGAAGAATGTAGTTTTTTACTATACAGTCTCACAGACTCTTCGTTGAGGGACGGGGGAATAGTCGCTATTGATTTGCTAAAGTTGGCCATTGTCTAGATGTCGTGTTAGCGCATATAACCAAGATATGTCTGTGTCAGATAATTACCACATTGGCAGCTGTATTCATGCTTCGCAAGGCCTCCATAGCAGCTTCTCTGCATACATTCTGTAAATCTGCACCTGTATAGTAGTTTGTCTAGAAAGAATGAGGTTTATATATAAAGCTCAGCACAGCGAAAATACACTCACTCGTTTCGCAATGTCTAGTAAATCTACATCCACATCCAATGGCATTTGCTTGGTATGAATCTTTAAAATCTCAACTCGTGCTGCTTCATCAGGCGGCGGCACATAGACAGCTTGATCGAAACGTCCTGGCCGCATCAAGGCAGCATCCAGCATGTCTGGGCGATTGGTTGCTCCTACTACCAAGACTGAATCAGCGCTCTCTACGCCATCCATTTCATTCAACAAGGTTGACAACACTCTCTCTTGCACACTGTCACCACTGGACCCGCCGTTCCCCATATTTCTTTTGCCCACAATGGCTTCTGTTTCATCCAAGAAAATGATGGCTGGTGCTGATGCGCGTGCCTTTTGGAATGTTGTACGCACTAAGACAGCATGAGACACACATCATAAGCCATCTTACTCTGATTGCCTTACCAACTTTTTCTGAATCACCCACAAATGGAGAATACAGCTGAGCACCATTGATGGATAAAAAGGCTACATTAGCAGACGATGCAATGACTTTGACCAGCGTTGTTTTACTACAACCAGGAGGCCCGTAAAGCAGGATACCTCGTGGTGGTTTCAATCCAAGCCTGCTAAACGAGTCCTTGTATAATAATGGCCATTCCACCGCTTGCTTCAGTCTCTATATATATATACGGATGAGCATCCGATACTCTAGAGTGTACACACGCAAGCCTACCTTTTTCACATCTTCCAGACCGCCTACATCATCCCATTTCATCTTGTCTACTTGCACTTGAAAGCCTCTCTGCATGGATGGCCCCACTGTCGCAAAGGCAGATGTGAAATCCAACATACTGACATTGACCTCCCTACATGGCTTGCTCAGAACACACTCACACCACATTTTTCACAGCTTACTCACATGTCCCTTTCTTTACTGGCTCTTTGCACTGCTAACATGGCCGCCTCTCGACACACCGAATTGATATCAGCAGCGACATAGCCGTTGGTCATGGCTGCCAGCGCCTCAATATCAACATTGCTCTCCAAAGGCATCTTGGTCATTTGAGCTTCAAACAGTGAATATCGATCAGTCGTATTGGGTGGCTCCATATGGATCTCCCGATCAAATCTGTTCATAGCGTTAAAAGCAGCCCGATTTGCTCGTCATCTAATGTTACCTTCCAGGGCGTCTCAATGCTGGATCGATGGAGTTGGGCCGATTTGTGGCACCTACAATGACGAGTCTTCCTCTGGACTCGATACCATCCATCAATGTCAATAGTTGAGCTACCATTCTGTTTTCATGCGACTGTGCATTGTCTCTTTTGGGCGTCAATGCGTCCTATGATACACATACAAGGCATGAGCCTAATCATCACAGAACAAACTGAAGCACTTACGATTTCGTCAATAAACAGAATGACTGGCACATTCTCCTTGACTGCAACGTCTCTCGCTTGAATGAACTTGGCCCGCAGCTTCTCTTCACTCTCACCAATAAACGGACCAAACACTTCAGGGCCTTGGATGATGAACATTTTGGCACTACATTTCCTTGCAATAGAGGAGACCAAAAACGTCTTGCCTACACCAGGAGGGCCATACAACAAGACGCCCTTGGGACACTCGATACCCAGCTGATGGATCCAATCTTTGTGCAAAAACGGGAAGCATACCACCTCATACAGCGCATTGTACGCCTTTTGCAGACTAGACATGTGAATGGTTTGACTCGAATCAGATGTTATCGACATGGCCTCTAATGATTTCTCCAATTCTGGTATGCGATCCTCCTTTGTTGTATTCCCATCCATCACACTCACTTGGCTAGCAGAAGCCAGAAACACAGACTTTCCCTGTGGATAGGTGGAGATCACTTGGATCGAAATCAACGGTGTTTTTTGGATGATGGCTCCTTGGCAAATGACGTTGCCTTCTACCGTATGTCGAATGTACTAGATCAGAGGTGGTTGAATACATGGTTCAGTCATGGATCTCGATGCTCATATCTACCGAATTCTTTTGCGCTTCCGTAGCTCTGTCAAAGACAAATCCAAACTCTAGCAATTGCTGTTCCTCAGTTGCCTTTTTGTTAAGTTTGTAGCTCAATGCTACTTTAATAGCTGTTGCTACTGATTCAATGGGTATAATCATGCTGTTCTCTAGCAGTACCGATAGTCAGATGTTGCTCTCGTTCATGCGTACTACACGGAGGCACTACCTTGATCGTTCGACTCGTATTGAATGAATTGACTCGCCATAACTTGATTATCTGGTATATCTGCTGGCCAAATGGAACAATGATAGACCTATCACATAAAAATAAGAACGCTGAAGTGTATCTAATATGCCAGCATACCTTGCCATGTCCATCCAACACCTTGACCCAAGCACCTGGCTGTGCTCCAAGCTTTGACAATTGTCCAAAAGAAACCTTGGCGATGCCAGGTTTACAGTTCTTTACAGGTACAACTATCATCAAAATCGAAAATCTGTCAGTGGTGAAAAAGGATGTAGCTTTTATTCAATTTTGCAGGTTTTCAACATTTGGGATTCATCCATAGTCACAGAGGCATTCATGTCAAAATGTACATGATGGACTATTAAAGGCCGTGCAAAAAATCAAGCGCTTCCTTTGATTTCCTAAGGTCAAGAGAAAAAGGCATGAGCGTCGCTGTGGGACATGATCTGGTGATGGACCTACGCTCTCAATTCGGCTGTTTGTTGACGCTTCTTTGCCAATTGGTGCTCCATGAGCAAACGCAACGTTTCTCTCGCCTAAAGTGCAGTGTGTGTGAGTAGCTTTATACAAGGCCATGCTTAGTATTTATTTACTTGGTGAGGTCGATATGCGTTCAGTATGTGGTGCATGTTGAGCAATATTGTGCTGATGTTCTCAATGTGTTTGCCGTATTCTGATGGGTTCTTCTCTAGCACTTCCAGCAAATCCAAATACTGCACAATGAGAGATCGATTCAACTTTTTGAGTTCTTGCACACGATCTAACATCCTTTGTGTTCAATTGCTGCTACATACGCACGGGCTGGCATCTGCACTTACCTATCGCATCATCTTGAGGATAAATCTGCTTGACACCCAACTCTTGCAGTGTAGGAAGGCGGTCGTTTATCTAGACAGCTTGCACTTAGACCCTACTGTCATATCAGCCAAGTGTATACACATTACCTGCCACTTTTGGTCAAACACAGTGTATTCATCCGTAGGTGGCAATGGAGGTTCAAGTGCTTCTAACTGAAATTCAGGCACTGGTGGTTTATTGATGGGCTGTTCAGGAAAGACGCCACATTTTTGCGATTGCTTGAGTAATTCTAAAATCTCGTTCGTGTATCTTTTGTAATAGTTGGGCGGGTCTGGCCAAGCACTCCTTGTTGATAGCTGCTCATCCATTGTTGATATGTGTGTATATATATATATATATATATATATATATATATATATATACAAAGAAAAAATGTACAAGAAAAAAAAAAGAGGTGAGCTATGACAATCAGCCATTTGATTTTCTTTTTATGTGTGCGTGATGTAAGCGCTGCTTGGAATCACAGAGATTTGAAATCAGAAGAAGGCTGAATCTACACCAGAGCTGCATATTATATGCAATTGAGTGGCCTACCTTCATTTATCTCATCGCAATCAAACATCAGCATAACACATTCAGGATATAATAGAATGCCAAATGACCAGCTAATACTCCTACAACGAATTGGCAAATAGATGACTTTCTAGCCATTGATGTTAACATCAGGAGGACTCTGATCGTCTCAAATACCATAAATGTGATGGCTATTTTCGCTAAAAACCTCATTTTAAATTTTATTAAATTGCTCAATAACTTCAGTCAAAATATTTATTATAGTTAGCTCCATTGGAAGCGCCTTGAAAAGTACTTCGAAAATGCATAAGGAAGCATCGCACGATCATCACACTTCATATAGTCAAATAAGACAAAATAGATAAAAAAAGTCGACAAAAGTCAATATTTGGCCAATCTTGAGCAGAAAAAAATAACTGAGTTTAGATAGGTTTGGCAGCAGTGGCGACAGGCTGCCCTGCTGCCGGCTAGTCCAAATGCCTTTCTGATGATGACAATGATGATTGCAATGCTGATTTATAAACGAGGGTTATAAATTTGAAAGAAACAATTGATTAGCTTGAATTTTTTTTTCTTTGGTTTTGTTGGGAGTGTTTCTCTATAGGAAAGTCGTTTGCAATGGCAATATCTCTCAAAAAAGTAGCTGTAGATCTTGCACAGGTCCTATATTTACGCATATTCAGCTTTATGTCGCCACCTCAAGAGCAACATCAGCAAAAAGGATACCTCCCCCCTCCTGACTCTGATATAGCTTTTTTCTTACTACTAATTGATTGTTTAAAATTTACTTTTATGCCAGATTTTTATTGTCTCTGATCTGGAATGTCTCTATACAATAAACATCTTGCTACGTTCAAATCCGAGAAGCATGCTCTGAAATCCTGTTATGGCTTATAAATAGACTCTGCTATAGACAGCGAAGAGTCAGCATTGTTCAAGACATCCTTGCAAAATTTCCCTCTAAATGCCAACGAAAGCAATGTAGCATTCGAATTTCTTGAGGAGACCTTCTGAACAGTGTAAGTTTCAAGTTTAGTTTCTGTTTGGTATGTTTATTTAACTAATTGTACTCTAGCCATTGCGGATACTCTGCTTTTCAAGATACTAATGATGAAGAATCTAGCTTTAATGATTTATTCATATTTCTTTTCGTTGTTGTTGTAGCAAAAGCAGTGCAATCGCATTCATGTAATGCTGATTTTAAAGCTGGTGACATTTGCCTGCTGTCCATGACACGGCAATTGAAAGCATTGAGTTTGGAAAACAATGACAAGAATCAGTACAAGGCAGATGACTTGATAAAGCTGTATGGAATCATGCAACTCGAAACCCTATTGCTCAAAACCTCTGGCTCAGTGGAGAATACTGACAAGGTTAAAATTAATTTTGACCACCACAAAGCTATCTTTGGTTCTCTAGCCATGCTAATAATCATTGCTGATAAATTTCGCTTTGCGCCTGCCAAAACATTTGGACATCTCAAACTGTACTTTGCCCATGCGACTGGTAAGTAGCGTCACTATCAACTCAAAGAGTCGTTTAATTTAATGTACACTTGTAAGAATTAAAAATTTATTTGTGGAGCATCCGCTTCAGACAAAATGAGTGTTATGAGCTTTGGAGGGGATGCAGTTTGAAGGTGAAACCTTCCTTTGAAGACAAAGTCGACTTCCTTCCGGCTTTGATCCAGTTCTTTTGAAACATGAAGGTAGCTAGGTCGTTGACACAAGTAGTGCACTTTGATGACTAAATGTTGATTTAAAGGGCTTGCGAGACAAGTCGGTAGATACTATCATCGCTCTCAAGGATGAGCCTACACAAAATCAAGAGCTATTTTTCTTCCTCTCTACCGCTCTTGACTGACATTGTAAACCCAACGATATTAAGATTGACCCAAGAAAACGATCGTGTTGGTATATCTGAATTGAGGCCTTTTTTATTCGCTCCGTCACGATTTGAAGTTTGCTGGAGTGTGTCATTGATTCATGTACAAAATATAGCTTGCTTATAGTTGATAGTTATTTAAAAAATACATATAGTTTATTCATTGTTTTAGTTTTTACATGCAAAAATTTATAAAAAATAACACATTTTACGACTACCACTGTGGAGGGCCCTGCTGCTGTTGCTGCTGCTGTTGCCCATCACCTCCAAAGACATAGCTGTTGCCACCGCCATACGACTTTTGCTCAATTTCCAGCATGACAACCACTGGATCCCCTCCCATCTTGGCTAGATAACATCCGCGATTCTGTTGTAGATCAATCATGATTTCTCCAGGCAACTTCTTTTCCTTTTTGAGCATAATTTGCGTCTGTGGTTGAGCCTTGTTGAGTTTCTTCTTGATCAGCTTTTGATTCTCAATGTTGAATGTCTCAAAGTGTTGATCAGGTCCTTCCATTCGACGCCAGCAGTAAAACGTACCCAATTCCTCATATTGTCGTTGCAACTTGGCCTCCTTTTTTGATTGTGCTTGAATGGGTGCAGAAAAGTTACCAAACATTGGATGTGGGGGACCACCATTGAAATCATCGCGATGACCTCCACCTTGGCCAAATAAACCACCTAGCATGGATAAACCTCTTTTCAACATGGGAGCAGAATTAGGTGGTGGAGGGGGAGGCATCATCATCATGTCATGCCCATGTGGAGGCTCATTACCACCACCACCACCACCAGTAGCGCCAGATCTTCGCATCATTTCTTCTTCGGGAGGTCCACCAGCACCATGAGCAGGGCTGCCGCCAGGACCGCCGTTAGCTCCATTTGGTCCATCAACAGGATTTCCATTCATGTCTAAATGTGGCGAGTGCATGTTGTTACTTCCTTCCCTACCACCAAAACCTCCAGGACCACTAAAGTGAGGACCACCAGGGCCGCCACCACCACCATTCATGGCTTGCGCAATCAAATTGGGATCACTTGAATACATGAATGGCAAGGGAAAATCACCAGCACCGCCACTAGCACCTTGTCCAAACATTATTTCTGGCATAAAGTTCCACATTGGGTTTTGATTCATCATTGGATTTTGATTCATCATAGGGTTACTGAACATGGGAGGAAGCATCATTTGAGGAGGTGGCTGCTGCATCATGCCTTGTTGACCAAACATGGTAGGATCTCCAGGAGACGTTGGAAAGCCATTCCCCCAAGGTTGCATTTGCTGTGGAGGAGGAGGTGGAGGCATCTGCATGTTGAGTGGCTGCTGCTGTTGCTGCTGCTGCAAATTAGCTGCCATTGCAGAAGGACCAGCAGCGTGAGACTGAGAAGTTGGACCAGCTTGAGAATTCATGGGTACATCACCAGCAGCACTGGTATTGCCAGAAGGTGGATTCTCCATAGGCGTTACGGGAGCTGTGCCTGGTTGTTGCTGCTGATTTGAGTGCATCATCTGATCAAAAAAGTCACCACCCATAGCACCAGAAGGTAAGCTATACATGGAACTGGGCCTAGTAGCATTCTCCATCATGGGATGAGGTGCTAGTGGTGGAGCAGGCGGAGGTGGATGGAGTACTATAGGAGGCATTGCTGCAGAAGGTGGTGGAGGAGGTGGAGGCGGAGGTGGAGGCACCATATTGACAGCTGGATGAGGGGGAAATCCACCACTAAAAGACATGCTGCGACCCAATCTGCCATTGGGATGATTGCTTGGATGGCCAATGGTACTAGCGACATTAATAGAGGCACGTCTGGGTGGTTGCTGCTGTTGCTGATGATGATGCTGTGGATGCTTGTAGTCTTCCGAGCTGCTGTCACTGCTTACCGAGAGCTGAGGAGAGTTAGGCACACTATGAATTACTCGTCTAGGCCCTCCTGCAAAACGAGGATTCATCCTTTGATGTGATGGTGGTGGTGGTGGAGGCATTGGAGGCGGATAAAAGTAGTTTCGAGCCGCTTGTCTTCTTGAAGAATCCATCATGAAAGGAGGTGGAGGTGGAGGTGGAGGTATAGCAGAGAGCGAATTTGCTCGTTTTCTTGGAAAAGATGGTCTTGGACCGCTGTTGCTTCCGATACTACTCTGTCTTGATAGAGGTGGCATTCTGGGTGGAAATGGAGTGGGATAGACATCTTGATCACTGTCGGCGCCCCCGTCATCATCATAGTAAAACTCTTCATTGTCTAGTTCGTTGTCCTCGTCATGGGACAAAAAGATGCCGTGTCTTCTACCAGTGGTAGGCCGAGAATGAGGTCGATTACGTCTATTGTACGACCTTGATGAGGCTGATCGACGCACAAATGCTAAATCCATGGGTTGTTGTGGGTACATTGGACCTGGATGAGCTGACATTTCATCCATCATCAGGTGCTGATATGGCACCCACTGTGGATGTGATGGAGGAGGGGGTGGAGGCGGTGGATATCTGTTGTCTTGCATCAAGTAAGGCGACATCAGTGGTGGGCCATAGGGTGAAAAGTCAAGGTCATGGCCGTACTGTGGGACGTAATAGCCTGCAGGACTTGTAGGTGGTCCGTGTAATTCATAATCCACACTAGATCGACGAGACAGTGGCCTGCTTCCTGCTGCTGCTCCTGGGTACCTAGCAAATGGCGGATGGTCTTGTAAGCCGAGATCATGCATTGCTCTTTGGATTTCCTCTTCATCCTCTTCCTCTTCAGATCCAGTTAGCTCGTTATCTGACATTGTATAATACTGTCTTTGAGGTGGTGGCATTGCTCTGTACATTCTCTTTCGAAACAGGGGAGATGCCACTTGTTGTTGTTTTTGACGCTGCTGCTGTTGCTGCTGTTGGCGATAATGGTTAGCAGGAGATGATCTATTGGAACCTGTAGATCTTGCACTGGTATTGCCATGCCGTCCAGTGATTGGAGGAGAAGCCAAAGGAGGAGAATCTTGATCCGAATAATAGTCTTCTATTCTTACTGAAGAAGACATGCTGTTTAATAGTAAAAAAAAAAATATATATATAAAAGAAAGAAAAAAGGGAAAGGTTGTTATTGTCATGTATCTTTGTGGTATATAAGAGCTATATTGTGATACAAACAAAAAGGTCAAATCTCTCAACTCCTGATTTGGAGCTGCTTCCAAAAACAACAAGCTACAAAAAAGCGCCCTCAAAAAATGTTACGCGAAAATCTTCATTCTTTCTTTTTACTTTGTATTTTGATTGATTTTTTGTGTGAGGATGACTGATACGGATGCTTTAGAACAGTATATATACGCTACCTTTTCCACAATCACAGACGAGCAAAGCAGACCATTGGATATCACTGCAGCTCTTCCATTGCTGAAGCAAGTTTTGACAGGCTACACACAGCAGATTGCAGAGCACAAGTTCAATTATATTGGAGAATCAGCAGTACAATTTGCCATCCATTTGATTTTGGCTGACCACTACTCCAAGTATGAGGATCGTGTTTTATCAGCAATCGCAAAAAAGTTCACAGCGCCACTTCAGCTATACAAGCTGATTGGAAAGCAGATCCACTTGAAAGAATATGTGAGACCTATATATTTGAAAGAAACATTGGATATGATATTTGGGTAAGTACTATGTGTGCAGGGAGGAGGGACGAACGCCTTATTTGACTGCTGCTTTAGTATTCTCTTTCGCTATAACGGCATCATGGCGATTCAAAAGCTTATTCAAGATGCCTTCATATGCCTCGTCAACCATGATCTCAATAATACAACCAGCCCAAAAAAGTTGCTCTCACCATCCTCCTCCACAAATCAAACAGTGAACCCAGTCAAGGCACTGTACGAGTTGGTTCAAGCCAACAGCGGCGCAATAGAGACAGAAGCACACGAAATAGACGACAAGAAGTGGCAGGTCAAGATTGTTGCCAAACTCAATGCAAGCTCCCTGCTGTTCTCTCATGCGCGCACCAGCAGCAGCAAGCAAAAGGCCAAGACAGAGGCTTCGCGCGACATTTTGAACTATTTCACCAACAATCCCGATGTGTACCAGCATCTTCAGATCGCAGCGGAAGGAGCAATCGATATCCATGCATTACCCATCAGCGAAAGTGACTATTGCCACTTGTTTGCTGAGAATACCAACACCAGACCCGCTCTCGAGACATCATATTGGAGTGGAAGCAGTGCCAATTTATCGCAATCAAGCCATGAAGAGGCCACCGTGTTGCTGGAAAACTTGTTTTTGGACGGTAAAATGGATGTAGACATGGATTCTCGACAAGTCAAGCGACAAAGGCAGAGTACACATGGATTGAGTGACAGTGCCATTGTCAAGACAGAGACATTGGAACACCAGCAGCCATTGTCATCACCAACACCATCATTACAACCTACGAACACAATGGAGTCGAATGTGACCTACATCAACGATGAAGAGACATTCCAGCCATTCAACCAACCTGCTGAAGCGCTCATGGACGAAGCCACAGCAGTTCGCAATGAAAAGATTATCAAACACTTTAGAAAGTTGTTCCAAGCACACAGACTTGTCTTGTTGCAATGTAGAACCAAGCCTGGTCAATCCAAGTCGATATTCCTTTCATTCGTAGTTCAGCGCCAAGACGAGCTGCAGGTGAACATCTCTATTCAGCAAGGTGGCGACAGTCATACCCCTCTCTTCCATGCTGAAGTTGTGCTTCGTTCCAAGACAAAGGCAAATGTGTTTCTCAAGACAGAGGGACATGGACGAAGAAAGAAGGATGCAGAACAACAGGCATTCAATAAGATGATTGAAATAGTAACTAATTGGAATTCCATAACCTGATCGCTCTATTTATAGTTTCAGTAACCGTACATAATGGATATATAGTCAATGGGCGCTTTTAAGATCTCATTAATAAAATCAGCTCGCAATTTCCTTCTTACAAGCTCCAAGTTCATCCATACCGTCAGTTTTAAAGGTTTATTACTTGCTCCGTGTAAACTATAGTGGCAGGACTATAGTCAAGAGTCGGGCGCAATTTTCTGTGATAATATACGTTTAGACAAATGTATGAGAACGATTTAAAAGAAGGACAAATTATAGAATGGCATGAATGAGATTCTCGTTAATCATTTATTATTGCCTTATGAGTAAAAGGGCATTGAGTTTGCTAGCCGGCCCCAGAAGCCACTGCTAAGATTAATTCAGCTCAGACCTATAATCTGCTTCAGATTGGCCGAATTTTGAATTTTTTTCGACTTGGTCTATCTATTTTATCAGATTCGACTATATAAAATCTAATGATCACCCCATACTCCTTTAAACTTTCCTGGAGTACTTTTCAAGACGCTTCCAATGGTACTAATTGTAATAAGTGTTCTGAATAAACTTATTGAGCAATTCGGTTGAATATGAAATGTGGCTTTTAGCGAAATAGCCATATTTTGCGTAAGACAACCTCTTAAAAGTGGCTTCTGAGGTTGCTTTGGTTTGAAAAAAACGTTTTGATTCAAGATATACCATAGTAAAAGTCTTCATTTTCAAGGTCAAAAATGCGATCGTTTAATTTTCGATGAAAACCATGAGGTACCCCTCATGCTTTTTGGTCGATTTTTGTCCATGTTTTTTTGGTCCCCAAAAAGTTGAGCAAAGATATCAGGAAGTTAGTGTTACTCGAGTACAGTTATTTAGCGTTATTCCGATGGCTCAGAAAGGTTTACATGTCGACATATGAAGGCTTGAAAGCCGTCAAATTTTGTTATACTTTCGCTTTATAGCTTTTATTCCCACTGCATGAATCAAACCTCCAGTACCTGGAATTTCTGGAGGAAGGGCAGTTCTGCAGCTGGTGCAGCTTCTAATTCGAATAGGAGGCATATTGATAGTGGTAAAGCTAATTCAAGCAAATTTTGATACTTTATGTTGTTGGCAAACCTATTACTAAAAGAAACGAGAAGCCATATTTTCTGCTTGAATATCACGATTTTGTAGCTTCGCTTCGCTACGACAAAACGCTTATTAAGATCAATGCTATTAAGTGTGAGCGGCAAGGCGGACCGATCAATTGAGTTGTTGCTATTGCATATCAAAGCGAAAATCTCGCACTTGTTTTTCTTTATTTTTCTCCACTCAATTTTGAATGATACTAAATTGACTCGCACTGTAACCATGGTAATCGTCGAGCCCTATACAGCTATATGACTGTATGATACACATCATAAAAATGCAACTACCGCGTATGATATACGACCAACTACAACACGGACGAGTCCAATATGGCATTATCGATCGTTAGCATCGTGAACACTCAGCGATTTGGCAATGCCAAGGAGTGTGGGGATTAAAGCAAAGTGTGGAAAAATAGACAGCCATAAATCACAAAAGACACTATCCAGTAACATGTTTTGACCCAGTTAATGAAGATTTGCTACGTGAAAACTCATGGACCACCAGCCAGGAACGAACAGCAACGAGGATCCCCAGTAGAAGTGTTATATCAAATGTCCTAGCAAGGCCTCACATTAGAGGCCATCATGGGCTACTCTTAGGTCCTTTTGATAAATCATGCTATTAACGATTTACAAACCAATTGTTGGGTAGATATTAAAACTATTTGTATTACAGTTTATCATCATTCTATAAGCCCTAGCATAATGAACAGTATATAAATGCATCATTTGAATGCATTATCAATAAAAGTGCAGTGTTTGGTAGGTTCAGTTTTACGTTGCATTTTGAAATAACAAGAAAAAATGTTCCTCCTAGATTTGATGGAAGAATATATGTCAGAACTGAACCCCACTTTCAAGAGCAAAAGATCATAGGCTACCCCATTTCCGAGAATAGGATATCAATTAGCCATTTGATGGAATCATTCATATTCGTTTGCACTGTCTAAATATAGAGGTCTCAATATACCTCACAACGCTGCTCTTGCTCCATCTCTCTCTTGTACTATATGTTGCACAATACATTTGCCTCAAAGATATTATTTTCTAAAAAAAAAATACCGTTGACATTTTCATTGAAATTGCTGGCGAAATCAACAAACTTTATCTTTATATTTTTGGCATTCATGTAATGAGTTTCATAAATGTCCCTGAATTTGGATTTCTCCTTCATCATTGCAGGGATAGCGATCACAGCAAACTTTGTACCTTGATTGTTGCAGCAAAAAAAATTGTAACGACCAAGATGTGAGCGCAAAGTTGACCCAACAACTATAAAGACAATGTCTTGGAGTTCCGGAATCGTTTTGTCTACAAGTGCCACGCCAAAATTTATGATAACAGAGGACAAAATACCAATTTTGACTATCTTCTCAATCAGTAAAGGTTACATATCAAAAGCTCGCCAGAACCGCAAAAATTCTAAGCATTCGCGGACAAAGCGATGTTTTTTGTGTCAGCACTGAACCTCTATTTTTTTTTTCTGACGCAAGAGATCAATATGCAGAACTTGCCAGCGATCGTAATTGATTTATCAGAAATAAATTATTTATAAAAAGAGTACAAAATTAATCATGTAAAGAATATCGTTTATTACATTGGAAATAAGAGGGTTTATATACTATTCGAATTGAGGGATTTGATGTGAGGATAAGGTATTAGATGGGTTGGTTTGGGTGACAGGATAATAGATTGGATCTATTATCCTGAACATGTCATGATACGAATCGTAACTAAATCCTGTTTCATGTCAAAGTTTATGATCTGATGTGATATGTGCTTGAACTGATTGTTTCTGCGCATTTGGAGATCCAGTTTAGAAATGATGCATCACTAAAAACGAACTACGGTGTAATGAAATAGCCACCCAAACGCAACTGGATTGAAAACTGAAATTCATCAAATAGCACTCAGTCAAATTCATGCTATTTGGATCTATCAGTAAAAGCGCTCAAATGTACATCAACAACCATTTAAACATATTAAAGTGAAGATACACGCTTATATCGCACATCGTGTGAATGAATCACTTCTGATCACAGTGTATTCAATCACACCCATGATGATCGTAATAAGAGATGTTATTTTTATCCAAATAGAATCAAATCAATAACAAGCATATTCAAATATGACAACTATGCCCTGCTGCCATAGTTGCACAATGTCCCAGATAAAGGGTTCCATACCTCAATAACAAACATCACACTGTAAACCATCAAGGTTACATTAAATCATGCTATAACGGTAGCTCACCCAAGCCTACCAAGGTTACTCAAATCGACCCTTATGGCCAGTGCTCTTGCATTGATTACCACTTTAAATCAAACATCAACAACATTTGCCAGATATCGCAATAGCAGAACCTATTGCTCTCTATCATCACTAATCCTACAAGCTAGTTGCAAATGTATAAATACTCTTCTTTTTTTACTCATTTCCAGGATCTTCAGTTCATTTTATACACAAATAAAATACAGTTGATTTCTATTGTATTTTACTATTGCTTTATTTTTTTTGTGAAATCTATTCAAACCTGATTTCATTGCAATGTGCAAGAAAACATTTATTCTACGTCTCTATTTATATTATTTTTTATCCGGCAGTGGTTACATTATTTAGTTTATTATTGTTGGGTTATTTAGTTGTTGATCGGATGAATTAAGAACATTATTTCAATATATGATTTGCGAAACAAGAGTAAAAAAATAGCTCTTTATTTTGGAGCATGTATTTTACTAACGTTTATTTGTGTTACAACACACTACAATACTCTTGACATTTACTGCAGCTCAGTATCTGTCCTCTCTTGCTTTCAAAATATTTCACCTTGTTATCATCATGCTAATGCTATTATTATGTATGCTTATCTGCTGACGACAGCGTGGCTAGATTGAGATGACATTTATTTTGGATATTTTTATGATGGGAATCTAGTCTTCTAGTTCATTCACTCGGAATTTCGAGGTATTTCTTCGTTTCACGATAGCTTTTTTTGTGAATTAATAATCTGAACCAGCAATCTCATTATACTTTCAGAGGTTAAGTTCGTCTATCAGTTATTTACTGCACATACTGTAGGCATAAATAGAAAGAATTATTACACCCAATAGTGGTGCAAATGATATTAACATTCAAACTACGCAAAAGCATCAAGCACTTGAGCAGACAGGCGGGAATAATTGCTTACTTTTGAACGCTTACAAATACCCCAATCCTGCATCTTTTGACTCAGACTTTTTGAATAAAAATACTTTGACGTCTCAAAAGAGATTTCCATGTCAAAAAAACCATGTTTATAAGTATCTCGCGGCACAACACTCCCTCAAAGACAATGACTCTACTAAGCCAATTTAATCGGGGTTCAAAATTAAACTGACTTTAAAACTATTGATGTAAAAATGGCATAGCAAGAGTGCTGTTTTGATATCATAAGAATACATTATACAAATAAAAATACTGTTGCAAGTAGACAGCGTGATAGCACGCAACGAGATGAATCAATTTATGATAAAAATATGCAATAATCTGGTCTTTTCCAGTACGAATATATCAAAAAGAAGAATTTTCAGATGCTCCGGATACAGGCAAAATGTGGAAATCCGGGATATTTTACTTTCCACTGGCTCTGGGAAGAAAATCATACTTTACAATGCCGGCAGTGTTCAATTTGTATCCACTCAGCAAGTAGAGTTTATTGAGCTGGATACCTCAAGTGTGGTCAATATATACCGTATTATTAGATGGTCTTTTTCTCACTTAATAACATTTCTAATAAAATTTATCAAACGCCGATGTATTCGGTGTTTGAATTATAAGGGAGAGGCAGCCTGAGGTAGCCAAGTTAGCATCACTGCGACCCAACTGATGTTCTCATGAGAACATCGAGGTGCTCATATGAGAATCTATTTTATGTTCTCATTTGAGAGCATCGATGTTCCCAAAAGGTGAAAAATGCTCTCATATTGGAACATCGGCGTTCCTAAAGATCTATTATAAGTCGGCCGATGTTCTCATAAGAACATCCGAGATGTTCCCATATGAGCACATCCATGTTCTTAAATAAGAGCAAATGTAACTGTTTATGAGCGCATCGATGTTCTCAAATCAGCATATAGATGTTCTTAAATGAGCAAATCCATGTTCTCAAATGAGAATATTCATGATCTCGCATGAACCTATCGATGAGCTAAAATGGGATCATTGAAGGTCTGAATCAGCTTAAATATTGGTAGCTTTTATTGGCCCATAAATCGTGGTTTAAGTATTGGCAGCTTTCATTGGCTCAGAAATTGTGGTTTAAATATTTATACATTTATTATTGGTTAATTTTAATGGGTAAACGAAGGCTACGTGCCAAAAACGTGCAATAGTAAAGCCTTGTAGTAGTGGTAATGGTCATGCTGTAGCACTACGGCCCAACTGATGCTCTCACAGAACATGGATGTGCTCTTTTGGAAAAATCGATGTTCTCATGAGCACATTGATGTTCTCATTTGAGAAGGTGTAGTTTTCCACATGAATAAAATGGTTTGAATAGCTAAACTATAGTACTGTAGGCAACAGAGAGACGTTTATTATCTGTAAGATTCATAAAATTACTAAACGTATTATAAATTGCACGAGAAAATGGCAATTTAAAATTACCTAATAACTACTTATTAAAGTAAAAGAATATATTTCAATAAGATATTCGAGTAGTTTAGTGGGAAGAACGTCAGATCCACAACCGATAGGTTGTGGGTTCGACCCCGGTAGGAGAATTCTTTTTTTCAAATTTCTGAAAATCGATGTGCTCGTATAAGAATATAGATGTGCTAACATGGGAACATTTCGGATGTTCTCATAAGAACATCGGCCGACTTATAATAGATCTTTAGGAACGCCGATGTTCCCATATGAGAGCATTTTTCACCTTTCGGGAATATCGATGTTCTCATGAGAACATCAGTTGGGCCGTAGTGATAGTACTTGGCTTCTGTAAGTGGGATCCAGGATGCTTCTTGTTGCCAAATCGCTGCCTGTGTCTTCCAATGGCGACATGAATTGCTGTCGAAATCCATCATTCAAGACGTTCAGTTGTACGCCTTGTTGGCTGATTTCGGATCTCATTGCCATCATTTCTTGCAAGAGTCTTGCGGTGAAGTCAATGCTGGCAGCGTTGTTGTTGTTCATGGTTCGCGCTGATAATAAAAATTTAGTAAGCAAAGAAAAGATATGTTCAGAGTTGTGTTGTACCGTATATCTCGTTGCACACACACCACCACGTTGTTGAGCGTCATTCGGTTTACAGGCTTCATGCAAGTAATGCTGACCTCATTGTACGCCCATAGTATAAGCATATGTGCACAGTAAATACCACTCGATTTGACATGATGTTGAAAGTGAAATGACGTAGAGGTAGCCTGAGGCGACATATCACATCATAGGAAACACGTACCTTACTTGATCTTGGACTTTGAGTTACTAAACGTTATATGCAAGGCTACGTATCACTTGCTTGTAAACGATGATAAACGCATTTGTTGGCGAGCGCATATAAAACTTGAATTAGTATATAAAGCTGCCACTTGAAATTTGTTTTTACTTGCCTATTTTTCTTGGTTTCTCCAAACATGTCATTCTCAATCCGTATATCACGAGAAACAGAGCCATCCTTCTGCACAAATTGCTATACCAGCTTTGACAGTGCCCGTGCTCTACGCAACCATCGCCGAAACTGTCGTGCTCCCATTTTGAATGAAGACCAAGATGTTGAAATGGAAGAGCAACCTCCAGTGGAAACAACGCTGATACAGCCACAATCTCCCCCCCCAGTGCGCTAGTCACAGCCAATTCAGATCATGCAAACCAGCTGCATGATGATGATGCCATGAGTGATATTGAAGAAATGATTCCTGCTGCTGACGATGCTGATTACGACTGCGCAGACTTTGAACAGACGCCGGGTGCTGCTGATCTGCTGCCTATTGTCGATAATAATGGTAAGGAATTGCAGCGCTAAAGTAGATGTATATACTCACAATAGCGGATTCCACACATGCTATAACAGGAGACAATCCAGAAGAACCAGGGCTTGAATTTGATTTGCTAAATGTCAAATACAAGACAGTTGGAGTAGTCGACCCAGATGCAGAAGATCAGGCTTGCTTCTACGATTGCAGATCCCTCGAAGACATCAACCAAAATACATATACAACCACAGAACTGGTTTCGATTGAGCTGTATGATATCGTCAATGATTTTGCCATACCACGGGATGCATACAGAAAGTTGGTCAGGTTGATGAACACTGCTTTGAGAGATACAGTAGTCGCTCTATATAAGGCCGTCCTATATAAGGCTATGCGGGGAATAAGGCTGAAATCTTTCAGATTTTTTTTTTACCAGCTATTTAGCCTTAATAGCCTAATTTTATATAAGGCTACAGATTCTAAAAATTTTAGCCTTATTTCATAGTGGTGGTTGCTGAGATTGAATTTAGGGCCAATCAGATACTAAAAAATAGAAAGCTTTTATTGAAAGGTAGTACATTTAAACAAAATAATCACGTAAATCTGTTTGATTTTTCTCTGCTACTTCCTCCGATCTGATATCGTTCAGATTCCTACGGATAGTTTTCAGCATAGACTTTTCTTTTTCATCCATTGGGATGGTATGGTACAAGATAGTTTCATACGCATGCTTCAACTTCTCCCTTATCTCCGTATCAACATCGTAAATCTCTACTGGTTCTTCCTCTACCTCAAGCTCTTGTGATCCATGGGTAACATCATCGCCATCCTCAAATTCAACAATCACGGGATTAAAAACGATTGCATCAGACTCATCTGCATTTAGATCCAAGTCGTTTACTTCAGTTACCAATTGAACCCCATCATTACTTCTGTTTCCAGGAAGTTCAGGGATGATTTCCTTCAACTGGCTGACTAGATCATCGTCTAAAGGTAGCTGGAAAGATGGGAGTACATCCTCCGAGTCGACTCTCTGTCTCTGAGCAAACTTAAAATCAAGGATCTTCGTATGATCCCAGCAATTTTGGATTGTTTGAGGCTTAACTTTGATCCAAGAATCAGCAAGAAAATACAGAGCATCCACCTCATCCATTCTGTATTCCTCGGTAAGATCAAGGCTTACCCCAGCAAGATACTTGTTCACTGCCCTGTAGTATTGGTGCCAACGAAACTGAGCCTTGAACTTCGCAATGATTCCTATCGAGTGTGTGATTACAGATGAGTACGGATGTCAATGAAATTTGTTGATTTACCGGCATCCAAAGGCTGCAGCTTGCTTGCTGTGTTTGCTGGAAGGAAAATCAACTTAATGTTGCTGAATTCTTCTTTCAATTTATGCACTGAAGCATTGTCAACTAAGAGAGCAACTTTTCTTCCGGCGTAAACGAAAGACGCATTCAAACGTTTGACGTACTTCCTAAAGGTGCCGGTGTTCATCCATGCATTGGGAGATGAATGGTACTCCACATAATGGGATTGCCCGATGTTGGTGGTTCTTCTGTACAAAGCAGGTTTTTTGTTTGCTGCCTTTGGTGTCTTTCGTTTCCCAATTACAATGGGGTGCCCTTTATAGGACCCATCATAGTTGGTGATTAGTCCAACTGTGAATCTGTTCTTGCTTTTCTTTGATCCACCTAAAGGTTCCTGACAAATGGTGTGAGTTGGCTGTTGCTCGTAGTATAAGCCAGTTTCATCAAAGTTGAGAATATCTTTGGGATCATATGGCTCCAACAATTCTTCAATCTTTCTGAGTTTTTCGACAATCTTAGATGATGTTAAGTCGACTGAGCTTTTTTCACCATATAAATGTCTTGACTTGACACCAATTCTCTTGAAAACATCGGTTAGCCATCCATCTGAGAAATGGATTTGCTTATTCTTTGGCAATTCATGCATGCGGTACTTTCTGTGTGCGACTACTTTTGCAAAAGCTGCAATGGTTCCGCGATTGACAGGAAGAGATTTTGCATTCATGGCTTGAATGTACTCCAAAATGTCATTGTCCAATTGTGGCATCGTCAAGGCTCTGCTGCTTTTTCCCTTCAAATTTCCTCCTTCGTAAGCTTTGATCACCTTGTCCTGTGAATTCAAGACGTTCGATACAGTTTTTTGCTTGACTGAGTGATGAAGGTTGAATTCCTTTTGAGCCCATTGACCGAGTTGCATTTGCGTCAGATTAGGAAAGTGCATGTTGTGCATAATAATGCGATACTTTTGCTCGATTGTGAGGCGATCTCTTGATCTTTGATTAAGGCACATGATAGGATATTGCGTTCAATAGAAGTAAAATAAACAGATAAATGAATGTTACTGAGGAGGTGTCAAATTGATTTATTCGATCAACTATTATAGTAATAGATCCTACGCGCACGACTTTTTTTGACAGAAGTCACGCGCGTCAGTTAAGGCTATGCGGGCAATAAGGCTAAAAAAACCTCGCCAAGAAAGTAGCCTTATATAGAGCGACTACTGTACAGAGAAAATTAGTCGAGGTAATTCGCGTTGCAATAACATGTCGTTTATACAATAACTCACCAGCTTCCGATCCTCCCCCCATGAGCTGATAGAAAGCAATCCGGAAATCATGCATGGCCCTCGTGTGCAAAGCATGCTTCAGCGCCAATCGTCGTTGACATCCCATGAATATGATGTGTGTATCAATGGCTGCAAGCTGTACGCATTGGAAGTAGACGACGAAGAGACAATTTGTGATATTTGTTCCCATGAAAGATACGATGCACGGGGAAATCGTCGAGCCCTGTCAACAATGAAAGTCATGTCAATTGGAGACATCGTATCACGATTAGTTGCGAATCCAATAACGAGAGAGGAGCTTCGGTACCGACATGCCTACGACAACAGAGACCTTGAAGAAAATCCATCCGATGTTATCATCGCTGACGTATTTGACGGCGCCACGTACAAGTCCATCAAGAATACGCATTTCACAAATGACCTGGATATCGCAGTTGCGATCATGAATGATGGCTTTGTAGTTGAAAAGAGAGGTGATCGGCTATTCACAATTATTCATTTGATGGTGTTCAATTACGATCCACACAAGCGTTACAAGGAGGAGTACACGCACGAGCTTTGTATCTTTCCAGGAAAAAAGAAGCCCAAATCATTTGACTCGTTCATTTCCATCATCTTGGCAGAGCTCCAGTGGCTTTCTACGTATGGAATGGTAGTCCAAACAAATGATGCTGGGCCAATTCGTTTGAAGGTTTATCCTCTAATTTGTGGTGGTGATACTCTAGGTAAATATCCTGATAGATAAAGCAATTAATCAGCATCCACAATGGCTGACATGAAATTGATTTAACTAATAGCATTTCTGGACGACTCACGCCGTGAGTCGTCCAGAAATGGTACCTTAGGTACCATGGACATTATGCTAAAAGCCAATCAGAACAAACGGTAAGTGATACATAAGAATAGGATATCCTGTTACTACAGGTATCATTTGAATGGCCAATTAGAAGCAAGGCTCACGGTGCTTGGGTACCATGATACATGAGGTATCATTCCTAATAACATTTCCCAAACACGGAGTACCTCGGTATTTGAAAAATAGGGGAAGGTAGCCTAAGATAGCCGAAGATAGCCCAGTTTGCGTATGCGAACTTATAGAAAATGTTATCCAGTTATTATCTCACCAGAGATTGCTTCACTGAGCGGTCTCATATATACCGCTACATAGAGCGTGCTCTGGAATAATTAGTAAAAAAATGGTTTGAAATCATTATATCATTAAACTGTTATAAACAATTTCAGTTTTACTATCAAAAAAAAATATAGAAAGCTCTTAGCAGTAACGAGAGAGCACCAGCCAACTTATAAATATGCTATCAAGCGTCAATGGTTAATTAGCATTACACTTTCTTGATATGTTGTCATAAATCTTAAATAAGCCATCAACATCACTCATCAATAATGAAAAATAACAATGGAGGAAAATGATGAACAAGATACAATTTATCATCGGCTTTTAATATGATACCCGACAAAACAAACGTTGATATAATAGGACAAAAGAATGAACAAACGGAAAAAAAAGGAGGGATTAGACAAAAAGTAAGAACACCAAAAGAAGAGATTGGGATATTAGACAAAGAAAATATATAAAAGAGGGTTTGTGATAAAAAAATGAATAGTGACAATTAAAAGAAACAAATCAAAACAGAATAGAACAAAAAAACAATGAAAAGAATAAGAAAAGGTTGTGATATTAAGAAAAGAACAAAGAAGGGAAAGGATGAGACTGAGGTAATAAGAAAAGAAGCAACAACAAGTATGGGAACGAATACTGGATGTTGTGCCAGAAGGGCTACAACTGTCTATAAAGATTAAGGTATTCTTGATGGGTAGATATGTCTGTGTTGTGCAACAACATGGACAAGCTATGATAAGTGAAGTGCATCTCAGCTATCTAAATACTGAGGTTCACCAGATGTGATAAGCGTTGTACAAGATAAATTGCTACTTTGGCATTCAGAACTTAGTATAAATAGAATAACTCTTGTCTTCATCAATAAATCATTAGTTTTTGTGTCTGATCTTATTCAAATAAGTCTTTTCTTGTTTTTATAATATTGAACATTTTTTATAAGCTACAAATAATAATCCTTTTATTCTTTGTGCTTAACACTGGATAAACAAGGACCGGACAAAATAGAAATTAAAATGATAAAAAATAAATACATAGAAAGAGAGAGAAACTGAACAAAAAAATAAACAGAAAAGAATGCAAAAGAGTAAATAAAACAAAACAGATAGAAAAATTGAGACAGTTAAGAAAAAAAGTAAAAATAATAGGCAAAATCAATAAACGGAAGCAAAGAAACCCATAAAAAGACAGAATGTAATATATATGACAAAGAAAAAAAAAGATATATAAAAGGAGATGGTAGGAAAGCAAAAAGAAGAAAGAAATGGAAGTAATCTAAAGAACAAGAAGTAAAGAAAAGAGTAAGAATAAATTGAAAAAAAAAAGAGAAATGAAGTAAAGAAAGCGAAAGGAGAAGTAAATCAAAAAAAAATAAACATGAAAGAAGAAAATAGGCAAAGATAAAAGAAAGGCGAAAGAAACAATGTCAAGGAAAGAAAATGCGATAAAGAAACAGAAAGAAATAAATAGAGAAAAAAAGTCGAAAAGAAAAAGGTTCGAGAAGGAGGATAAAGAATATAAGCAGAACAGAAAAGGGAAACATGAAGATAAAGCACAGGAAGAGACCGGGAGAACAAGCAAACAAAGAAAAAACGGAGAAGCAAAAACGCAAATATAAACAGAGAAAAGATATATGAAAAAAAAAGAAAGGTGGACAAAAACACGGACAAAGGGGGAAAGAGAGAACGGAAAGAGAGAATAACAGAAAGAGAGAAAGCATATACAGAGAGAAGGGAAAAACAAACAAGAAAAGGGATAGGGGATAAAATACACAGAGACGAGGAAATGGAATAGGAAGAATTATAGAAAGAGAAAGGACGAAGAAACTACGAAAATAAATACACAGAAAAGGAGAGAAGAATAGGCAAAAAAAGACAGAAAAGGGGAAAGGGGTAGAGAAAAGAAATGGACAGAGTAGAAAGAAATAATAAAATAATAACAGAGATGAAGAAAAAAAAAACCAACAAGAGAGAATAAGAACAGTAAAAAAAAAAATAAAAGAAAATAAAAAGCGAATACATTACCATAGCGTAGCGGATACATTGCTATAGCGGAGCGGATACATTACCATAGCGGAGCGAATACATTACCATAGCAAAGAATAATAATTACCGCTATACAACGAACATGATGATATTTGTATAGCAAATAGAACACATAAATGCATAATAGCATTTCACAAGCACGAGGATACAATGAACAAATACACATAATAAACATATATAAATAAGGGATAATATATAATAATAGGTATAGCGTAAAGAAAATAATACAAAAGTAACGAATAAAACAACACATATTACATAAGACAATATACAACAATTGAATAAGAGACAAAGAAGAAGAAGAAAAAAAAATATATAAAAAACAGACAAGATTAGTGTAAAGTACATAAATAATGATTAGGATAGGGATAGAATTAAGGATAAGATTACGAATAAGGTTAAAATTATGAATAGGGTTAAAATTACGATTATAATAATGATAAGAATAGATTAGGATTAGGATTAATATTACGATTAAGAATAGTGTTAAGAATTGATTAGAATTAGTGATAGAGATATGAATAGGGTTATGATTAATATTAGGATTAATATTATATTTAAGAATAAGGTTTAAAATAGGAATAAGATTACCTTTAAGAATAATATCATAATTTAAGACAAATATATGGATAATAATAAGATTAATATTAGGATATTGAGTAATATCAATGACATGAATAAGGATAGGATAATGTTATAGTTAAGATTAGGGCTAATATTAAAAATAAGATTACGAATAAGATTAGGGTTAAGATTAATATTATGGTTAAGATTAGAGTTAAGATTAGAAGTATGGTGAATGTTAGGATTAAGATTAAATTTATGGATAAGAATAGGATAATGGTTAGAGACAGGGAATATGAATAGGAATAGAATCAATACAACGGTTAATATTAGAATTATGACAAACGATAATATTAAGATTATAGTTAGGGTTAGAATAACAATTATGGTAAGCTTTGGGTTTAATGTCATGATTAAGGTTAGTGTCAAGGTTATAGTTAGGGTTAGGGTTAGGCTTAGGGTTAGGGTTTTGGTTATGATTTGGATTACGTTAAGGGTTAGGGTTAGGGTTAGGGTTAGAGAGATAATAATAGAAAATATATCCAAAAACCAAAGAAGCAACAAAGGAGAGAGTCTAGAAACACTTAGATTGAATCTATTCGCTACAAGAGATGTAGCTTCTTCAGGTGCATTATACTAGCTCTTTATATATCTTTTTGAAAAAATTATTTTTTCACACGAAAGTCGGAATAAGTCGGGTGAAAGACGTGATCCGGAAATTTAAGGGAAGATTAGACTCGGCGTTAAGTGCCGAGATCCCTTTAGACTCGGCGTTATGTGCCGAGATTCGGCGTTTATGTGCCGAGATTCGGCGTTTATGTGCCGAGATTCGGCGTTTATGTGCCGAGATTCGGCGTTAAGTGCCGAGATCCTTTTTTAGACTCGGTGTTAAGTGCCGAGACTAATGGTGAAAAAATATAAATACCCTGGAAAAAATTGGGGATTTTTATCGCCCACATTTTTTATTTTGAAAACACTCTATATATTTTACTACTTATAACCCTTCCCATAAGAGAAGCCGCTGTCCCACAGAACAAGTCCGAGGCAATTACAAGGTAAAATATGAGCAGATTTCAGGAATTATTCTGACAGTTTTCTTTTTTAATAGAAAGCATGATCAGGATCTTACAACCAGGAATGTCCACAGGGTAAGTAAGGGTAAGGTAAGTGAAAAATTTGTTCTTCATGAGACCAAGAGGGGTCTTTCATGGTCAAATTTTTCAAAGTACTATTGCTGGTGTGAGGTACCAACATTAATGTTAGTGTTTAAGTTAGGGTTAGGGATTAGGGTTAAGATTAGGGTTAGAGTTAATAATAGGGTTAGGGTTAGGGTTAGGGTTAGAGAGATAATAATAAAAAATATATCCAAAAAACCAAAGAAGCAACAAAGGAGAGAGTCTAGAAACACTTAGATTGAATCTATTCGCTACAAGAGATGTAGCTTCTTCAGGTGCATTATACTAGCTCTTTATATATCTTTTTGAAAAATTATTTTTTCACACGAAAGTCGGAATAAGTCGGGTGAAAGACGTGATCCGGAAATTTAAGGGAAGATTAGACTCGGCGTTAAGTGCCGAGATCCCTTTAGACTCGGCGTTATGTGCCGAGATTCGGCGTTTATGTGCCGAGATTCGGCGTTTATGTGCCGAGATTCGGCGTTAAGTGCCGAGATCCTTTTTTAGACTCGGTGTTAAGTGCCGAGACTAATGGTGAAAAAATATAAATACCCTGGAAAAAATTGGGGATTTTTATCGCCCACATTTTTTATTTTGAAAACACTCTATATATTTTACTACTTATAACCCTTCCCATAAGAGAAGCCGCTGTCCCACAGAACAAGTCCGAGGCAATTACAAGGTAAAATATGAGCAGATTTCAGGAGTTATTCTGACAGTTTTCTTTTTTTTAATAGAAAGCATGATCAGGATCTTACAACCAGGAATGTCCACAGTGTAAGTAAGGGTAAGGTAAGTGAAAAATTTGTTCTTCATGAGGCCAAGAGGGGTCTTTCATGGTCAAATTTTTTAAAGCACTAGTGTTGGTGTGAGGTATCAACATTAGTGTTAGTGTTAGGGTTAGGGTTAGGGATAGGGTAAGGGTTATGGTTTACGTTTTTTAGACGAAATCCAACAAAGTCCATCCTGT